TACGAAATTTTTCCTTCCCATGCAACTGCACAGTCTCTGATGCTCCTTTAAAGAAAGTAACGCGTGTACTGCGAATTCTATTCCTGTCAAATTTATCTTTAAAGTCAGCATTTGGATTTTTTTCTTTAGCAGCTAATTCATATTGATCAAAATTATTGCGTGCGTTATTGACGTACTCGATGAGAGATGCGTAAAGCTTTGTGGCAACGTCCATGGTAATAGTGCTATCCTGTAAGCTTAAACTTGTTTTGTTCATAATTCCCAAAAAATCATTCCATATTTCCGTTAAAAGTATTGTGTTCAATTTTTGCATATTTTTTTTACTAGGCTTTGCGCTTCGTTTCTTGTTTCTCCTGGTTGATTGACATCACTTAGTATCGAGGACAAAGCTTCAGAAATATTTAAATAACCATTTTGTAAAGCATTAATGGCATTTGCACGTACAGACCATCTAGTATCCGGCACAGACTTCAAGACTTTATTTATGCTCTACCATAATTTTCCATCGTTTGGTCTAAGCGGAGAAGAAATTGAACAATTTTTGTATAAACTGAAAATATGCTGCAGCTTCGGAAACACAATCAATAGCTTGAACACCTACTAAATTTAGCGAGTGTGCTGCACATGGGAAAAAATGGCAAATTTGCATTTTTCTTTTATTCTTGACTGAACACCAGAATACTTTCCAGCCAAATTTGATGCATTATCATGTCCACGACAATCTTTTATAGGAATATCAAGGCTTTCCAAAAAGTTCAAAATGTTACCTGCTAAGTATTCTGCATTATGTTTATCTATAGGCAAGAACTGTAGAAATCTCTCAATAGGCTCTCCATCTTTTACGTATCTAACGATGAAAGTTAGTTGTTCAACGTGAAAGAGGTCTGGCGTAGAATCCACGCTTAAAGAATAGTATTTTGCTGATTTTATTTCACTCACAATTGTTTTTAAAACTTGCTGTCCCATTATATTGATAAATTAATTACAAATATTTGCAGACAAATATGATGTACTTCCTTTTCCACGATTTCCGCATATGATCAGCAAGAAAAGAATCAAATTCACCAATCAGTTCTAAGCATCCTAAATGATTTCCATTGTTTTGAGAGCCCAAAATCTCATTATCACCACGAAAAGCAAGACCTCTAGAAGCCAAAAAAATCACTACTGCAACTATTCTTCTAAGTACATTCTTCTAATAATTGACTTCTGTATTATATTGGGATAGTAACTCACTGTTCAAGTCGTCCAGTAGATTTGCTTCTTGCGACATAATTCATCATTAATTGCCTGTGCTGTAAGCGAATATTTAACGTGCTATCTCTTTGCTTCTTGGAGGCCCCTTGACGATGGAGGCCCTGGGCACGGGCCCCGTGTGCCCTTATGGCAAAGACGGTACTGATTTTTCGGTCTCACTCCCATCCCTCCCTCAGAGCGTGCGAGACACAAAAATTAAAAGAAAGAAACAATATTTACTGACTTTGTCTTGATGTCTGACCTGGCTACTAGCATAATTTATAAACCTACGCCCTCTACCTACCGCTAACTATTGACATTCTAAACGATGTCTGGAAAGTATATTTACCCCGAAGAATTTTGTTTCTGTTTCGTCACGTAGTCAATAGCAACTGCCGTTACAACACTAAGCCTATTAAATATTACAGTTTTTTTGCTTTTCTTAAATACCTCTTCCGTTAATATATACATTTATATAAGCCGATTACTAAAAAGGTAGTGATGGGTATAAGAGCCTGTTTATACTAGTGTAAATAATGCTGTTGTATTAAAAATGTTTTTACTCGGTTTGGCGTTAGTAAATATTTTTATTATATTATCATTATTTTTAATTTTAGTTTAAGGCCTATGTCCAGCAGTGGAGTATTAAAGGCTGATGAGTGTCACTGACAATGGCTTTGTCACTATCATGGATTTTGATTCTGATAACACAAAAAAAATTTCAGAGTTTGTCTGTCATTGTTACAAAAGTTATAAGCGCTTATAGGTGGCCCTGCCGTCCTATCCGTGTGGTGACGGATTAAGAATAAGGAGTGTCACCACCCCTGTTCATCCCGTGGGTGTCGTAAGAGCCGGCTTAGGGAGCAAACTCTGCAGGACAACAGCGCTGCGAAGAGAAGGAAAACTTGATACAAACCCTATACCAACCCCTCTGGCAGCGTGGTATAGTAGCCCAAAACCTCCTTACTAAGGAGAGGCATATGTCCAGCAGTGGACTGTTATAGGCTGTTGATGATGATGATGATGATGTTGATAGGTGGCCCTGCTGAGGTCAGTCTCCCCAGCTTGGCCACACTTATATTTCAAAAACTAGGGCACCTAGAGATCTGTTTTCTTCCAAATTTCTCAAATCAAAATGCTTTCTTAGTGGGCGCTTACAACATAAAAAGCATCAGCTGCTAAAATTTCAAGTTTGTAGGCCCCAGCTGCTCAGGGAAACGTTACTACCAAAAATAACAAATTTTCATATAAATTTCCAACCCCCTTTGATTTGAATTTGTGATAAATTCTATGCTACTAGATCCAGCGGTTTCAGCTGTGCGTTGATCGACACGTCAGTGAATCAGTCTGCCTGTTTCTTTATAGATTATTTATCGTCATACGATTCCGAGTTCTGTACAGAAGAATCTCTGTGACTTCCCGCAGATTGCCATTTCATCTTGTAACGTATCTTCCCCCTTAGGGGTCACAAGGACAGGGTTAAACCTGTCAGGATAGTTGAGGATTCAAAAAAAAAGTCGGTTGTGGTGTCCCACTACCTAATATTTATTTTCATTATCTAATACATAAACCATATCTAATACACTATGTAGCTTGAGAATACAACAAAAAAACCTAAGGTCCGTAACGACCTCTCTGAATAATAAACAAAAAAAATTGAGAGAGAAATTAGTGTCAAGAGTTAAAGTATTATAATTAGTCACTTAAATCTCTATTTACTATGCTTAAGACGGTAAGTGGTGGAGCTTGGTCGAATCAAATGTAGTACCTTGGTATCACTTATATTAAAACATAAAAGAAAAAAGAAAATGGAACTTCGGATACCGGGTGGCCACAGCCTAGAGGAGCTGGTGAACACTGGTATTAGGTGATCCGGTACCTTCAATGTCGTTTACCCGGCGGGGCAGACCATAGGTGAGGCACCGCCTCAGCGTTTCCTGAGTAAGGGCCCTGGTTTCCAGGCGTCCTCAGCCGGAAGCAATTTGTAGAGGGTAATGTTGGTAGATGCTAGGAGTCCTCGGAGCACCAGAGGTAGCAGCAGCCAGTACAAATAGGTAGGTAATTAGGTTTAAATAGTATGGGTATGCGGTATGTATGTAGTAAGGGTATGCGGTATGTATGTAGTAACGGTATGCGGGAGCACTACACAAGAGGGAAGAGAGAGAAAAAAAAACCCTTTCGGGTTTTTCCTGGTGATATCTGGTATCTAAGGCGGGTGACGCCTCAGCATCCGAGCCGATGCATTTCTGGAGGTCCTCCCCAGATCATCGGGACCGAACGTCCACTGTATCCACTCTTCGAAAAAGAAAAAAAAGTTTCCTCGCCGTCTTCGCGCCGGCAAGAGTTCATCTGACATATCTCATAGGGTTGGAATGAACGGTGTGATCCGTTGATTGAATCGATTATTGACATCGACTAATCGATTTCCCCGTATTTATACACGAAATCGCAGTCGAAAAAATATCATAAATAAAATGGAATCGTCCTTTTAAAAAAACGACGTTACAATCTCCATTTTCACAGTGAGTAATAGTGTACTATTCCTTATGCCGAACACAAACTTTGCTAAAATGAACAATAATATCTCCTCAGTGCGGATCTTCTTCGAGGTAGAAGCCGGATCTCCATCCGAGTCAAATAATACATACTCCCTAAAAAATAAAATGGTCGGTCGGGCGAAATTTAATAACTACTGAATATAAAAATAGACAGTATAAGCTACGATTTGAGGTATAATTTAAAGGGGTACTTTGGTAAACTCAAAATTAGATTGTCTAAAACATATTCACAAGCCGTTTTTTTTTTTGGTAAAATCAGACAACAGAGATGTCTTCTTTAGAATTTTATTAAACGCAGACTTGAAAAATTATATCGGTAAGTACTCATCTTCGACATGTTCTCCCATTTTTTTAGAAGTATAGAAAATAATTGAACGCAGCTAGAGCTTAAAATGCAACCGAATGAAGTTTTTATATACAAGTCGCATTACATACCACTTTGAATGCTTATTTCTTAATGATAAATGGTAGTTCATGATTATTGAATTCATGTTTGGAATCCTTATACGTTTAGGAATTATGTGTAGTTATTCATTTACCCACTCAATGGCTAGACTTTTTGGCATCTACATAGGTCGAACACGCTACTGTGCGCCGCTTCCTACTGCGCTAAGTGTTGTGGGTTCAATCACCACATGGGACACCACTTTGTGTGATCTACAAATTGTTGTTCTGAGTCTGGATGTTTTTTGTGTCTGTTTCATGTATGTTTGTAAAGCCCCCCACGACACAGGATTTATTTTAAGGCCGCACAAGGATTTTTGCTTGACCATTCACCGTCTTCACATCCAAAATCCAGAAATTTTCGTTTTTCTATTTCGCATGAATATTTTTATTATACATTTGAAGGAGCTGACTACATTCTGACTACATATGGAGCCGTGAAGTTTATTTAGGATTGAAAACATGGCACTTACGATTAGGAATTACAAATAAAATACTTTAAAAAGAAAAGTTTCTTAGTTATATTTGCTGCATTGGATATTTATACATTGGTGATCAATATAAGCGGTGTTCAAAATAAATATTTATAAAAAGACTAGTAGACTAGTAGATAGTGCTTACAAAATAAAGTGTAAATTAACTAATGAAAGAGTAAACCAGTTGGAATTTTATAACAGAACCAATAGTAATAATAATAATCTAATCGTACCAAGCCTTTTGATCATTAAATTTGTATATCTACCTACTACAAATCGACGTGAATTATATTTGAGGAAAAGCGGTTCCAACGAGATTTTTGCTTCGGTAACGGTAATTGTAAGTCACAATGTTCACATCCTTATTTCCAAGTTTCAGATTACAGTCATTGTCAACACGAGTGATAAAGCAGAGGGTATACAGCGCTAGTTCCAGTTCCGGAGATGTGCCAATGAACATGCCATTAACTGGTTTGTCCAGGCCTTGTTGATTAAAATGGAACTTCAACAAAACTCCTTTCTGTAAATACAAAAGTTTTTTTTTTAAGAATATGACAAGGAACAACAATATTTTAAATACTGAAATAAATATTAGTAACTAAAGAATTGTTATTCTGTGGCATGATCCCAGTAACGAGATTCTTATAATAGAATTAAAAGGATTCTTATACTCGTAGGTAGGTAATCGCTAACACTTAAGGGACGTAGAGGACGTCGGCGGCGATACCAGCCGTCGATGGGGCCGCAGACTGCTAGAGGGAAGTGGCAGATTAACTGCTGCGATAAGCGATAGGATGGCGGCCTGGTCGCAAAATTGTGATTTTGATTTGACGGATTGGGCCGATAGGCGGGGGAAGCCCGCAGCTTCCCCGGGATAAGACTACTCGGCGCGGCGTCGAATCGGAGGGGACCTGAAATAACAGGGTCCGGGTCCTCCTCGAAGTAGGACGCCTGAGTCCGGCCGTCGGGGTGGTTTTTAGTGGAACCACTACATACTCCTGACTCCTACATCCCCAAGGAGCCGAAGATCCGAAAGGATTTTCCAACCCATCAACAAAAAAAAAAGAAGGTAGGTAATCGCTAATACTTAAAGGTCATCAAAATCTTATAAATATTTCGACTAGCTAGTAAATGCAATGAATATACTGTTATAAAGCAAGTAGTTACTTTCAACTTGCTTGAAAATAAATAACGCACAGAATATTAGATGTATTGAACTCTATTCAATTGAGTCATTGAGTTTTTTTGCTTATACTAAATTCATTGTGTCATTGAGTTTTTTGTTTATAGAGTAAAAACTCTAATAATGAATATTATGCTGCCGTGAGAAGAATTTAAAGTAATTGCAATATAAGAAAAATCGAGGTAGAATGTAGGTTAATATTTATAGTTGGTAGTAAAATGTTATTCTTTGAAAGCTTATTGCCGTTTTAAGGCAGTATATTTGCAACTTTTAAGATATTCTTCAAGAAGTGATAAGTATTAATAGGGATTTGTAGGTGTTATGCTCTGCCGCAGAGCCACCATAATAAATACCGATCAATTATAACTTAAAATGATGTACATCAAACGCATATAATGTAACTTCTTATGCTGTTATTGTTTTACGTACACTAGGTAACAAAATGATGAGCATCGATTGTGGCTACTGGCACTTAAAATACGTACCTACCTAGTCAGGACAGATGAAAGCAACAGTTTTTTTTTGTGGCAACTGATGTATGAATATTGTTTATTGCGCACGTGTTGCATTATTAAAATGTAGTTCGGATTATTTTTATTTTACTGTTATTCTCATAGAAAATGCCTTCTTTTGTGTTACCTAGTGTACGTAGATAGAGCAATAACGGCATAAGTACATTATGTATTTTAATATATAATTGATCGGTATTTATTATGGTGGCTCTGCGGCAGAGCACGACACACGTGTAAAGTCTATAAGAAGTTAATTAACAATTTGAATATAGCAGACAATTTGTAGTACATATTACACAAACATAGTAGTAGAGTCAGTGGTTAACAGTAATACTATGTAATGTTTGGTATGTACTCACATCGTTAAGTTCAACGTATTTCATATAACCCAGGTAATTAACTCGATTGGCTGCTTCTTCCTTAGAGAAATATATCCAGTTGTGTAAACCTGCAATAACACATTTTTTTTATATAAGAGGTGCGAAATCAAAATCTTCAAAAGTAATAAAGTGAGACTATTGATTTAAGTATTGTATAGCCATTATTCGTCGTTTGAATTAGATAACAGACAGATAACTTTCCGTGTGGTGACGGATTAAGAATACAGAGTGTCACCACCCCTTTTTTTTTTCCGTGCGGAAATCCCCTCGGATACCACCTGTCGGTGGCATGTAGGACTCGAACCGACTAAAACCGCACGCCGTCTCGGGTACTAATAGCCGGGGAACCAGGTATACCCTAGAAAGGAAGTCCCTGGTACAAGTGTCACCACCCCTATTCATCCCGTGGGTGTTGTAAGAGCCGACTAAGGGAAAAATCTACGCAGGACAACAGCACTGCAGAGAGAAGGAAAACTTGACACAAACCCTAACCAACCCGTCTGGCCAGCGTGGTATAGTAGGCCAAAACCTCCTTTCTAAGGAGAGGCTTATGTCCAGCAGTGGACTATTAAAGGCTGTTGATGATGATGATGATAAATTAGATAACAGATGTTTACGGTATTGTTGATATTTTTGATATTTTTTGAAGATGTCAATTTTATTCAGTTATCAACCGGTTTATGAGCAAGGTTCGTTTAATACACCGATTATACGAAAATAATTCGCTCTGAAAAAATGCCAAACCGCGTCTCACTACGTGCTTTGCTCTCGGCAAAGTAGTAGTACAAACAGATGCAGATATCAAAATGTGGTCGCCCAAACTAAACATTATTTAAACATATGTTCAACCCCACAATCTCTACCCCGGTCCACGTTCAACGAACATGGATTTCAAAACATTGGTCATCTTTTCTATGTCCGAATTCAACCCCCAGTGGTTAGTTATCTAAAAATGAAAGTAAAGTAATGACGAGAGCAGAAGTGTATTTATTTTATTTTATAATGTTTTACAAGTATTAGTAGTCATTTAAATATAGTACCTAATGGCTTTTTGGTAAACATTGATGATAAAAAAATGTTTCTCCCTGTTTATAATTTCCCTCGCCGCCTTAGATGAGAAAGCTATTTTTCTGTTGTTTTTATAGCTATAGTCAAAGAGTAGAAACTTTTGAAAAAGGGCAGGTACTTCTTTATCAAGTGCTCTCGAATATCTAGTTTTTTTAACACCAACTGCCATTATTCCTTTTATTGTATAGGTCAGATTTCATATTTTTCATCATCATCATCATCAACAGCCTATAACAGTCCACTGCTGGACATAGGCCTCTCCTTAGAAAGGAGGTTTTGGCCTACTATACCACGCTGGCCAAACGGGTTGGTATAGGGTTTGTTTCAAGTTTTCCTTCTCTTTGCAGTGCTGTTGTCCTGCGTAGTTTGGTCCCTTAGTCGGCTCTTACGACACCCACGGGATGCATTGGGGTGGTGACATTACGTATTCTTATTCTGTCACCATTCGGACACACATATTTTTATACGACGGAAATTCTTTTAGTTTCATCACTTGCATCCTTTAAAGAAATAACTGCTTCACGATATACGCATGGAACAGTTGGCTTAAAATCTTCAGTAATTTTCGTTATACAAATAGAAACAATCTTCTTTACTTCGTTTTTCGCAATACTTGCTTGGCAACTATGCACTGTTGATTTAATTACTCTACTTTCTGTTGCCATAATAGTAACAGTTCCATGACATTTGGGCCATTTAACACAACGCCAGTAAGTAGAGTGATTCTTACATTCTTTTTTTTTGGTAATACTGATGGCTTAGAATTCACGAAATCAAAATGAAATAAACCACTACTTGTAGACGGAATATCAGCCATATTCACAAATAACAATAACTGTTACTAAAGTTATGCCCTTGTCAACAATCGAACAACTACCAATGAGAAAATAAATTCAGTTTGAAAGATTGTAGAATATTATGTATTTTATATTTTTGACTTGAGTAATGAGCTTATTTGTCTGTTCTTTTGTTGAAGTAACTTTTTTCTTTCATATCATTAACAAAAGTCACTTCAACATGCCATTTGCAATCGAGTTTGTAGGAATTAAATATTAAATACTTTTTATATTAATACTTTAAATGAGAAAACATTTTCGTGTTTTACTGTCCATTAAGGGTTGAACGTGGATTAAAAACATTAAAATTTAAATATCCATGTTCTACCCCTGAGGGGTTGAACATGGACCACATATAGGGGTTGAATATGGACAGGGGTAGATTGTGGAGGTTGAACGTGGACTAAATCGTTAGAAAAGTGTGTTATAATATTTTAGGGTTTTATAAAACGTAAATTGCTATCTTTTTTTTATGAATTGACCGATTATACTAGTAATTCGTGTAGGTAAAAGAGTGCTTACGAGTTACGAGAGATGAATGTAAGTTTATGCCAAAGATGTTTTTGAGGTTTAATGCATTTTTTTTTTATTTTTTTTTTTAAGTTTTTCCAAGCTTAGTTAACTATTTGTTGGCTACACATAACGCTCCCTTAATTTTACTATACCTTTATGTACTATACCTTTTATATTGGAATTGCAATTTCATTAACAATTTACCTTGTACTCCCCCATTCTTAATCTCTGAGAGAAACGTGTGTTCGAAGCCAGAACTGCCTAGTTTTCCTTTGCCTCGTGAATACAATGTAAACCACAGCTGCTTCACAAAATCTCTCTGTTGTTTTGGGTCAAGTGAGACCAACCCTAAAACAAAATTAAAAATTTATAACAATTAATTCGTATTATAGAGATGAGTATACTCGTACACTCAAAAAGGATATGGTGTCTACCTTTGTTTTTCAAGAAATTCATTAAATGCCTCATTACTGTCGTAGACATTACCGCATCCATAAAGTTGTTTTCTTCTATTCGCTCCTGTAAAAAATATGTTTTCAAACGAAATATTTGATATACTCTAAGTTCCATAATAAAACTGCACGGCTATGTACATCAGAGTTTAAAAATAACCCTTTAGATTGTTAGAGGAATTTTTATTCTAAGCTAAGAGTGAGTGAAGTTTAAAATTAAAGAAATTCGTATTGTATTGTAAGAACAAAATAAATATAGAATCGTAATATAGCAAGGGATTATTATTACTCTTTCACCATTCTGAAATCCAAATCCTTCGCCATTTACAAGAAGTTCGTGCCTTGCATACGGCAAGGCACGAACAGCGGCAAACGGTGGGCACATAATATATGTTTTTCTTTTTTTTTATATGCTTGATAAATACCTACTAGAAATTGGATTTAGTATACGTACCTGTGGCGTAACATGTTCATTAACCAACGAGTCAAGTTCGTAATTGTCCAATAATGGAACAAACTTTTGTATAGTTGGAATATTCCACACTTCAGGTGATATAGTTAGCAACCTGTAAAACAATATTGACATTTTCATAAAAGTCCACAAATGAGTCGGTTTATAATGTATCAGATGGTAATGCAGGTCCACTAATACAAAACACCACGGCTAATCAATCATCGTCATAGCATATCTTATGTTCATGTTACATTTGGACGCTATAATGGCTCAAACATACATAGACAATTTGAATGCTTTGCCTATCTAGCTACCTATTTCTACCCACTCAATATGTGCTACTATTAAGGTATGGAGATGAAACATTCCTGAGACTCATTTCTTAGGTAGGTGGAATCGCTCAAAATTGTTACAGAATAGGGCCATATGAAACTACATGCTGTATATTTTCAGGCAACAATTTCAATATTATCGGTTCCTTCAGGATGATGTTAACGGTAACGAAATTTTTTTTACACGATGGCAAAAAAGTGTTATGTTTTTAAGGTTAATAATTTGAAGTGTTGAAGGATAGTGCATCTTGTATGGGCAATCCGAAAGTATCCAACAAAAAGCAGTAAAAATTAGTTCCAAAAACCGACACGGAAATAAACACGGATCGAAAGATGTTGTGGCATATTCGTATAGCTTTAAAAAATGTAAAAAATACTGTGAAACCGAGTTTTACTGACAGTAAGAGCGGTTTCGCAATACGTTCGATCAGAATCATGTCAGATGCATACAATATACATCTTTCGATCCGTGTTTATTTCTGATAACTTTTGGCAGTTTTTAAAAACCCTGCTGCTGTAACTGTAGCGCATCCCTTGTTTATCGAATACTTTTGGGATTACCTTTTCACACACGCGTGAAGATGGTTCTTCTTGCCTCTACTCTCCGTACTTAATATCTATGTATGTGTACGTGTTTCATTTTGCGCATAACTCCTGAATGACTAAACCGTCTAGTAAAAATATTAAAATGTATGTAATGGCGTTTCCTTATAAATCTTAGATAATCCCGATTTTATTTATTTTTCATCTTCGGGATCAATAGAGTTTCTTGTCTAAAATGAGAAGTATATTTTTTATTTTGTACTAGTATTTCGCCTATATCGTCCACTATATTAACCTAGTACTGCTATCACGATAAGTGAACCGTTTGAACTATCGTATCTGTTTTACTGATAGTATTACTAATTCTTCTACAAATCATTAGCTATATTAAACGTTAATATTTTTAACATAATGATTTGAGTGTCCTAGTCTAAGAATTTTAATAATAATATTTAATTGTATATTCTCATAATAATTCTAATTATATAATTCTATAATAATTATTATAATTTTAATAATAAAAATATACTCAGGTAATGTGACGTGGTTTTCCAATATGAGTACATAAGAGGTATACCAATAATTGGCAGGTTTCTCTAACCGATTCCTTCACCTTACTCCACATAAATCAATTAGTAAAAAAACCTAAAGATATAACTTAAGGTTAAAGTTTTACTTACGGTTGTTGTGCCTTATCCTCCGTTGATTGTGACGTCGTCTTTTCTTGATAGTTAACTGTTATGTATCGAGCTGCATTATTAGTATCTTTTCTCAGTAATTCTTCGCTAAGAACCTGCAATTCAGCATCAGTTACAGCGTTCGTGCTATTGGATGTGGCAGGACGATTATTGTTCACAATAGAACTTGGCAGAACTGGTGTTCCTGGTCGAGATCCGGGTGAACTAGGAGCACGTATTGGTTTAGCAGTCGTCACGGTTCGAGTTCCAGATGTAGTGGGCTTATTTTGTCCTGTTACGATGGAACTAAAACTCATAGGTTTTGTAGGCTGTATTGGAGAAGTTGTTGGTATCGATTGTGTAAATTTTGTCGATGAACTTATAGTGTTTTTATTTGTAGGACCTTGCAGAATTGAACTGTAACTGGGTGAGCCTTGATTTGGTGTTTTATTATCGTAGTAATTAACAAGATCTTTTACTTTATTGCCAGTTGCTTGAGAACTTTGCTGGTTATTTTGTGTTGGATGATTATTTTGCACTGGCTTAAGTGCCGGAAATTGAGGCGCAATATAATCTCTATTACTGCTTGAAGATTGGGGACTACGTGGTGGCCCAGAATTGACACTCGCCGTGGTTGGTTTCGGAGTCGCCTGCTGGTTACTTTGAACAGGTTTCAAGGTGGGAAATTGGGGCGCAACATAGTCTCTTTTACCAGTCGAGGATTGTGGATTACGTTGTGGTCCAGGATTGACACTGGCTGTGGTTGTAGTGGTTTTCGGAGTTGCCGGCTGGTTAGTTTGATGACTTGTTGATGTTGATTTTGGTGTAACTTGAGGTCCTAATGCTGGAAATTGGTTGGAGTTAGGAGACTGGCCGAAAGTATCTGAATTAACGTAATCTCGTTTGGTTCCAGTCGTTTGTGCTCCTCCTTCATGCAGTAGGAAATCTGTATTAAGCCGTTGTCTGTTATATTCTAGGGCTGTAAAAAAATATTAATTAGTCATCTTATACTGGAATCGCAATAAGGCAACCGTCAAACTGAAAGTAATCATAAAAGTTATCGGATACGAAGGTAAATTTATCCAAAGGAATATTTCGAACACAATCAAGTAATACCCACTAATCTAGCCTTTTGACTTTCGGTACAATGCTGTGGCTCATCATCATCATCATACTTTAAGTTCTCTAACAGCTACACATTTCGAAAAACGAGTTTCAACATCAAACGTATTAATGTAAGTAGGCAAGCACCTGAAAACGTTTACCGTATAAGGCTTGATATAATGCAATCTCTTCTTTTTAATATTCATTATATTTAAAATTCAACAAATTAATGAAATGGTTAAGTAACTGTTTTTTTTTACTTTAACGTAATTATTACCTACATTCAAATGAATATTCTCCATAACTGAATTTGCAAATTTCATCTCGTTTACTTAGAATTATTACAATGCACTTGTAGAAACTTCCAAACCATTGAAGCTTAAATATCATAACACAGACACTACAACACGGCCGCTTTGCCCCCGCATTTTAAACTTCTAATATTTTTTAAATACTTATTCATTTTAATGATGTGCTGTAATGTAAAATAATGTAAATTAATCTACATTAAATGCACAAGGTATCCAACGTATTTAATGGGATAAGGAATAATCGTGTTTTTTTTTTAATAGCTACGTAAATAACCCTTTTTTTGTAATATTTAAAAGATAAAAATGGTTACAGTTTGTTATCCTTAGGAGATAGACATACACCATCGCGTTTTATTGTTTTTATTGTATTTATTGCATTTATTGTAGATCTAAAATATACAATTCCGAGGTACATTATTTGGGTCTATCTCGTAACGATTAGCCAGCGTTTGCAATTTAAACGCGCTATGTTTTTTAGACAAATCTTTGAAATTCTAGGATTTTCTCTACTATAATATGTGTGATCTATACATATAAACCTTTCTTTTGAAAAACTCTGTCTATTTGTCTTTCTCTGTCTACAAGAAACACAGATTAGAAACCTTAATTTTTTTAATTATCATACGTTATAAGCTTCGATTTCGAAGCCGCTTTCCCTAGCTTTGTCTTGATGAGAGCCGACGACAAATTATCTTGTTCTAAAACATATCATATGTAAGCGAGTAGCTACGTAGTAGGTAACAAAACCTATAGGTATATCTCAAAATCACTAAAAAAAACATAAGTTATACGTATAAACCTTTAAACATTTACTCTTAACATTAAGTAAAAAGTTTTCTTATTATTAAACTTAAAGAAGTCGCCTCGTAAAATTTAAATTTGGCGGGATAAGATTCTTGACCTTAGTAAGTTACCTACTCATAACAAGTTGGCTGATTTAGAATCCTAAGGTCCTATAGACCTTACGCAATAACACAAACAGCTATTTTTTTATAAATTTGTCTTAAATTTGATACACTGACATTATCAAAATATATATGAAGTCTTATAAGGAACAAATTAATAAAACAATAGCTTACCTGAGTAACCCTTAAATATAAACAAAAGTCCACAAATAAACACAGGCCACTTATTCATTTTCTATGTTTTTAGCACAATAATGTTGCGTTTATATAGTCTGTAACAGACACTGGATATGTGACTAGATATAATGAGTAGGTAATATAAATATTCAACACGTAAATCTTAAGTAACTTGCTCTTCGTTCATGTAGCTAGTAGCTACAGTGCGTGAACTGTCAGGAACAGCTTAAAATAAGTAAACATCTGTGTCAATCTCGCCGAGAGAACGAATGAGCAGAATTGTATCACGGTCATTCTAAAATCGCACGTTACTGCTTACGGTTACGGTACATTATTGGAGATTTTAAAACTCAACAACAAAACAGTGCATTTGAGAATCGTCATGATGAAGTCATTGTGTTTATGTACTTTCTATTCGGTTCCTACAAAGGATCCGAATTAAAAATATTCATTTTAATTTTATAAGTAGGTATGTTTAGTATTTATAGAATCGAAGTAATTAAGTTTTAAACATAAAATATTCACATTCATCAATTATTATTTTTCTAGTAAGTAGGCATGTATATCAAATTGATAAACGAACGTTAAACCATGTAGATAAACGGCATGCACAATGGCGTTGCACTTGCAAAGGGTGAAATTTGTTTGATTTACATGTCTAAATATTATGTGGTTGTGATTTTATTCCATCCCTACTTGATACAAAAATAGTTTACTTAAAGTTTTGTTTATTTACCGATGCAAAGTTCCAACACGATTTTTTTCCTTTGCAGCCGATTGATTTTTACACGTTTTTAAGACTTACGCATAGCAATGTTAGTCACAATTTCGACATTCGGTCACTAAGAATTTAGCTGACCGACTAGTCTGACTGACTGACAGAATGCGTTTCTGCTGGCCGCAGAGGCGGATTAAGTATCAACAGCGCCCTAGGCAAGCATTTCATCTGCGCCCCTGCACCTCACTATATTATATTTACCGTACTACGAGTATACTTGAGTATAATTGATGTTACTGAATTTAAATATGTGGTAGTAATTACTCCAAAATTTAGTTAGCGTTTCTTTACAAATCCTTTTTGTTCGTGTGGCAACTCTCTGAGGCCGTGGGGTTTTCGGTGGGCGGTGTATCGGAATCGGAGTGCCTTAGGGCGGTTTCTCACTACATCCGATCCAAACCCGCGAGATATGGATATAGAAATCTCGGGCTGAGTTCGGACATTGCTTTTCGCACTCCCTCCAACATGAAATCCGTAATTACGGATTTGGAAGGCTGACTGACTGACTGAATATGTAAATTGAATTATGTCATGACTGAATACGCACTATTGTGATCTCTGACTCTAATCCAAGCATTTTAGGGGTCACCTTTTAGCATACGTCATTTCACGCAGAGCGTTCACGTCGTTGATCATGATCCTTTCCATCGGCGTCAACTTCTTGAAATGCTTTTGTACGTACGAACGACACAGAACAAGTAAAAATAATTCTAAAGTAAAAATAAAGTAAAGTGAAGTAAAAATAATAGAATGGTTAGTTTGGTCCGTCAATAATCTTCCCCGGAGTCGAGATTCATGGATTACATAAAGAAATCGTATAACGGCAGTCGGATTTAGTGCTTAAACTACCATAGAAATATTTCTACGACTACTTCGGACTGTATTTTCACGGATTCGGATCGGATTCCGATTGGATATAGAGCGAAACCGCTCTCAGGAGCTGTGCCACATGGAATGCCCTACGCTGGTGGCAAAATCGGATCCAAGTGTTTGACGGCGGGTAACAAAGGCCTCTCTCCAAAGACTGCAATGAGAGCCCGATGCTGCATGTGCTGAACCGAGTCCTCATGGTTGTCGCAGTGGGGACAGGCGAGACTCAATTCCCTTGTAGCGACTGAATGCAGGTACTTACCGAAGCAGCCGTGCCCGGAAAGTCCCTGCATCAGTGGGAAGGAAAGGGAAACGTGCTGCAGCCCTGGCTACTCGAAAACAATGGGCTGGAGCGCCTCCACGGTGGCAAAGCCAGTACGTCTAGTCTTGGCTACCATCTAATCAACGTGGCACGGCGAGCGCCCTTACGCCACTCCCGTACCTCTTCGGGCGCGGGCCGACCCGAAACTCAGCCGTCACTTTATCAAGCACTTCCGCGGCCAAATTCCACGAAGAGTTTCAACCAACGCTCACGCCGCGCCGTCTACGTCGACACGGTGTGGCAACCGCGTATGGCTCTTACCGCCAACACCCTCTGCGGCGGCCAGAAGCGCGCTCTATTCTGGGCGATCAGAGCCTCCGCCTACACCGCTAAGCTCAGTAACCTCAACTACAACTGCTGTTGTAGCAAATACATTTTTGGGTACACGCACTAGTCACAGTCTTCGCGCGTATCAGAGAAGTAAAGCAAAGAAGTAGTGGCAATAACGTAATATACCTAAACGCTAGATGACAAACTTTAACAACTCAATAGAATTAAAGAATCGATTATATCGTGTTAGAAGGTGACACAATTCATTTTATTTCAGGCGAATACACTTCTGTGAGTTAACTTTTTCAATAAGTCTTTTAATAATTTAATTTAATAATTTCAATAAGTAATTTTTCGTCAACATTTAAAAGTCAGAGGGCTTGAAATGATCTGAGCAACTGACTCTGATTCTTGTAAGCATCCAGGCATCCAATGTATAAGTGTTTACAAAAGTTCTTCGATATAACCCTTAAACTGGGATCTTTAGGAAACCTGCAATAAATAAATAAAAACAATGTGGTCGTAGTTCACACTTAGTAATTTTATTATAATGTGTTAATACATTAGTATTGTATTATATTTGATTGGCAGAATTTGAATATTAAAGTATATTAAATTAATACCAACAATCCACATAATTTTATTATTTATTTCAGAAAACATAATCTCAAAAATGATAATATGCACGAGAGACAAGGATATATTTTACAAACCGGTAATAACACTATCGCTCGGTGATAGCGATTAGCAACACGACACTCGGATCGGTCGAGAGACCGATCCGAATATTGTATGAGAGGTACCTTGTCGGTGGCATGTCGGACTCGAACCGACTAAAACCGCACGCCTTCGCCGGGTACTAATAGCCGGGGAACCAGGTATACCCCAGAAAGGAAGTCCCTGGTGCCCCGACATACCTCGGGTCATCTACAGACGAGTAGACGACCCCCCCCCCCGTGTGGGAACCCCATGTTCCCTGTGCTCCCTGGAAGCGAGCGCGCTTCGCAACGCGCTCGCCGCCACCCCGGCCTGCTTCTGCTAGGGTGACAGATGGCCTCACCTGTCACCCCCAGGCCTGCGCTTATGGAGGACGGAGGTCGTTCTGCGACCTCCGGCGCCTGAGTCGCCTGCGCTGCCTGGCCCGTGCCCGGGCCTGGCGGGCCGGGAGAGTTCTAAACCTCTCCCGGTCCCGCTCCGCCGTCTCCTTCGCGAGCATAACTTACTCGCAGAAGGAGACGGCAGAGTTCCACGCACTCTCGCTCCGCACGATAGCCGCAATCAGGCTATCGAGCGAGAGAACTCCCACTCCGATGGCCGCCACGAGGTCTCGCCTCTGCTCAACCCACGCCGGGCACTCTGCCAGCGTGTGAAGAGCCGTGTCCACGGTCTGGCCATCGCAGTAGTGGCACTCAGGCGTTGGCTCCTTGTGGATCAGACACAGGTGATCTCCGAAACATCCCTTCCCAGTGATCACCTGCGTCAATCGGTATGAGAGGGTCCCGTGACGCCTCTCGAGCCAATCCTCCATAACGGGTCTTACCGCCGCAATGACGGCGTGCCCAGCGCTCGGTTGCCCGAGTCGTTCCCTCCACTCCCCTATGATGACCTGGCGGAGTTGGGATTTCCGGTCATCGATTTCTCGAATCTCGGGGCATCGACCCAACTCCTGCGCCTCCTTGCGCCACTGATACAGTGCCGCAAGGGCTCTCGCCTCCAGGTCCCACGGTGGAGTTCCGGCCAGGAGACTCGCTGCCTCAAAGGAGATCGTGCGGTACCCCCTTATGATCCTGATGGCCAGCATTCGCTGCGGTCGTCGCAGTATCGCGACGTTGCTGGCCTTCAGGGCCCCCGCCTGTATGAGAGGTACCTATTGGTAAACAATTAATCCAAACAATATAAATGTTATTTTCGTAAACGTTAAGTTTAAACATGAGTAAATAGTAATAATTTGATTAAAAATTACTTACATATAAAAGGTAACGCCATCTTTTTGTAAACTTGACGTGGCAGATCTCTTATAGAAGCAGAAAACTGAACGATTTGGCGTTTTTTTTTTTAGAGCAGCTACTGTCGTCTACTCAGCGGCGTGACACTAGATTTAGTCCAGTCGCATGTTAATACAAAATATTATTAAGAATGGGTTTATTAAAAAAGAAAAGCATTTGGTATTTCACTTAATATCCAAGAATGTATTGTCAATCTGAGGCTGCTTTGATCCTATTATATTCATAACTGTCGTATTTACACTTGGTGATAAAGGAACGAGGTGATGTCTCTTTATATATTATGTCTTATAGAATTAGTGTGTATTATTATTAGATGATGATAGAATTAGTTACATTTCCCCTTGTTTTCACAACAATTAAACATAGTTTACGTTTCACTCTATCAGGCGTTTTTATAAAATTAGGCACTTGACTTTATAGGCAGTGCCATTTTAGGAATTAGGTTTGCTATTTAAAGCAACACAACGAAACACTGAATGAGATAATAAAATTGTCGTAGTTATAGATATTCACAATTTCTCATCCTACACACATGAATTCTTATAGATACGTACACGACACGTGCTTATAGTTTATTTCGCGTCATTTTTCTATCCGCCGTGGCCCAGCAAACACCAAAAAAAAATTATTTATTTTTTAAATTAAGATGTAAAGTATCGTTTTTTTTCTATATTTGTAAAATAAACCAAAATTCTTACTTAGATTGCCCGCCCAATATTAACATACCTACCACTATCCGCTATTTTATAGATTTAAATCGATACGTAATCAGTTCGCATGGTTCGATCCGATCCGAAAAACGCTTGGATCGTATGCCCATGATACGATCGGATCGGCGCATCACTACTACTTCGGCATTTTAGTTGAATATTTATTCATATCTATATCTTATTATTAGTAAAGTCTCCGTTAAATAATTCCTTTTGCCTCACTGTCACGGCGAATCTCGGTTATATTAAGGAGCCTACTACTGGCTACTACATTTCAGCCGTGATTTTGACATAAAACTGTTGTCTTTGGCGTTCTTGTTTTGAGATCTATAAAACTTTAATAACTTTATCTTTTTGAAAGATGTAGTAGGTTATATTTTCTTTCTTTTTATTATTATGGTCACGCAGACAAAGTCAAAATTCTTTTTAGCTGCAAACCAAATTTTTATGAGTGTAAGATATATTATGTTTACGTAACAATACAAAAATATTAACCTAAACCTTTTACCTTATAAAGAAGATACAAGGGCGGGTCAATAAGTCCGTGACTTTTTGAATTTCTGACCTCTTTACTGAAAAAGCAACACTACTCCTGTCAACAGGCATCTGTCAGTTGACTCCTGTCAAAATTTGAACTTGCTGCGTCAGTTAGTTTGTGTTTGACAGCTATCTTTATCAGACTACCCAGTAATTTGAGGAAAAATGGAAAAAAGTGAATTTCGTGTGCTTATTAAGCATTATTTTTTGCGAAAAAAAAACCATTACCGAGACCAAGGCTAAGCTTGATAAATACTATGGGGACTCTGCACCATCGATTTCAATGGTAAAAAAGTGGTTTACTGAATTTCGTTGTGGCCGTACAAGCACTGAAGATGCCGAACGTCCTGGACGCCCAGTTGAGGTCTCTTCACCCGAAACAATCGAAAAAATTCACGATATGGTGTTGGCCGACCGAAGTTTGAAAGTGCAAGAGATTGTGGAAGCCGTAGGGATCTCGCATGGCTCAGTGGTTTCAATTTTGAATGATCACTTGGGCATGAGAAAGCTTTCCGCAAGATGGGTGCCGCGATTGCTCACAGTCGACCACAAACGCAATCGTGTAACAACTTCACAGGAAGGTTTGGCGCTGTTTAATCGCAATATGGAGTAGTTTTTGCGCCGTTTTGTAACCGTGGACGAAACATGGATCCATCACAACACACCAGAGACCAAACAACAGTCAAAACAGTGGGTTTCTAAGGGTGAACCGGCGCCAAAGAAGGCCAAGGTGGGTTTGTCAGCCAATAAAGTTATGGCGACTGTCTTTTGGGATGCACGCGGGATAATCCACATTGACTACCTTCAAAAGGGAAGAACAATCAATGGGGAATATCAAGCCAACTTATTGGACCGATTCAATGACGATTTGAAAAAAAACCGACCTCATTTGGCCAAGAAAAAAGTTCTTTTCCACCAAGACAATGCAAGGGTGCACACATGTGCAGTTGCCATGGCAAAAATCCATGAATTGCTCCCTCATCCACCCTATTCTCCAGATTTGGCTCCTAGTGACTACTTCTTGTTCCCAAACCTGAAGAAATGGCTTGGTGGAAAAAGATTTGACTCCAAGGATGAAGTCATCTCGCAAACAAAGGCCTATTTTGAGGACCTCGACAAATCATATTTTTTGGAAGGGATAAAAAAATTGGAGAAGCGTTGGACAAAGTGTATAGAGCTCAAGGGAGACTATGTTGAAAAATAAAATGATTTATTTATCAAAAAATCTGTGTTTTATTCCAAAAGTCACGGACTTATTGACCCGCCCTCGTATATTCAAGAAGCCACAAGATTACATCCAGCCTTCGATGAGATATCGGAGACTTGTACTCCATAGTGGATGGGATTTAGGTTACCACTTTTCAATCTGGCCCCCCAAGTTTAATAAATGTAATAATAATAATCTTTATTTACCAGATGGGACGACACTTTGTGTGATCCGCAATTTGTTGTTCTGAGTCTGGGTGTTCTTTGTATCCGTTTTATGTATGTTTGTAAAGTTCTCCGCGACACACGATATATTCCTAATGCGGGAGATGTCTTTAAAAAAAAGTAAAAAAATGCTTAGTTCTTAGTTACTGTTGATATAATCTGTACTAAAATAATAAAGGCTATCTCTTGAACTAAGTGTATTGTAAGAGCTAGTGTCCGGCTATCAGTTTACACTAAAAGAATCATAAAACAGGTTGGAGAGCAGTGTTGATCTTTCAGTTTATGAGGACATCAGCTTTCGCGGCTGTTGCTCAATTTAAGGAGGCCCGACACCTCCTGTAGGAGGCTCTACGAGGGTGTCGCGTGGTCCATGGCCCCATATAGGGGACATCCTATATTTGGGCTGCGACCCTGATGACACGACCCGCAAAGCCGCCAAATTGCGGTGACCTCAACGAGCGATGGTCGTCAGAGTCGTACAGGGGATACCGCGGGGGATCTACGCCATCATGGTACCTTGAGGGAAATATGGTTGCGTCGTTATATCAATGGCTCAAAGAGTAAGACCTGAGACCCTCTCTTCAGGAAATGGAGCTGCAAAGGTCTCAGCTCTGTCAGCCTCCAATGGCGACGTGGAAAGACTGACTTCGGCGACCGAATGCAGGGCACACAACAACTTCGGCCACCATGGAGGATTGGCTCGAGAGGCAGCATGGTAGCCTCTACTAACGGTTGATTCAGGTACTTTATTACCGGCCACTGCTGTAATGTAAACACATTCTAAGCACATGTGCCGTATAGGCCGGAAGTCAACGTTTGCGTGTCATCACTGTGGAGGCTGTCGCGAGTACCTATACTGCACTCTACACTCTAGCGAAGTGCTCAGCGTGGACACAACAACGCTTCCACCTCGCAGTGGCTATTTGCTTAGGAAGGCTTTCGCTGGAGACCATAGTTCTGCCCATGGTTCAAAGTGAGAGTGCGTGAGATTATGCCCTTTTGTTAGTGATTAAGTGATGTCCACTTAAGAAACGGCGGGAAGGGAACGGGAGAGGGCCAGTACTTTCCGTCCGTCCCGAAGAAGATGCATCAGGCTCCGGAGAGCGCATAACAATCTCCGGCCTCCATGACCGCTGGTCTGCAGCAGGCCCGAGACGGTGGCAAGACGTGTTCAGCGCGCGCCTCTCTAAATTTGAAGGAGGCCAAGGCCCTCTGTGCTCAATGGTGATGCTGCCTACGGCGGCCATAGTCTGTCGGGGTTTTCGGGGACTTCCTTCCTAGGGTATATCCAAATCCCTTACAGTAGGTTTTAGACATAACAATGTGTCGAAACACCGTCACCATCATATCATTTTATCGTGAGCTCCGGTGAGGTAATGTTCCATAGGGGTTTCCATACAGAAAACAAGAAGACGTCAAAATAATTAATAAAAATAATGGTAACTTCTGGAAACTATTATATTTTTAATTAAGCTGATTGAATAAAAATAATGAATCTAATTTCAATTTATAAGCATGAAATTCTAATCTAAAGTGCGGTTACTAAAACAACTTTCCACATATTATTGTGTTACATTGACGATAATTGCGTCTACACAACTCTAGTGTCATTTTAACAATTTGATCGTTAAATTTCCGTCAAATTTAATGGTGTAAATTACAGATGTTATTGTTTTCTTTTTGTTTGCTTATTCATTTCATAGAAATATAAACAGTAGTAATTATTATGAAAAGTAACTTAAATTCTATCGAAAATGCTATTCATTTTAGTGTATGGAGTATAGCTTGTCTTTATTCTTTGTATGAATTGATTAGAGCACAAACTGGTAAATAGGTAAATTGTTTATTTATGGATTAGTAAAGAGTTAATGTAGGTTTATTCTACCTCATATTTATTATTTCAGATGTACTGGGAGGCTTCAATAATTTAGAATACCCATTGAGAGATTTAAATTCAGGATGGAGATTTATTAGAAGACTGAAAGATGAGTCTGATGTTGAATGGAGTACATGGAAATATCTGATACGAACTACATGGTTCTTTCTTTTATTTCAATTTTTTATATCAGAAACTTTACGAAGAAGTTACATTACCACACTGAAATATTGGTATATTATTTCAAGTGTAATTTTCATTGTCTATTACATGGGTATCAAACAGTTATCAATCATTATTTTCCAGCCTCTAATATTTTGGTTGATAATTTTCTTTGGAGGTAAAAAAGTTAGTATATGGCTGACAGGCATAGCCTTACTAGCTGGTTATAATTCACTAAAGTATAAATATTACTTTTGGTATTTTATGGACAGTGAAAGCGATGAAGAAGTTTTTGTAATGTTGTATGCAGTTGCATGGGTTGAAATAAGATGTATTACTTTTTGTCTAGATTATGTTGATAAAGTAGAAAAATTGGAATTTGCTGAAAATGAAAAATATGTTGAATTATCAGCATCTAAACAATTTGTCAATATGTTCAGTTATGTTTTGTACCTCCCAGTATTATTTGTTGGACCTATTATTGATTATGAGGCATTTGAGAACAGTTTTCAAGTACAAAACCAAAACTTGAGAGACAGACTTAAAAGATTCATTTGGAATATGGCATTATATGCAATTTATACACTGCTCCTGGAATTTGCCTTTCACTACATATATTTTATTGCAATGCAGAGTAATTTAAAGGTAAAATATTGACCATTTAATTTGAGTAGAGTTAATTGAGTATTTAATTGAAACAATATTGCTATTCTATTTTAGGTTATTACTTTGTTGCCATCTTCAGCCCTATGCGGAGGTGGATTATGGATGGGTTTAGAATTTCATCTAAAATATGTCATATCATACGGAACTACTACATCTTTTGCGAGACTAGATAACATTGACCCACCTCCAACACCGAGATGCATAGCCAGAATTCATGTGTATTCACAAATGTGGAGGTATTTTGATGTTGGTCTGTACAGATTTTTATTCAAGTGAGTAAATAAAAATAATGAAACTTCTGTCTATATGTATGTACTAGTATACACTTCAAATAGTTTATCAATTGTTTCCAGTCCATTCTAAGGTTTCCCATATGAGATTGCTTCATGCATGCAATAAGGATGCAAGGATGCAGCATTTATCCAGCCATTAACCATTTCTTTATACTATGGGGTGCAAGTGAGCAGAAGGGTCACCTGATAACAAGTGACTACCGCCCATAGCCACATAAAACTCTAGTCTATTGTCACTGCCATACATCTGCTGTTACATATTCACTGTAAAGCAGTCCTAACTAATCTTACTATAATGTTATGCATTTTTTTAAAACTTTTTTCCTTTTCAGATATATATACACACCAGTATACAACACAATTAAATATTATGTGACAATGAACAAGATGATTTACAAGTTGATATCATCACTTGTAACATTTATGTTCATCTTTACATGGCATGGTACTACCTGGAGTATATTTATTTGGTCTATTTTAAATTATTTTGGTATTGTATTGGAATATACCGGTAAAGCTGTTGGAAAAACAAAGAAATATATACAGTTCAAGCAAAGTGTTTTAAAGACAGATGCAATGGAAACACGTTTTACAGCTTTTTTGTGTACACCTTTACTAGGTTTATCAGCGATATCAAATTTTTATTTATTTGCAGGTACTGATATAGGAAATTTATATTTTGGGTTATTTAAGTCTCCATCTTTGTATAACTGTGCAATGGCTTACATTGCTTTGTACTGTTGTTGTCATGTTGCTATTGCTCTTAAAAATGTGCCCTCTAGAACAGATGTAAAGGAAATAGACAGTAAGACTGTATTCCACCTACACATAGACTGAAAATCAATTTGATTTCAAAAAACAATTAAAAAAATAATTGCATTTGGTGTAAGTACTAATTGCCCTGGGTTTGCTGTTGTGATCGACTGAAATAAATATTTCATACATATAAACATAACTGTTGATGTCAGTTTACATTGTTAGTATGTATGTAATTAATATAATGACCTAAATCTAGGTTTCTTTCGAAACTATAAAATGATGTGATGTTTTGATAAGTGAATGATAATTCATTAAACTCAACGTATCTATAAAAAAATCTGTTTACTTTTTATGAAACTATAAGTAGTAGTCTAGTCACATTGTTGATGATCCCAAATAAAGCTCTAGTAATCTATTAAAGTTAAAAAGGGATCCAACACAATTAAGTTTAGGGGTATTGGTTTGGGCTCCGATTGCCGCATTCAGACTCGAGAGTGGTCCTTTATGCGTCTAGAAAAGATTGGCTAGGTGAGCTAACCAAGCTCCTTCCGAAAGCGCAGAAGCCTCCTGGCTTCTAGTTCTTTGTACCGAGTATGGTACTAGCCTGTTGTGTGGCACTCCCTCGCATTCCAGGATTACGTGGGCGGTCGTTTCTTCTGCTTTCAGGTAACCTCTGCAAAATGGTCTGTCTGTCGCATTAATGGTGAATAGTTGTCGGTTCAGGGCAAGGTCTCCTGTTATGGTTCCTACAACTATTTTATTATCTAGTTATATCTGCTAAGACTAATCAGTCTGCAGGTAAGTCGTGGCGAGACTTCAGTCACCACCAGTTTCTACTGTCTGCAGCTGGGTGAGGTTTTCCACCTTCGGTTGCGTGAGGTTTTCCACCTTCGGTTGCGTGCTGCACGAGTACGCTGTCTAGCCTAGGATCGAAGTTGGTAGGCAGTGGCAGGAGTGCGGTTGGGCCGTTGGCCGAGGTTGCCGAGCCCACCTTGCCAGGTCATCTGCAGCGCCATTCCCGTGTGAATTACTATGCCCTTTAACCCATTGGAGGAGTTTTGGGAAAACTCCGGCTCCAGTTTCTGACCCAGTCTTGGAACCGTCACGTCGGTCTAAATGCGGACTTGGTTTATACTAGATTGATCTCGGTCATATTCTTGTGTCAGAATGTGGTATCTCTTTGTTAAGATATGGTGTTTTGGGATCCTGTCGCCTAGGTTCCTTTTTAGCTTAAAACTCAAAGTTAAATAGGCATCCGATAAAATGTACACATTACAAATATTAAGTTTAGGGGTACAGCAATAATTAGCAGCTGAGCTAAAATCTTGGGCAACTTGGATTGGTATTGGTACGTCTTTATTAGGCAATTATAAAAATATAATAGGCAATAGGCATAGGTAGGTAGGTAGACAAACTCGAACACAATTATTTGGTTCCTATAAAAACCTCGGCTCCTGAGCAAATGCTCTAAAACATAAATATCATTCACACCGATAAAATATATCACTTACTCAAACCAGCTCTGAATGTATCAGTAACTCAGTTCTAGGATCACCAGCTCAACGACGCTGATCTTTGTTTCATTAGCGAATGAGACTAAAGATAAATGTGTTATATAGATGATGGTTGAGTTCACGCTTTTGTAGTTTCTTTAAGGAAAATGTACATTATTTCTATCAAAGTTAATTGGAACGAAGTTCCTTATCGCGCGTTGTGAAAGGGGGCTAGACGGAAAAAAATCCCACGAAAAGTTGTAACGACACTTTTTATGTCAGTCATTCAGCGCCATCTATCGAATAGATAGGAAATCATTTCTCAGGGAGATTTTACCAATGTATAAATTGTTTTAATTAGAAACCAACTGAAAAATATGTAGGTAATAGCCGCTTTCATAGATGGCGTTGTAATTAAAATCGTGTCGAATCAGTTTTACTCGATCGTCACAACCTGGTTCCTATCGGGTATCCCACGACACCACTCGGCTTTTTTTTTAAACTTAATTTTTATTTGATAATTAAGCCTGCCAAGCATGAAGGAAAATCAAATTCTAATATAAAACCTAAAAACATATTATTATACATATTTCTTATTTTGAATTATTTTATAAAAGGGTATTATCCTGTATCCGGTAATATTTATATAATCTTGTCAAGATAAATAAAAATTGAATAATAAATTAATAAAAAAAAGGGTAAAAATGAAGTTCCAAGACCAACCTTTTTTATTCTCATACTAACCTAAATTCAGTTTAGGTTAGTATGAGAATAAAAAAGGTTTGTATGAGCAAGTGAGGTTTGAAGTGAGTGATATACTCGTATACCAAACTTAACGATCTAGACGAAGAAATGAATTAATTGACAGACCAATCAATAAAATTGGGCTAGTGAGCCAGATATATATATATCACTCGTATATATCTTTAGAGCGAATTGATATGTATCTATCTTTTCAGCTCAGTAATACGTTTTGCGCAAGACTAGTAGGTACAGTTAATATCAGAGAGGAGAAAAGTACACAACACGCTTTTGGAAAAATGTTATTAGTACAAAATTCAACAATATCTTCATTTTCACAACTTATTTTATAAATTAATTGTGTCCACCGTTACAGGGTTTTCAGCCGAAACCGAAATCGAACTTTCGGTCCTTGTTTTAAGTTTCGACCGAAACCGAAACTCAAACTATAATTTTAAAATTTCGACTGTATACTGAAATCTAGTGTATTTTTTGCCCTTTATGTGCTTATACGAGTACCTACATACCACCTAAAATCACTGTAATAGGGTAGACACATGACATAAATTCTAGATAAGAGAATATGTATTCAGGTATGTATATAAAAAATATAGCTAGGTACCAAATACTAGAAATTCACGATAGGCGTTTAAGGATGGGGTGAGGCTGCTGACTAGGTATTTTGAACGGACTATACGCTTTTTCTATTCACTATAAGGGTGAAATTTAAACAACTGAAGATTACACGCAGTATAAGTTTTTTTGGAGGTTAAAAATGGTAAAATAGGGGTATAAACAAATAAATCTAAGGGTCGTATTACGAAATGATACTCATAACTCCAGAAACGCTGGAGGTTAGTTTTCGCCTTATAAAACTACGCTTAAGTTTGAGAAACGTGTAATACGGCCTAAGTAATATCTAAATCGAACATAATCCCTTTTGTGTCACTAATATATAAATTAAACTCAACAAAACTAGCATTTTTACCAAATAATTGCCTTTGAGATAAAACAATGTTAGTTATAAGTAAAAACAAAATAATTTATGCGTAAAACACAACTAACAAGATGAGTTAGTCGTAGGGGAGACATATGGGACAGCCTCGACCGAAGTAATACCACACCCTCACAGAAAACCTGTGGTAAGCAGTTCTTTCGGTGCTTTTCACCGAATGAGAGAGGTTACCGGAGCCCTAACCCTCCCCTTTCTCTTTATTCTAGAGGAGATGGGCAGAAAGACTGGCAAAGCACTGGACACTCAAGTTGAAGGTGTCCATGGGCGGCGGTAGTTACTTACCACCATTCAGCCTGTATTCTCGATTGCCCTCGAACACCATAAAAAAAAGATCGCAATGGACGGGACAGGACGCGAACTAAGCTAGAGCCAATGTCCGCTAGTCAGGGGCGAAGTTAACCAAACGACGCACAACACTTTACGAACACTGAGTTTCGCTGCGGCCGTAAGTTTCGGCCAATTTTGGCCGAAGCCGAAACTCGAACCGAAATAAGATTTTTTGGCCGAAACCGAAACTTCGGTCGGTCACTGCGATCGCGTTGAAGTATACGTTTCGTACGCATACCTACTTCAACTCGATCGTAGTGATAGACCACAAAATGGTAAGAACAAAATATTCATAAAGTTATGATTTTCAAGACTCAGTTATTTTGAAACGTTTTTAATCATCATCTTTTGGTGACAATTCAATCAGCTAATTAATGGGTACTTTATTTAATCACTTAGTATTGTAACATTGTAGCACTACTTATCTTTGCTCCAAATATCGTTCAGTAGTTTTGACAATCCGTTTTTGATCATCAACTTTTGTCGTTGACAGTACCTTAAAAGCAGTATTAAAACAATAACAACTAATGGTAAAACATTTTATTATATAGCTATTAGTTGATATGTGTTGGAGCCTTTTAACAAAAGATAAGCTTGTATGTGCATCGCTTCAATCAGATCATTAGCGTCTCCTGCCACACCCGCAGCCTTATGTATTTGAATCATTTCTTGCCTCGTGAATACATCTTTACCCAATTGATGTGATCTCCTTGTTAGTGCATCTAGGAATTTCTTTAGCTGAAACAATCGTTTGTATTACATGATTAATATTTCGAATAGAATTGTTGATCATTTGTTTTTTTAAATCTGCTAAAAAAATACTTTGCCAAATCATAGTTGATGATCTATCCATTAACCATTGTTGAAATAATATTAGTCTATGGTTGAAACTTTATGGAACTGTCTACTCTATGTTCTTACTTTATGTCAACTTCACTGTCACTGCAATAAACATGGAAGCCGGCGAAGCCGCGTCACTTAGTATGTTTGTTTTCTTTCCGCTTATCATCTACATTTTGGAGTACCTATGATTTGGAGTAGATTTATAAAGCTTTATTCAAGTGCCAATAGACAACTTTCGATTATATAATTCAACCTCACGACAGTATCAGTCTGCTAGAAGTGTAATTTTCAATAACGGTTATGGTCGAATTTTGACCACTAAGACACAGGACTACTTATTTTAAACCATCAAAGCACTAACCTTGTTTCTCGAACTGACACCCGAACCGTTGATAGACCTCGACAGCTGGATGTTTCCAAATTCGTCACTGAATGTGTCTATTAGGCTGTGTTTTACTAAGCTTATGACGTCATTTGCATCTTCAACAGTCGCCTCTTCTCTTAAATCTACTCGGGCTCTTGCCTTTAACAGTAACATAAAGATGTGTAAATATACAAGAGATTCAAAAGAAGTTCAAGCATACGAGAGGGGGTTAGTTATAACCGTAAAGAGTGGTTTGGTTTCGGCCTCTCTCGCAATTTAAGGGCCAGACTATTGTCGTCGGAGCAATCGCACGTCTCTCTATTCTCTGCGACCTGTTTGACCTCTTCATCGGCCACGACTCCCACTTTCTTCTCTAGGTGTAAGTAGTGTAGTAAGTATTGTTTTAAAGAAGTTGTCGTGTCTTGTTAAGTGGCCAAGCATTTTGCCTCTTCTGTTTTCAATAGCCATAAGTGCAATACACTATATTAGTTATGGATTAATGAGTCTTCACAGCTCACACTCACATTTAATTGTGAATTCTTATTTAACAGTTAGCAAATTAATTGTAGTCGTGAACGTGAACGTATGAATTAATTACACGAAATTTCATCGTTTCATTCGTTAACGCTTCACATTCACTCACCGCGTGCTATCTCATTGACTCATTCGCACCAACGCGAAAACTAAATTTAATTTAATAAATTGTTGTGCTAAAATTTAAAATGTTAATACCTATTTTGATCGGAACTGTGATTGTTGCCTATTTCTGAGAGTGCAAAAGGATTTAATTGCCTATTTTTAGAGAAATGCACGTCTGTGGATTGTAAATTGCTTTAATGTATTTTTAATATCATTCATTAATTTTAGCGCGAGTCTTTCTTGATGCATTAAAATTAAACTCATTCCCGTATATTTTATTTTGTTTATTGGTTAGTATGACTTAGCAAGTGTTTCGAAGTGTTTAATTGTTTATAGTTGTTAATAGAATAGGTTTATAGTATTTGTTAATAACAAGTTTAATTATAGATTAGATATAGGTAATTCAAGTTTTGAACAGTATGACGTGTACGTTGCTGTAATAGATATTTTGTGAATAGATGTGACGAATTGACGATGGCTAGCATATCGCGAACAAACCCTATATGGGATTATTTCCATAATGATGTTGGAGAAATTAAAATAGCGAAGTGTAATATATGTTCGAAAAATCTTTCGTACCGAACTTCGGTCACTAATTTAAAAACACATTTGAGACTAAAACATATCAGACATTACAACAATTTTTTGAATCTATGTGAACGATCTCGACAAGGTACGGTGCAGGTGCGGACTGGAACTGCCAATCCACCTCAGCAACAACAAATAAAATGTGTATCAATGAAACAGGAGCAATCTGTAACGAAATCTCGTCGGGACATTGCCATCAGACCCGGGTCCGGAATTCAAAAAAATAATTTCGCTTATGCAAAACTTCCTCAGCCGTTGCGCACAGATGAAAAGAAGCATATAGACTTAATGCTTCTGAAACTTATAGCTAAAACATACCAGCCGTTTTCAATTGTTGAAGAAACTGATTTTGTAGAATTTGTAGAGGCATTAAATCCTAATTACGTTCTACCTGAGCGTAAAGTGATATCGGAAAAATTAATACCGTTTTTGTATAATAGATGTTTAGAAGACTTGAAAACCACGTTGTACCAAGAAGCAAGTACAGTTTGTTTGACTATCGATTGTTGGACATCTATCAAAATAGACTCTTTTATAAGTATTACTGCGCATTTTATAAATAATGACTTCGAATTTAAATCTTTTGTACTTAAATGCACCCAAATTAATGGTGCACACACATGTCAAAATCTGGCTTCAATTTTACGTGAAGCGTGTGTAGAATGGGGTATAACGGAAAAAATAAACTTTTGTGTTACTGATAACGCTTCAAATATTGTCGGAGCTATAAACATTTTAGGTTGGACTCATTATGGCTGCATGGCTCACAAGCTTAATCAAATTTTGCACCATTCCTTAAAAGAATTTGACGTAACATTAAAAAAAGTAAAAGAAATTGTCACGTACTTCAGTTCAAGCTGCAAAGCTAAAGAAAAGCTTTTAGAGTACCAAGCCAAAGTACAAGGTTCTAGCCAACCTTTGGTATTAATAAATTCAGTGCCAACAAGATGGAATTCGATATATTTTATGATTGAACGCTTTGTTAATCTTCAAGACTCAATAAGAGCCACTACACCTAACGTAGATGTGGATCTACCAATCTTATTAATAGAAGAGTGGACCGCACTGCGACAGCTTTGTAAAGTTTTGAAACCTTTTGAAGAGGCTACAAAAGAATTGAGTGTAGAAAAATATGTTTCAGCTTCTAAAGCCATTGCTGTCATCAACGGGTTAAAGGACGTTCTGCTGGAGGTAAAACAAAAACCGGCATACTATGATTCAATCAAAAGTTTCATTGAATGCATCGAAGAGCAATTGGAAATGAAATTTAAAGGTATTGAGTTGAATGAAAGTTTGGCACTGTGTACTATATTGGACCCGAGGTACAAAATGTCCATGTTTCTCGACGAAGCTGCCACTGAAAGAGCAAAATCTAGTCTGGTGAATAAAGTTCAAGATCTCTTAACAGACGAAATTGGATCACCATCTGAACTGCCGGTGAAACCAGTACTTGAAGCTTCTATAAGCCGGGCGGACGATGAAAATATAAGTTTGTGGCGAAAACGCAATTTAATTATAAAAAAACGTAGGATTAATCCCACCAGAAATCTTCTACAGCTCGCACAACAGGAAGTAGACACATACCTACAAGATGAGTTTGCACAAAACAACTGTGACCCTTGTTTTTGGTGGCGTTCTGGTCAATATAAATATCCGCACCTGGCTAAACTTTTTAAAAAGAATTCCAATATAGTCGCGAGTTCAGTACCCAGCGAAAGACTTTTTTCAAAAGCAGGCTATACATTGTCGGAGAGGAGGACCCGTCTTTCTGCTAGAAAGACAGAACAACTGGTGTTTCTGAACACCAATTTAAAAAGTTGCGACTATAAAAATCTGATGCCTTAAATGTAGCTACTACCTCAAATTGTGTAAATATGATGAAATGAATTTTTAGATACGCCTTTGCCTGTCTTAAGTCTAGAAAAACTATAAAGGAAAATAATATAATATTATAAATGCGAATGCAAGACTGTCTGTCTATCACCTGTTCTGAACGGAACATACTTGAACCACGAGGAGGAAAGGAAGCACACTTGTGGTCGCAAAAACCAGGTGAGTTTATTTATAATAAAAATAAGTTATCTATGTAAATTAAGTAGTTAGTGATATTCAGTTTACCATAGTTTTTTGCTCTCGTACGAAATTGCAGTATCAGAAAATAATATAAGCATTAGCAATTAACATGCTAAGACATAAGAATTAGCAATTAATCAAATATAATTAGCATGATATAGAGCTGTTTTCTTTATTTGAACAGCTTCTTGGTCTTGAACAGGTGTTTCTTGCGGTTGAAGGCTTGTTTGGCGATTGCGAGTCTACTATTACCGGGGAATATCTTGAATCCTGTGTTCGGCTACCTAAATATTTACAACTTTCTACATGTTATATGTGAATATTACTGATTTTAATATGCTTAGTTATGCATGGAAATTTTGAGGTAATTTTAGTTTTAAGTTTATACTTAATCTAAAGTCTTAAAATTGTTATTTATAACTGTTAAAAGTTGTTATAAATTGTTTGTGCTGTCGGTTATTTGTGCAATATCATCTGCAAATCTGATAAAAACTATAGTTTCCCCATTGAATTTGACCAGATCCTATTATTTTTCTGATGGCATATTCACAGAAAATGTTACAAATTAAGGGTGACAGAGAGCCCCTGCCAAATAGTTTCTAATTGTTTCCGTTCTCCTACTTCTCTATTGTTGTTTGCTGGTTTTTATATTGTTGGTAAATTATTCTCCTGTCTCAGTTATCCACGCCTGCCCCCTACAGAATGTCAATCACTTTTATCCAGTTTACCCTATCGAATGCCTTCTCTAGATCACACACATCAATAGCCTATAATAGTACACTGCTGGACATAGGCCCCTCTATAGAGAGAAGGTTTAGGCCTACTATACCAGGCTGGTCAGACGGGTTGGTATAGGGTTTGTTTCAAGTTTTCCTTCTCTTTGTAGTGCTGTTGTCTAAAGCCTTTATAATATACATTTTGGAATGGTTAAGTCTATACGTCTGTCTATAAATAACCATGCGGCTAGTATAGCTTTTCTTGTGCCTTTCCTTATCTTGTTCATCTTTTTCGAAAGCTTGTATTTTACTACATCAGACATTAAATTGACTAATATGGTAGGCAGGTATTTTCGTTGAAGGGATGGGGATATGATATTAAAAGAAGAGACCCAGGTATTGGACGCGATCTGTCACCGCCAGCAATCATTACTGCCACTGGGCTGGGATGCAGTGGTCTCTTTCTGTGAATCAGCAATGCTCCAGAAACAATAAAATGAGAATATATACGTATAGACTGTAAATTAGTTCTTTAGAAAACCAGATAATCTCACCTGTGTCAATCGTATGCAGGCCTCTAGTTGTCGGGTCGTAATGGGAGTGCCCTCATGGGAACCACCTTGATGGTTGTGCCTAAGCTCTAAATAAAAGTTCTGTAGTGCGTTGGCCGCTTCAGTGCTTATTTTAGGGTGTACATATCGTCTAGCATATGCTATATATTTTCTGAGTAATACCAGAGGTAAATGATCCAATACTTCCCCGGGTTTCAGTCGCAATCTTTTACTGAAAAAAAAAACTATTACAGTTAAAATCATTAAAACGTGTATTTTGTTAAATGTCAGTGTAATATTAGTCTTGTTATTTTATGTATTAACCTAGAAATTTGTAATTTGGAATGCTAACGTGTGTATGTTCCTACGTATAACTTGATGAATTATACGAAAACTGCACATAAAGCTTTAGGCGTCCAATATGTATAAATATCTGCCAAGTAAAAGTGAATAAATTATATCAGTTTTATGATTAATTTATGACCTTAAAGAAACCTCATTGTCCGTTTGGCTTGTGTTTATACTGGCGTTAAGACTCGTTTTAGCGGCAGATTTTCCCTTTTGACCTGTATGAAGAGCTAACACGTGTTCTGAGAGCATGGCATCTAGTTTCTGAAACGTGAAAACTATCTTAAGTTACTTGAAATTACCGCCACAGCCAAAAGCATTTAAAATATGAAATAGTTTAAAAATCGTAAGAAACGTTATTTATGTGACTATTTATCATAATCACCTCATCTGGTTGATCCAATAGAATGAATACTAAATCGAATCTTGAGAGGAGTGCTGAATTAAGTTTCAGATTTTCTGCAACTGTTTTTGATCTGCAAAAATAAGACTGATATTCATTATAAGCGGAAAAGGCTTAACCTATTTTGGTTGCAAAAAAAAATAATATTTATGATTAAATGATTATGAGTAAAGTTTTGAACAACAAACAATTTAGCGTTACAACAAAATTAAATGAGCATTATGTTTTTTAATTTAAATGTAGTCTCGAATTCTTAAGTAATTTCGAGTTGGACTAGAACGTTAAGAGACATTTGTGTTAGAAGTTTATTGCTCGCCGTAGACGACATAAACATAATTTTGTATAAATCACTGATATAATTTTAAACTGCATAAGTTAACACTCCAATGTTACTGATGCGAAAGAGTGTTATGGTCTAGTAATCATTCGTATGTACTCGTCATTCGTATGTGTCGATGATGTGGATAGTGGTTAATGCGAACACGACCTGTTGTAGCTGCCCCCGGCGGGGTTGGCGGCGGCCAGCACGGTGGCGCGCGCGGCCAGGCTGCACACCACGCCGCCCTTGGCCACGCTCACGCGCCGCTGCTCCATGGCTTCCAGCAGGCTGCTGTGGTGCGAGCTCATCTGCGAAAGGCATCACTGCACTTAAGTGCTTTAATGCAGATACTGAATATGTAATTTAGAGTGTTAAAACTATTCAGTTTAAATTTCACCTTAAGGGTTAAGTATGCAGCGTGACGGTGTATGTCGCGTGTACATTCACTATGAGTTCGCTATATGGCATTTTGTAGCGAAATCATCTAAGAAAAGCATATACCTACTACATATGTAAGAGAAAAAATAAGATAACGACTGCGCCACACGCTAGAAATACTCTTTAATTATCTTTCGCAGAACTATATCGATCGATAGTTACTGCATAGTTTAATTTGTTCATGCTAAACTATTGTTTAATTAGGTCTGTTTTTAACTGTTACGTTTATCAGGAATAAGGTTTACCTTATCCAGCTCATCTATACAGCACACGCCCTTGTCGGCTAAGACTAATGCGCCTGCTTCGAGAGCGAAGTCCCCCCCTGCTTCCCTCCCTAACGCAACAGTTAGGCCACCCGCAGACGCAGAGGCACCACATACATAAACACCTGGAATGATATAAGTAAGAAGTAACTAACAATATAATTATTATACATATGATGATGATAAGGCTTCATTACGGGCACGACTATATTTCTTTGTTATTCATATATATGATAATTCATATACACACACAATTAATACACATTTAAAAAGTTAAAATAAATGTAACTTTAGTACCAAAGCTTGTCTGTAGTTTGACATTTGACCGTAATTCATATTATTATATATGTATATTATAATTAATTTTATTATTTCACTGTACTCAATTTCTAATTTGTTATTGTGATTATTTAAAAAAAAAAAAAATGACTTTTGGAAGTGGTATTATAAAACTATATTTAAAAAAATCTCAATTTTAAGATTTAATTCATGTTTAAACTGTGAACCTACTACTTCATAATATTTTAAGCATGCCGTGTTAACCTAGTACTTGTAAGAAATAATTTTGTAAATAATTATAAGGTGCGTAAACAATTTTTGGTTAGTCATAAATAAATAGATAAATTATTGATATTGTTTTTTTTCGACCATGAACGAAGTCACCAATAACTGCTTAGAAAATAAAGACAGAAAGCGTTGCTAAACAGAGCTTACATTAGCTTTACTTTCGATGTGATTTCTAAGAAAATAATAATACTATCTCAAGATCAATTGAAATATTCTTATTGTACCTCTTGGTGCGGCATGCGCAGCAGCTTGCAATAATTGTGATTTTCCAAGACCTGGATCGCCCACTACCAAGACGTGGGGATTAGATCTTGGGCCATTGTCATATTCAGTTCCACCAATGAGACCGAGTATAAGCCCTGCTTTTACTGCTTCGTGACCAAAGATTGTAGGACACAGGGAGTGTACCAGGAGTTTGAAAACGTCTTCTGATGCATGTATTTCCTGAAGTCAACCGTTTAAAAATTATTTATCAAACTTATCATTTTTGGTTCAAAAAATGTTTACTTAATAGGCATTTCAAAAAATTATCAATTTAACTTTTATTTGATATTTTAGGTAAATTATATTTGTTCTAGGAAGAGTCATGCTTCGGCTTTAATGAGATCTAGTGTTAAGTCATTCTTTCATTGTTATTCACAGAGTGAGTGTGGTCACCAGAGCCCAAAGCCCATTCTCAATACAAGGGTTCTTAACTTTTGACTCTTTTAGTTGCAGGTGTCCGTGGGCGGCAGTATTAATGTACAATCAATGTTTCAGTGTGGGCCAATCGCAACGCCTAACGCGCTCGCTGTCGAGAGCGACTTGATGTGAAATAAACTCGCACTAGGTTCTCAGGTGATCCGTCCGCTCGTTTGCCCAGTTATACTATAAAAAAAATGCAAAGACTTACCTGTATTGCATAATAGTCTTTTAGAGTGAATGACAATGTGGGATTACTGAGGTTTCTGTGACTGTGTATTGAGACTGCTTCAATGTACAGTTGTAGAAGCCTTGCTGCTCTTTTACCATCTTCACCGCCTTTGCTTTCACCGCGCACCTACATAAAAAATTACAAAATACGATCAGTAGATAATATACGTTTTCAAATAATCAGGTGCACAAATATTTATATTTTATTTATTTTGCTTTCTTAAAGTTATTGTATATATTACAATAATCGCGCCAGAACTTTAATTGCGGATGCAGGATTAGTAGTTACTCCGTAAGTTCTCTTTTAAAAGTTGCTATAATATGTATAGATATAGTTATCTTAGTAGTATTATCTTATTTACAATATTCGGTACAACATAACTTAGTCACTTAGTCCTAACTTAGCAAAGAGAACAAAAAGTGATTTATTATTTTTCACACCTACCAGTTTATGCTTTTTATTAATTAAAATATCTAAGATGCTTATCTTAAGTGAAATAAAAATATTTTTTACATTATTCGCCACACTGGCTCAGGTCGATATTGCAAAGATATTCCTCATTTCTATTACATCATACTCATACCTGTACAATTCCTGTTACAGACAGGACATCTCCTGGACAAGCTGTGCCAACCAAATCCCCTTGAAGTTCTATCTCTACACTTCTAGGTATAGTGCCTGACAAGCTCTGAAACATTAAAAAAATATATTTAACACCATACTATAAATAATTTAACAGTTCAATTGTTAAAGAATTCTTTTTTTTTATAAAAAGACAAGTCCCGCACTAGTAATATATCTTTTATCGCGGGGGACTATACAGACAATTATGAAACGGACACAAACAATACTCCGACTCAGAATAACTATATGTGGATCACACAGTGTGTGATGTTATCCCATGTGGGGATCGAACCCACAACACAGCACAGTAGGAAGCGACGAGATGACCTTTTAAACTACAATGGCATCTGCGCAGTCGAACTGCCGTTTGAGCAGTGCAGTTTGAACTGTTTGTGCAGGAATGGGTGTCATGTCAATCTAACACAAAGGAGGATCATGCCTGGCGGGCCACGGCCGAATCGCGATACAGGATTAGCAATTCTCATTCTCACTCCGTAGTTCGGTGTGTCTTCGTTAGATGGCGCTGTAGTATGTTTGTTTCCTTGTATAAGGTGCTGTTTACACTGAACCAACAAAAGCCTCACTATCTACAGAATATTGAATCAACATGTACATGTAACATAAGTAAATAACAATTTACTTATTTTATTTATATATTTATTGTATACACTTTAATAGAAAATAACAAAAGATGAGTTACAAATAAGTAGACGTTACAATCGGCGGTCTTATCGCTCACAGCGATCTCTTCCAGACAACCTTAACACGGATTTTAGGTATTTAACAGTTAGGGTAGTATACATACACGTAATACATTATCACATGAATATTTAAAAATATTCATAAACATAAACAAACACATTCATACACAAATATACATCTATGGACATTACTCACATACATACATACACACATACCCATACATATTTGGAATATATTAAATAGTGAATCAAAACATTATTTATAATGACAGATAAAAATCCTTTAATATTTTTTTAAATATACCTACCAATATATGTACCTACTGAATTAGTTCTAAGTACTTATACTGAAGTTACGAACGCTACTGCACATAGTTCGTAAGTTAATAGCAAAGACATTATGCAATTGACACTTTAGTTTTGATTTGACTTTTCACTTTACGAACTTCTTTTGTTCCGGTTTCTATACTGTAGAAATGCACAGACCTACATTTTGAGGCACTGTACTGACAACAAGCCATATTACATTTAGTACAACTTAGCAAGTCTCTTAGATGTCTTAACTATTGTTATGATCTTACATGTGGGTTACTATAGTACTTATCTATTCTCTTAATTATGTAATGCATACCTGTGATTGAATTTCTTGTATTTTAGCAACTTGCCAGTCTGTTGTGTTGGTGAAAGGCGATGACTGTAAAGGTTCATACTTAGATCCACCATGACAATGTGTGCATGTTACTGGAGCTGTAATATATTAAAAATTAAAACTATAATAAACTAGAGGCTCACATAGATATACTATAGAACTCAATGAATTAATTTAGGCCATCCATAAATTATGTCACAAGAATTTAATGTTTTTTTTTATCTGTACCAACCCCCAAAAGGAAGAATTAAATTACTGTTAATAATTCAAATTTCGCCTCAAGAAACTTAGGTGAACTGTGAACTCCCTCCTTCCCATTAATATGTAGGTAATTTATAGATAGCCCTCAAGGCATAGCCACTTGCATTGGAGGTACTCTATTTGAAATCTACATCTACCTTGAGTTCAAGGTAGATGTAGTTTTCAAATAGAGTATCTAATAGTTATTTAGATAGGAATCTAAGTGTGGGGTGTTCAGAGCCTTTATAAATATACCCACATATGGTACTTGCTTGATTTATTTATTCTAGTTTTACAATTGTCATAACACTTTCACATACTACAATATTTAGAGCTTATATCAGTAACTGTAACTTGCAGTAGAAAACAAAAGTAGAAAACTAGCAATAAATACTTACTATTTATCTGTTATCATATAGCCTATGTTACTTGCTGTTAATGTACCTTTCCATTGGTGATAGAATTTTAAAATTGGTTTAGGCGTGAAAGTGTAACAAACAAACTCTTTTTCGCATTTATAATATAATTATGGATTTTAATACCTGTGAATACACCCTGTGGCTGAACAACGGCTTGAACATTATGACAGCCAGAACACTCGAATGCCATAGATGTGCAGATCAGACCCACACTACCCACTTTTATCACGGTACCTTTGAGTGTCACCAATTTGCCTGAAATCAAGATATGTAAGGAAGACAATCAGTCTGAATATCTTTTTTTGTTTTACCTCTTGAATATAATTAAATTTCACTTAATTTTATTTGGATTTTTTGTCATGAATCTTTAGCATATTTGCTCTATAAAGATTTAGAACTCAGGATTATTGCCAGCAATGATTTGCCTTTAAAATACAGATAAGGTTATAGGTTTATATTGAGATTGTTTGGATACTGTCAGTGTAGATCATTGAGTCACTAGCTCATGAAGTGTTCAGGAATATCCATTTCTACATCAAATTACACTTATTACTCATCCAAATTTGAGACACAAATCAGTGTACCAAGAAATATTGTGATGTTGTATTTTTATTTACTTACCAAAATAATTTACTTTTAAATTTGCTATTGGTATTACAGGTTGGTGATTTAAAACCCTTAGTTTTATCTTAGATTCAAATTTGAATTTCTGCAACAGATAACATAATAGCTACATAAATATTGATTAGATACACATAATTAACTTTGGAAATCCCATAATAATGATTATTGGTTATAAAAAGACATAATTTGTTTATCATGAATTAGATGTCCAGCAGTGGACTAGCAAAGGCTGTTGATGATGAGTTATGTTTAATAGGACAGGTAGTTTTTTTAACCATTTAATTATTTTTTTTTTCTAAGAATATAATATATTGTTTCAAGATAGTATAGATATTTTTTTAGTTATTTTAAATATTGATAATAGCTTACTGACAAATAGGTGGCTTATAATATAGTTTTACAAAAAAAAGTACATAATATTTAAATGTAATGCCCAAAATTGTAAAATATTTTTTTAAATGTATTGTTATTTATAATCCAATTAATCAGATTTTACTGAGTAATGTATTAACTTAATTTTTATTTATCACCTCATGTAAACAATATTCCAAGAGTCGTAAAGTGGCATCAGGGTGTTCAAATAATTCTGTATTAAAAGTTGGCCAGCCATTAATAAACTCCGAATCACTAATAAGATTTGCTACATCTAAAGGAACACTCCGAGTTTGATCAATTTTCTCCAAATCAAACAGGTTTCTATTTCTCTCAATGTAAGCTTTGAAACAATTGATATGGTTGGCGAGCTCTTCTTTTGATTGCTGGTCTAAAACAAAACCTATAATTAGTTTTATTATTATAATAAGGCTGAAGACTATTTGTTTGTTTGATCCCGGGTTTTGCCTGGTGGAAGAAAATTTTTAAATTAATTTTTACCTTCAATAGGAAAATACAACTTCCAGATATTGTTTCTATTAGTAATAGGTAAAACTATGGGTAATTGATTTGCTGGTGCTCTTGAAGAACCTGAAGTACTCGCCGCTCGAAAGGTAGCTGAAGAATCATTTAAACTTGAACTTTCGGAATTATTCTTATAGTTGCGGCCACGATACCAATTATTCCTGTATCGGCCTCGCCAACTGCGGCGCATTATATCGTAAGTTTAGAAAACTATCTAAACTTAAAATTACTTGTTTTTGTTTTGAATTCAAACTTCAAACTCAATATTTTTCAAAAAAACCTGAGCTGCCGTTTGAAAAATACTTAAACTACCAATTACTTTGACAGCTCAATTCTTAAAGATCTTATGAGATTTCTACAAATATGAAGAGAAATTAATAAGATACGTGACAGTAAAACAAAAATGTTTTTTAGCTATGGTCTTTTATTTATAATAGATTTTTAGATATTAATTAGATAGGTATATTAAATATAAATACGGTATGAATTAGTTAAGCATGCTTGAACAGATAGTTTGAATCGGTTACGATTATGACAGTGTTTCTGGATTTTTGTTGTGCAAAATCTTCTGTTATGTCTTCAAGTCTATTTTTTTGATAATATCACTTTCAAATAAGGAAGTCACTCCCGTAACCTAGTTGTTCGTAATTCATTTTTATTATCTTTAGCTGTGAAAATGAGCGCTGTCTACTACAATGGATAACAAATGGTTTTAGCAGCCCTAGAAGGGATTTTTGGCTGTATTCGAGCGTGTCAGATAAGATAGGAGAAATATCTTACAGTTCAGCTTCATTTGAGTACCTCCACCATACATAGTGGGGAGCGTCATAGGCAAGCAGTTAAAAATTATCGATGGCCAGAATTACTCGAGCGTGTGAGCGATATACATTAGTTTGTATTTCCAAAATTCAGACGATTGAGCGTAAAATAAAGCAGTGGGAGGGTCACAAAAACCCATGACCATGACATTTTAATTTATTTTGAAGCAAACAATGAAGAAGCTAGAAAATATAAAAAAAAGAGGAACATGGGCCGTCCGTATAAATTCTAAGACGCTCGGGTATTTCGAATTTGAAGTTTGCATTTTTAATAATTCGCTACGAGCTTGTGTCACTTTAAAATCCACAGACCTTTCGATGGAAGTATTTTTGGCGTCCAAATAATATATCCCCAAAATATCTGATGCGCCCGATTTTTTTTTTCGATTTCCTCCCCTCACGTTTTCGAAAAACTGTAGAAGCTGTTCTCATCGCCGAAAGTAGATACATTTTCAAACTTTATTCATTCTATTACCTAATCTTTCAAATGCAACAAATAGGTCCCCATGACGCTCGAGTAAATCCACACTTAGAATCAGGGGCTCCCCTACTATTACCAATTGTAGAAGAGAAAGTAGTATGCGTAGTACCAATTGCAGTTACAATTTTATTGGTAAACTATTTTTGGAGAGAACAAATACTTAAAAACATATTTTAAAAAGACTTATAAGAAGATATTTTGAAGATAGCAAAGGAAGTAAAACAAAGATACGTTAAAGTAAAAAAAAAGAAAAGTTATTATATAATATCGGCTCAAGTATTTTACATTATTTTATGACAATGTCATTGGTTTGTCATTGCTCAGGGTTGCCACAAAGTCGCTAACAATGACTCATTTACTTAATTTTTTTCGTCAGATTATATCGATCTAAACTTGAAAAAAATATGGTGTAAGCGAAATTATCGCTTTATGTATTCGCTTTTCGGGGCCCCCGTGAAGACGGGAGCCCTGAGCAGGGGCCCTTATGGTAAAGACTGTACTGAGGATTCGTCATGTTCAAACCATAAGTGTTACCTGTAAGTGCTACTGATTTATCCTATGAATAAATAATATTATTTAGCACAATTAGTATTATCATCCTCCAATAATTATAATATCTACTAACATAACATTTAGTTTTTCTCTTAAATGCAGGCTTTAAAAATTGTTATGCCACTAATTCCTGCACTACACGGATGGCGTAGTGGTTTAAGCGGTCGCCATGCCGGTTACTACTACGCTGAGTGCTGTGGGTCCGATCCCCACATGGGACGACACTTTGTGTAATTCACAAATTGTTGTTCGGAGTTTGGGTGTCCTTGGTGTCCGTTTCATTTATGTTTGTAAAGTCCCCCACGACACAGGATTTATTCCTAGTGCGGGAGTTGTCTTTTTAAAACGAAAATAATAATAATAATAATTCTCAATTTTAGCGGCTATACATGGGTTAGGCCGCTAAAAAATGTTCTTTTTGATGAATGACTTAGCGTCCGGCTTCTTTTTTTTGAATAAATATTTCAAATTACCAATTATTTCTTTTAATGAGATTTTATTACTACAATACAATGTACAATAATGTAAATAATACAATAAATACAATGATTTTTACTGCGAGAAAACACAAGTGCTAGAACAAAGAAAAGTGTCCCAAACGATGCTCCACACATCACATCAACAGCCTTTACTAGTCCACCGCTGGACATAGGCCTCTCCTTAGAAAGTAGGTTTTGGCCTACTACACCACGCTGGCCAGACGGGTTGGTATAGGGTTCGTTTTAAGTTTTCCTTCTCTTTGCAGTGCTGTTGTCCTACGTAGTTTGCTTCCTTAGTCGCCTCTTACGACACCCTCGGAATGAATAGGGGTGGTGACACTCTGTTTATTAAAGTTCAATTCTTTCCACTGCCAATTAAACTATTTGCTCTGAAAAACTACTCATTTTAGACAATATTTATTTACTTTACTACAGTTTAGGCACTAATATAATAATGGTTTCATATAACAACATTATGTCCTAAATAATTATGCTTTTTTGTTACCGATTGTAACTTACCATATTTTATCTCTCACGAAGCAATTGAGCTGTAGAATGTAGAATCCGTTTTAAATAGTTAATGACACCAGTATTTAGCTTGGCAATGATGTGGCAGTTACTTATCGGCTATTTTTGAGTAGCTGCATTATAGACATGGGATAAAATCACAGTGAATTTTAAGAGACCGGTGATTTTTCATTCAATTTTTTCGTTCGCAGGTTAGGGTTACTACTTACTCACGTGTTGTTGTTAATAATCTGTTTTTTGGACGATGCATAAAGACCATATTTCGCCTATTAAACAGTGAATCTAGTAATTATTTTATTATACATAGCTATCATTCCCTACATAAGAATTTAAAAAAAATACTAGATTTACTGTTAAATAGCGTCTAACCTACGTACGCAAAAATCGAAGGATAAATCCAGTTCACTGTAATTTTTTCAGTTGTCTATGATGATATAATAAATTACAGATTGAGGCGGCCAGTGTTGCCGACCTAGTGGATTTTCCACTAAAACTGGTGGCTTTTACCCCCCTTTTAGTAGCGAAATTTTGCTTTTAGTGGCTTAGAATTTTTGTGGTTTACTAGTAATAGTAAGATTGTAGAGGACTTAAGAAATGCAGTTAAAATATAAACTGTGAGACTGTTTGTGTAGGTAAACCTCAAGAACGTTTGATTGGAAAAGAAGGATGGGGGTTCGATAGAAGTGGTCGGGAAGAGAAGGATTATTAACTTAAAGCAATGCGATGATGTAGGCTTTGTGCCAGAGAGAGGAAAATGTTTCGGAGTCGAGAATGAAGTCAATAATGTGGGCTATAACTTCGAGGACGTAATCCAGGATGGTAACTATCATCCTACGGCTTGCAAACAATTGCGTTATAACAGACAGTCCCTAGAAGGCACAGGAGAAAGTTCAAAGTTGATTACATTTGGTCTGGGCAGACTAGCGATATAATTTAGGATCCAACTCTATATTTGATGATCCGGTTGATCCGGTAACAGAAGAGAAACGAAGATATTACTACAGTTAAATAATTAAAACAGTTTTCTACTAGGTACATAAACAGTGTTCTTGTTTCAAAGCGTAGTTATAAATAAAGTTAAATTTAGAAAATTATTCATTTACTTTATATTAGAATTAAAAAGATAAAGAATATTACAGTGCTCCACAGCAATCGAGCAAATGCAGTACCACCGGGTAAAGTCGTTTACGAATCGTTGTCAATACTAATATCTATATTTCTTTATATGATATAAAAGTACCTGGATGACCGAGTTTGCTCGGTATTTTCTTGGTAAGTTTTCTAAAAATGAAACCTAGCTATATCGATTAATCGCCACCCCAAAACCTCCTGCTTACTAAATTTCATGAAAATCGTTGGAGCAGTTTCCGATATTCAGATTATGTATAAATGTATATATAAAGCAAAGCGACAAGAAATAAAGCGAAATCATCTAATATATGTATATAATAGATGATTCCAATATATATATATATATGAATATAAGAAAGAAAGGTCTTTTAAATTACGCAACTTAGGCTTAGGCTTAATGTAGATCAAAATTGCCTTTAAAATATATCATTATTATTGCATCTAAAGATTTCCTGTAGTATGGTCTTATTAACATAATACTATAATTTATTACTCCACACTGACACTACATTAGTAGTAGGTATCTACATTGCACCCGTGCGAAGCCGGGACGGGGCGCTAGTATTATTATATAAAATTTTAAGTTGGTTTGTCTACGGTTCAAAAACTCGAAGGTATTGCACTGATTAAGGTTAAATTTTAGCATGTCGTGCTAAAATTTAAGCTTAATCAGTGCAATACTTTCGCTACCGCTTCAAAGATTGTTTTTATCTATTTTGTCCTCATTTTTCATCACTGCAATCATAATGTGCCACAGTGAAGCGTAGCAGTGTACATCTATTTTTTTATAAGAATCATACAAAATTTAAAATACTTTCTTGTAATAAAGACAGTAATTAAAAAAAAACCTTTTTCGGTTCCACTTACTTGATACTGGCATTTTGTGATACATGTTTTATATTTTGTCATAAATTTCAAATATGGAAGTGACATCAATATTCATTCAAACTAATTTGCACCATTGTGTGCATCAGAAGTTTTTCAGCTTACTTTCTATTTAGTTTACACCATATAGCTTTGGAAATGGCAGAGGAAGCTGTAGAACCACCTCCAGATGCTGTAGAAGCTCCCGAGGAAGGGGCTTCGCATCCAAAGGTGCAGACCCCGGCTGCGGAGTCAGGAGAGGAAGACATAACGGAAACAGGGTACACTATCACCCAAAAGTTGAGTGAAGTGTCGAAAAGAGGAGCAAAGAAGGGTCGTCAGAAGGTGCCAGTTGGTGCCGATGAACGTGTCGAAGTTGATAGAACAGCGTTGAATGCTATACTTGATGTCAGTTCAAGGATTCAGGACATTCAAAAGAAAAGCAGATTATCTATGAGTACTTTGGCGTTAGCTCATGAGTCTTATAAAGACAAGCAAGTAAATAAACTTAATACATAGTTGTTTAATAGTTTTATTTTGTAGAGAATTGTTTGATCAATTCATAATTCTATTTGTAGGCTAAAGCTAAAGAAGCTCGCTCAAACCGCATTGGTGGTATTAAAACTCAACACAGATTCTTGCTAGAGAATGCAGCTATTTTACTGAATAAACCACCAGAGTATGTTATGGTAAGAAAATGTAATCCTCCTCCTCGCATTGTTCTGCCATGAGTTTAGTCATAATAAATACACCCAAATATCCTAATTGCAGGAAGGTGTTTATGATGCAGATATTCATATCGATCTGTTAGATAGTGCTGTTGCAGAAGGAGGCAGAAATTGTATTGTGATTTGTGACGCAAGCCTTCCTCCTGTTAAAATGGGTACCTAATTTTTGTAATTTACTATTGCGGTATTTGTATCGATATTTATTTTATCAAGATATGAAAAATCATATAGGTATAACAAGCATGGTTGTGTAGTAATAATATAAGGGCATTATTATCTACAACAAAATAGGTACAAATGATATTTAGAACTTAATATTTATACTTGTCGCACCTTCGACAAATACTTTTTAGTATTGGTAATTTCTATGAAACGGGAAAACACGGAAAAGGAAAAAAAACCGCTTACATTCATGATAGTAATAACGTTACCACCTATCAATTTTTTAAATTCCGGAACGAAAGTCATCACGAACATGGGAGAGCCATGCTTTGGGTACACACATGGGGCGGCTTAACTAGTGATGCTGTGGAGTCACAGGAATCCGTGGTTGAGCAATTCTTTTGTTGCTTTTCATTGAGCTAGTGAAGTTATCATAAACCTAACCCTCCCCCTTAATTCAAGCGGAGCGGTGATCCGTCTGCTCGATTAGCAACTATTACATAAAAAAAACTGGTTACTTAACAGCGATTATGGTGATTAATACGAAAATTAATTAATTATTACTTACCAATGGGAGAGGCCTATGTCCAGCAGTGGACTGCGATAGTCTGATGATGGATCATAGATGGTGATTCGCATTTCTAACAAAGATTAACAATTCTCCAGAGGTTTAGCTAATTACTTCAAGTTACCATCATCATAAATCATCTTGAAGATAAGTAGTGATATTTCTCAATAGCCGGAATATTTTGTTATAATCTAGAACTAGAAAACAATAAAAATTGAAAAAATTGTAAACTACCTTACAATGGTTAAATTAGAATTAGTCCATTTAAACATGTTACTATGTTGCATTTCGTTTGGGCTTAGCGTGCATTTGTCAGAGGACGCAATTTTTATTTTTTTGATATCAAGGAGGGGTTAGTGTTACAAGTTACATCCAAGTTTGTGGGGTTCTAACCCTTGCCCCACGGCCGCCACCTTGGCCATCCAAAAATTTCCAAGACATTTTTTGTAAGTATAAATTAAATAGTAAGTCCTGTTAGTAGTGCTCCGAAACATACTCCGGATTATAATTCAATTAGGTAGGTAAGGTATAAACCAACACCTAATCATCGACACAAAAAAGAAGTTTTGTCTGCATAAAAATTAAGTAATTCGTAAATATATATTCATAAATATACAACCTGTCCTATATCTAATCACAAAAAATAAAATAATAGATAACGCAATTGAATATACGTCGATAAAAATTAAAAGACAATTGTACGAAAATACAGAAATGCAAATTTAGAACAAAGTAAATACAATAAAATAATACCGAATTAGAACACCATTGTTAACATGAGTTGCTGAACTGTAGATGGCAGCCTCGCAATGTCGGCGACATCAAAGCGATGCGACGAGTGGCGAGCCAACTTTACATTTTGAATACCTACTAATCACTTACATTACTTGCTTTTTAAAATCAATTTATTAAAAATACGGTTTTATTCGGACCCGGCAGTACGTGTCACACCTTGAAAAAGGTACTTTAGTTATCTCGTAATCTTTGTACCGCTTTACAAAAATTCGGCAGTCTATAGGACATACACGATTGATTCCATATCTCGGTTTGTCCGTAAAGGTAAAGATGTGTTTTGATAGAGTTTTGATAGAGCCCATGTAAATGAACATCATGACAGGATATTTCAGGGCTGTGAAGGTTACTCACGGCATTATGTAACGGCAATAAAATTAAGACTAATAATGCACTCAATTTTGACACATCAAAATAAAATTAGCGGGACTCTTTACAACACGAAGTCTTGCGAACACGATAACATAATTGTTCACACCATTGCTGTGTATTATGACGAATGCAATAAGACTAAACGATTAAAACTTTTCTAAACAAATATCTCACGAACAACAACAATATTATTATTACGATAATTCGTCTTGAGCACATCTACAAGGACACAGAACAGCATAACACTCAGTGAATCGCGGTGGCTAACGGCCGACTGATTGCTTACTGATGTTGCTATAATCAACACATTTCTTTCGATTCGAGTGTAGTAAAAGTGGCAACAGCCAACGTGTGATGTTACCGCCCCGCGGTATATTTTGTCCATATTCTGTAAATCGCCTAAAACTAAAGCGCAGAGTATTTTTATAAAGGTTTGTGACTCTCTGTATATGTGACTGCATGGATGGCGTAGTAGTTTAAGCGGTCGCCACGTCGCTCACTACTACACTGAGTGCTGTGGGTCCGATCCCCACATGGGACGACACTTTGTGTTATCCACAAATTGTTGTTCTGAGTCTGAGTGTTCTTTGTGTCGGTTTCATGTATGTTTGTAAAGTCCCCCGCGACACAGGACTTATTCCTAGTCCGGTAGTTGACTTCCTAAAAAAAAAATTGTCTATCGATACAACATTTCAAAAACTGGGGGACTTTTAGTTCATCCATCACTAACTGCATCTGTGCATTTTGTATAATAATATCACGTGTATATATATGTATATCAATAGTTATAAACTAGCCAGTATGCTATTTTCTATACGAGAAAAAAAAACTTGACACAAACCCTATAACAACCCGTCTGGCCAGCATGGTTACCTCCTGTCCCTGTAGTTTTAAATGGACTGGCCACAAGAACAAGCGTTGCGAAAGGCGGTACAGTTTGCGCGCTATGGGCAATTACGTTTGCTGATTGCTCAGTATGGATTGAGAGCGAGTTGTCTTTATCAAAGTTGTCTCGACATTGCTTAAAGAGTAATAGTTTTAGCCGCACCGCCTGACGCCGACCGCCACTACGCCCAGTACTTTGCCATACATTTGTTTTAGTCGCTATACGCGCCGCCGTTCGCACCGCGAATTATCGCTGCAGCGAATGTCCCGTAGCCAGGTCGTTAGGAAAGGACTATGGCCAGCAGTGGACTATTAAAGGCTGTTGTGATGATTTGTGATATGCTATCTTCAGGAAGTGTAATTTTTTTTTGATCGTACGCTCATAGTCGAACCACATAAAGTCAAAACCAGCATAAAGTAAAATCCTACAAAAAGTCAAAGAACCAAATAGTCGTGTAAATGTGACGTCGGCCTAGAGCGCGACGAGTCCTTTGCTTGGTTTCAACCGGTTTATACTGCTTTTTGGCAATCTTCACCTTTCTCACTTTACCTCTTGTACTGGTAGCAACGTGACGTGTTTAATTCTTAATATTTTGTGTTTGTGTGTAACCAGCACCAAAAACAAAACCAAAAGTTATTTAATGTTTGTAGACATCGGCAGAAATATATTAAGTATGGAACAGCCAAATTTAACTAAAAATGTTTGATCCGACACAAAAAAAAAACCTAGACTATAAAAAACATACATTTCTACGACTTCTTTGATTGTTAAAGAGCAGATTTTATAAATTCAACGTGATTCTTTTTATCTCAGTTTGTATAAGCTGAGTCTATTTACTCCTTCTAAAATTTCCTTCTGACCCATCGCACTGCTAAATTACACTACCAGTAGTATCATGGGGAATAATTTTTCCCTTCTGCACTACTAACGAGTAGTGTCATGGGTAATTATGGAACGGTAATATGTACATCATTCTGACCTATCGCACTACTAGATTAGTTTGGTATTTTTTGTATTGTATTATATGTAACTTCATATTTGTTTGCTTATACTGGTAAGTGTTGAAGTTTCGTATTCTAGAGCGTTTTTTCATATTACAGAATCCGGTCGATTTGTGCCCAATCAAAAAGGTTTAATGGATAGGATATATATATCTGATTGTTCCACAATTGGTACCGTAGGCAACTGTGTTGCTATGTACAGAATCAAGAATAAAGTCATTGACACTAAAAACGTGGCTGATGTAAGTCACTATTTAGTTATCATGTTAAGACATACCGAAAGCCTACGGGAGAGGTGCGGGTGGCAGGTGCATTTTTATCACGCCACGAGCCCGCACCTCTCCCGGTTCCCGTTTTTGTTTTACCGCTGCCCCCCTGTACCCAGCGAGCGCTTAATTAAGCGATATATATTAAGTTTGAATAGATGAACTACAAGTCAGTGTTTTTAAAATTCAATATTTTGTATCAATCTTATCATCTAAATAGATAGATAGATAGATAGAAAACTCTTTATTTGCACACTAAATTACAGAGTTACAAGAAAGGAACACAGCGATCAAATATCGAGTGTACAAAGGGCGGCCTTATTGCTAAATGCAATTTCTTCCAGGCAACCTTAGGATGGATCAAAAGTTGCAGAGAGACAGTAGTAGTTGAATATCTTTGTGAAACTACTATTAGTTTATCATTATCTACTATACACATTACATATACTAGACATATTATATTATCTACAAACATTTACAATTTTTATACTTACATCTACAATGCATATCACAATAAATAAACCTACATTTTAATAAGTACCTACATACTATACCAGCAAATATACATATACACATACATATATAAATACGCATTCTTAAATGAATAAACATATAGAAAGAGAAACAGTTTCGTTACACCCTCAAGCGTGATGGACTCAATTAAGGTGAATAAAAGTCCTGTACCATTTTCTTAAATCTGTTTAATGTTTGCGCCTGCCTGATGTTAAGCGGCAGTGCATTCCACAAGCGCACAGCTTCAACAGTGAAGGATTGATCATAAAATTTGGTGGAATGCAGTGGCATCTCCAGTTGTAAACTTACGGATGACCGCAGCCATTTTTCGTGTGTGTCATTAAGGAACTTGAATCGTTCTTTGAGGTAGAAAGGGGTTTTGGGATTAAACAAAATGTTGTAAAGGAAAATGAGGATATGAGTATTCCGGCGAGAGCGAATTGGAAGCCACTTGAGCATTTGACGGAATTCAGAGACGTGATCGTATTTTCGTAAACCAAATACGAATCGTATACACATATTTTGAAGTCGCTCAAGCTTATCGAGTTGTGCTTCAGTGAGATTCAGATAGCTGACATCGGCATAGTCGAGAATTGGGAGGAGAAGTGCTTGTGCAAGCGCAACCCTAGTTGCAGTTGGAAGGAATTTGCGTAGTCTTCGAAGAGAACCGGCTGAAGCAAATATCCTGCGACTTACCTCTTGCATCTGTGAACCCCATGATAAAGTGTTGTCTATGTAGATCCCTAAATTTTTTACAGTGGTGCTTATCTCAAGAGTTGTGCCACCGAACTGAATTTGGGGCAGTAGAGTCCAGTTAACTTTTGAGATCAGCCTGGGGCTGCCAATAACACACACCTGTGTCTTCATAGGATTAATCATAAGTCCATAGTTATAACTCCACTCGCCAATGCGTTGAAGGTCAGCATTAATTATGTTGAATGCATCCGATAACATGTTAATCGGAGCTTGTGTATATATTTGTAAATCATCTGCATAAAGGTGGTAGAAGGAACTTAGTTGATTAGAGATTGAGTTTATAAAAACAGCGAAGAGTAATGGAGATAGAACGCCACCCTGCGGTACACCAGCAGAAATACTGCACCAAGAGGACATGGAGTCATCAATGCAAATCCGTTGCCGGCGACCAGACAGGTAACTATGAAACCAATCAATTGTCCTTGGAGATATGTTAAGAGACCGTAGTACGCCAAGCAGAATGTGAAAATCCACAGTATTGAAGGCATTGCTAAAATCAAGTAAGGTGAGAACTGTGATCTTTCCACTATCCATGCCTAGTCTGATGCTGTCTGTAATGTGTACCAGCGCAGAAGTTGTGCTATGGCCAGGGCGAAAACCGGATTGGAAGGGGTTCAGTAGAGAATTTTTGGAGAGGAAGTTAGTCAGTTGAGAGTGGATGAGGCGTTCAAGTACTTTGGATAGGAAAGGTAAAATAGATATGGGCCGATAGTCAGAAAATGAAGAGGGTTTAGCTTTTTTTGGAAGAGGGATTACTTGGGCATCTTTCCATGCAGATGGAAAAACACCGCTTGTGACGGAGTGATTAAGGATATTGCATAGGATAAGTAGAATTTCGTCAAGGATAGGAATAATCATATTTCGACTGATGCAGTCACTTCCCACTGCGCTGGATGAGATCGCCAGAATGGCCTTCCTAACATCACAAGCGGACAACTGATCAAAGACGAGAGGTGGATAGTTGGGAGTAGGGGTAGTAGAAATATATCTAAGAGTATTAGCTTTTGTACTGTCACTAATGTCAGACGAGGCAGAGAAATGTTTATTGAGTAAGTCAATGTTGACATTTTTGGGAATAGGCTCTTGGCGAGACCTCCCGACTCCCAATGTTCTTAGAAATTTCCAGACTTTTGCTGGATCTCCGTTTTCTACGGAAGAGTGGATGTGTTGGCGTTGTGCGTTTCTACACATCTTATTGCAGAGATTTCTCAGGTACACATATTTTTCCAGGTTCGCTTCGGTTGGTCGACGCTTGTATTTGCTTTTCGCTATACATTTCCTGGACATAATGCTGCGTATCTCCTCAGTAAGCCATGGAGCCGGTAAATGTTTAAGTTTTATTGATCGCAAGGGCGCGTGGACGTTATAGAGCTGTATCAAGTTATCTGTGAATATTTGGACTTTATCATTAACACACTGCGAATTTAACAAATTGTTCCAGTTGATGTTTCGCGCATCTTCCTTAAGTCTTACAAGATTCATCGCGCCAAAATTACGCTGCTCAACAATTCTCGGCTTTGCCTTGGGTGGTCGGATAGCATAAGAGAGAAATATCAAGTCATGATAGGAAAAAGCATCAGCGGAATACTGACCATGGCTGATGACATGATCAGTAGAAGAGACTAGGATAAGATCAAGAAGAGAGGGAGTGCAGTTAGGGAAGTGATGTGTAGCATCAAGTGTTAAGAGTGATAAGTTATTACAGTCCACAATTCTGCGTAGTGAAGAAGAGCGATGGTCATTTTTCAACAAGCAGGTATTGAAATCGCCCATTATTAATGTGTGGCTATAAGAGGGAGATAAGTTTTCCAGTAATTTTTCAAAAGAGGAAAAGTAATTAGTACGCAACGAGGGAGAATAGTAAACACCAAGTAAAATCTTCGCATGATTAACTACTAGTTCAATAAAGAGGTGCTCGCCAGCGTCCGGTGATGGGGGCTGTGACGACATGTTTACAATGGTAAAGGGAATGTGCTGTCGCAGGTATATGCCAACACCACCCCCACCACCGATCGCACGGTCATTCCTTATGAGATTGAAACCAGGAAGAGTATATGGTGTAGAAGGTAGGCACGGTTTTAACCATGTCTCTGAAACTAAAATTGCGTGAATATTTTTGCAATCAAAGGTCGCCAGCATATCAGGGAAATGAGCTGGAATACTCTGGGCATTGATATGGACTACATTAAAATTCCGCGGAGCATTAGAAAATTGGTACTTAAGATTCTCATGGAGTGAGGGTATGCTAACGTAACTAGAATCAAGACTGTTTATCGAGTAAAAACTGTCATCATCATTATTGTCCAAGTCAGACATAAAGTTGACTCAAGAATATATAAGTAAACTAATAGAGCAATAATGTTCAATAAATAATAATAATATATGAATAGTAGCAATAAAAAAATAAAAAAAATAATTTTATGATCCACCCGCCAGTCGTGTGTTTTACATTTAGAAATTACTGGAAGATATTAACTAAATAAAAGTAATCCAAAAAAGAAAAGAAAACAAAAACAAAAAGAAGCAAAATTGTGTCACAATTTTCTGGGCGAACTTCCCGTTCAAAAGACTTTGTTCCAAACTTACAACTAATCAGTGACAAACAATAGTGTTGCAGAAAAATATGCGGCCTGGAACGCAATTTGACTTTCTTTGACACTTGACAGCTATTTTTGTTTTGAGAATTTTTTAAATAAAGGTAGATCAACAAAATAAATGTGTTCGGCTGGTTTAATGATGTTGAACAGAACTATTTGATGATTACCATATTCGAAACCATAAAATGTTAGTAAGGAAAATATATTTGGACTGATTCTCGCGTGAAATTCACCCAGACAGTGTAACATTTACATTCAATGTATCTAAGGGAGAACCACATAGCAACCATTTACTTTTTTGAACCGACAGCAGCTCTCTTCGGTCTCGCAGCTTGAGTTTTGGTCACAGTTGGCTTTTCTGCAGCCACTGGCCTTATCTGGTCGAGATCTGCCACACAAGTGATACGATGGCGTGAACCGTCGGGACCCATAACGTAAACAGTACCTTCCTTGGTCCAACACTTAGTGATCCCGAATTCCTCACGTGCTGCCATGAAAGCAGAGTGTCGTGATCGGGTCAGGAACTCGGAGAGTGTCACACCAGTGCCCCTGAGTTTGGTCTTAGACGCCCAGAGTCGGTCCCGCACTGCCACTGCCCTAAATTTAACTAGGATGGGTCTTGGTTTTTCGACCGTAGTCTGTCGGCCCATCCTGTGACAGCGGCTTATACCATCAGCTGTAAATGAGTCAAGACCTAACTTACTTGCTGCTACCTCCGCGACGACCCGGGATATATTCTCATCCTTCTCCTCTGTGACACCATGTACCAGGAGTATCTTGCGACGGCTTCGGGTTTCCATGTTGTCCACCTCATTCGCAAGCACCTTCATCTGGCTTTGGAAGGACTTCAAGGTTTCTAAGATGAGAGTCTTGAATATAGTAAACTCCTCTGCGAGACCAGCCAAGCTAGCAGCATTTGAGGCCTTCTTCAGGAGCTCTGCTTCGAAGTTAGCCATCCTCTTCTCAAAACAATCCTGTAGTTCTTGTATAGTGCTCATAGTGATGCTGTGTGTAGTTTTTATTTTTGAAAATTGAAAACTTTAGTTTTTTCTGTGGATATAACACTGACTAGCAGGTATTTATTATTGAGGTTTTATTGTATTCATTAAATCTATATAAAATATGTCTATTCTATTTTTATTTCAAATTATTTATAAGAGCTTTTAAAGTTATATGTTGAGCTTTCAACTACCCACTTCTAGAAGTCATGTCTAAATACCATGTTGAATGTGATGCTTTCATTAATCTATAGTAACACCATTCTACAACATCTGACTAATAAGGCGAAGGTAGGGTAATAATTGGGGTCGTGAGGTGATATGGGGAGTAATGATAGATTTTACGGCTATTTTATATACTTAAGCTTGTATTTTTAGGATTACTTCATGACATTGATTGATATGAGAAAGGAAACAGACAACATAGTCTCCGGTTTATACAAAACGTTGGAACGTATTTTTCTTGCATCTCTCGAACAGTGCAAGGGCTGGGGTGACCTTAATCCTCCCAACCCTAAGAGTGAAGAAATGATTAAATACTACATTTCCAAAATCAAATTGTTCATTGATTATCTTGCAAGTAAGTAGGACTCAAATAATGCTGTGCAATTATGTTGAAGCCCAAAAATTTTAAGCATTTTGAAACATCATTTTTTTTCAATTACGTACTTTAATAACATATGCTAAATATTAATTAGCGCTCTCAGCGCTTTAGGCGCTTATTAATATGTAGATTCCTACTTAGATACCACATGAGTTTACCAATAACGTAACAATTAGATCTTAGCACTTTCTTCGGTACAAAAATACGTTTCAAGACTTGCAGTTAATGAAAAAATTACATATTTTAAAGGGATAATAATTGTAACTCATCATCTTCTAGAAACAAAGATAGATTTGGATTGTTGTACAAGATTTAAAATCAACTTAGCGTTGTACGAGGAAGAGTTGTGTGATTCTGAAAAAATGAAAGCAGCTATCACTAAAACAACTGTGCTAGAAGAAATATGTTTATATGTAAAACAATGGATCAAACAAATAACAATGGTAAGATGTCACATATTAACTTCGAATCAAAATTAAAGAAGATGTAAAAGCCTCATTGTAAGTCTGTCATTTTCAGGTATTAGTCCAAAGCCAGCAACTTAGACGTGAGCCATCCAATATTGGGCCCTTAGCTGAGTTAGATCACTGGAGACGTCAGCTGACCATATTTACTTCGATCATCAAGCATATCAAGAGTGATGCAACTATTATGTATATTATCACATTGAGACGTGCAAAATCTAAACTTATAAAGGTATGATAACATAAAGTAAATTAACATTTAGAGAGCACCTCAATTTGGGGCTTGAGGTAAATTATATAACACATATAGCTGGATGAAAAGATTTGGATTAACTATTTTTTTGCTTAAAAGGTAACTTAGTCAATGTTTTTCCGTATAATTTCACAAAATCTGTTCAACCGTACGAAGGCCTCAGCATCAGCTCTTTTCTAATCGTTGAAAACATTTTTGAGACCGAGTTATTTTAAAATATCTCGTTGAATTTACTATTTCTTTATTTCAGAAATGGAGCCAACTAGATAATTTAGTTACTGACTATTACAATGAAGCCTTTGATAACGTTAAATATTTATACGCTTTGGAGAAATATTGCGAACCGTTATACAGGTATATTTTACTTCACCATAATAGCTGTTACTCTACTAGCATTTTACTAGTCCTCGATCTCGTACGAATGTTATCCCTGAACTCAGTCGTGTTGGTTAGGTTCATAGGCTACGATGACTGTTTATCATGCATACGAAATACAATTTTATATAATTTCTTCAGATGCGATCCACAGACTATGCAGCAGTACATCCCTGGCCTATTGTACACCATCCGTATGGTGTTTGCTACCTCTCGTTACTACAACACAACGAAGCAAATATCCACACTGCTAGTTAAAGTGACGAATCAAATACTTAATATGTGCATGGATTACCTAACCAATCATGGTAAAAAAACAATATGGAACCAGGATAAACTTAATTTTATAAGAAAGGCTAAAGTAAGACTTTGAACTATATGTATAAAAAAACATTGACATTGTGTAACTGATTTTTTAACTTTTTGTTTTGCTTATATAGCTTTGTCTGAGTCTATATAATTTTTATCGTGAGTGTTACGCTGAAACTCAACAAGAAATGAGCGAGGCATCTGATGAGAGGCCCTTTGATTGTTCGGAAATGTACATTTTTGGAAAATTTGAAACTTTCCGCAAAAGATTATTAAAGGTAAGATCAGTAAGTCGAAAAATATATATTCTATTCTGTCGAATTGTACATTTCAATCTTATAAGTCTTTATTACTACTATCAATTAAAAATGAAAATACGGTTAACATAATACATGTAACTTAATTCTTAGTAATAGTTTCATTCGAGCCCAAAACCGTTGTACAATTTACCGTGAACCCAGAATGATCTCTTCCTCTCTGCAGAAGAGAAACCAATTTTCTCTTGTGCATTTAGCCGCTTACTACTAATATATGAATTTGAGTGTCTTATTAGAACCTCGCTAGTGCACTTAGGCTTTTAATAATATTGTTTTACAGATAATCGATCTATTCGAAACATTTATTAGATATTATGTTTTGAACAAAACAACTCTAGAAGGTGTTGAAGAATACGCCACGAACTTCAATAAACTCTTCAAAACCATTTCGACAAAAACATATGATGCTTTGGATCACAGGTTTGACAATCAATAAATAATAGACGAATTCACCGGATTAAAAAAAATATACATACCAATTTTGTTTACAGACATCCAGATTTCGATAAAGACTACAAAATATACAAAGATGCTGTCGCTAACCAGGAATTACTGTTGGAGAACTTCATGATTACTGTAAAAATATATTTCAGTATTTTTTATCGTATGGATATACATTTCGGGTGAACTAGATACAATTATAGCGTTTCTAAATTTTAAAATTAATCTTATTCTTTTATTAACACGCTGTTGTCAGCTTGGCATGTATGTGTGTAACGGAATCTTCGAACGTGATTCGACCAACTTCAAAACGTTAAATTGAACTAAAACTTCGCACACTTATCAAGGACCGATGATAATATAATAAATTTGTCCTATTATCCTTATCAGGATCTTCAGGATTAACGGCTTTTTCCTTACCTAAAAATCCGATAGTGTCATTTGCTACGTACCTACTAAAAGGCGTGTGCTGAAACATATGTTGACTTACTTATTTGTTACCTACTTATTTAGCATTAATGAGAAAATATTTATCATTAATGACTAATCAAGGAAAAATTAATTATACTTAGTAGAAAATATTTTTCCACAAATTCAAATGAAAAAAATAAAAAAAACGTGATTATAACTTTACTTTTACTAATTGTCAATAAAATATTTTAACAACAATTGAGATCGAGCACCCCACGCATTTTACGATACCATTATTTTTATTTTTGAATAAATATAAAGTTACTTTCTACTTTTTAGTTCGGCCAGTTTCAAAATTGTGTTTTTTATTTTTTTTAACTTTAATTTATTTTTACTTAATTTAAGAATTATAATAATTTTACTGCATTTCATGCTAGCGAGCAAAAGTAGGGAGGTAAAGGATACAAAGTAAAAACTAGAAGCATAACTTAATATATAATCCGCTTTTTTATAGATAAAATAAGTTCAAATAATTAAATATCTATTATTTTCTAGAGCGTTAATAAATGCCCGACTACAGAAATTGCCTTGCACTTGTTGCTAAGATTTGAAAGCCTGAACTTATCCTGCTTATATCTTGAAGACCAGTACTATGATTTAATTCGAACTTATACAGCTGAAGTAGAGACAATACGAGACAGGTATTTCAAATTATATATTCATCTACCTTTCACCTATGTTCACCGAGTGAAAGACTCTTAAAAATCACAATTGAAGTTAAAAGAGAAAAAGAATACTTTTTTTTTTTGCTTAAATATTAAACTAATCTTTCTATTTCAAGGTACAATGAAGAAAGAGAGAACCCTGAACTGCCTAGAAATATGCCACCAGTAGCTGGTCGTATAATGTGGATTCGATTTTACGATAAAAATGTGAAAGTGCCTATGGAGACGTTCAGGCAGCATCACGAAGTCATTACCCATATGGTTTGTATAATATTTCGTAGTGTATGATCATCAATCATCATCAACAACCGTTAATAGTCCACTGCTGGACTTAGGCCTCTCCTTAAAAAGGAGGTTTTGGCCTACTATACCACGCTGGCCAGACGGGTTGGTATAGGGTTTGTCTCAAGTTTTTTTTCTCTCCAGTGCTGTTGTTTTGCGTAGTTTTTTCCCTTAGTCGGCTCTTACGACACCCACGGGATGAATAGGGGTGGTGAAACTTTGTATTCTTAATCTGTCACCACGGTAGTGTATGATAAAGTGCCGAAACTTAAATTTGATTTCATATTCTTATTTTAATAAGACAACTTTGGCATTAGAACTTACTATTGTTTCGGTGACTTTACAAACAATCAATTAGTTTAGGGATATACGCGTACAATGAATTCAAATCTACTTAAGCAGCTATCGTATACTTTGCTTAGATTCAACATAGAAATATATTAGGTCTAGTTATTGCCTTCTACCCTAATCTTGTATAATTTATAATCTTTTGTGATAATATATAAGAATTGGTTTACAGAATACTCAACGATGTATAAAGTTGTATAATGTTATGGCCATCGTATTCACGGAATATGAACTGATATATCATCATGCGTGGGCTGAAAATGTTGGACAGGTACTTTGCATACAAGATGTATGAGTTACAATTTGGGATATTTCTACGAATAGCCAAAATCTACTTTGTCGTTTTAGGTGCGGCTGAGTTTAATTGCTCCCCTTCTCATTCGTCACCCAACGACAAATATGTTCATAGTTAACTTTAGTTTCTACATACCAGAATGCATGCGAGAAGTTGAATATATGTGGCAGTTGGGACTCCGTAAGCTTCTTGACTTTTGTTTACTGCTGGTTTTAAAGATATATGTTACATAAAAGACTTTCTTTGTATTTTAGGTGTGCCAGATGGTGCACAAATATTAGCATTCTGTAAACAAAAAATTCTTGGTACCTACGAGCAAATAAAATATTTGGTTGAAAGAAATAATAAGATACGAAGGTAAAAGTGACATATTAAATATATATTACTTAATATACGTGTAGCCTTTGGTATAATTTAAAGCTATTTCTTTAAATACAGGAGCATGCCGAACCTTTATTTGCCTTTGTTACGCTCGCAGTTAATAAAACTAGAGAAAGCTTTCCAACCCGGTTTCTCAACAATTACTTGGACTTCGCTTGAGATACCTTCGTATTGCGAAAATATTGAAAAGGTTCTAGATGAAGTGGACTTGTTTGTTAAGGAGGTAACACGAACGTAGACTAAGTGCATTTTACTTTTTCAAAAAGTTGTCTGAAGTGGGTTAGCTTAAAAAAATATATTATAATAAAATGATGATTTTAGGTGGTGGATATGAAAGAAGCTCGTATCGATGCAATATTGTTATCTATCACTAAAACGATGCTTGTTTACTTGCCTCAACAGGCTGTTGATCCTAATTCATTCTATGATGATAATCAAGTTCGACGTGATGAAATCGGTACGTCTTTATAAAAAAATTAAAAACAGTTATGGAAGTGATTTCAGCACGTAACTTATTAGGGCAGTACAGAGATTGACTTGGTCAGTGGTTATAACATAAATCGTATTAATAACATAAGTAGGACAAAAACGTAGTGAATATTTGAAGTGAATAACTGTTAGCTTATCTTATTTAAAATTTACCATTTGTGCCTTTAGAAAGAATCGATTTTTTACAGCCCAAGAGCTTCAATTAAAATCATCGAATGCCGAAATTGCTGTCGTAGAACTCATACACAAGTTTTTAGACAGCGTGCCTAGTAAGCAAATAAGAGACTTGAAAGATAAATGGTAACTATTATTTTTCGTTTATTTTAAAAGCCACGAACTTTTATAATAATAGTAACTCTTGGCAATTATGTTATCTTAATATTTAAGTATTTGTAAAATTTGTTATTTCATATGTTTAGGCTGGATAAGGAAAAAGCTTTGAAGCAAGTCACATCGGCTACGAGGGTGATACCTGAAGATGCAGGTAACGTTCTAAAGATCTGTACCAATAAATATCAAGAGTCAAGATTATAATTTTAAAAATTAATATTAAGAAAATGTCATGTACTCTTTTGGCCCGTATTTTAACCGACTTCACAAGTATCGGTTGAACTCTGATTGCCTGAAACCAGTTTTAAGTGCAGATCAAAGCCTAAGTATCGATCTTATTATAGAACGCGTTTTAAGTTTTACTCAGTTTAAACGTTGCCACGTGATTGACATTATTATTCCGTATTACACAGCTAATTATTTAAAAAATAATTTTCTTTTAGAAACATAATTTCTGTGAATTTGAAGACAATAAAAATAGTTTACTATATACAAATTCACAGAAATGATGGCTAGTGTAGCAATGTTAACATATTAACAAGCTTGTAGTTTGTCCAAAATTAAATTTAGTAAATATTAAAATAAACATGACTAGATATAGGATATAATGGCACGTTCAAGTTATTTATCAGCACTTGTCATGTAAATATTAAACAATGTTTTTATTATAACATTTTTAAAATTTATAATAATAGAATAAAATTATTTATACTTTTAACATAAACCAAATGGTTGTGGTGATTTTAATTTAAACAAGTATTGTGTGTGAAAAATGTGTATTTCAGTGAATTTATTATTAATTATGGTAAATTAAAATGAATTGATAATAGTATGACAAGTAACTCTTTCGTTGATAAAGTAAAACTTTCGTAATTAATCAAAAACAAATCATCGTAAAACACATTAATTTCCCGTAAAATGCCCTAGAAATCACCGTTTGAGACTAGTTTTAGCTTGTCTCACGTTAACAAAGACCACAGCTGTCAAAATCTATATCTGAGTAAAGATTTCGACATAAACATAGTTTTAAAATAAGATATAAGTCACTTGAGTATGGATCGGTGAATCTCGTTTTAAGTGACGTTTAATAATAAAATCTTTACTTAAAATTAGTTGTAAGACTTGATTCACGACTGAGACACCTTTTAAAATACTGGCCTTTGATAGTTTAAATATCTGTTCGCAGCATTTCTGGAGTTAGAAAATCCAGATAGATATGATATAGTGCCTACAGTCAATGAATGCAATGAATTATTTGCTTACTTCGCCACCAAATGTTTAGAAGCATTGATTAAATGTACTCGGCAGAGCCTTGATATGCTTAGACGTCGTGCTTCTGTATCTAGGTATCTTACCATTTATGTATCCTCAAAATATTGTTGTATTATAAGAACGTACAAGATATTTATGCCAGGGTTTATTTAATTTAACTACTTTTTAAAAGTAAATTTGGAATCATCCATAATGATTCTAAATTTAAAAAGTAATCAAATGCCACTGACTACTGTAATATTTATACTAGTTCTTAAAAGTGCTATTGATCTTTCACTTTCTAGTTAAATACTAGTGATTGCTTGTGTTTGATTCAGTTTTCTGACTATGACCACCGATCCTGAAGAGCTAAAGAAACTCAACCCGCTAATGTTGACAAACATGTATCTTCAAATACCGAGAATATTAATAAAACCTACTTTGGAGGAGATTCAATCAGCGTTTTCACAGGTGAACTTAGCTATACCAAAGGTATTTTATCGTCTGCACCAAACGTGAAGAAACAAACCTGTGGGTTTCTTCATATCTAATACAGATGTTTTTCTTTGTCTGCCTATCAGTCTCACAACCAAGTGCTCCAAAACTACTAGACCGATTAAAATTTTAAATTGACTGAACGATTTGAAATTGATACACAGATCAATTCTTGTAACCCAAATACAGATGTACTACGTGAATGAATTAATTTTTGAATATAGAAGAAACTTCGTTCATGTGCTCCTAATCTCGGAAACTGAAAATGTTAAGTTTTTGTGTACGCTTCAAGAACTTAGAAAGTTCTGCACCGATTGAGCTCAAATTACACGATATACAAATTGGTATAAAGATTGTTTTATACATTATATATGTAGTTTGGTCTTTCTGTAAGCTCACTTACTCAGTATTTGAATAGTAATGATAGAATTGCTTAATACTGGTTTTCTGTGAAGTTGTAGTATCACTCTGATCAAGCCGACATATGTGCCGGGACATGGATATTATTATTATGGTGGAGTGGTGATTTGTACAAGATGGCTGTCAGGTGTTGGATGCGAGAAGCTGAAAATCGATCGAAGTGGTACGCAACGGGGGAGGCCTATGTGCCACAGTGGACTGATAGCCTGATGATGATGGCTATTATACAAATTTATATGAAACAATTCAGTTAAAACTTTTTGTTACTTCAGGTGGTATTGAATTGTATAATGGACATTCATCGCAGCGTGTTTATGTGGGGTCAACAAGAGCTTATTAAGAAAGAACAGGTCACTGGCAGTTCATTACTAGCGACGCGTAGTGTCACAGGTATCGAATTATTTAAGCTATTTAAGTGTTTTTATATCGTGAAATTTAGACTTCAAAAATGTGGTTGCATAGACCTTTTTTACAGAAATTATCCAATCCACAACTCAGTCAAAATGAGTGTGAGTTCCAATTTTTCGAAATTTATCTGTATTTGTATTGGGAAAAAACTTATATACTTACGTAGTGGTTATGAGTACAAAACGTTTTCTAGTCATCATCAAGTTTGGCATTATGACTATACTTATTATTTCTGTGCAATACGGACCCATTTCTAAAAAATATTCATTTTAATTCAAATATTATTGCAGCGGGCTCTAGATCTGGGTCTACCATTAGCGGAATAAGAAGTTATTTTAGAATGGTATCGGAGCATAAAGATATTGTTAGATCAGTAATGGCATTACAGGGAATGATGTACATGTATAAGCCTGATATTGAAAAACTTTTAAAGGTATGAATGAGTGTATAATAATAGGTTTTTACCTATGAAATTGCCGTTTTGTATGCAATAAGTGAAAGTTCTTCTTTTTTGAAACTTTTTTATTTCTGTTATTCGAAGTAATCACCCATGCAATCGACGCATCTTTGCCAACGCATTGGCAGTTTATTGATGCCCTTCTTGTAAAAATCAGCTGGACGGGAGGCAACAAACTCTTTAAAGGCATTTTGTACTGCCTCTCGGGAATTGAATTTTTTACCCACTAAAAAGTTGTCTAAATTTGGGAAAAAGTAATAGTCGGTAGGTGCAAGGTCTGGTGAGTATGGCGGATGAGGGAGAGCTTCCAACCCCAGCTCTTGCAGCTTGGAGACTGTCTGTTGCGCAGTATGGGGTCGCGCGTTGTCGTGAAGGAGCAGTGGGGACGACCGATTGACCAAAACTGGATGCTTGGTACTCACCAGACCTTGCACCTACCGACTATTACTTTTTCCAAAATTTAGACAACTTTTTAGTGGGTAAAAAATTCAATTCCCGAGAGGCAAGTACAAAATGCCTTTGAAGAGTTTGTTGCCTCCCGTCCAGCTGATTTTTACAAGAAGGGCATCAATAAACTGCCAATGCGTTGGCAAGGATGCGTCGATTGCATGGGTGATTAATTCGAATAACAGAAATAAAAAAGTTTGAAAAAATAAGTACTTTCACTTATTACATACAAAACGGCAATTTCATAGGTAAAGACCTATTATGTATGTATGTATGTAATAAGTACGGTATATAATACTGTACTTATTACAAATATCTCTTTACCTTAGAAATAATGAATATGTCATTATTTTCAATAGAGTTATGGCCGATTTGAGCATCTGTGGGCTGAAGATAGAGTGCAGCAGGTCCAAACATTTGTTGATTCAAACCCATTGAATGTTATAGTGAAAGATATGCTCACCAAATATGATAGGCAGACAGAAGAAGTGAATAATTTACCTAATCGTCACGTTATCGGGTCCATTCAGATAAATACTGGTATATATTTCTTATTAATACTATAATTTTGTTCCAATATTCCAAAATCAAATAAAAATGATCATTTCATGACAGAACACATCAAATTAGCACTGAATTTGGAGTCAGTTGAATGGAAAAGGATTTTATGTAAACTGTTATGTGTTGCTTACAAAGAACGAGTTGTAAAACTAATGCAGTTTATCAATGATCGAATGAAAACTATGAGCAAGAAGATCAAAGACTTGGATGACGTGCGAGTTGCAATGTTGTGCTTGGACCTTATTCGAGAAGAATTCATTGGGTAATATGCTTTTAATAGTTATAGTTATAAATACTACTTTATTTTTTTTGTGTTTTTAAGATAATTATATTCGACTTTACAATGTATTTTTATGAAAGAGATTATTTTTATATAATATTAGTTATAAAAGAGAAACTGTGATGCCTGCTATTCTGTTTGATTTTACAGTCACATTATGTAATGATTTAAAGGACTTGATTGTACTGTATACTTTTGTTGCCAGGATGGATATGGAATTAGATCTAATAGAAGAGAGTTACGGCATGTTTGCATCGTTTAATATAGATATTCCTAAAGAAGACGCCGACATGGTGTATGGACTGCGTTATGCCTTTCAGAATATGTTGCTTACTGTAAGAGACTAGTTTTAAATGTAATTTATAAAAAAAAATAGTTTAAAAAACTAAAAAACACGCTTTTATAGAAAACCAAACTAAAAAATAGAAAATAAATTTGAAAAAAAGCGTTTGGTGCCTGTTGTCAATAGTAAAAAGCACCCCACTTTTTTAATATTTTCTTTTAATTAGTGTATTGTCATCGGTCCTCGATATATCTACAAACTTTGAACGAATTCTGACCGTTTAAAGTCAGTCAAAATCACGCCCAAAGGAGTCGGTTACAAACTTACAAACAAACATACAAGTGAAGCTAACATAAAGCGTGTAATAAATATTAACAAAAACTTAGAATCGACGTTACTAGTACCTACCTACATAACTTTACATCATTTTGGTATATATTTAACCGTGGAAGGTTAAACTTATAACAAGATAATCACAAAATTATGTATTTCTCTTTAATTTACCTATTTTGTGTTATTATATGCTTGAAAGATAAAAAATCCATACAATTTTTTTTTTAAGATCTGCGAATATATATAAAGAATAATCTTTTCGAAGGGCTATTATATAGGTGGCTAGATATATACCGTTGAATAAACAATAAAATTAGCATTTGTTGTTGACTTAAGTCCTTGTCTATAAACAACCTTATAATAATAAAAGATCACTTCATACAGTCTCAACAAGTACAGCAAAAGATAGTGGAAATGCAAGGTCCACTGCAGAATGAGCTCACAGAAGGTGTTAGAACATTTGTACTGGAAGTGCAGAAGTTTGATGCTGATTATGACGCATTTGGTCCCATGACGCCGGGCCTATCAGCGCGAGATGCCAGCGACAGGTAAAATGTTAAAGGATATCAATATCGACTTACGATCTTTTATTTTTACACATCCGTATGTTGACTTTACGCTTTTCAAGAATTTTGTACGTACGTACCTACTTGTGATTCTCGAGTTGCAGGTATCTATGGGCGGGGGTGCATTTAACAGTCTGTAAGAGTTTATTTACATAAGTAAATTTTACTATTCGTCTAGTTATTTGAATTATATGAATTTAGTTAATTGTTTATATGAATTTGCATGAACACACACACTGATAGAATTGTATCTTATACTAACCGAAGCGTGCAATTATCAGGTCCTATTTTGCGTTTATCGAAAGATAGTTAGGAAAACTATATAAATAATTCTATAAACATTCTACAGAGTAATAATGTTCCAATCGAGATTCGATGAGTTGTGGAGAAGATTCGAAATGTATTCCAGCGGTGAAAAATTATTCGGCATGGAGGTTAAAGACTATCCGATTTTGCACCAAAAGAAAAAGGAGTTTAACTTATTGAGCAAACTGTAAGATCAAATTATGTTAAATAAATTAATTAAATTAATGCTCTATTGATGCTAGATAATTATCTAGCATCTCTACAAGAAAATAAAATTTTAACATACCTTCATTTTGCTCTACAGTTACAGTTTGTACTTAAATGTGGTGAATTCTATTGATGGTTATTTCGAGACTCCTTGGGTAGAAATCGACATTGAACAAATAGTAGCCCAGTTAGCTGAGTTCGATGTAAGGTAAAAATATTTTTCCTTACAGTTTTTACTTTTGGAAAACCTTTCAAATGCATTGACTTTATTTTGTGAACGATATATTTAAAAATTATTTCATAAATATTTTTTTCGTAACGCAGGTGTCGTAAATTACCAAAAGGAATGAAAGACTGGCCTGCTTTTATTGAACTGAAGAAAAAAATTGATGACTTCAACCAGACATGTCCACTTTTAGAACTGATGGCTGACAAAGCTATGAAGGATAGACACTGGAGGAGATTAGAAACACTATTGAGTAAGTAGAAGCATTAAAATATGAAAAAATAGAAGACAAGTTTTAAGAGAGGAAAGGAGAGTTTTATTTGAAATACTTTGAAATACTAAGTTCACGTGAGTCCTCGGTTTTTGTTATGTAATTTTCATTATTGTCTATTATTTCGTGTTCTGTGTTTATCTTTTTCTTGGTAAGTTCTTGCTGGTTAATTTTTTGAAAACAAAAAAAGAAGTAAATACCGTAATGTAGTTTAGTTTAAATCCAAAAAGTCGTTCTCGAGAGTTTTGATTTTCTTTAAAATTCATCTGATGATGATGAATTTTAAAAAACAGCCCCTAACAGTAAAGTATTGGACATATTAAAATTAAATAACTTGTTTCTTTATAGAATGCGTATTAGACGTGGAATCTGAATCATTCACATTAGCCAATGTCATGGAGGCGCCGCTGCTAGAAAATAAGGAAGATGTTGAGGTATGTTTAATGTGGCATTTTAGTGTTTTAAACTATTGTATAATTCTATTATGTTGTATAATGACAGAATAATTTATAACCAAGAGTTTCTAAAAGCAGAAGTTTTCAAACACAATAACTTTAGTGTATCTACCGAATAAATCGGCTATTCGAATTATGCTTTATATCTTTTTTCTAAACAGCTGTGACATTTTACACAATTGATGCTAATTTTGTTATTATAATTAATAGTTAAATCGGTTTTATTTATATCTGAAATAATCCTCTGAAATATTATTCACTAAAAGAGCGAGAGTTCTTCAGTTAATCTAAGAATTTTAAACCAATCAATAAATCAGTATATAATTAAAAGAAGATAATGTAGTTTACTGATTAAAAATGCTAATGTTCAGTTTTTCTTTATCCGTCAGGATATTTGTATCAGTGCCGTGAAAGAGAAGGATATTGAAGCCAAGCTAAAGGAAGTGGCAGCTAGTTGGGCATTAGTAGATCTTACATTTGCTCATTTCAAGAATAGGGGAGAGCTGCTGATTAAACCGCAGGAAACGCTTGATACTATTACTTTATTGGAGGACTCATTGATGGTTCTCAATTCTTTAGCTTCCAACAGGTACGAAACATAGAGAAGTACATGGTTAAAGTTTATTTGTGTTTAATCCATCATGGTCTAGCTAGGAATCCATCATTATCGAATTGTGTATACACGTTGCCAAGAGTACAGATAAGCACATAGGGTGGTTTCTATGTATAATATGTATGAATTTATGAAAAATAGTATATAAGTATTCTATCAGATAATGTCTGTCCGTGTAGTGATGGATTAAGAATACGGAATGTCACTACCCCAATTCATCCCGTGGGTGTCGTAAGAGGCGACTAAGGGCGAAAAATAACGCAGGACACCAGCACTGCAAAAAGAAGGAAAACTTGACAAAAACCCTATACCAACCCGCCTGGCCAGCGTGGTATCGTAGGCCAAAACCTCCTTCCTAAGGAGAGGCCTATGTCCAGCAGTGGACTATTAAAGGCTGTTGATGATGATCAGATAATTTAGCTTGCATAGTTCAAACTTAGTTCTGCTTAGTTTGAAATTAGATGGCGTTGTGCGTCAGATGTTCTAAAATATTGCTATTATCTTTATTAAGATAACGATATAGATATAAGAAAATATAAAACAAAGGAATACTACGTACAAAACCTATAATAACCCGCCCGGCCAGCGTGGTATAGTACGCCATAACCTTCTTTCTAAGGAGAGGCCTATGTCCAGCAGTAGACTATTAAAGGCTGTTGATGTGATGTAAAGAACAAATCAAAATTATTAATACATTTCGGCGCAGTCGAATACATAGACAAATGATAAATATAATAACAGTAATAGTTTTTATTTTAAAAAATCGGGAGACACTGACTGTAATAATTGATTGTTTTCTACTATAAAAAAAATAATTTATTATTTAATAATTAATTTTGTACATCGGTAAAAAATCTAGAACGCTGCGATAATATTTTTTTCTCACATCCATTAAATTTTTTGTTCAGATACAATGCACCATTTAAAAGAGATATTTTACTTTGGATTAATAAGTTAGTAAGCACAAGTGAGATTCTAGAGAAGTGGTTGCAAGTCCAAAATTTGTGGATGTACTTGGAAGCTGTGTTTGTGGGAGGCGATATCGCTAAGCAACTACCTGCAGAAGCCAAACGATTTGCGGTTTGTAATACACATTTAAGTTACTAACTTAATAACTAAGATTACGATTATCATAGTATATAAACACGATGCTGTAGTACTTACTACTGGACAAATAGTTAAATAAAAAGTGATACGTGTAACAATTCGACTGCACGGATGGCGTAGTGGTTTAAGCGGTCAGTGGCGGCCTTAGGGGGTGGCGAACAGGGCAATCGCCCGGGGCCTCGCTCCTACAGGGGCCTCGCGCAACAACCCAAGCAAATTTTAAAAAATATAAAATTTTTTAACTATTTTTTTTTATTTAAAACTTTTGATTTTGATCCTTAATTACTTATTAAGGTTATAACATAACCGTAAATTAAAATTAAGTTAGTTAACTAATTCATTCATTCAAAACATAATTGAAAAATTCATTATGTACACACTGTAAATTTTAGTGTCTTATTTTAAAACATTAAAATCGTTTTAATATGACGTCACCCATTTGATTAACATTGTCTCGATTTTAAAACGTTTTTTAGTGTTTTAAAATCGAGACAATGTTAATCAAATGGGTGACGTCATATTAAAACGATTTTAATGTTTTAAAATAAGACACTAAAATTTACAGTGCACTGAGAGATTTTTTTCGATAACCGTAAGTACAAAAAATGACAAGGCCGCGATTCGAAGTTTATAAGTACAAATGTGTGTAAACAGAAGTAAACTTTGGGTTATTGTAACCATAAGATGTACTTTATTCTATATTTTTCTTAATCTTAGTACAGTTTTACTTATCGTAACCCAAAATTAACTACGATCTACGTACATTTTCACTTGTTAACTTCGAATCGCGGACTTGTCACGTTTTGTGCTTGCGGTTATCGAAAAAAATCTCTCAGTGTAGTACTTGAATATCGCGCCTCGAAACACTTGAAGATCGGTTTTTTAATCGCATAACACTCGTGAGTCGGGACATAATGTTCTGCTCTTCTATCGCTCAGGAAATCCCCGTGTTTCATTTCATTTGTTAACTTTTGTCACCTTGGAATTATTTTACTTAAAGTATGAGTTACAAAATCGTTACCGTACATATCTTTCAATTTTATTGGATATTACGTTCTTATAGTATTGAAAGTATTGAGTGAGCTGGAAAAGTGTAAATTATAGTATTTGAAGTATTGAGAAAACTGAAAAAGTGTAAAAAAACTGTGTGAAAAAACTGTGTGGTACTTAAAAATTTATTTCTGACTGTTTGAGCGGAACAAAAAAAGATTTACGAAATGAGTTCGCGTGATCGTGATGCCGGTAGAAAATTTGAGTCAGGGAGTTCAAAAAGGAAACGAGCTATCAAAAGAAAGCAGGTAGAAGAAAATCTGCGTGGATCTTTATATAAATATATAAAAAGTGATGATAAAGAAACCTCTACAAAACATTTATTGACTAAAAGTGACTCTTATCCTGATCCAGCTGAAAACATTCCTTCCACATCATCATGGGTGCCGCCGCCGTCATTAAGTAAAAACAGCGAGGATGATGATGAATTAACTACATCATTGTCTCTTAGGTCACCGATGCCACCATCAACGCTATCCAGTCAAGAACACGAATCTGAGCCCGAGTCTATGTCTACATCCATGACTGCTGAAACGGAAAATCTGAATCCTCAAAATGACCCCGGTTTGTGGCCCATAACAATTACTGATGTAGACCGAACTGAGATTGTATTAAAAGGTCCAATCCGGGTTAAAGTTGATTTATTTCCGGTAAATGATAATGGACGGCGATTCAGCGAATATCATTATAATAAGATATTAGTTAACGGTGAAAAGCTTCACAGGCGCTGGATGATTTATTCACAAACAAAGGATGCCGTTTACTGCTTTCCGTGTCGAATATTCGGGTTAGAAAATACAAAGATTGGATCAAGTGAAGGAGTGTGTGATTGGAAACACTTGGGTGATTACCTAAAGTCTCACGAATCTAGTCGACAGCACAAAGATTGTATGTTGAAATGGATTAATTTAGAGAATGGTTTAAAAGGCTGTTCCACTATTAACTTGTTGGCCCAGTCACAAATTGAACAAGAAAGGCAACGTTGGAGAGATATTTTAGAACGATTGCTCGCAATTATAAATTTTTTAGCATCTCACAATTTGGCCTTCAGGGGTCATAGAGAGAAGTTAACAACTGACTCAGATTCGAGTGAGACAAGTGGCAACTTTATAGATTTAGTAAAGTTAATAGCCCGATTTGATCCCGTGCTGAGACTTCACCTAAAAGAAGTAAAGGATAAGACGATTAATGACCACTATATCGGAAAAAGTATTCAAAATGAGCTCATACAAATAATGGCAAGTCACGTGAAGACTCAAATTGTTGAAAAAATAGTAAATAATAAATACTACTCGATTATTCTTGATTGTACTCGCGACGTTTCTCGTGTTGAGCAACTTTCAATTATTATAAGATTTTTTAATACAAATACAGCTGAAATTGAAGAACATTTCATTGGTTTCTTAGCCGTCGAAAAAACCACAGCTGAGAGTTTGACTAATTATATAATCACAGAATTAGAACAGTTAGGTATATCATTGCAAAATTGCAGAGGCCAAGGATATGATAATGGTGCCAATATGCGTGGTGAAAAAAGTGGTGTCCAAAAACGTATTCTTGAAATTAATCCGCTTGCTTATTTTTTACCTTGTGGGAGTCATAGCTGGAATCTCATCCTAGGAGATGCAGCATCGTCTTGTGTCCAAGCAAAATCTTTTTTTGGTTTGCTACAAAGGTTGTACACTCTGTTTGCCGGCTCAAGTCAGAGGTGGGCTATTTTAAATGCTCATGTAAAATCATTGTCGCTAAAACCACTTTCTGAAACTAGATGGGAGTGCAGGGTAGCATCGGTGAAGGCCGTTAAATACCAACTAAGTGATATATGTGATGCTTTGAAGGATTTAGCAGAAAACACAACAGATTGTCAGTTGGTCAGTGAATGCCATTCTATAGAAAAGGAACTAACTACCTACGAATTTGTAGTTTCACTTGTCATATGGTATGACATTCTTACAAAGATAAATGTTATAAGTAAAATGTGGCAAAGCGAAAACATGCACTTAGATGTGGCTATACAACACCTAGACGCATTCACAAATTGGCTCGATAATTATCGAGAAAATGGTTTTCAGTCATCCCTTGTAACAGCAAGAGAAATAGCCGAGAAAAATGATATTGACAGACAGTTCAAAGAAGTTAGAAGACGACGTAAAAAAAGGCATTTTGATTATGAAGGGGAAGATGAAGCTCATGAATTGAAAGCGGAAGAAATTTTCAAAATAAACTATTTTTATGTCATTGTCGACAATGTGCGCGCAAGCTGTTATCCTAGGTTTGAGGCTCTTAAACATCATGAGAGCATATTTGGTTTTATGTATAATATAAAAAAATTAAAGGAAATTAATGATAGTGAACTTTTAAAGCAATGCAGCGACTTGCAAATATCTATGACAGTAGGAGAATCATGTGACATTGATGGACATGAATTGTACGAAGAACTGAATATGTTCATCCGTGTGTATGAAGGAAACGATGACATTATCTCGGTGCTAAAATACATAATAGAAAAAAAATTAACTGAAGTTTACCCCACTATCGAAATAGTCCTGAGAATTATTGCTACCACACCTGTTACAGTTGCGTCTGCTGAAAGGAGCTTTTCGAGGCTTAAAATTATTAAAACATATTTGAGGAATTCAATGACACAAGATCGGCTTTCAGCCCTCGCTATTCTTTCAATCGAAAATGACGTAGCTTATTCGTTAGATTATTGTGCTTTAATTAAAGATTTTAGTCTTAGGAAAAGCCGCAAACATCAATTTTAAAATTTATCATCTCTGTATTTGTTAATTTTGTGAATCTTTCAATGTAAAATATTTTAAAATTCAAATTTGATTTATTTGTATAATTTAAGCATTTTTCCTTAAACATGACAAATACCTAAACCAAACAACCAGACCTACTTTCGCATCACATACTTTTCACGAAGGACAAAGGACCTCGCAAAGACCTGCCGCCCGGAGCCTCGCAATGGGTAAGGCCGCCTCTGTAAGCGGTCGCCACCCCGCTTCCTACTACGCCGAGTGTTGTGGGTTTAAACCCCACATGGGACGACACTTTGTGTGATTCACAAATTGTTGTTCTGAGTCTGGGTGTTCTTTGTGTCCGTTTCATGTATGTTTGTGAAGTCCCCCGCGACTCAGGATTTATTCCTAATGCAGGCGTTGTCTTTTTCAAAAAAAAAAAAAATATTGAAAATAATTATTTATTAAAATGTTAGGTATAAACTTCTTATCAGATCAAAGTTTTTAACGTATAGCCCGTTTTCCTCATGGACCAACTATGTACGCACAACTAGTTGTGCCATCCCAGAATATGTTCTTAATGACACAACTATGCACAACTAAGCACAACTGATTTACTATAACCATTCCTTTTAGCACAACTACAGGAGGAAATAAATAAGATTATTACTAACCTCTTCAGATATTGATGATTATGTTGGCCACTTCTGTCATATCTTTGTATATTAACAAATAGAAAATTATAAATGCTATTTCATGTCATTTATTATCAGTAATTATTTAAAAAATATTGATATATTATTTTCGTGCATACGCTGGCGTATATCCTGACTGTAAGCATGTCTATGTCTACGTCGAAAACGAAGAACTTATAACCATAACGATGAACCTTTGTACACCGATTGTAATCAGTTGTGTATCTAGGAACAAATATTAATTGAAAATTATTTCGTTGTGCCAATGGGAATGATTTAAAAAAAATATTCCTCATGACACAACTAGTTGTGCATACATAGTTGGTCCATGAGGAAACAACGACGTATAGTGCACTATTTGTAAGTCATCATCATCCTGCCCTAAAAATGTAGATTGGGGTAAGAAAAACGGATAGAGCGAGGGAGCTGGGCTGAAGGATACCTCCAGTCTCGGATAGAAAGACGGGACGGGACGAGACTCATCCTGTGTCCGAAGAAGCTACGAACGAGTTTTAATTTTCTATATCTTTACTTTGTGCAGACTATTGACAAACAGTACGTGAAGATAATGTATAGAGCACGCGACATAGTAAACTGCGTAGAAACATGTACTTCTGACGACACTTTAAAACAAATGCTGCCGCACTTATTTGAGCAGCTCGAAGCCTGCCAGAAATCACTAACCGGCTACCTGGAAACCAAGCGCCTTATCTTCCCCAGGTTCTTCTTCGTTTCGGATCCAGTACTATTGGAAATTCTCGGACAGGCTTCAAATCCACATTCTATACAGGTATGTGGTGCCTTTTTAGTCCTAAGTCTAAAGCCTGAAAATATAATCATATATATCATACCTATGAAGTTGGAGATTTGTATGGAATTTTTAAATTAAAAAAATTTTGTTTATTTTTTAATTTTAGCTAATCAAAGTACTGGCCCAAATTATCTATAAAGTTTTGCCATTGTGATGGCAAAACTGTTTATCCCTCTTTCTGTAGAAATCTACTGGACTAGAGGCAGTGAAGTCAGCGAAAGCGTATTGTATTACCTTTCGGGTGTTGAATTTTTTTTCTACTTAAAAAATTGTCAAAATTTTGAAAAAAAGTAGAAATTGTTGGGGCAACGTTCGGTGAGTACGGTGGGTGACAGAGCTACCGGCTGTAACTCTTGTAACTTTGCGATGATCTGTCGTAAAGTGTGAGCTCGAACGTTGTCGTGGAGAAGCAATGGGGAAAAGCGATTGACCAGTCGTGGTAGATGAATTGTGAGCTTCTCCATCATTGTTTGTAATTCTTGGCAATAGACATCTGCCGTCAATGTTGTGCCATTCGGTAAGAAGAGTCCAGCACTGGTTAAACAGGCAGTTATCATCACCTTCCTAGGTAATCTTTTTTTTTAGCGCACTAATTGGGTTCTGTACGTGGGTCCACCCACAGAGACGAACGCTTACAGTTGTCGTTCAGGATCCACTTTTCATTGCAGGTAACAATTCGATTGAGTATTTATACCAATTCAGTAGTGCTATACATGTTTTGGCGCGTAAGTCTTGCTGATAGTCGCTTGGTTCGTGTGGCACCCACTTATCTAGCTTTTTTATTTTCTGATTTGACGCAAGTGCTTCAATGTTGTTTTGACACTAACTCCAAAGCCCGCTGCAAGCTCAGCGGTAGATTGAGTTGGATATGCTTCCACTATCGACTTCATTTCATCGATGTCGACTGTAGTTTGAAAATTGTAGGAATTTTCAGTTTTTCCATGGCGCCAAAAACTACCACTATTTCACAAAAACAAAACACTATTTAAAACAAATGACTGAATTTTAAATTAAAAAACATGGCTTTCAAATGGGCATTTTTTTGACCTTTAAGGTCATTGTGTATCTTGCTTGAATTTTTGCATATTTGTGTAATATATTGTAAAAAAGATTAAAACATGAAAAATATTGTATGTAAGAATATGCCTGTTAAGAATTTCGCATCAGACATATTCATCATCATCATCATTTTCCTACACTTTTCCCAAATTTATTTGGGGTCTGGGGGGTGCAATGACTTTTCTTCTTCGATTCTCTTTGATCACTCTTTCACGCAGTTCTGCAATTCCTTACGAAATAGTTTAACATTTTCTTTTATGGCCATCCGCATTCCTAATCGTTCTTCGAAGAATATGCAGCGTAAAGATCTATCATTTTGGGGAACTCGGCATCATAGCTCGTGAAGTTATACCATACCTACTGTGCTAGTTTTAAAAGAAGGTTTAGCTTAGTATTTAAACTTTCTATTTCTTCCAGCCTCATCTACCCAGTATTTTCGACGCAATATACACGGTAGACTTTGACGATAAAGAGAGAATTACAGTTATGAACTCTAGTAACGGGGAGTCTATCCATCTTGAGAAAGCCGTAATTTGTATCGGAGGAGTGGAGGTAAATAATAAAATAGTAATATAAAGTTCAATAGAATCAAAATCTTACTTGAAATACAAAATGTACCCTTGGATACAGATGTAATCAATGCAACCGAGTTATGATGTTAGAGTGCTACTTTTGGTGATGAAACTGCCAACTTTGGTGACTAAACTGCCAATTGTACAGCTATACAGCACGGCATCATAGGCTCAGCGAAAACATACATTTTTACAGAACCATCATTGTTGCATCGTTTATTACAAGTATTTTTATAGATTTTGCCAATAATGAATTAAAACTCAAAAATAAAAGAATATATTTAAAACAGTACTTACATAAAACTGTCCAAGTTAAATTCAAACGGTCGTAAGCAATGACCGTTTAGGATTCCTTTTGACTGACTTGACTAGGTCATGCCTTATAAGTTATAACTTACGTCATGATATTTTAGTGATATAGGCGAGTGTTCTATTATTATATATATCTGTAAATTTGAATATTGCTTGATTAGTAAAATAAATCATAATTTTCAACAACATTAAAACTATTTCACTGTGTTGAAATTTTGCATAGTGTAGAATTTCCCTATCCTCATATGTAAGTACAAATACCAGTAAGTCTAAACACGACTATTCATGTCATATGTAATATCTTACAGCATTGGTTAAATACACTATTGGAGTCGATGCAAGAGACCGTGAAAAATGTAATTGCAAATATCGCGCAAACTATGATTGGAGATCCAGAATTTGAATTTTTGGTTGGATTCAAGCATTTTGCCGGTCAGGTAATTATGAACACTTACATAACGATTAAATCATTGTATAGAAAATTTACGTAAAAGATGAAGATCAGTCAGAATGTTTTATAAATCTGATAGTTTTTTTTTATGAGGAATTTGTGGGTTGAGATTGTTTAGAAAATAAAATATTGGCTTTTTTATAGTTGCAAAAAAAAGTGATATAGGATCACTTTTTACATTATTCATGTAAGTTTAAGAAAATTAATATAGTGAAATCATAAAAGGAACTCTGTGATATATACGCACGCATTCAATAGTCTACCATTCAGCTGCATATGGGAAGTACTCCTCTATTGTGGGGTGCCAGAGTACCTAAGGCGGCCGTGGCGGATCGTTTAGAGGAGCGCACAGTCGTGTATCAGGACCGAGATAGTCAGATCTGAGGTGTCAGCTCATGTCGTGCAGTGTTCCACTTGGTCCTTCGAGCGGATTTTCCCCTAGGGCTGGGTGTAATTTGTTAAGTCTATGATACATTGGTCACAGCCCGGGGACCGAACTTTCAAAAGGCGGCGCGCTTGGCCCCAGAGGAGTCTCTCTGGTGGTCGGGCGTATTGAGGGGCTAGGCATACGAGTGACCCTGGATAAGACGGAGGCCCTCTTATTTCATTTGCCTCGGCTCAGCACACACTGGCTATCGGCCGTCATACGCTCCGTGGCCGGTAGTGATAGTTGCTTTACCGCCGTCGCATCATTCTGCGAAGACGTCATTTTGCAGAAGGAGGCGTCGGAGAGCGCTAGGAGGGGTCCGGATGTCTTAATAACAGTACTTAATAACGCACTCCGTGTGGTTTTAGTCGGTGCTATTCCGACACACCACCCCGTCGTAAACCCCGGTGGGGTGACGGCCCTAGGGGGTTTTCACACGTAAAAAACAAAAAAAGGGTTTCTAGTACAGTACTGCATAATAAATATAGCATACGTTTTAGGTTTTTCAGTTTTTTTACAAATTCTATAATTCATTGCCTATTATTTATTGCATATTAATTCAACACATTAACATTATTTTTCTAGGCTGCTTTATTAGGAATGCAAATTCTATGGACAAATGACGCAGAGTACGCTCTGAAGAAAGCACGAGTTGATCGTTACATTATGAGAATTACCAATCAAAAGTTCTTAGAACTACTAAATGGTTTAATTGACCAGACTGTTACCGATCTAGTACCTTTAGCTAGAACTCAAGTGGAGACTATGATCACAATTCATGTACATCAGAGGTAAAGATAATTTTAACACATTCATAAAATATTTAATCAGATAGGAAATTGGAAACCTACATTAAAATGTTATTCAAGGAAATACATAATACAATACATACGTACATTAACATGTTAAATACCACTCACACATCATCATAAGAATATCAGATATTGAAATCCCTCAAACTAGCAAAGGGCAGGTATTTAAATGGGTTCTATTGAAGTGGTAAGGTATTTGATTTCTAATTAAAATTGCAGAGATATCTTTGATGAACTAGTAAAAATGAGAATCAAGTCAATAGGGGATTTCGAATGGCAAAAGCAGGCTCGTTTCTATTACTTTGAAGAATCTGATGAATGCCTCGTATCGATAACTGATGTTGATTTTATATATCAGGTAAATGGTTTATAAAAACATACTTTTGCATGCTAAATCCATAAACAGTGCTTAAAATAAGATATGAGAAGGCAGTTTTCTCATATTTCATTTTACTATTAAAAATAAGTGGCAAATTTATAATTAATAAATGATATCATTTTATAATAAATGATATCTTGGAATAGCTGACGTTTGATTTAAGTAATTTTGTAACTGGGAACTTTCTGATTATGGAACTAGGCTCGATCTGAGGATAAGGAGGTGGATGAACTTATTTATTTATTAACACGCTTTATATATATACATACATACATACCTAGCTAATGCTTCGAGCTAAACCTTCGAACGTGATTTTGACCCACTTCAAATCGTTGAATTAAATTGAAACTTTGCACACTTACCAAGGACCGATGACAATACAATAATATGATATATTAGCATATGTTACTTACTTACTTGTTACTTTTTAGATTTAATGAGAAAATAATCATAATTAATGAATGAATAAAAGCAGAAATACATTTTTGTTTAAAACTAGCCGAACTAAAAAGTACAAAATAATTTTCTATAATCATTTTATCAAAAAAAGCGCGTTTTCAAGTTTATAATATATTAACTTTAATAATATCTGTTAATTAAATATTTTTACAACAATTGAGATGTAGAACCCTACGCATTTTTACGATAAAATTATTTTTGGTTTTGAACTTACAGAAAATCATTTTAAGGTTTTAATTCAGCTAGTTACAAAAGCATGTTTTATTTTTTAAACTACTGTTTATTTGTGAAAAATTAATATAAGTTATTTTATGCTTTAGAATGAATACTTGGGAATAACGGAGCGTCTCGTAATCACACCTTTGACGGATCGTTGTTATATCACTCTCTCACAAGCCATCGGTATGAGTATGGGCGGTGCGCCCGCTGGACCAGCTGGAACTGGGAAAACTGAGACTACCAAAGATATGGGCCGTACACTAGGAAAACTGGTCATTGTATTTAATTGCTCTGATCAAATGGATTTTAGAGGTAGGCTAGGACGATTTTTATCGTCTTCTTGAGTTTGAGCCTGCTATACGGCCATGTATTATTACGCTAACCTTTTATTCACCACATTACCGATGCCGCGATGTACTGTTTGATATTCTCTAAATTATATCTATTTATTCGTTGATCAATACACATATGATGCACACTATCGCAATATATTACGTACAGTCAATGATAATTGCATTCAGTTTAAAATATATTATATCGTAAATTGAATGCAATGATCTGACATGATTGATCTGTAAAACCCTTACATAATCACCCTAAATAGAGCACAGTGCGTAAGTGGGTGTTAAGGTTTTTATTAAAATATTTAATACTAGCTTTTGCCCGCGGCTCCGCTCGCGTGTATGTCGGTTATTGCGGTAAAAAGCCTATGTCACTCGCTGATAATGTAGCTTTCCATAGCTGTAAGAATTTTTTAAATCGGTTTTGTGGTTTTGGCGAGAAAGTATAACAAAAAACAAACAAACACACACACACATTTATAACATAAGTATGGATAATATTAATATCTGCTATATTCGTTTACAAATATTTATATTGTCTCAAATATTTTGATTAGGTCTAGGTCGAATTTATAAAGGCCTTGCCCAGTCCGGCACGTGGGGCTGCTTCGATGAGTTTAACCGGATCGAGTTGCCCGTGCTGTCTGTGGCCGCACAGCAAATTTACATCTGCCTCACTGCCAGAAGGGAGAAGAAAGATTTCTTTATATTCAGGTATTATTAATTAATGTTGCTTTGGTTTAAAATAAGCAATGTTTTTAAATTCTGGCAATTGATAAAAAAACCCGAAAACATGATGTTTATAAAAACATTCAGTTAAAAGTAAATTAAATTAATTCTGATTAAATTTATCTATTATTGTAAGTAAAAATGATATGTACATACAGAAATGATATTGTTGACCTAAAATTTCCTTATAATTCTTATAGTGACGGTGACACAGTAAGTCTGAATCCTGAGTTTGCTTTCATCATTACAATGAACCCGGGATACGCCGGCAGACAGGAGTTGCCTGAAAATTTGAAAATACAGTTCCGCTCGGTAGCTATGATGGTGCCTGATAGGCAAATTATTATCCGAGTCAAGTTGGCTAGCTGCGGATTTAAAGAGAATATTGTATTAGGTAAAAACAAGTGTAATATGTACGAATTAATTGGTTTTATTGCACATGTATAACTATGTTTTTAATAGTGTACGAAATATTATAATACTTTTTTATGGTTTGTGGGGCAAAACGAGAACGGATACCAAAAAATACTAGTGCGTTCCTATTCTTTGAGTTGCACCAATAATTAGAGGAGGATTTGGCCTTCCGAAAACGGCACTCACTTGATGAAAAGAAAAGGAACAAAATAATTGCTTAGATGTAGCATAGGTTTTCTGCGCATTTATACCCAAGGTTGGCATACTCACAGCTCTATACTTTTGTATAATATGAAAAAATAAAAAAAAGTGTATCCGGATATCCTTGTCCTTATCTCATATTCTAAAATGAAAAGTTCTCTAAGTTAAATCCAACGCTGTGCCTTGGAGGTTATGTCCATATAGGAAAATTTCTACAGTAAAAAATTCTTAGTAGCAGGACGACAGTGATAAAACGACTGAACATGTCAAAGAATTAGGAAGTAAATGAATGAAAATTAGGTATTAAAATGGCAATATTATATTTATAATTTTAATTACTAACAACGCAATATTATCACAAATTCTGCATCGACCGTTGATATTACAAAGCAGTCAGATCGTGGACACCATCTTAGTCTATAAGTACATACATATCAAATTTGCCAAGAGCAGTGTTTAAGACTTCGCGCTCGCCGATTACTACGTATCAGACTCTCAGCTATAACAAAATGATGAATTTTATAATTATAATAACTCAATATACAAGCCTAATAGTGTGTGTATTATAATTTGTCACATTTTATTTTATAACCATTGTCAGTTGGACATTTTGTCTTTCTTAACATTCTCACTGGTCGGTTCCTCATGTCTGTGGATCGTGATCAGCATTGGGGTTACTTCTAGAGTTGACGATCTCTCCGTGTATTGTAAACGACACCACTGAACCACACCACTGGGGTGTCGTTTATATTTTTTTTTGTTTACGACACCACTGCTGACTAGCGAAACGTGAAAAAAAAAACAAAATTTGTTGTGTTAATTTTTAATGATAGTCTAGTGGTTAGTGACCCTGAATGCTAAACCGGAGGTCGTGGGTTCGATTCCAACCCAGAACAAATATTTGTGTGATGAGCACGAACGTATGTTCTGTCTGAGTATAATTTATCTATAAAATGTATGTATTTAGAAAAATATAAGTATGTTTATCAGCAGTCTGGTTACCATAGTACAGGCTCTGCCTAGTTTGGGATCAGACGGCCGTGTGTGAGATGTGTGAGGTTCTTATTATTATAATAATTGTATCCATTACAACAAACAAACTAGATTAATTTAAAAAACTTTATCCGATATTATCCAATAACAATTAATTTTTTTCACCGTACCTTTTTTTTCACATCATCTTCTGCTATCTTTAAAGCAAACTTCTGGAAAAGCTTTTTTAAAATGGTCATGGTCGTGATCTTACGAATGAAAAATAATTGATTTCGATAATTGCATAAGTTTTGTGTTAGAACTTCCTTACGGCGATGTCGTTACCAAAAAAAAAATTGTAAACGATACCCCAGTGGTGTGGTTGAGTGGTGTCGTTGACAATACACGCATTCCAACGGTTCCTGTTCAGTGCGTCTCTCTGGACCGTTTACAAATAGGCTCTTTTACTAGTTCAGTCCATAAGGTTGGTGCATGACCGCTCGATCTTTTGGCTAATCTTTTACATTATACTATTACTACACATTATTATCTATTACGTATTTACATTATAATTATTACATTACATTCTCGAGGATATGATTTTTTTATACCCATCCTTTTTTTTTCTAAACGACGATAGATGAGCCTAAAATTATTTTCAATGTTGTTTTATTACAGCTCGCAAGTTCTTCACTTTGTACAAACTTTGTGAGGAACAGTTATCAAAACAGGTGCATTATGACTTCGGATTGAGGAATATTCTGTCTGTGTTACGTACTATGGGTGCACAAAAACGAGCTAATCCTGATAGTACTGAAGAGAATATTATGATGAGAGTATTAAAGTAAGCGATTAAATGAGAATTTAAGCTGTAGCCTGAGTTTCAAACTTTTCGAAAATTCTTACAGTTATTATTAATAATGTTACCTCTTATTTAATTAGCTGTAAAATGTTAGATTAGATAAGTAAGTATTTGCATTTAAAAAAACTATTTTTTTTTACTTTGTTATTATTTAGTGTTATCTAACTAGATTAAAAGTTACAAAGAATTACAAGTTGATATTCTATGCAAGATTCTACATAACTAACTTTTGACCAACACCTGGGGTTTTTTGCCATGCTTATACTGTAGACAATATTGTACATTATTTACGAGTAAATACTTTGATAATTTTGACAAAATATTCGATATGGATAACAATGTATTAGAGATTCGCTATTAAAAATAAAATATTATCAATTTCTTTATTTTATAGAGAAATGAACGTCTCAAAATTGGTAGATGAAGATGAACCTCTTTTCATTTCTTTGATTGAAGATTTATTCCCTGGTATCAAGCTCAGTCAAACACAGTGGAAGTAAGTATATATTTATAAGACTTACTTTATATTTACCTCAGACATATTCATTGTAGCCTAGAGCACATGGCAATGATTTTCTTATGTAAGGTAATGATACCGATTCGATTGGATCGTTCTTTCTCTTTTTATTTAACGACAATTTTTTCTCTTTAATAAGTATTTTTCTATACGTATTTCATTTTAAAGTCTCTTACACTTAGTTGTTGAAGTATTTGAGACTACGCGTACCACCAATTAAATAATTCTTTACTTTATTTTTCTATATTTTAAATATTACTCGTTTTCTTTTAAGAATGAATTTGCAGGTAATCATTATATAGTAAAAATAATTAATTTTATTTCAGGGATATGCAACGCGCTATAGCTATAGTGACAGAACGCACAGGTTTGATCAACCATCCCGATTGGAACTTAAAAATTATTCAGTTGTATGAGACGTCATTGGTGAGACACGGCTTGATGACCATGGGACCAACTGGTTCCGGAAAAACGACTTGTATACACACTCTCATGGCTTCATTAACTGAAGTCGGTAAACCTCACAGGGAAATGAGGATGAATCCTAAGGTTTGATGTTTTGTAGTTACTATTTCTTAACATAACCGAGGTAGTAAAACAAACTTAAACCCGTGTTGTAGTAAGCGTTACACTCGCGTTGTTGACGGTGCTAAATCGCACGAGTTAGAACAAAATACAAGTTTTTAAAACATCATATTCGTTCTAAACATAAACTGCCTCAGACTTAGCTCTTCAACTTATTAGATGCTAGGCGAAGCAAAAGCTTTAACACTTTAGAATTTTTGAATAAAACGTTTCTTCTTTCTGAAGAGAGGCCTAAGTCCAGCAGTGGACTATATATATGAGAGGCAGTTGATGTTAACAATGTAAAATTGCAAACAAATATACTTTTCATGTCAAACACATCTACAATTTTAAAAAGTTTTTACAAATAATATTCTAGAATATGTTTCTAGGCTATTACTGCACCACAAATGTTTGGCCGTCTGGATGTAGCAACTAATGATTGGACAGACGGTATATTTTCTACTCTTTGGCGTCGAGCATTGAAAGTGAAAAAAACTGATACCACTTGGATTGTACTAGGTAACTAATTGAATCACATCACGAATTCGAGGTTATTAGCGCCTAGTATTAAATACTAAAACTGTTTTATTATTTACAGATGGTCCTGTAGATGCTGTATGGATCGAGAACTTGAATTCTGTATTAGATGATAACAAAACTCTGACATTGGCTAATGGTGATCGAATCTCAATGGCATTAAACAGTAAGCTGGTGTTTGAACCGGACAATGTCGATAACGCTTCGCCTGCAACCGTAAGCCGGATGGGAATGGTGTTTTTATCTTCATCTGTGCTGAAATGGCAACCCATATTGGAGGTGCTTATACCATGGTTCATGATAAAATAATTTCAGCAGCTTTTAGTGTTTCATACCACTGACACTTTTGCTTAGACACACGGTTATAAAAGTGACTGTGTTTTGCAGGGTTGGTTAAAAACACGCCCTCAAAAGGAAGCTGAAGTTCTACGAAGTAGCTTTAACAAAGTATATGACGAAGTACATGTCTACGTTCAACAAAAGTTGCCGGCTAAGATGAAGCTTCTCGAAGCAATATACGTCAAGTAATTCTGCTCAGAATTGAATTTTAGGACCATTTTTACTCCTCTTTTTAAATATAGTTCTTTACACTTAGCACTTTTATTACTACTTTAATCAGTGGTTGTATTCTTTGAACAATAATTTCCCAAAGTACAACTTACTTAATTTTACACTTTCTTAGGTTTTACTTCAATGTTTAACACTTTTGGAATAATGAAAAAGCATTAGAAATAATGAGTTGTGTCAATGATATTCAATGGTTGATATCTGTCTTTATTTTCAGACAATGTATAGATGTCTTGACTGGATTATTACAGATTGAGGTTCCTGGTGGGAGTAAGTATTATTATTATATCTAAAATTGTTACTATACCTAAGTCTGAACTTTATAAAATGCTATGTTGTAATGCAGAGACACACACTGACCGCCACCTGGAACGTTTGTTCATCTTCGCTATGATGTGGTCTTTGGGGGCAGTGTTAGAACTGGATGCAAGAACGCGTATGGCTGAATTCATGACTAAACTGCCTGTGAAAATGGACTGGCCTGGTTCCAAATTAAAAGAATGGGTCATGCCTTTTGAGTATGTAGTTAGCAACCATGGTTTTTGGCAGCACTGGTAAATATACTATTTTGAGATTTTACTTCTTCTAAGTACACTTATGGTTAAATACTGTTTTGTAATAAGTTACTTATATATGATATTTCTTTAATTTATTCATACGTAAATACTTATGTTATGATTATTATTAAGTAGGCCTGATTTCGTTGAAATACATTTTCGGTTGGCTGAGATTTTATCCGATACGTAGGGATAATTGCTGTAAAAGATGAAGAGGAAAATGTTTCTAGCAAACCAAATACTTCAATTTTGTTATTCAATCATTTAACACCACCATTTAAAAATACCTGAAAAATCGTTATGGGTTGAACTTTACAGGTCCGAACATGTGGAGGATTACGTTTATCCCAGCGATAGTATACCAGAGTATTCATCAATTCTGGTGCCTAATATCGATAACGTGTGTATTACATTCTTGATTGAAACAATTGCCAAGCAAAATAAAGCCGTACTTCTAATTGGTGAACAGGGTACAGCGAAGACTGTTATGTTGAAAAGCTATATGGCCGCTTATGACAATGAGTACAAGTTATTTAAAATGATCAACTTTTCATCTGCTACCACGCCAAATATGTTCCAGGTATGTTTACTGAAAACCATTTCTACAATAATCCCTAGCCAATATCCCTAGGCTAGGTTGATGTTTCATTAGAAATCTTAATGTATTTTGGCCTATCATAGTCTGTTATGTCCCAATTCAAATGAATCTATTGGGGGTTTCGTCTTCTCGACAACAACTTGTTGGAGTTACCTGTATGCGACCCCAACTGTACGAACTATTGCTCACACTTCCCAATTCCATCTGATTAAACAGCAGCAGTAATATTCAGTACTATTGACATAATTCAATATAGTACTTATCTTCCTTTGCTTTCCCTACTAACCAAATTCAAACTATTTTCAAATTCAAATTATTTATTTGATTTAAATGGAGTAGTACATAATGTGGTATTGTAACACAAGCTTGACATAAACGAACAGGCCCATTTAGCCATGAAATTAGCATGCAAATTTAACAAATGATTTATTATTATCTTATTATTAGTCTTTCCTCAGGTCAACCATGTATCAATTATATCGGGCTCTTGTTCCATTTCTTATTATCTTATAATTTTTCTCGTTCAGTATTCTCTACATATCTTATCTTTAATTCCCAAAGTAATCAGTTGACAAGTATGAGTACTTGCGATTTTTAAGTAAGAATACGATATGACTTCTCACTAGGGTGAACTCAAAAAAAGGGATATGGAAGCCCATATCCTTTTTGGGTTTGCCTGTGCGGCAATCCCCTCGGATACCACCCACCGGTGGTTATGTCGGACTCGAACCACCAAAAAACCACACGCCGTCTCTGGTAACAGTTACCGGGGAACCAGGTGTATTCTAGGAAGGAAATCCCTAATACCCCGACGTACCTCGGGCCATCTACGACGTGTAAATGAACCCCTCCTGTGTCCCCCTATGTCCTCTTTGTGCTCCCGAAAGGGCGCGCGCGCTTCGCAGCGCGTCTCGCCACCACCCCGGCCTGCTCCTGCTAGGGTGACAGATGGCCACACCTACCACCCCATATCCTGTACGTAGGCAGTAGATTATAGTTGACGAAATGTAAGCATTGGTGAAGACAGGCGATAGGGTATTTATGTATGTATGTTAATTCATTTATATTATTATCTTATTCATACCGCAGAGGATTATCGAGTCTTACGTAGAAAAACGTGTCGGTATGACTTATGGTCCTCCGGGAGGGAAATCAATGACAGTTTTCATAGATGACATCAACATGCCGGTAGTAAATGAATGGGGTGACCAGGTAACATTAACCAGTTTACATCTTTAGCATAAAATAAGAGTTTTTTTTTAATATTATGACGGTATTTATTCAAAGTATTCCCGCATTTGATATAAAATGAAATGAAAATTTGTTATTTTCATATATTTCAATTAAGCAAAAAATGTGCAAATACAAAGATGTGAAAAATTACTTAAAATAACTTTGTTATGAAGAAAATTGTATTTTTTAATTTTATATTAGTTTAACTTATATACAAATATTGTACAAATAACTTACTTAACCATTGCATTTTAGGTGACGAATGAAATAGTGCGACAAATGATGGAGTGCCGTGGGTTTTACTCTTTAGATAAACCCGGCGAATTTATCATTATTGCTGATATTCAAATATTCGGTGCCATGATACATCCTGGTGAATATATTTATTTTGTCACTGTATTCATTCATATTAAAGAGTGTTTACTTGTTTTTAAGTTTGTTTTGTTTAATATAACTTCTATATAACAATCTTCACAAGCAATCTATGCGTCCTTAAAGAGTAGTAATGAGATATGTTATAAACAGCAGCTTAATTGAGTAAAATTTTCATTACAGGTGGCGGCAGAAACGACATACCCCCACGATTAAAGAGGCAATTATCCATTTTCAACTGTACATTGCCTAGCACTGTTTCTATGGATAAAATTTTTGGTAAGTATAATGTTAAATATTAAAATACTTTCACTGTTAGAGTGTCCTGTCATGCATTCAGGTAATTGTGGTTGTTGCATTGTTATGACTGTAGCCGACTTGTCCCAGGACGAAGCTAACCAAGAAGACAAAATACTAAGTCTTCCTCGCCTAAGAGGTAATGATTGAACGTATAATTATTGATCTTAGCCCTTGATATATTAACGGTGACGTTTAGACTGACTTGTAGTATATCTGTAGCAATACATGTCATAAGTTTTTTCTGGGTATATGTTTTCCACCGTGCGGACTAAATGCATATTTACTCATTTAAGGCGCATCAAGGCATTGCCAATAGAATTGTTTCTTATATATTTGGTTGAATCATGTTGTAGCATTATTGCGAAATTGTTTAAATGATAACAACAACATAAGTGTTTCTGATACTTGTTTTTAGAGACCATAGGAGCTGGCTACTTTTGTAAGTCTCGTTTTGATAAAAAATTAGTGGAATTTATGCCAAAACTCGTACCAGTCACTCGCATCATTTGGCAACAAACTAAAGTAAGTTTATATTAATGTTTAATTATTAAATACAAGTTCAAATAACTAAGGATTACTATAACTTATATTAAAAAGTATAGTATAGGAACGCGTGACTGACTATTTATTTAAGAATTTATTTTCGTACAAGAAATTTACTTGAATTATAAAGTAAAACAATACATTCCCAAGAAATAAGTGTGATATATAAAAAAATATAAGACATTTTAGCCTACTTAGCTTACAAAAACGGCGCTAAATGTGAAATTTTTGGTGGGTTATGTAAAACCTCAGATGAAAAGTTTTGCTCGTTGAAGCTCGGTTTGAATTTTTTTATTAATGACTGTTTAGTTGATTTTACGCTAACTCAAATTCATGCCTATCTAGTTAATAAAACAGAAATTTCATCGTTAGTCGCTAAGTACCTTCTTTTTCGCCCATTTTGTTATTCTCCTACTAAACGTTGATTGAATTTGAGTAAATTATAGTTATTGGCTTCGTCTAGATAAAAATGCTACCAACACCCGCCAAGTTCCATTACGTTTTCAATCTTAGAGATTTATCTCGCATATGGGAAGGAATGTTGTTTATAAAGAGAGAGGAGCTGCCATCAGTGCAAGTCGCATTGAAGTTGTGGTTCCATGAATGTTTAAGAGTTATCTCAGACAGGTATGTACCTGACTGAAAGAAATATATGGTTTCATATTGAATGAAGTGTCTAACTTCTTTTGGAATTTTCGACCTGTAACCCTTCAATATAAATTACCACACAGGTTTACTACATTTGAGGATAAAGAATGGTTTGTAGAAAATTTCTGGAAAACAGCCACTACAGAGTTATCTGAGTATGTTAACGATTTCCCCGAAGGAGAAACATACTTTGTGAATTTCTTAAGAGAGCCAGCAGATCCAACTGGCGATGAGGATGAAGACTTTAGTACTGAAGCTCCGAAAGTATATGAGGAATTACCATCGTGAGTTTTTTTTGCTACAGTAGTTTTGAGAGAGTTTTAGTTTTTATACATTATAGATTTTCTTTATGGACATAATTTATATTTTTTTAAATTATAATAATTTGTTAGTATATTATGTTAACCTTTCTTCCTTGCAAGCTGGGCTCAGATTTCTTACTCGATGATAACATCTTCCTTCAACTCCGAAATAAAACTAAATTATTCCTTTAATCATTGATTATCACTGCCTCAGATTGTTTGTATAATCTGAGATCACGGCATAGGTATGATGTCAAAGTCAAACTTAAAAAAATACACAAACTCCTAATATTGGTGAACATCACCAAATATTTATCTGCAAAAGCTAATGCATTTGCTTTATATGTAAGCTTAATTAAGCGACTATCTGATTTAACTGGAACGTTGGCGCGTATCTAAGATTGACGCTTAAACAAAATATTGAATTTCCTTTGTACAGCCTTTAATGTATTAGTGTAAAGCTTCTTATAATGTTTAATTTGCTTACAGTTGGGACTTTGTGTTATCTAAATTGGTAGGATTTCAAGATTTGTTTAATGAACAAGTTAGAGGAGCTCATTTAGACTTGGTATTTTTCCACGATGCAATGGTGCATTTGTTCATAATATCTAGAATAATAAATACTTCACGGTAAGTAAAAGTTACTTGGTTGCTCAGTACATTACGAGAATTTGTTTAATGTAAATTAATAAATGTTTTAATTCTTATAGTGGTAACGCTCTGCTAGTGGGAGTCGGCGGTTCGGGAAAACAAAGTTTAACTAAATTAGCCTCATTCATAGCAAATTATACCTTCTATCAAATAACTTTGACAAGGTAAATATGACAGGGATTGTTTAGATAATTTTTTTATAGTTTTTGATTTAAACGGTAAAATAAAGGAATCAAATTCCTTATTTTTTTACAAAATTTCTGTGAGTAGGAAGAGGCACTCTCAAACCTTTGCCATACAATGTTTTTTAAATTGTTTTGAATCTGATTTATTATTTAAATGTTTTTTCCTTATTGAATCACATAAATATATATAAATTACAGATCATACAATGTTAACAACTTCATGGATGACATAAAGATATTATATCGGATGGCTGGCTTACAAGGGCGTGGTGTTTCATTCATATTTACCGATAATGACATTAAAGATGAGCAATTTTTAGAGTTTCTTAACAATATTCTAAGTTCTGGAGAAATTGCGAACCTTTTCCCTAAGGATGAAATGGGTTAGTTAGTCATAAAAATAAATAAAGAAAAGGTTTTCTAAGTATAACGTACATTTTAAAATGGTTTAAATAATCTGTATTACGTTTGATTATGGAAAATGGATAATTTCTTTAAAGAATAGATTTGGCAACATTTAATAAAGTTTACAACAAAAAGTTTATTAAACGGTAATTAACAAGTTAAATATTAATATATTCAATCACAGATGAAATTCTTAACGATTTGACGCCGATTATGAAGAAGTACGCACCTAAGAGGATTCCAGTACCAGATGTTTTATATGAATACTTTATCATTAGGTCTCGAGCTAATTTGCATGTTGTGCTTTGTTTTTCACCGGTAAGTTTAATTTATCGATATAGTAAAGTAGCATTAGGACTTGTTCTATAATAATAATGACGAGAATATTTTTCAGTATTAAGGTTACACAAATTATGTGCCAATTATTTATGTATTTTTAAAGTGCTAATTTTTTTTCAGCGAAAAAATAAACAGTGTCTAGTTTAGTTAGTGTTAGTGTATGCGATTTTAAAACCAAAAAAACTTTTGGATAATCCTTATCTGCAATAATTAATTCAGTAATAAATTCGATAATCTATAAATTACATTTTATCATAACCACACGTTCTCCCCTGGCATAGTTGGTATGTTAAAAAAAAAACAATAATTACTCTAAAAAACATCAAAGTTTTATGCAAGCTAAGGCATGCAAGCTAACATTTAACATGTTTGCAGAAAATCATTTTTTATGGGTTTTCAGGTAGGTGAAAAGTTTAGAAGCAGGGCCTTAAAATTCCCAGGATTGATATCTGGATCTGTCATGGACTGGTTCCAAAAATGGCCAAAGGAAGCGCTAATAGAAGTAGCTCATCACTTTTTGTGGGAATTTAAGGTACATTAACTTGGAAATACAGGTTTCTACCAAAAATTTTAACTGGTTTATTTTTGCTACTAAGTGCAAGTATCATCATCATCAACATTATGTATTTTGTTAGGTGGTGTGTTCTGTGGAGACAAAGTATCAGTTGATTGAAATAATGGGTATTGTACAAGACAATGTAGCCGACACCTGCGTAGAATATCATGACCGATATAGAAGACAAGCACATGTTACTCCAAAATCATATCTCTCCTTTTTAGAAGGTTATAAAGTCTTGTACCAGGAAAAACATCAAAATATAGCAGAATTAGCAAGAAGGTATAGTCTATTGCAAATATATTGTTCTATTAGAGTTGATAAAAATATTTATAAAAAGTATGTCTGCTATAATACGAAATGATTATGAATGATTACGAATGTCTAGATCATTTTTATGTCAAAATCAGTTTTTAGGATATTATAGATAAAATTACGTCTATACCCAGTAAGGTGTGCCCTAAAGTACCCATGCTTTTGCAATCCAGCCTGTTGCTTTTAACCAGGTATTTCGTTATATAAAGTTTATAAAACTCGGAGTATAAAGAAATACAACGTTGTTAGAGACATGTAAAAATAAACAGGACAGGGACTCTTACGAGTGACCGAATTTGTTCTGTTGCACAGAAGTCTGAGGACTAAAAATTTAAAACACCTATATGCCAGAGCATAGATGAGCATTTCCTATAGTATAATGTTTTTTTAAATATTGTATGGGTAACATATTTTTAATTTAAGAATATGGTTTAAACTTGACGAAATTTGGGGAAGATTTATGATTTAGATTTAATCAAGATTTTTATTGTAGAATGACAACGGGTTTGGGCAAATTGGTGGAAGCAGCGGCAAGTGTAGATGAACTGAAAAAAGAACTGGAAATAAAAGAACTGGAAATAAAGGAAGCCACAGCGAAGGCTGAAGATGTAAGATATATATTTCTTCTAAAATTGCATTATAGTTGAGTGATATGACACAATTGTGGCTTACATATACTGTTATTAAGGAAAGAAGTATTGTGTGTGTCATTTAATAAAAAACTTAGTTTGCATTTCTACATGTTATTGTAATAGTATACAATTTCTGATAATTTCTAAAAACAAAAATATAGGTCCTAGCAGCAGTTGCGGCATCGCAAGCAGCGGCGGAAATAGTGAAAGGCGAAGTAATGGAAGTAAAAGATGTTGCGGTAAAGCTAGTCACAGTGATCGCAGCTGAGACTGCGGTCGCTGAAGAAAAGCTTGCTGCTGCCAAACCTGCTTTAGATGCTGCAGAAGCCGCATTACAGGTTGGTATATTACGAATATTATTTAAATATTTCACCGCATTTTGAAAACGTTGTTGTACAACTTTTTGAACATGCTTTAAAAATTTTTGAAGAATGCTTGCTCGGTTGCCTGACCATTTTGCTTTATCAGAAAAAGATTTTTATATAAAAGCTGTTTTTGTTTTACCTACTCTTATTATTGTAGACCATCAATGCTGCTGATATTGCTACCGTTAGAAAATTAGGCAAGCCGCCATTTCTTATTACGCTTATTATGGATGCAGTAATTATACTATTTAGAAAGCGTATTGATCCAATAAAAGCTGATCCGGAAAAACAGTTTTTGGTCGCTTCGTGGGCTGAATCTTTGAAGGTATACATAATATTTTTTACTTGTTATTAGGGTTGAAAACATCTTTAGTAAATTAATTGGCAGCTAATGTAGCATTAACTTAATAATATGGATACTTGTTGCTTTTGATTTTGTCATGAAATAAAAAAATTGTAAAATGTACGAGATGATCCGTCCCATAAATAGGATTTATTTTGAAGTGAAACTTCTTTAGAATCGTTGTGATTTGAAACTCGATGAAACGAAAATGCGTCACGATAAAGAAACAAGCACATAAATGTACAGGATAAATTCGGCGAGAGAATGAGATAGAATACAATACACATTATTTTTAATATAATATTTTGACAGTGTGAATATTGTTATATTTTTATTTAATACTAGCTGGTACCCGCGACTTGGTTCGCGTTTCATTTGAATAACGCTGTCTTGGGGGTTTCCATTCCAGAGCCGGGCAAAATGTTATATGGTTTTTCTGAGATAAAAAAAAATTCGGAAGTTTCACTTCTGCCATGCATTGTGTGATTTGCACACACTTTTTTTTGTACAGCTACTTTGTAATTATAGAATAATTTAAAATCTTAGATAATGGCGGATGCAAGGTTTTTAAGTAATCTGAAGAATTACCCCAAAGATGAAATTAATGCAGAAATGGTTGACTTGTTACAGCCATACTTTCAGTATCCGTAAGTGACAGTTATTGTTTCTAATATCACTCGTATTATAGTACTATAGTACTCGTAGTATATGCTCTAAAATAAAATAAAAAAATTGACTCTACTGACGCTTATAAAATGAACATTTAATTATTATAATTTTTCCATATTGACTGCATGATAATCACGACTAATATATGAATTGCTAGTAGTCATCACGTCATTGCAATAATGAGCATTAATAATAATTATGACATTTTTATCCATTATCTCTTTTGTTGTTTATTTTCTTACGCCTGTAGGCACTTTTTCATATTTTTAACATAAAACATGAAAAAAAATTGATGAATTTTCCGGCAGAAAATTCCAACGATTTTTGACTCAGAATGGTGGTCTGAATACATGTGTTCTATTTCAATATTCTTTACGACGTCCCTTACACCCTGTATAATATTGTTCTCGAGGCAGCAGATAAAGCTAAGTAAATAAGGTTTTTATGCTCAAGCCGTAGTATCAGGATAGCGACGACTGGACCCGGCAACTTATAATACGCGAACACTTCGGACCGACGAGAAAATACTCGAACTGGAGAAGGAATTGACCAGGTTGGGATATTTTCTGATTATCTGAAGTTCATAGAGAGAGGAGGACTCGATAATACTGCAATCCAGTAACTTGCCCTATTTCCAGGAGGGCGATTATCTCTACCAAGGTGGTCTCGGGTACTTAGTACACAAGTCCCTCATAAATAACGTGGTCAAGAGTCAGGGGTTGCCCCATCTCTCTTCTGAGTCATATCTATAAACTGTTGTTGAGAGTCATTACGAATCAACTCGCACGAAAATTTGTCAACTTCTAGCCTTCCGAACAAGCCGGTTTTCGATAAGACTTTACCATGAACTATGAGAAAACTTTGATTCGGAACTTGAGCTGTACAGTCTCTCCAACGGTAATAAATGGACTATCGGTACATCGAAGTGTTGAAGTGTTTGTACGAGAACGCTACAAGTATCCCATTGCAGCGAGGTGTGAGGCAGGGATTTAATATCTCCGAAACTGTTCACCGCAGCTCTGGAAGACGTCTTTAAGCTTCTGGACCGTAATGGACTTGGCATCAAAATCAATGGTGAATATATCACCTGCCTTCAATTTGCTAATGATATAGTTGTCATGACTGAAACCATGGAAGACCTTAGCACAATGCTCGTTCACCTTAGTAGGGGCTCTAAAAGAGTGGGTCTTATAATGAACATGAAAATTATCTCGAACGCCCATGAATATTGAACATTGAAGACTACGCTTGATGTTGTTGCCAACTACGTTTATCTAGGACAAACTATCCAGTTACGGAGGTCGAACTTCGAAGAAGAGGTCAATCGTTGGTCGTTCACAACGGGTCTCATAAGAAGGCTCAAAGTCATCCAATGAGCAATGGAGAGGGCAATGCTTGGAGTTGAACCAAGGTTATCTACATTGCCCGGATAATTTCCTAACTTAAGTGGCAGTGGGCGGGACACATTGCTCGCAGAAACGATGGTCGATGGGGCCACAAAGTTATCGAGTGGCGACTGCGTATTGGAAAACGCAGTGTGAGTACGCCTCCCACAAGGTGGTCCGACGACCTGGTGAAGGCCGCGATAGTCGGTTAGAATTGGCGAATAAAAGTGATAACCTCCATTTTTTTTATCCGTTAGTTGGTATTTTATTTCAACGCGGATCCGTTTGTGGAAACATTGTTAAAAAATGTCAAAAACGGTTTATTGCGCTTAACAAGAAAACTTTAAATCGTGCGTAATCGTATTTCTTTATCTTTTCATTTTTAGTTCAATGTAAGCGTGAACTGCGTCCGCCTACCTGGTTGTGTGTGTCTCTTCGTTAGATAGTTGCTGATGATGATTTGTTGGGTTATTAAATATCTTAGCGAAGACTGTAGAAATTGTCCAATTCTTATTTAGGCCCATCGCGTCACAATTATAAAACCTACTAGGTTTTATAATTGTGACGCCTTATTTACCTTTTTTATTTTTCCGTGCGGAAATCCCCTCGGATACCACCTGTCGGTGGCATGTCGGACTCGAACCGACTAAAACCGCACGCTTTATTTACCTAACCCTAACTAAACTTAGTAAGTGCATTTGACTTGCTAGGTTTTGAAGTTGTAAAGGCGAGTTACTAGGTTTTTGATCTAGGTTTTTGATATAGTATATATAGTTCATTTACTAGGTTTTTCATGATGTTAAAATATCTGTTATTTAGAAAATGCCCCTTACTGGGTTATTATCTGGGGTAGCCGAGTAGCAGTGCGGCCCCACCACTGACTACCGGCCGGAGCGCAAATTTGCAATTATTGTAAATAGCCTTTCTCAGTATTTCAGTTTACCTGAAAAAAAATGGCATTTTACCGTTTCGTAGAGGAAGTCTTGACAAACAAAAGCGTTTTTGAATATTTGTTCCAAATTGTCCCAAATCCCAAATCAAAGGCCTTTTTTTTCGTTCTTTTAAAGTTTCGCAAAGAGATTAAAGCCGATCTTGTTGACATTTAATGGGCTGGAGGCTACAAAACCTACATTCTCAATAAATTGGTGCCTTAATATTAATTTAAAAAATAGTAAAAAAGAGGTATTTTGCAATTTGCAAACAACTATTCAACCAATCGGGACTCGACAAGTCTCATTTTGTTTGTCTTTTTATTGCGCATTTTGTACATTTGCACTTTCTTTGTAGTTTTCTTGTAAAACCCTATAGCGTTTAAAAAACTTCAAACCGTTATTGACAGTTTTTTTAACAATGTTCCCACGAACGGAGCCGCGTTGAAATGAAATATGTTTAATCGTAACGAGAGAGAGAATATCAATTTTACGATTTTTAGACCCATTTTCCGCTAATTATATCCGAGTAGTAGCACAGGACCGGTTGCTGTGGCGAACCTTGGGAGAGGCCTATGATGATGATGATGATTATCAGTTTAGGAAAAAAAACAACTGTAACGGAACGAAAAAGTTTGAGTAAATAAACTAATGTTTGACGGATCTGCCAATTGCTGATTGCTAAGTAGCTAATCGCTAATTATTATCTATTATTCTTTTTTGAATTTCTTTAAAGCTATTATAAAAGAAGGTTAAAAATCTGTACATTATGAACATAAATAAAAATAATAATATTTAATAAATAAAACATTATTTTTGGTGGTAATGTTTCTGTGGCGCATTATGGTACGGGGTATGGAATTTCTCCTTTGTTGCATTAGGATAATGTGCTGCGACACGTATCAAGTAAATTATTTCGTGTCTCAAGAAAAAAATATTCAATTGTAGACAGTATACGTTTGAAGCAGCCAAAATAGCATGTGGCAATGTCGCTGGGCTCATTTCGTGGACTATTGCGATGGCGCAGTTTTATGCTGTGAACAAAGATGTCCTACCGCTGAAGGCAAATTTGGCTGTGATGCAGGGCAAATACCAAGCAGCTAAAACGGAATTAGATGCTGCAGAGGCAGAACTTGCAGCCAAAGAGGTAAGACTTTATCTGGATAAAACAGTTGGCCCTGTAAAGTAGCTCACATGTGATGTGTGAGCAGAAATTTAGTTAAAGCTTTATAATTTGTTCTATTTCTGTTAGCGGGAATTAGCTGACGTGCAGCGGGAGTTTGATGAAGCGATGGCGTTGAAGCAAGAGGTGTTAGATGATGCGGCCAGATGCCAGGAAAAAATGGACGCCGCTACTGCACTTATTAACGGGCTTAGTGGAGAACGAATTCGTTGGACTGAACAATCCGCTCTGTTTAAATCGGAAATAGAACGGCTCGTTGGCGATATATTACTGCTCTGTGGGTGAGCTACTTTTAATATATCTATAAATCGCTCGATATCACGCAGTTTAAAAAATTGTAACACTATGCATAATGTTTTAGTATTTCTAATTCCACGTTTCATGCAATTTCTGAAAAATCCGTGCAAAGAACTGTCTTGACATATAATTTAATGATTTCTTCCTTTTTTATGTTCCTTGATTCGATGTTTTAGTAAACTTGACTTGCAATATTTGATGTTGGGACTGATTAATACCGCTCTTAATAAAAGTGTTTCAAGGATGCGCATGTTATACAGTGTTATATTTAAGAAATGGGTAAAAATAAATATGCTAAAATGCAGATGATTTTTAATTCCTTATTGAAATTTAATATAATAAATGTGATCAACATTTATGGAAATTTCAATGAATATTAACGTCACTAACTGTTATAACTTAGTTTTTTTTTATAATTGCAGATTTTTATCCTATTCCGGACCATTTAATCAAGAGTTTCGTTCGCTGTTAATATCCAATTGGCTCAGTGATTTGTTAAAAAGAAAGATACCAGTGTCTATGAATTTAAATATATCAGAACAGCTTACGGACACAGCTACAGTATGTATTTTTTGTATTTATTTCTAATGTTAAGAACGTTAATCAATTTGTAGATCCTACTTATGATTTTTTTTATAATTTAAAAAGACCGCCCGCACCAGGAATATATTCTGTGTCGCTGGGGACTTTACAAACATACATGAAACGGCCACAAAGAACACCCAGACTCAGAACGACAATTTGTGGATCGCCAAAGTGTCGTCCCAAGTGGGGATCAAACCCACAACACTCTGCATAGTAGGAAGCGGCGTGGCCACCGTTTAAACCACAACACCATCCATGCAGTATTTGTTTTATTGCAAATAAATCTAATGTACTAGTCAAATTTGATAAGTAACATAAGTTACTACAAGTAATCAAATGCCGTTAAATTCAGGCCATTCGCATATAGACAACATAATAATTATAAAAAATTTAAAATAGCAACTTTACTTTATAACTAAAACTTAGCAAAAAGCTTATAAACTTTACGAGATAGCAGACTAGATTATATTATTAATAGTGAACCAAATTTAACACTGTTAAAAACCATAAAAAATACTTAAATACTACACTATGCATTTAAAAACTTATGCTAAACAATTTATAATTATATTGAATAAACAATTTATAATTATACAAATATATTGATTTAAACAATTTATTATTTTAAAACAATTACCAATGATGAATTTTGGAATGTCTGGAGGAGAATGACGCAGATATATTTATCCGACAACGCAGAGGCCAACCCGTTGAGAATGCGAAGTTTACTGGCAATAACGCGGCGTCCACCCGTGCACCACTTGTCGAGCGACGAGGTGGGTGTCGGGTGGATCTAATGAGCTATGGCCTTAAAGTACTCGTATTACTACTAGTATTATTAAAAGTTGAAACAACGATTTAAAACCAAAGCAAATATATAAAATTAAAGTGAATAGAAGTGAAGAGCTCAATCCTTCAAATAGTGAAGACTTAAACTGAAAACAATAATTTCCATCGATGATTACATTTGGAAGAATCCTTTATTAGAAGATCGATAGTTATCGTTAATTAAATCTAGCTTTATTTATACTCGAATAAAAGTTCTTAATCTCTTTTTTTTTTTAAATAAACTTTATTCACATTTAGTTATATTTTAGTAATATATTACTATTAATCACACATCACTTCACAGGTCGGGGAATGGAATTTATATGGCTTACCAACGGACGAATTATCAATACAGAACGGTATAATCGTAACAAAGGCCTCTCGCTTTCCACTTTTAATAGATCCGCAGACCCAGGGCAAGATCTGGATAAAGAATATGGAGAGAGAAAACAATCTGATAGTAACGACACTCAATCACAAATATTTCAGGTATCTACCTTACTCAGATCTTATAAGTGTAATGGGTTTATTTTAAATGTATTACGAATAAGCTATAGCTCTGACAGTATCTTTGCATATAGAATTAATCATTTTAATGCGACAACACAATTAATTATAACATTCCCAGAAATCTCGTTAGAATCAAACTAGGACTTATTACAATAGTATTCTTCATTGTTAAATAGGTAAGTAGTTAGTCATTCTTGAAACTGAATTCTTAGCAATTAGCATGGGCCAAAATATAAACTGACATTTCAGGTATCAAAGGTTTTAGTGTTTACGGTTACGTGTCAAGAGCAGTAACGCACTAGTGCCAGAATGTCCGAGCCCCCAAACTGAATCAACATATGTATTATATAGATAGATAATAATCAGTGTGATATTTTTTTCTAAAAAAAATATTATTGTAGGAATCATATAGAAGATTGTGTATCATTAGGAAGACCTATGTTGATAGAAGATGTTGCTGAGGAACTAGATCCAGTGCTGGATAATGTTCTTGAGAAGAATTATATCAAAATAGGATCAACTTTCAAGGTGTCCATTATTCATTTATCTTTTACTTACTATATTGCCGTCGCCATATCGCAGTCCCCGACGAACACTATGGTAATCGCTATTACGATAGAATCGGGTTTATTAAATATTCGTTATCTACACACCCTATTACAATCATTGAAATTTTTTTATGATCGGGCGATGAATACTTTTGGATTTATCGCTTCAATAATGATCTTTATGTTTTTATTCAACGTATAACATAAGTGAAAAATTTACACGATCAATAACGCAAAAACCTATTACCAAATCACAAAAGCCAACATTTTAGAGTAAGCGGCTATTACCATATTGTTCGAGGGAAAAATGACAGAATCTTATTAGTGGCAAGAGTTGGTTAAACGACACCCAAGGCCGAAAAATTCAGTGGATTGATGGAGAAATTGATGGAGGTACGAGTTTCTCATTTGAAACCAACAATTTTACAGTATAAGTATGACTTCGACAATGATTCTTTCGAGTTCGATACAAAACTTCAACTAAACAAACCCAAACGAGGACGAAAACCCGTCCCTGGCCAGGTTGATGTACAAACACTCAAAAATGTTTACAGCCACCCTTTACCTATCACCAAGGCTCTGTTTGCTGACCTGAAAGTCTTTGTGTGAAAGTGAGGCCATCCCTAAATGTTATCACAGTTTTTATAGTAATTTAACTTATGCAGATCTCAATATTATACCTTAACAACAACAAGAAGATATAAATAAAAATTAAATTCAGTAATTTTTGTTTTAATTTTTGTTTCATATTATAATAATAAAAAATGATAATTTTTGCGTTTAATTTGTCGCCATTAAATAGTAAATTTATAATCAACTAGCGTGTGCCAGGGACTTCGTCCGCATGGAATAGTGACTTTGGGTACCATTTGAGTGAATCCCAAGCAATGACGATACTTTCATACAATATTTCAACCCCTATTTCGACCTCTTACAACCCTTTTTTGCATTTAAAAGTAGTATATGTCCTTCCTCAGGCTCTAGGGTATCTGTGTACTAATTTAATGTAAATCGGTTTAGTACTTTTAGCGTGAAAGCTACACAGACAGACAGAGTTACTTTCGCATTTATAATATTAGTAAGGATTGTATGTCTTGCCCAATTGAAAACTCGCTAGATTATACGCTGACAATATTTAGGTTCAATTTACAGTGCTACAAATAACCCTGTAAAATTAATACAATATGCATCAAAACATAAATAGATAAATAATGTCAAATTTAAAGTCATCATCATCATCATCAACAGCCTTTAATAGTCCACTGCTGGACATAGGCCTCCCCTTAGAAAGGAGGTTTTGGCCTACTATACCACGCTGGCCAGACGGGTTGGTATAGGGTTTGTTTGAACCGACAGCTTGCGCCAAAGCTGGTTGGCGCTGCGTCTGCCCTAGGGCGACTTTTGCCCAATTTGGGTGGACCCAGCGTCGCGACAAGACGGCTGTACAGGGGGGTTGTCCGGTCAATGGCACTGTACGGTGCACCGGTGTGGGCGGCGGCTCTGACCGCCCAGAATAGGGCACGCCTCTGGCACCCTCAAAGGGTAATGGCGGTCAGAGCCATACGCGGTTACCGCACCGTTTCGACGGAGGTGGCATGCGCGTTGGCCGGAACTCCCCCGTGGGATTTGGAGGCGGAAGTGCTCGCCGAAGTTTATCGGCGAGTGGTTGACTCCCGGGCGGAGAGCGGATTTCGCCCTCCGGCCGAGGATGTGCGCGAGTGGCGCGAAGCCGCTCGCCGAGCCACGATGGCTCGTTGGTCGTTCCGGCTGGAGACTCCATGCGCTGGCTTCGCCGCCGTGGAGGCTCTCCAGCCGGTCATCGCCGAGTGGGCAGGGCGGCAGCACGGGACCCTTTCCTTCCGGCTGACGCAGGTGCTTTCCGGGCACGGTTGCTTCGGAAAGTACCTGCACTCGGTCGCTAGGAGGGAACTGATTTCCGCCTGCCACCACTGCGACTGCAGTGAGGACTCGGCCCATCACACGCTGGCGGTCTGCCCCGCATGGGCGACGCAGCGCCGGGCCCTCACTGCAGTCATCGGAGTGGATCTCTCGCTACCGGCCGTAGTACGCTCCATGGCAGGTAGCGACAGTTGTTTTACCGCGGTCGCAACCTTCTGCGAGGAAGTAATCTCGCGGAAGGAGGCGGCGGAGAAGGCCCGGGAGGACGACCTCCACTCGGACCCGATCCGCCGCCGGCGAACCGGGCGACGGAGGCGCGCCTATCACCGCCTCATGCCGCCCTGAGTGTGGCCGCGGGTGGACGGGGTGGGTTTCCCCTCCACCCGCATTAGTTTGGCCAGCCGCGAGGGGGCGGCGTCCGCGTGTGCCGAACGTCGCCTAAAGAGAGGAAAATTTTGAGACGGGGCCCGCAACAGGAGCGGGCCGGCGCTAGGAGGGGTCCGGATGTCTTAATAACAGCTGTTCCCGGATCCCTCCTGTTACAGGCGCAGAGTGGCACACCGTGTGGTTTTAGTCGGTCCGAGTCCGACACACCACCCCGCCGCAAACCCCGGTGGGGTGACGGTCCGAGGGGATTTCCACAAGTTAAAAAAAAAAAAAAAAAGGGTTTGTTTCAAGTTTTCCTTCTCTCTGCAGTGTTGTTGTCCTGCTTAGTTTTCTCCCTTAGTCGCCTCTTACGACACCCACGGGATGAATTTATACATAGGTAAGGAAATAGTTAATTTTGCTGCTTACCTTTCATAACACCTAAAAATGATCATCAAATAAGCATGTAATTTATGTTTACCGTAATACTAAAGTCAGTTATATCATCGAATACGTATACGAATAGAAAGTATATTCATATTTACCATGGAACAATATCATAATGAACGATTACTACAGCAACACCGATTTGTGATTACAGTCGAACACTATCGTAAAGTTAGTTTGCGTTAATTTTTTCCATAGCTTATTTCAGTAATGGACATTTTCACAATTACAATAAAGATTACAATTACTGATAAAGAAAATTTATGATAAAAATTTAGTAAAAATCTAGTGCAAAAAAATATTCCCTATTTTTGATAAAAGAATCTTCTTTTTAGTCTTGATAGATTTCAAGATATTCAGTTTTTATTTGTTCCTGTAAAATTGTAATTTTCCTATTACGGTTTTGTTCGTCGGGGACTGCGATATTTCGCCTTAGATTTTGAGGTAAGAAATGAAATTCCTAACATCGAAGTGGTTACCAATTCGATGTTAGGAATTTCATCTCTTATTGGTGTAAATGTGTCTCAAAATTATTTTTCGTGGAAAAAAGTAAAAATGACGCATTTGCAGAGTTTAAATATTAGTAACAGATTATAACTCAGAATATAACTATTATTACGTATACGTTACAGGTAAAATTGGGCGACAAAGAGATTGATGTGACGACTGGCCACAAAATATACATAACGACAAAGCTACCTAACCCGGCGTATACACCCGAGATTTCAGCTCGAACATCCATCATAGACTTTACCGTAACTATGCAAGGTAAATCGTCTAAGCTATCTTTAAATTACGAATCTATGACCTAATCTTTAAGTTATAAATAGAAACATCTTTCTTTTTTGGCAGTAGGAGAGGGGACTGCTTAAACTGCAGTCAATCCTAAGGAAAGTGATGATGATGAATATGAAAATGATTTCGAAAATGTTATTTATAGGTTTGGAAGATCAGCTGCTTGGCCGTGTAATCTTAATTGAAAAGGCAGAAATGGAAGCCGAACGAACACAACTCATTATGGATGTAACCGCCAACCGCCGCAAGATGCAGGAATTGGAAGCGAATCTGTTACACAAGCTTACCACTATTCAGGGTTCCCTTGTAGAAGACGTGACCCTTATTCAAGTGCTTAATGTAACCAAAACTACTGCTATGGATGTAAGTTTTTATTTCCTATTATGTTAACATTTTATTCTACCACATTAAAAATATTATTATTTATTGTAACAACGATCAGGTGAGAGAAAAACTAGATGTAGCGAAGGAAACTGAGAATAAAATCAATTCGGCTCGTGAAGAGTACCGTCCTGTCGCGACGCGCGGCTCCGTGCTATACTTCTTGGTGTGCAATATGTCACTCGTCTGCAATATGTACCAAACATCGTTAGCCCAGTTTCTGGAACGCTTCGATATATCCATGGAGCGATCTGCTCCAAGCCCGATTACTTCTAGAAGGATTGGATTCATTATCGACTATCTGGTAAAGCTTGTTTTTAATTGTTATAATATATTTGAAAAGCTAGAAGTGAATAATTTTATCGTGTTTTCTTTTACCAGACTTTCGACGTCTTTAAATTTATCAGTCGAGGATTTTATGAACAGCACAAGTATCTGTTCACGGTGTTGTTGACTTTAAAGATAGACTTACAAAGGGAATACATAACATTCGAAGAATTCCAGAATTTCATAAAAGGTTCTAAAAATTATTTTGTAACTAATTTAATACTTTCATACATATTGTAGTTAAAAAACGTTTAAATTATTATTTCTGTTTAATTTTAACACACTTATAAAAAATAAATATGAGCTTTAGAAATTGACCGTCGACTTTGTGAAAGACCAAGGTAGGAATGTCCTGAACACAATTTTGTAATCTGCATTCTACTGCATGATTGCTTCTTAAATAAAAAATTCGTTAAAAGATCTATTACATTATTTAATTATGTTAACTTGTTTATAACTGTGAAAAGTAACTCATAGTTATAAAATCGTCTGTATGTATCTATGTATATAACGAAATCTTTGAACGTGATTTTGACCCAGTTCAAAACGTCGAATTAACTTGAAACTTGCACACTTATCAAGGACCGTTCACAGTACAATAATTTAATTAGTTTGTGCCATTACCCTGAACAGGCACTTTCCTTGGAGGCTTTTTCCGTACCTAAAATACGGTAGTGTCTTTTGCAACGTACTAAGGCGTGTGGTGCATATGTCATCAACTTACTTGTTACTTTTTTAGTCTTAATAAGATAATAATCATCATTAATGACTAAAAAAGGAAAAATAAATTGTAGTTAAGAAAAACATGCTTTTGTAGCTAGCCGAACTAAAAAGTAAAAAAGCGGAAAAGGCCGAAAGATACAAAAACTATAGTTTATTCTTTACAAAGCTTGTAATATAATAAATAGATATTTGTATACATTTGCAATAACTTTAAGAGGTTGTGAACTTAGTATAAAAAAATGTGTTCTATGAATAGTGAGACTTTTATCATGTATGTAACTAAGTAGTGTAGTAAGAGTGATACCAATTTTAAAATTAAGGTGGTGCTGCTCTGGATCTCAATGCCTGTCCACCAAAACCTTTTAAATGGATCACTGATATGTCTTGGCTCAATTTGGTTCAAGTATCACAACTGCGTCAATTTTCGAATATACTTACTCAAGTCACTAATAACGAGAAAGGATGGAAGACTTGGTAAGCAGTTCAGATGAAAATCGATTTAAGTGGCGTGCATGAGGCCTCTCCCAGAGGCCTATATCCAGCAGTAGACTGCGATAGGCTGAAGATGATAATGATACATTTATACTCTATGCTTAGGCAGTTTACTTACTTTTTACTTATCTTGAGAAAATCGTCACCCAACATAGGGCGCGTTATAAATTAATAATTTCTGATGAGACTTGATTGACTTGATTGTGTGCTTGAATATAAATTTAGTCTTTATACTTTTAATTGGTAATTTGCATGCCGATTCTTAAAATTTGTTGTCTAATCTTTTTTTTTAATCAATGAACAAAACTATTGCAGTAATATTTTTCTAGGTTTGAAAAAGAGGCACCCGAAGAGGAACCAATGCCCGACGGTTACAATGTGTTTGATGTGTTCAGGAAACTGTTAATGGTACGAGCATGGTGTCCCGATAGAACGTTAGCGCAAAGCTTGTACGTGATCAAATAAATAAAATCTTTTCTACTGATTGAAAATACTCTATTTTTAGTTATTTTAATACAAACTGTAGATGAATATCTTTTTACGTTTACAGAAAGTATGTAGTGAGTTCTATGGGAAGTCGGTATTCTGAAGCTGTAATAGTAAATTATGAGGTAAGGAGTCAAACAAATTTAAAATACTATTAAGTATGGTATTTTAATGGTAAATTGACAGGAAAGCAGGAAACCCTTTTGTTTGCATTTTAATCGTTCAACTGCTGTTAGGGATATTTATGCAAATTTAAGTGCATGTAATTCACTCGACTTATCTTAATCTTAAACGCTCGAGTATTTTTGGCCATCGATTTTTTTAAACTAAATTGATGGGCTTCCCTAGACGATCCGCCCTACATGAAGGGCTCATGTATGGTGGAGGTACTCAATTGGGTGTAAGGTATTCCTCCAATGTTAATCTAACACGCTCGAGTAAATCTTGAAATCCCTTCTAGGGACTATTCGTAGATCTGGTTGTTGCCAGTTAAGAGATTATAGTTCTTACTGCTTTATATTTCAATAGTGTGTATTGTTTTAGAATATGGTCATAGAATCCCGACCTCTCGTGCCCCTTGTAGGCTTTTTAGCTATGGGGTCTGATCCAACACCATCTATAGAGATAACTGCTAAACGAATGGAAAACCTCAGCCAGTCCATATCTATGGGTCAAGGTCAGGAAGTACACGCAAGGAAACTCATTTTACGTGGTCTTAAAGAGGTAACTTCTCTGAGTTATCATCATGGTTACAACTCTGCGGAGTCATGTTATTTGACTGACACTGACACTGTTCAGTGAGTCAGATAATATGATTTCGCAGAGTTTGCAGAGTTAATTTCCAATTTATGTTCAGGGCTTTTGGGTGCTGCTGCAAAACTGTCACTTGGGTCTTGAGTACATGGTGGAGATTATGGAGCAGTTCAACGAATTAGAGAAAGAGCCAGAGCAGGTTCACGACATGTTCAGGTATTCATTTACTCATTTAAATATAGTAGAACTATAAGGTTTTGAATTGTTATATAATTATAGAAAAATTAATAAATAAAAACTACTACTGTCGTTTCAGATTATGGATTACTACAGAAGTTCATCCCAAGTTTCCAATTACTTTGTTACAAATGTCTATAAAGTACACTTGCGAGCCGCCGTCTGGTATGTTATTTTACATGAATGATTGAAAATTACGAAGCTATTTAAAAACTGACGGTCCACTTGGGTAAATGAATTGGTTATAAAAACTAACCTTGTGTAATAAACCTATCTCTACAATGTCTAAACAAGTACATGACAAGGATACTTCTAAGAATGTGAAACCTTTTTCGTAATTAAAGTAATTACATATGCCTCTAGGTCATTTTGTACGTATACAACATTTTAAACAAAAAATACGAAATGTGAAAAACAAAAACAACCTTTTCATTGACCTAAGTCTCCTGATTTCGCCTGCTGATCGTGACTTTCCAAATAAATTTACCTTAATATTTACTTTCAGGTATTAAGGCTGGTCTCATGAGAACTTACGATTCCATGAGTCAGGATTTCCTCGATTACAGTGATAGTCCTTATTATCTACCGCTGATTTTCACTATATCATTCCTGCATACGGTAGTGCAAGAGCGAAGAAAGTTTGGACCTTTAGGATGGAACATTCCTTACGAATTTAATTCTGCTGACTGGTTGGCATCATGCATGTTCGTACAAAATCACTTAGATGCGTTAGAACCGGGACAGTTACCTAGCTGGAATACGGTTCGGTACGTTTTTCAATTTCTTAAAAAAAATATGTATCGAGAAAATCCGTATCAAAGTACCTACTACACTTACGTACAATAAATTTAATAAACGCTATAAAAAGGGGATGTTTAAGAGTTTTAAAGATACATATGTACAGACTCATTCATCATTACGAATAGGCTGACCCTAATAATTAGCATATATCCATGATAATCATAATTTTTTTGATTGATACTTATTGCTAAGTTGCATATATGCAAAGTTATTAAGGCTCTCTTGCAGCGCGGTGTGTAGGTACGCAAGTGATATCTCATCCCCCTCTAACGTATCGTAAGCATAGACGCAGTGGGTCACAAACGCGGCGCAAGTTGGTCGTGCATGACAAGGAGGCAATGTGGCGGCTGTTGAGCCATGTTTTGGACTAAGTATTTACACAAAGGGGTTTCAGTTACAATGTAAGGACTAGTAGTGTCATTTTTTTGTAGCCCACCAATAATTTTCATATTACTTTATTGTGCTGTATTAAGTACAGATATATTTATGTTCAATAATTTTTGTCCTAAGTGATATCGGGGCTTAGATATTTACATTTAAAGATGTCGTCAATATTAATATTTAAATTAATGTTCTGTGTAAATAAATCCTATTTATGACTTTAGAAAGTTGATATTAGAGGTTTGCTCTACTGTCATATGAACGTCTGTCTGTCGTTTGTTTGAACGTCTGTTTATGTGACGTTAGTATTGGGTCTTGAGAAACGATAAAATCACATAATTATACTTTATTGCATTTTATAACAATATGATGTTTAAAAACACATTTTTGACTCTCTTCGTCTACTCGTATTTCGTTCTCAATGTCATGTCGAATAATCATATCTTAGAATTATGCCGGTGATGTAAGGTATATTTTGATATCTTCTTCAACCAATGTACCCTATAAGATCGTACTCCTTCTTAAAAATCTGTCAACGCGTTTGTTACTCTTGAGTTGCATGCGTTTATGGGCTACGGAAGTCACTTTCCATCAGGTGACCCGTCTACCACCTCTATTCCCTCTTCCATATAATAGACATTAGATAAAAACAGCAGCATAAGTTCCGTTTCCTTATAACATATGAGCAATAGTGCCCCAATTTTGCCAGTTAAATTTAGTTCCAGTTTAAGGTTTCCGCCGAAAACTCGTTGATATTGAGTTCGATGCTTACTTCGATCACATATGAACAGTCACCTTTTACATATTCTCCGTAGTAGCTACGAGCTCGTTGTGGCTAGCCATTATTTCTAGATATTCTTATTTCTTAAAATATATGACTTGCAGTTTCACTAAAGTTCTGAGACCTTATTCAAATAGCTTAGGATTGGTTGGCACCGCAGAAACCTAACAGATTGCTATAGATATAGAATATAATAACGTCTTCGATTTTAATGAGGAAACATCAATAATAATAAAATCAATATTATGATAGATATTTGCTAATAAAAATAAAATCAATAATATAAAATCAAATATCTCCGTTCCGATATGTATGTATTAAAGAAATGTGAATAATAAATTCATTACTGACTGTGATAAGTTTTATTACTGCCCGCTCAATTTCAAAACGACGCCAACTTTACCCAAACCCTATAACCTAGTATTATGATCACTAGAGATATAATTCTGTAGGATCTCAACTACGCATGTGGCTGTTCTTTTTCTCATTGAAGCATTGTAAAATAACAAATAAAATTGTAATAGTATAACTATATTACTATTGAATTCCACATACTTTAAAATTATGAAACCAACTAAATACCAAATTAAAGATTTATAATAAAAGTATCTACCAATAAATAACGCTTATCACACGTTCATATGCCATAATTTAAAAAAAATAAGGTTATTTCTTTTGTAAATTTTTTACATGACTCTATGTTGGAATTGCATTGCTATTCCCGTTTGAAATCGTGAGTTAGTGTTATGTTTCTGATGTTAAGTCCTATTAACCTTGCCTTAAGTTTTAAATAACTAAGCTAATTAAAATATGGTTTAAATTTTTCGATGTATATGAATATAATAGTAATTCAATCTTTTTATTTTTAGTTATATGGTCTCAGCCGTGCAATACGGCGGGCGTGTGACTGACGACTTCGACAATCGTCTTCTGACTACGTTCACTAGAGTGTGGTTTACAGACCAGCTCTTCAACGAAGATTTCCAATTTTACAAAGGTTACGGTATTATGCAGTTTAAAAATATATCTGAGTACATTGAGGAAATAGAGAAGATGAAAACTACAGATCCACCCCAGGCTTATGGTTTGCATACTAATGCTGATATCACGTTAGTACATTTCATTTACTTAAAAATAATATTGAAAACCTTAACTTCTTAGTTTTTTATGTTACACATGGTAGAACATTTTCAATTTGCCATTTGTGTTTTGTTTTGTAAAAAGCACATACCAGAATTATAACGGTGCGGCGTAGCTTTTAAGTTTATTTCTCATGACCCCTCACTAATCTGAATGTTCCAGTCTGTAATATTTATTTTAGTTATCAACGCAATACGGTTCAGGATCTCTTGGATACAATACTATCTATACAACCAAAGGAATCGGCAGGTGGTGGTGGTGAAACACGTGAGGCCTCAGTGTACAGACAAACTAAAGAAATGCTTGAAAAAGTGCCACCTAACTTCGACCCTCATGAAGTTAAAGAAAGGTTAGTTGGTCACAATTTTTTTCGGGATTTCGTGATTTACGAGCATGGTAGATTAACATAGGAGGAATATCTTACGTCCAGTTAAGTTCTTGAGCGTGTAAGATTAAGGTAAATTAGGTTTATTGCATGCCGAAAAGGGTGTTTTAAAAAAATCTGTCGATTCTGATCGTGACATGGGAGGGTCATACAGTAAAAAAAAAGATGACCTTGAAATTCTTGAGCACAGGTATGTTTATTTTGAAGCTTTAATCTCTACATCATTTTTCCTGCGTTTATTTGTCACATTTTGTAATTGAATAAAAAAAATCTAACCGTCATTTATAATACCCCGCAAAATTATCATCAGATTTTTGACATGAAGGAACATCAAGCTGAACCGTCTGTATTAAAACTAAAACGGTCGGGTATTTTGAAATAGCGATTTTTCGAAATTGCTGTTTGCATCTTCGAAAATTTGCTACGAGCTCGTGTCACTTTAAAATCATCAGACCTTTCAATGGGATCTCATATCTAATGCACGCTATTTTTTCTTTTTCGATTTCCTCCCCTTACATATTTTAATAAACCTAAAGAAGCTTTTCCCACCGCTGAAAGCGGAAAGCTTATATAACTTTTATTCATTACAACGTGTGGGTGGCCACACGTTGTACAAAGCTTTTCACAACGCATTTCTGATCGTAGTCTGAAATGGTCTCTAAAGCTTTTATTTAAGAACTCCAGGATCTGTGTTCGAATTATCTACTGGTTTCAGACCTCAAAAGGAATCAAATAATATATGTTTGTGTATTTTCTTCATGGTTGATCAACTTTTTCAGTAATTGTTACATGAGTGATTTGAAAGAAAACGAATGGTTGATTGAATTTGGGATAGTTGCAAGTAAACTGCCCCTTATATGCTGCACATCAAGTCCTATATGCACTTATAAGCCTATATTACTTCCAAGCCTTATTTTAATGAAAAACTCATTGCTTCAGGTTGAAGCTATACGGAATACTTGGATCAATGGTTATTTTCTTACGACAAGAAATTGATCGAATGCAGCGTGTAATCAATCTTGTTCGCTCTACGCTGAAAGACTTACTGCTGGCCATTGACGGGACTATAATTATGAATGAGGTACTCCCTTAGCTATATACATAAACAAAGGCCGATCATTAAAGTTTAGACACGTTAATGATCGGTCAAAGACTAATATTTATTCAGTTAATGCTCTCAAAGAATAAGCACAAAAATTCCTTTAAAATGAAAATCAAGTATTAAGCATATTTAGCTTTAAAATTACCGCTTAAAATACAAATCGTCCAAAATACAATTCTTCTCCGTTTATCGTATAGAAGTAAGTATAAAGCAAGTAAAAAAGTAAAAGAAAACCAAAGTACCTATGAATATTATACTATCGTGTTAAGCAAATACCATATTCAATTTAATGACAGAAAGTATTACCTCTCTTTTGAACGAGACTTAATAACATAAATATTGGACGGACAAACTCTTTTGGATGACTTATTATTTATGGCAAAAAGCAGACGGGTCACCTGATGGTAAGGGACTACCGCCGCCCATGGACCACCTGCACCTCAAGGCATATGTATTGCCCTATTTGAGCGCCCGCTTCCAGAATCACAGGGAATGGGGAATTGGGTCTCCTGTTACCTCACTCGCTTGGTGAAAACGAACGAACGAATTTGTTTTGAATTTGTAACTTATGAATTTGTTTTCTGTGAGGCCAAGGTATCACTGGTAACAGGTAAGGCACTGGTCAAGTTGGCCCAAATGTGCCGAAGCATGGCTCTACCAGGGTTAACATTTTAGGCTAATGAAATTTTTATTGTGTGATTATTTGCCTATTTCGACTTTTTGCTTATGAGAGATACAGTAAAGTAATATATTTACCTAATAATTAGAGATTCAAGGATTTGTAGCAGTATTTTTTTAATGACTTCTCGCGACTAAGGTACGTCTAAGTTATTTTTTGATAGTTGAAGTTTCGTGGTGGTGATACGAAGTTTACTAGATGATCTAGTAAACTTCGTATCACCTACATCTATTTATCTATGTAAAATATAGTGTCCCTTTAAAAAAAAATAAGTAATAGATCTAAATTACAAAAAAAAAAAACAAACAAATGAAGTACAAATTAACTTCCAAACAGAAATTCATCACTTCACTTCCACTAACGTCTTCAATTTTTACTGGATTGAGATTTATGAAGCACTCATAAATATTTGATTACCAATAAATATACTTTGTGACCAAATATATAGTAGGCTATATATAGTAGGCCAAAAACCTCCTTTCTAAGGAGAGGCCTATGTCCAGCAGTGGACTAGTATAGGCTGTTGATGTGATGTGATGATGTGATACTTTGTGACAGTGACTGTATTTTGCATTTTCAAAATTTAAATACGGTAAAATCGTAATATTGCTCATCAGTTCTTCATTGTAATCAGACGTGTTTATAAGCTAATATTAAAATAACAAATAGTAATTAGCTGAATCGTGATCTTGTTTTTTGCCAACAACCAGTAGTATCTGTCAATCAAATGAAGTTGTAAGTGAGAGGGTGTAAAAATGATGGCGTCACAATCAAACATACAAGCACAATCAAATCAAAGATTAAAAATTTAGAAAGACATTAGAAAGACATTAAAAATTTTAAAGTCAGTTTATTTGTTCACACGCACCTATTAAATAAATGCTTATGCAATATGTGGCCAGAGCGAGACGATGACTCAAATAATAGGTGCACACTTGTTTGAGGATCAGAGTCAATCCGCCCCTTGCCCCATGTATATTCTATTTCAAATCTAGTCTACAATAGGAGCAAATTTTGTAAAATTAAATGAATAAAGTTTTTTTGTTGTGAATATATGATGTCGACTCAGAACCCTAATTTAATACGTTCTTCTCTAATTTGACGGGCAAATTAGAGAAGAACTACTACTACCTAAACATTTGATGTTTGACAGGTAGGACAGGACATCTTGTTTTTATTTTTTACCACGAGACTATTTCGAAACTAATCAACAACAATGCATTTTTATTATATTGAGTATGAATGTCATTTGATGTAACTACTGTTCCATGTTGTCATCTTAATCCGGTTTCAGGCTTTACGCAATGCATTAGACAATATTTACGATGCAAAAGTGCCCGCTATTTGGTTAAGATCCTCGTGGACCTCGTCTACATTGGGCTTCTGGTTCACAGAGTTTTTGGAGAGAACTATTCAATTCTCGACATGGTGCTTCCAAGCTAGGCCTAACTCTTTCTGGATGACAGGATTTTTTAATCCACAAGGTATATACAGATAATTAAAGTTAAATAAAATAAAATAAACAGGTAGGTACAAATAAACATGTAGTAATGAGAGGTGAAAACAATCTTAGTGGCCATTTAATCTATAGATACTCAATCAAATAGTAATATAATAGTTGTAAAGCAATCAAAGCCAGGTCAATCTATGGATGGGTGACCATTCTTAACACATCGAAACCCCTCCGAGCCTCGGAGAGCACGTTAAGTCGTTGGTCCCAATTGCCATACGAACATCTGTGGCAATCGTTACGCGTAGATGGAGCCCTAACAAGTCCGACAACAGTCTATCTACAGAACTTGGATATCGCCTAGACTTGGTTTTGTAGCGGTCTGGCGACATTTGCTTCGAAATTCAGCCGTGTCGTAGTAGGCTTAAATCCAACCCAAACCTAGGTTGGTGAAAATTCTCATAAGATGATGATAATAATTAGTTGTAACGGAGAAAAGAAAAACATGAAAAGCACATAACAGAATGAATAAAACTAGTTTTACATATGCAACAATATGTGGCGATGATTTTTGTGCATCTTATCATTTTTAACAAAAATGATAAATGAAACGTTATTAATAGATACATTGAAAAATAGATAATAGAATATTACTCACCTCTCCTATCTCCTCTTCAGCTAAAACAATTAGTAGTATCAGTAGTTATGACCTCCTCTGTATTAAAAATGATATGACGTAGGTAATATGCTTCTGTTTAATGTGATTTTCACTTTATCACACTTAAGTAAAGCAACACAAAACAAGTGACGGAGAGACATTGTCACAAGGACGTGGCCTTGCCATGATCCTCAGGGACGTAACATAACGGCTAAAATATGGAGGTATAGTCTAGATACGGGAAGTCAAAATGGGCTAATATTTAAAACAACCAACGACATTCTTGATATAGAGAGACACATATGTATTTACATGTCATTCGACTGTATTAAAATTATGTTTCCTATAAGGTTTCCTGACGGCGATGCGACAGGAGGTGACGCGCGCTCACAAGGGCTGGGCCCTTGACATGGTCTCGTTACATAACGATGTCACGAAGTTTATCTTGGAGGATATTAAGACCCCGCCACTAGTAAGATTTTCTCATTATTACATTTAAAAAAATGTAACTTAATAAGAAAAATTTAAAACTTGCGATAGAACATATACGTATATTAAAATTTTAGATCTCGATTTCAGTTATGTGTAGCTGAAAAATAGATTTAGAATGTAAACTGAAGAAGATGATGTTTACTCAATAACTGCGCGGACATTTTGTGTGATCCACAAAATGTCCGCGCAAATGAAATGGAAATTCCTCAGATTTTACATTTTAATTTAAATATTTACTGATGCTGATGATGATGCATAATCATTTATCATTAATTTTCATAAATATTGTTCGTGACCAGTCGACATGAAAATTAATATGAATCTGCATCGACTGTCAATTTCAATCAATCAATTAATTTCGTGGTATTGTAATATGTATGTAATGTAATCAATGTAAATACGTATCATTGCATATTTATATGTTTGTATGTATGTATTTGTAAGTGTAAATATAAGTCATGTCTATAAGCATAAGTTTATGTATATGGTGATTGATTATATATTACTTGAATTAAAAAACATATACTTTGATTCATGTGTAACTTCTGTACGCTACCTGTCCGTAGTAAATTTCTACACCACCCAAAGGTTGACTAGAAGGTAATGCCCTGTGCATTAAATCTGCTGATGGATTAAAGTGCATGAAGTTGTATAAAAAAAATATATATCGAATAGATAATGTACAAATACCCGCTTTATTGCTTAACTCTGTTTTAGGGAGACTAAGACGGTAATTAATGCCATGAAAAATATTACAATTAAGATGATGCTTTATTGATAATTTAACAATACAATTACAGGAAGGTGTATACGTCCATGGATTGTTCATGGACGGTGCCAGTTGGGATCGCCGCAATATGCGTTTGTGCGAGTCAACGTTGAAAGTTTTGTACACGCAGTTACCCGTCGTTCATATTTATGCCATTAACTCTACTGCACCTAAGGACCCTAAGCTGTACTTGGTTGGTATTCACTAAATAAAAATAAGACTATGTTCATATATAATTGCAGATTGTAGAGCACAATAAAACTTGTACTTATAATTACTTTTAAAATTAAATTTCTTCCTGAAATCACCGAAATATACCAAAAACACTACGTTATTATAGATATTGTTTGTCAATTTATTTTTCAGTGTCCAGTTTACAAGAAACCCGTTCGCACAGGATTGACGTTTATCACGCCGCTATGGTTGCCAACGATCAAAAACCCAGATCATTGGATCCTTAGAGGAGTTGCCATATTATGTGATATTAAGTAATTTTGAAAGTGCTTTAAATATTGCTCACATTTCGAAGATAGAGATTATAGTTTGAACAAACATTAAAGTGTTACCGTTACGTTGGTAGATATCAGTATATTTAATGTTTGACAAGTATTTTTACTAACATACAAACCGGATTAAATATTTTCAAGGTTTTTGTATTTCGAGCTATAATAATGTGCATTGTATTTTTTTAACTTTTATTTTCTTATTTATTTAGTTTTGGTAAGTTTTTACTTTAATAAATGCAATGATGACAATGGTGTTTGATTACTAAGTCGACAAAGAATAATAATATAATAATATAAAGTCCCTGAGGATCATGGCAAGGCCACGTCCTTGTGACAATGTCTCTCCGTCACTTGTTTTGTGTTGCTTTACTTAATATATTACTAATATGGCTACAGTAATGAAGACACAAAAAATATTTGTAGTCAAGCTATCTCCTAGTCAGGCAAGCTTATCATTAAAACCGATAAGTAAATTTTATTGAATAGGTTAATTTAGTTATTGAAGTGAAAACTTCTTAAAGCACGTTGGACTTTGGCCCCGTTTACACGAGAGTTTGGGCTGAAATAAATTGATAATTTAACTAAAACGTTTATATAAAAAAACAAAACAAACAAAAACCTTTTAAAACCTTACTCCTGCAGCTAGAGAGGGCACAAAGAGCTGTGCTAAAACGTCATTTTCTCTTCCATTTCGTTTTCCTACTGCGGAACTTCAAAAAAAAAAACAACATATATATCCGTACAACATAGATATAAATTCATGTCGGAACTTATTCGGCACAAAATAATTCACACGCCTCCGCGGCCCCGCCGCTTTATTTCATCAATCCACTAGATAGTTGTTAGTAATACTGACACCTACTTCGTACTAACTAAAAAGCCTACACTGACTTCGTTAAATTGGACAAATCCGTGCGAGTGTGACATGTCTGCTCTTCATAGATAATGTATTACTAACAAGTAACAAATGTCTAGTGGTATGGTAAAATCAAGCGGCGTTGGCGCGGAGGCGGTGCGGTGATGGCGCGGTGGCGGCGCGGTGACGAAGCGGTCAGCTGCCGAAAATCAAAACACAGCAAGGGACAAATCATCATTTCAATCATCACTGAGTGTTGTGGGTACAAACCCCACATGGGACGACACTTTGTTTCCCTTTTAAAACGAGTTCTCCAGTTGACCACCCAATGACTATTGTAGCCTATTGCTGCTCTAATTCTGAAATCGCAAACTCTCGGTGTACATGTCCAAAACTGCAGAATGTGAGCACTGCAAAACAACACAACTAATGTATGTCTTCAAGAGCCTACTAGGGGTCGCTGACACTACTACTAGAATGGTGTATATAGCGCTTTGCCAATCAATATTAATCTACTGTGTCACAGTTTGGAGTGGAACTTATAAAACCTTACTCCTGCAGAGAGGGCACAAAGAGCTGTGCTAAAACGTCATTTTCTCTTCCATTTCGTTTTCCTACAGTAGGACTTAAAAAAAAAAAAAACAAAAATGCTCCCTGAACTCAGTTCGACAATTATTCATTGTGTACACAGTTCTTAAGCAACATTCTTTACCACCTTTTGACCCCTCTGTACTATCAAAACGACGGAAACAATGTATGTCCCACCTCATCTTGTCCCCATTTCTCCCGCAGATCTTTTTCCTTTTTAGGCGGATTTCTATTTAATAAATTAAATAAATCTCTAGATAATCCTGAAAGTAAAACGTGTGTTAAAGTGATTGTGTCTTAATTTTTACTTACCCAGGGCAAGGAACAAACAGAAAACTTGCTAAAAAGTAATACACATCTGCACATACCTTATACTTAAACACACACTTATGCGCGCACAAACACACAATACACGCACGTACGCTCACACAAACATACACATACAACCACACACACATTTAAAATCTAATACTAGCAAAATTTAAATCCAGTTACCCGTTTTATTTCTTTTCTGTTTTTTTTTGTTTTATTCTCTTCAATTTTAAGTGTCAGATTTGATTTTGTACAGTTTAAATCAAAAAAAATTTTTTGAGCATAATGCGGAAGCCTGGTTATCCATAACATAAGTATTTTACTGTGTTTGTATTATAATCAGGAAGAAATAAACATTTATTAGTATTATAAATATGTACTTATATTCTGATTAAATACTATTATTATATCATGGTGAATTGTTGTTCTGAGTCTGGGTGTTTTTGTATCCGTTTCGTGTTTGTTTGTAAAGTCCCCGCAACACAGGATATATTCCCAATACGGGCGCTGCCTTTAAATAAAAGAATAGAAATATAGAAATAGTATTTCTTTGTCTTAGATTCTAAACAAAGAACATACTAAAGACATCATGCATGAGAGGAGAAGCACAGATAATGCACGAAAGAAAACAAAAATAAAATTTTATTGTCATTGTTACGTAATATACGAGTATCCTTACATAGTTTAATATCTATGAACAATGAATAGGGGTTCAATATACTAAATTGTTAACTTACGTAACTTAAATAATCATGTTTTTTGATTTAGTAGCTACTTTTATGCTGACAGAATCATTACAAAGTGAATTGATAGCATAGTTAAGCCACAATTAGTATAAAGGTCAGATGGGATTTATTCCTAGAATTTTTTTTTTTTTTTTTTAAATTTTCAAATATGGAAGTGACAGTTAATGTCGTTAATTTCTTTCAAATGAATATAAACTTGTGATTAGTAAACATCAAAATAGAGTTTGATACCATCAAGACGGTTATTTTCTAAATACATTTTAAAATGGCCGAGGAAGGTAATGCAGCGCCCCCTGATGTTGGAGCCCCAGAAGGTGAAGCTCCAGAAGGTGAGGTTCCACAAGAGGTCACTGCTGAAGAAGCACCACTCGACGAAAATGAAGAAAAAGCGGAACCTGAAGAGGAAGCTAAAGAGCTTACGACGGCAGAAATCGAAGCAGCCTATATTGCCGGTTTGAAAACGAGCACATTATCACGATGGGGACAAAAAAAAGGACGCCAAAAGATGCCAGTTGGCTTTGAGGAACGTGTTGATGTGGACAGAACGGCCCTAAACGCGATACTAGATATTAGCTCTCGAATTCAGTATATCCAGAAGAAAAGCGGACTCTCTATGAGTACTTTGGCATTAGGTCAAGAAACATATAAAGATAAACAAGTAAATAGTCTTAATACAAACTTATTTAGATTGTTTCTAGTAGATTTTACTTTGAAAATACATATAGTGTTTGACTATTGCGTTTCTAGGCTAAAGCTAAAGAAGCTCGTTCAAATCGCACGGCTGGTCTTAAAACGCAACACAGATTTTTATTAGAGAATGCAGCAACATTATTAAATAAATCAGTTGAATATGTGCTGGTGAGTGAAATAAAAAAAATCCTGTAATCAGAACTCTTTCTAATAGCGTTATGATAATCTCGAATACTTGATCCAGGATGGTGTTTATGATGCTGATATTCACATAGATTTACTAGATAGCGCAATTGTGGAAGGTGGCAAAAATGGTATCGTCGTATGTGATGCCAATCTGCCTCCTCCTAAAATGGGTAATGATTTCTTCTAAGCTTATCAGACTCGAGTAAACATGATCTTGCCCCTACCTATGTTTGTAGCTGTAATTTTTATTGTCTCATGAAAAGGCGTTGCATGCTAAACGGACCTCTAGTAAGGTGCTTTTTGATTTTTAGAATTCAGTCAGTTCATATTTTAATCTTCCATAAAACACTAATGTTATCAGTAAATGTAACACTAGGTAATGGAGGTTTGCACCCTTTTATCCAGTGCGACTGGAATTATAGTTTGCAAATTTGGGCGTTCACACACACGCTTCTGTCTACTCATTCGAATATAACAGACTTGAGTGTATGTATGTATACGTAACACTACTAGTATCATATTACATCTGATGTAGTTACATTAAGCTTTTTATGCATTTATTACCTAATTTAGTATTTCTAATTACTCGTAGTACGTATTATTACGCATACTTCATGTAGGTTGATGTGGATTTAATAATAATTTAAAAAACATCAATAAAATTTTAATTTATTTATCCATACAAATTACCTTTTATTGAGCTTTAGCGTGGAGCAAAATTGGTTTTACTTCACTTACAAAATGGCGTTTACTTTACTTACTGTAGAAACCAATCCAATCAAGTTGTTGTTTAATTTAATAATTAGGATTTTTTTTATTAGTGGTTTGGCAGTCGGTATAGTAATGCGATGATTATCTATATCTATATAATCTATATTAATAAAAATGTACCATCTGTACCAAATTAGTATTGTTCTTCTTTTTTTGTGTTCATTATTGTCAGGACGAGTTTTGTATATAAGAAAATACATATATTCGGGGTAATCTCAGGAACTACGGGTTCGAATTGAAAAATTCTTTGTGTTGGATAGCCCTTTTATCGAGGAAGGATATAAGCTATAAAACATTATACTACGACCAATAGAAGCCGAGTATCAATGAAAAATGTTGCGAAAACGGCCAAAATTTATTCCTTTTGAGGGAAGCAGTTTTTGTTGAAGTTGCACGAGTCGGCTAGTAGAATTATAAAAATTGTCGTACAAAACTATATTGTAACCATAAAGGAGGTTAATTATGTAATATGAACATAATAGTATGTATTCATGTTTTTTTTTATGTTTCAGAATCTGGTAGGTTTATTCCTCACCAAAAAGGTACAATGGATCGTACTTACATATCCGACTGTTCCACAATTGGCACAGTAGGCAATTGTGTTGCCATGTACAGGATAAAAAATAAAGCTGTAGATACTAAAAATATTGCTGACGTAAGTAATGGTTTAAATTTTAGAATAATGTGCTAATGCAATCCTCAAGATTCTGATTGTTCTTCATTTAAATTTTGCAATAAACTGGCATAGAGTAAAGATCTCGATCATAAAATAATGCCGCAGAGGATTGAGTCAAAACTTGACGGTATAATAAAAATATGAGATTATCTAGTATTAAATAAAACTGAATGTGATTTCTTAACTTTCTAAAATAATGGCTAAGTTGGTAACGAAGAGTCACCAAGAGAATCCATTCACTAATTGTAGTCTTCTGATAAATGGTGATACCTGTTTAATTTAATGATTTGATATGGATTGTGATATTTATCAGATCGTCGATGTGTCATGTCTTATTTTCAGGATTACTATGAGGTTATAATAGACATAAAAGGACCAAAAGATAATATAGTATCGGGAATATTTAAAACTATGGATCGTGTTTATGTACCGTCCCTTAAAGAATGCAAAGCCTGGGGAGACCTCAATCCACCTAATCCCAGAAGTCATGATATGATAGCCTATTATGTTTCCAAGATAAAGCTATTTGTAGACTACCTTGCAAGTGAGTGCTTACACAAGATAATTTAAGAAAGTTTGACAAAAATAATATTCTATACGAGTACATGTAAACCTAAATATATACTTAGTCTGATCATAAACACTGTTAAAATAAACAACAAAACATCGTATTACTTTTGAATTAGGAATCTGTTATTCCTAGATGAATATTCATTGTGTTTGCCCATTTTTACTCATATCTTTTGTGATATTAGAGTGGCGTGATAAAGAGAACCGAATTGATGTAATAGTATTACTATTATTATTACTCTAAGTAGGTGTGGAACCAAATGCATTTTTTTAAACTCTCCCGCTGCCGACATTCAACTAATCCTGCTTGGTAGTGGATTCTTTGTGTGCTGGGCTACTAATAGGTATAATAAAAACCTCTTCTGCTTGTGATAGAAAAAGATCTGGGCATCAATTCTGTTATTTTATATTAACGCCATACCACAGTCATTACATTAACACGCTATTGAGATGCCATTGAGATGCCACTGACATCGGTCAAAATATCGGTATTCTACTAACATAAATTAAATGTCAATAGACTGTCGATATAGTAAAAAATGTCATCAATGGTGATATCAACAACATTGCCATATCAGGAAAATTAAATATATCATTTTCTTATAAATTTAAAATGTATCATTTACCACACTATTACAAAGACGACATTTGTATCAGTGACAAGTCATCGCGAGTTAGGCCATTGATCTTACATAGTTAGTAGAATAAGAAAAGTGCAAAACTATTCCGACGACATTCCAACGACAGTCTATTGATACAATATTAAAATAGCAGAATTGAGATACTGGTCGTTCACGTTAAGGTTTTGATCGAAAAGGCGATCAAATCAGTGAATTGAACAACTTTAAATTTTTTAATTCACTGATTTCAACCTGTCCAAAAGCAAAAGATTTTATTTCAGGACAAGAATATAGCACCTAGAACCATGTCACGTATTTAAGAAGATAACTTGTAGCCTATAAGAGACGCAATAGTCCAACTGATAATTTAAAAAAAAAAGAGTCGTAAAATCAAAATTCTTAGTTTTTTTTTAATTCTCGTCAGTAAACAATTTTTTCTGTAATGTTCGACAAGATGTTAGTTTTGCCAAAAGAAAAAACACATGTCTAAAGTTTTTTTTACAAAAATGATAATAAAAATAACATCATACCTTAAAAACAGACGTTAAAAAATGTAATAAAGCAAAACAGAAAGAAGGTGAAATTTATAAATAAAATTGCGCTTACGCCATTAATGATAGCATTATTAAACATCGAACTTTTTAACGCATAACAGAGCATCATTGAAAATAAGGAGTTATGTTTAAAATACCCGAATAAGTCAGAATAATTAAATCTAAAAAAAAAACCTCACAATATCAAAGTTCCATAATTATTATTTTTTAATTTAATAAAACTATTTGCCAGAAACCAAAATAGATCTGGAATGTTGCACAAGATTTGATATCAACCTAGATTTATATAACGATGAGCTGTCCGATCCAGAGAAAATGAAAGCAGCTATTACCAAAACTGCGGTGTTAGAAGAAATTTGCACTTATGTTAAACAGTGGATGAGACAGATAACGATGGTAAGGATTTTATCGAACACATTTAAATTATGTATGTAGGTAGTGTGCACATATGTATGTTTGATGCTACAACTAGAAATGTGATCATTCAGGTTGTGGCCTAAAGGTGGCTGTTGGGATGATTCGTGATCACTAACCATGAAATCAATTGTAGTTATAGATTAATTACCATTAATTCGCCAGATGTTGCGAAACAATTTTTCTTCGTTAAACAACGTTTTTTTAAACACTAACGCTTAAACCACTACGCCATTCGTGTATCCATGTTTTTGATGTGTGTAAATATTCTTGCAATCAGTAAGCAGTCTCGTAAAAAGCAAAGTCATTTAGTACCTTTGTGTTGAAGCCGTTGTCCATCCAGTGTTTTATGAAGACTATATCTTAAATTTCATTTTCAGGTATTGGTACAAAGTCAGCAACTAAGACGTGAACCATCAAACATTGGGCCCTTAGCGGAGCTAGATCACTGGAGACGTCAACTCACATCATTTACTTCTATCATAGAACATATCAAGAGTGATGCCACTATGATGTATATTCATGCTTTGATACGAGCAAAGTCTAAATTGCTTAAGGTACAAAAAATGATAAAATACTTATTCATAGGCTACTTATAACGTTAAATACTCCTACCTATTTACCACCACAATTTCAAATCTTATGCAATAACCATAACAGAAACCTTCGTTCAGCCAACAATCTCCTTGTCACACCACTGGGTTTTAAGGCTTTTTGTTCTTGGTTCAGTCTGTTATCTCTTGTGTAATGCGCTTCCTTTCGATGTCAGGATGACTACAAATTGTTACTCTTTTAAGATGAAAGTAAAGAAGTTGAAGTTGGAGTTAAGTGAATTGATCAGAATAAACGAGCTCTTAGTTAACCACTTAGTTTTTTTTAATTACAATTAAAAAAAACTAAGTGGTTACGGAGAGGCCTATGTCCAGCAGTGGCCTATTAAAGGCTGTTGATGATGATTACAATATATATATATATATTTTTAAGTGTGTATGTATGTGTATTTATATGTATATATTACTGTGTATGTGTCTATTCAAAGGTCAAAATAGTTGATATTTTCATTAATTAACTCTCCATAAGTGCACCTACCTCATTCTTTTTCTGCATTGACCAATCGGTCAACTAGCAAAGAATGGTTTAGGCATTAACTTGGATTTATTTATTTTTAAACTTTATGTACAAATATGTACATAAAGTTATAATATAAATAAATACGAGTTACACAATCATTACATTTTCGTTTATAATTAATCTAGCATATTACTGTCATGAAACCAAATAATTCGTGACATGTACGGACATTAAAAACAAAAAAAATTGAATATACCGCCAGGTTACAAAAGACTATTATGGTTTCCAACAACAGATTATAAACTATGATTTATAATGCTCATAGCATTTGGAGTTAGTGAAAATTTAAGACAGAAGGTTACGGTCTCTTGGTTTCTTTTAGAAATGGAGAAGGCTTGACAATATGGTAACGGATTACTTTAATGAGGCCTATGACAACGTTAAGTACTTATATGCTTTGGAGAAATTCTGCGAGCCCTTGTATAGGTAAGTAGGACTCATTGATAAAATTTAGTAGTTACGAATACTCTAAAACAATAAATTATTTTTATATTGATTGTTAATTCTTCTACCAGATGCGACCCACAGACTATGCAGCAGTATATTCCTGGTTTATTGTACACCATCCGTATGGTATTTGCAACTTCTCGTTATTATAACACAACGAAGCAAATATCCACACTGCTGGTTAAAGTAACAAATCAAATACTTAATATGTGTATGGATTATTTAACCAATTACGGAAAAAAAACAATATGGAACCAGGACAAACTCAGGTTTATAAATAAATCCAAAGTGAGTTAAGTGTTTTTATCGCGAATCATATTAGTAGTGAGTCTGTACATTATTCCCGTTAGTTCGTATGTACAGTTTAATAAATAGAAGAAAACATTCACAAGCACGATTTTTTGTAGTATGAATTTCAGATGTTTAGTATTATTCTCATTGTTCTATGTTTGGTATCGGTATCAGGTACCATCACTTTTTCATCCCCCGAATGGATAAGCTCTTTGGCGATGATAAGCTGTTGTCTATTCTTAATGGTAGATATTTATCACATAGAGCAACTTCAAATTCAGAAATAGTTTTGTCCTAATTGCGTCAACTCTGGTTTACTGCTTAGATGGGAGGTTGACAGAAAATTAAGATTTTTATTGACTCCATTTTTTGTTCGACCCAGATTGGTTTCTCTAAAAAAAAAACATCGGCTACACCACACTCGTTACTTCTTTTAACACTCAAAATTGAAGTTTTCAAGAAATTTTATACTACTTTCTTGAAATCATTGTCACTATAGTATTACCTAGTTACAGCCTTTGAAAATGTGGAAACGATAACGATACGATTTCCAGTCCAGTCAATCCAATGTTGTCCGGCATTTGATTGGATTGTATCACTGGACGACTTGACTGGGATAATGTAAATTGTGTATATTTTGAATTAGAAAGTTGTAAAAATCAGTCTTGAAATTTCACCACCAATTAATAGTTTGGGAACGATGATATATTATTCATTTAAAGTATTATCATTTTTATTTTTTATTTACAAGAGTATATTTAACGTCTGTACTAATTTCCAGCTATATTTCAATTGACAGACTATGAAAAGAATACTACTACTAATATTAAAATAATAAAACCTATTAAATAATAATGTTTTTGCAGCTGTGCCTGAATCTTTATAATTTTTATCGTGAGTGTTACGCTGAAACTCAACAAGAAATGAGGGAGGCATCTGATGAGAGGCCCTTTGATTGTTCGGAAATGTACATTTTTGGAAAATTTGAAACTTTTCGCACTAGAGTGATTAAGGTAAAAATACATTAATAGATTATCAAGTAAGTATAGGTAAGACATCTTTGGCTGTGCTGTCGGATCCAAACTTTTTTAAACTAATAATAGTTTAAAAAATCGGTGAAAACCAAACAAATTGGGTAGATAGAGGCGAATTAACACAAAAATTAGACTATTATTTTAGCCTGACTGACGCAAAAGGGGGCAGAGTTGTTGCATCTGACCTCTATTATACAAGTACGTTGGATTGCATATGGCTTCATCAAACAGAAGCGAATCGCTATATTGCGTTGCACTACGTTCCGTGGAGCTATAGTCAAACCGCCGTAAGCTTGGATGGTTTGTGGGACGCGGGACGGGGGTACGCTCCACCAATTAGTTAGTGTGTCGCTGTCCACCAGCAGTGACTGACGTGAAAGCATGGCTGTACATATTATTTTTCTTAAGCCTGCTACACACGGTATTACTTTGCAACATGGATAATCCGCCGACTCTGCTTTACAAAAAGATTCAAGAACATTTGGATTAATTTTCATTTTTTAATAACGTTTTCTTTTGTTTTTACTTTAGGTTACATGATCAATTATCGTATTGTATATTATATTGTATTGTTGTTCTATTGTATGTATTATATTGACGGATTCATTCCGTGGATGTCGTAAGAGCCGACTAAGGGAGCAAACTACGAAGGACAACAGCACTGCAAAGAGAAGAAATACTTGAAACAAGAACTATTATTACAACAACCCTAAAAATTTGGCCTACCAATGAATACTCTGTTAAAAATATTTAAAAACGAATCAAAGATCATGAAAAAAATTTATAATGGTCAAAGAAAGAATCTAGACCTTTACAAGTCGCATATTTCCTTACAAAATCCGCCTAAGTCGAATACCCCGTAGGTTTAAAACTCTGACTCGAATTATTTGGCGTCTCCCTTGAAGTTCGGCTTACATAAGTTCTACGGTTTAAAGTGCTAATAAAGAACATATATTATTTTACTTCATTATTAAATTGTATATGAATATAACTTACATCATAAAGATAAGGTAATTTTGTAACAATTTTTAACAAGAATTACATTTTACAATTAATCTTAAATTTACAATTTACTGAAATTATAATATATGGAAATAAATTTGATTGTCATTATATCGTGTGTAGATTAAATGTCAAACAAATAAATATGAAGATATCGAGTTAGTACATTGTGTCATGTATAGCCGAGCGCATCGCCCGCCCCGCGTCCCGCAAACCATCGTGAGGGTCAAACTTACGGTGGTTTGACTATAATACTAGGAATCAGATATAACTAGCGATAAAAGTATTGTCATCACTTTATCGGTATAAATTTTTGGTGTAATTTCTACATTACTATCACAATAACAGAACAAAAATATTTTTACTAATTCCATTTATATTTTAATGTATTAATTTTTTATTTTTTTTTTCTTGTTCACTAGTAATTCACTGTGAACTATTAGTGAATAAGAGCGACTTTTATAAAGAAGAAGTGGCTTTCATATCTCGACAACCACTTGATCAGTTTGGCTCATATACGATGTTAAAAAATCTAATGGCATTAGAAATCTACTTGCAAAATATCCTGAAGATCGGATAATAAGTATCGTAGAATAAATAAAAATAATACCAGAACACGATACATACAAACTTCAATTTTCCGCGTTTGATACGGAGACTTGATTCGGATTCGGTGAAAAAGAAACTCAATTTTCCCTGTTGATAGCATAAATGTATAGGGGGGTACATAAAGCAAAATAAAACATACAGAATGAATAAAAATACCTATATTTGTCGTCACTGGCGACTCCAAATAAGTTGAGGTGACAAAAATTTCGTAATTTACCAGTTATAAAGTGATTAAAAAATTTAGTCCAGCGTACTTGTAAACTAGAGGTCAGTGGTGTAACCCCATATTGCCGTCACTTATTTTCATAAATAAACATACATAAACAAATAACATACACCAATTTCTGTATACATACATACTCTAGATACATACTACTATTCTATCTATTTTCATATAATTTTTTTTTTTTTTTAATAATTGTTAATAATAATATATTTTAAACAGTTATTCTTTGTAACTTATATGTATAAATTAATTGTTGTAATTAATTACGTGTAGATCCATGACTTTGGGACCAAAAACATTAATGAAGAATTAAATAATTTTTGGTACACGGTGTTATTTTATTGCCAGCATTTTTTATTTCCAGCATATAGTCCGTATGATGATGGATAAAGAACACTGTCACTGAATAATCCTCCTTTCTAAGGAGAGGCCATGGTCCATGTCTATGTCTAGCAGTAGACTATTAAAGGATTTTAGATTGACAAATTTTCAATATTTTACAGATAATTCATCTGTTCCAAACGTATATTACATACTATGTTCTGAACAAAACTACGATAGAAGGTATAGAAGAATTCGCCGCAACCTTTAACAAACTATATAAAACAATTTCTACGAAAACATACGACGCCTTGGATCACAGGTATAAAATAAAATATTTAAAACTATAATACGTTTAATACAATGGATAATCCTTATTTTGTCTTATATTTCAGGCGGCCAGATTTTGACAAGGATTTCAAGATATATACAGACACTGTAGCGAATCAAGAGTTGTTGCTAGAGAATTTCATGATCAATGTGAATATTTTGTCATTATTTCTATTGATACTTGTACCATAAATTGAACTTTTAGGAACGACGTTCCTTATCGAGCGGATGGGAGCGAGACCGAACAATGTGTAACGAGACTTTCCGACACTTTTAGAAAATAATTATGTTTATTTCATTAAATTTCTGCCTCAAAAAATAGATGGAATGTCGGCAGCACTCGTCCACAGTAGAATACCGTACGACATTATGCTATGAAAATAATTGAAGTAAGCAAGTCGTACTATATCAACATCAGTCAACTCTCGAATGTTTCTAATTGCGTATGCTGTTGAGCAAAGTTTACTCGATAATATATAGCAAGTAGTGTCGGTGTCGGTGATTTTTCGGTCTCGCTCTCATCCGCTCAGAGTGTGTAACGTGCGATAAGGAACTTCGTTACAAAAAGAGTTTTCTATGATTTCAAAAAGGCCTAAGTTCTCTCTAGGCTATGTGAGGCTTCGATAAGTATCGTATCCAACGTTCGTACTATAAAATGGAGGTCTGTTTTGTACGATAGTAAAGGGCGAAGTCACACACGAAATTGCATAATTAAAAAATACGATTAATTATGATGACGATCCTTTTTCCCATACTTTTTCTGCAACACAACTATTCAAAATATTTTAATAAAATTCAGGAAAAGGGAAAGAAGGAAGAAAATTTGTTTTCTCATAAATTGTGTGTGTAACACGAATGAATTGCTACTATGCGAGAGACCTATTAGTTTAATAATATTTATATTTTTTTACCAAATTATATTTTAACATTAATACATTTCCAGAGCGTCAATAGGTGTCCAACGACCGAAATAGCTTTACATTTATTGTTAAGATTTGGGAAATTGAAACTAGATTGTTTATATCTTGAAGATCAATATTACGACTTAATTAGAAACTACACCGCAGAGGTAGAATCAATAAGAGACAGGTACTGTAAGAAAATATTCCACACATTTTGTTACAGAAAAAATACGTTTCCTGGTATCGCGTCGGTGCACATTTTTAAACAAGACTTTTTTTATTTCGATTGCAGCATTTATTTCTTTTTACCTGGATAAAACGAGAATAATTCCATGAACGTGGTTAATAATAAATAATCAATCTCGTTTACATCTGCACATCCCTTTATGGAACAAAAGATTATTATATTTTGAATCATCATAATTAAGATTTCGTCCACTGATGAACGAAGGCCTCCTCCCCGTCTTGGGCACTCCGCATCCATCCGCTGCTAGCCATTTTTTTCAAGTGCGTCTTGCCACAAGTCGCCCTACACTAACTAATATTATATATTGACTGTAATGAGGAATTCTCTTATTTTAGCTAAGACAAAAACAAATGAGATATTATTACTTAAAACAAATAAAAAACAGAAAAATCGTAAATTTAAGATCAGTTATTAGTATACACTGTGTTTTACACTATTAAATATAAATATGCATAATTCGCTACTTATTATTTTTGCGATTACTTTTGTATTGAATGAAATTTCTAGGTATAATGACGAAAGACAAGATCCAGAACTGCCAAGAAACATGCCGCCAGTCGCTGGTCGCATAATGTGGATAAGATTTTATGACAATAACATAAAAATACCCATGGAGACGTTCAAGAAACATGAAGAAGTTATTACACATCCGGTACGTAACATTTGTATCACTTAAACACAAACGATGTTAATTTGAGCCATAAATTGAAGACATAATTTAGTCACTGGCGTAGTGGTTTAAGCGGTCGCCACGCCACTTACTACTACGCTGTGGGTTGGATCCCCACATGGGACGACACTTTGTGTGATCCACAAATTGCTGTTCTGAGTCTGGGTGTTCATTGTGTCCGTTTCATGTATGTTTGTAAAGTCCCCCGCGACAGAAGATATATTCCTAATGCCTGTCTTTTTAAAATTAAAAAAAATGGTTTTGTACAAAAGTGGCATAATTGTTATGTTTTGTTTACAATCTATTTCTATTTTCTTCAGTTATTTTTTTTTCTTTTATTAATAATAAAATATGTATATACTAATACTCTTCAAATACTGCACTAATGTTACATAGCATAGTAAATTATAAAAATACAACTTGAATGTCTTAACCATATTTAGTTTTGAGATGTCATTATAAATATTTTTTTTACAGAATACACAGCGTTGTATAAAATTGTACAATGTCATGGCTATTGTATTTACAGAATTCGAACTCATATATCATTACGCTTGGGCAGAAAATATTGGACAGGTAATTAAGTAGTAGTGACAAATGTTGTCACATTTCGTAGTTACACTAGTACAGCCCGCGAGGCCTAAGCTGAGCTTTGCATTTGTGTGAGTGCACATAGATAGTGTAGGTGTGACGTCGGCCTAGAGCCGGACGCGTCCTTTGCTTGGTTTAAACCGGTTTATACTGCTCTTTGACGATCGGCCTGAAGCGCGGTGCGTCCCTCGCGCGACGCAACTCTGCCGCGGGCGTCGCGCACCTCGCTCACTTTACCTCTTGCACTGGCAGCAGCGTTACGTGTATAACTTTTAATATTTTACTGCATATTTTATGCAATCAGCTGTCAAAGGTTAAGGTAGGTATCGCACAAAAGTAATAACTACATATGTATTCCGTGCAATCTGTCTATGCACACTAACACAAAATGGCGGCCGGAGAGGAGGCCCCGCGCGCTTCGGCTGTTTGATTAATAACATTGCAGTGTTTTGGTAATTGTTTTCGGTAAAATGTTCTGTCTACTCATTGTGATATCATTTATCACCATTTTTACCCAGAAAAATGGCAAATTTAAAAAAATAAGAATTTTCCGGCAGAAAATTTCAATGATTTTCGACTTTTTTTCATGGTCTGAATACACTATTTCAGTATTCGCCTTACACCTTGTATGTTCAGACACGACTCGCACTTCTACAAAATCTTATTCAGATGGCAGCACTTCTGGTTTGAAGAAATCAATTTCTAAACGAAAACGTTTTATAATTACTCAGGCCGGCGGAAAGGACGGTTTTATACCAAATGCACTGCTGATGTTCAAAGCAAATAAAAAAAGTGGTTATAACCATAACAATATGAATGCAGAAAACTACACGAAATGGTTACAAACTCAATTAATTTCAAATTTAAAGCCCAATAGCGTTGTGACTTACTACAATCATGCATCTTACTACAATTCGTTAGTAAATCCCGCTCCCAACTCAAACAGTCGTTAATAAGATATGATTGACTGGCTCAAGTATTGCAATATCGATCACTCTACATCGCGAGGTACACATATAATTTATTTTGTGAAATATTTTAGTAATGACTTTATTGTTATATTAATTCAAGGTACGGTTGAGTTTAATTACTCCATTATTGATTCGTCATCCAGTGACAAATATGTACATAGTAAATTTCAATATATATATTCCGGAGTGCATCAGGGAGATTGAATATATGTATCAATTGGGACTCTGTAAGATTATTTGAGCTATTATTGTCATTATAGAATGGTTTATCATATTTATTTATTTAATACTCTAAAAAAAATTTTAGATGTACCAGATGGTGCTCAAGTATTAGCTTTCTGTAAAGATAAACTCTTTTACAACTACGAGCTTGTCAAGTCTTTGGTGGAAAGAAATAATCAAATACGAAGGTAAACTATAATTTAAATGTTGAATATGTAAGCGTTTAAGCTCACAGCGCTATCGATCTGGTGTACGACTTTTCAAGCTTGAACCGATCGTTCTATCTATCTTTGTTGATAAAGCCCTTCTATGAAATGCTTTTTATATTTATGTTCACAAAGATTATCTAGAAAAGATTGCCCTATGGATAGGACCACTCAATCTAATATCTGTATAATTATTTCATCTACATTTACTTTAAAGGAGTATGCCGAAACTTTACTTGCCTTTACTTCGATCGCACTTGATAAAAATGGATAAGGTTTTCCAACCCGGATTCTCCACTATAACATGGACCTCGCTAGAAATACCTGCATATTGCGAGAGAATTGAAAAGGCTCTTGGCGAAGTAGATTTGTTCCTCAAAGAGGTAGCATTCAAGATTCTCAAAACTTGAAATGATTAATTAATTCAATAGATCTAATTATTAATTAGGAAATGCTTTTTACAGGTTATAGATCTTAAAGAAGCTCGCATAGATCCAATATTAGCATCAATTACTAAAACGTTGCTTGTTTATTTGCCGGATCAAGCTGTAGATCCAACTATTTTCTACGATGAAAATTTCGTTCGCCGTGATAACATTGGTATGTGGCTGTTAAGCTTCAGGAATGGACGACTTTTATTTCAAAGTAGCTTTTGCCGGCTTCGCTCATCGTCATTAATTTTTATTGCGTATTTCTAACTTTGAAAATAACTTCCATACAACCGGTCATCGCTTGTTTTACCCCTTAGGAGTGAAATTTCCGAAAATCCTTTCTTACTACTTAAAAAGCATCATCTGCCTAAGTTTGTAGGCAGATGTTTAGGTTCTGCGATGATGAATCAGTCTGTCAGTAAGGGCCATTGATTTTATATACTGTACTATTTTGTATACTCGTAGATTATAGAAGTGAATTATCTAAAATATAGTTTTTATTTAACAGCGCAGGAAATTCAACAAAAATCATCAAATGCTGAAATCGCTGTGATAGAGCTGATTAATAAATTCGTAGAGAGTGTACCTTCTAAGCCGATAAGAGATTTGAAAGACAAATGGTAATTAAAATATATTATTATTATTAACATATTTTACTTTTGTTACACATTGATGTACATAAACTTCCTAGGAAATAATAACTTTAGCTAACATAGGTTTGAGATACTCTAGAATCCGCGGAATAGGTGTAATAAGGATTGGTAGGTTTAAGATGTAGTATGATGATTGTGATAAAAAGTCCGGGTGGAAGTCAATCGAGTAGACCATTATGCTGTTTTCTCAGATAAATTCATACCTGCCTTCCAAAGACCAAACCACGGCGTCCAATGCAACGACCAGCAGTTGCAGGCGGAAGACGGTACACGGTCCCTTCCGACTGGAAGGAAGCCAGGCTGGTCATCAACAGCCTATAACAGTCCACTGCTGGACATAGGCCTCTCCTTAGAAAGGAGGTTGGGCCAGGCTGGTACTTATCCAAAATCCGGGCAGGCCTGCAGATTCTCTCTCGGCGTTCCAACCGATATGCCTGTTGGACGAGGTGGCGAAACTCTTGGAAAGAGTTATTGCCACCCTTATCAGCCAGCACCTGTCGCGAGTAGGCCCCGACTTGGCCAACAGCCAGTTTGGCTTCCGACAGGGATGTCTGGGATTGGGACTAATCCCGCCCACATGCCCACCACTGTAACTCCTGTACACCAGGATCCACAGCAGTGACCCACGAACACACCGAGTTATGACACTCGGGAAGTCCCAGGAAGAAATTAAACTGTCTTGGAACCCGCAACGAAATTAATCAGAAGAAAATTGGAGGAGTTGGAAACACAGTAAATCCACTTCCCTCCTTAGCAAAGCGGGAGACAAAATGAAATAAAATGGGCATACACCCTTTTAAACAGGGAAGCACCACGGCCACGAAATATTACGGGTCCTACGTGAGCTATATTTGATTTCTATAATATGTATGACAGAATCGCCTAAACGCACGGAAATTCACCCTAGTTGACACAAGATCCCCATAGTATACCGCCCCAGATGTCACCTGCAAGGTATTCAGCATTATATTACGTTCATTATACCAAAGACTACATTCCCAGAGGATATGATGAGCAGACTGTTCATAGTGAGAGTTAGGTGCTCCTACCGCCTACCTAGATGTCCGCTCCTTGTCGGAAGAGGTTATCTATCGGGGGTAGTGGCGTTGGCTGTCAGTCTTGACATAGTCAACGCTGTCAACTTAGTCCCGTGGTGGGCGATTAGGGAGGCACTGATGTAACACCAGGTGCCCCCCTACCTGCAGAATATCATCGGGGTTTATCTCCATGACAGGTCCATATCGTATGTAGGTCGGGACGGCGAAGAATGTCGAAGGGAGGTCGCATGTGGGGTTCCACAGCGATCGGTCTTAGGGCCCCTTCTGTATTAATATAACCTCGCGTATTATGTGGTCCTAAGGACTAGTCTTCCCCCAGGATTGAGTGTCTTATGCTATGCGGACGATACTCTGGTACTGGCTGTGGGGTATGGCTTTAGGGAGGTCCTGGAGCTCGCCGAGTTAGGAGTGGCTTGTGTTGTCCGAAACATCAGCGGTCTGGGTCTAAGGGTTGCACCTCATTAGACGGAAGCCTTGTGGTGCCACAGGAAACGCAGAGGTGCAGTTTCTACTCACTCGATTATTATTAGAGTGGGGGGAACTGAGGTCGAGGTCGGCCGGCATATTAAATACCTCGGCCTCACCCTGGACCGCCGCTGGAGCTTCGAAGAGCATTCCGAGACTATGATCCCCCAAGTTCGCGCGGTGGCAGGCGCTCTACAGATACTGTTGCCTAATCTAGGGGTCCACGAGAAGAAGTTCGCCGCCTCTACTGTGCGGTGATACGATCCATGGCCCTGTAAAGAGCGCCATTTTATTATTCTAGCGGATATGGACGCGAGAGTCTATGAAGAGACTCGCGCGATCTGCTGGGGTAAGAGCGGGGAAGAACACTGACAGGCACTAATGCAGTGGCGCGCGATGCTGGAACAACCGCGGAATGCGCGCTAACGCGCTGTCGGTGCCGTTCTTTCTAACTTCAAAGCTTGGGTAGGTAGGGAGAGAGGCCGCGTCACCTACCGACTGACGCAGATACTCACTAGGCACGGCTGCTTCGGTGAGTTCCTGTGTCAGATTGGACGCGAGGAGACGGCACAATGCCAGCACTGCGCAGCCGACTGGGACTCCGCCCAACACACGCTGGAAGACTACCGCGTCGCGGGCATCTGAACGCGATCTCCTGATTGACCAAATCAGACGAGCCCTGTCCCCGCTAGCAATCATTGCTGCCTTGCTGGTGGGTGAGAAGGGCTGGGGCGCTAGTCTTTCTGTGAGGCTGTAATGCTCCAGAAAGAGACCGCTGAACGAGATCGGGAAAGAGCCAATCCCAAGCGTAGAGGACGCTGGCGGCGACACCAGCCATCGACGGGAACGTAGGCTGCCAGAGAGTGGGGACCTCTGGTAGCAGATTAACTGCTGCGGTTGACGATAGGATGACGGCCTGGATACAAAAATGCGTTCGAGCTCAACATACAATGATTGGGCCGATAGGCGGGGGGAAGCCCGAGACTTCCCCGGGGTAGGGCCTTTATAGGCGCGGCATCGATCCATTGGGGACTTGAAATAACATGGTCCGGTCCTCCTCGTGTAGATGGGACCTGAGACCGGCCGTCGGGGTGGTTTTTAGTCCCAACAACAAATACTCCTGGCTTCTGCGTCCCCGAGGAGCCAGAGATCCCAAGGGGTTTCCCACCCCATCAAGAAAAAAAAAGGCCAGACGCTATGATTTATGATTTTTTATTCCTATTTCTTACTCAGATTTAATCAATCTCTCTTACTGATACTCCCTCTCAATGGATACCCCATTAAAAGAGAGTATCAGTGAGAGAGATTCGGCCAGGTTAGGATGCAAAAAGAAACTTTGAAGTTAATATTAAGTTATTATGATACTTTAAATTTTATTTAATGTAGGTTGGATATAGAAAAGGCTTTAAAGCAAGTCACGTCGGCTACGAGAGTCATTCCCGAAGATGCAGGTATTATTATTAAATTCAGTATAACTTATATTTTAGTTTGTGTTTTGCTGTTGTCTATTGGTTTTCTATAGTTAGATTGATACAACGAAATGATATTTTCATTAGTAAATTTTCAATAAAAACATTTGTTTTCAGCCTTCGCTGAGATAGAGAATCCCGATAGATATGATGTAAATCCTGCCATAAACGAATGCAACGAATTATTTGCTTATTTCGCCACCAAATGTTTAGAATCATTGATTAAATGTACTCGACAAAGTCTAGATACGCTGAGACGGCGAGCGTCGGTTTCTAGGTAGTATTTTATCGTTTGATAGAAGCGTTGAGTATTAAAGCATTGTAATAATGCAATAAAGTGTCATAGTAAATGTTTAATTTTCAATACTAATGAAAAAATATATGAAGCAATGATTGAAGGTTTCCCTATCAAGTTAGCTTCTGCCTTGATGTTCAATTTTCTTTTTTAGCTTTCTGACTATGACCACTGATCCAGTGGAACAAAAGAAACTAAAACCGTTAATGTTGACATACATGTCCTTGCAAATACCCAGAATCTTAATAAAACCTGCACTAGAGGAGATACAATCATCATTTACTCAGGTGACTTACCAACATTTATCATTTTTGTTAAAATCAGGATTTGAAAGTTAACGATTTAAAAAAAAACTGAATTGTTTGGTCAATTTTATGTTAGCGTGGTCAATCAATTTGTTTGCTGCTGAAATTTCCTTGCATGACATATTCTTCATAATGAGATTATTTTACATTGCCGGAATCTTCTTTCCAATTTTGTCAGTAAGTGGCACTTTGCAGTTGTTAATAGACTCGCTTTCCCATATTGTCTTACTTTATATAATTGTATGCCTATCACGGATATGACCAACTTACTGCAATATTTATCTAATTTAATAACTTAGAAGACAAAAACCACTAAATCCTTTGTAAAATTAATAGCTTTTGATTCATTTCTATAATTCATTAGGTAATTTTGAATTGTATCATGGATATTCATCGCAATGTGTTCATGTGGGGCCAACAAGAACAAATTAAGAAAGAAAAAATGAGGACAGAGTCACTTATCTATACGCGTAGTGTTCAAGGTATTTTAAGATATTTAGAGCTTTATCTTTTTTAAAGTAGTTTTTTTTTAAAGTTCTTTTTTTTTATTCAGCATGCTGTTGAATTTTACACTATGACTTTAATTTTCAAGAAAAAACTTTAGATTATATTCTATTATCTAATAATTTAGATTATATACTCTCCGTATTTCTTTCTGTAGAGAAGTCACCCCGAGACCCTAGCCGATGTCTAGAGTCTCAGGGTGACTCTAGGCCACGGCCTATTTAAATGGAGTTACACTACAGGCGGGTTGTTTCCGGACAGGTCTTTTGCTAGTTCTGGGTGTTAGACCAGTGGGAGGCGTGGCGTTCACGCTGTCGGTGGAAGGGGGTCGTTGGAAAGTTTGTGGGATGACATCCAGAGTCAAACACAAGTGATTGGATAGGGATAGGGATCCGGTCCGGTACGACTATGGCTTGCGGACCTGGGAAGCATGGCGGGGACTATCGTTTTCTTTTCTCCCTTTCCCGGCGTCGGTGTTAAGACAGCAGTCAGGGTGTCCTCGACCGAGTACTCAGCCCACTAAGCGGCGACCGTGATGGCTGTGTGGGGCGAACGTATTAGGGAGGCTTAGCTTGCGGTTACCACACGGTTCGGCACGGATAGCTCTCTCGTATTATAACAAAACACTACGAGAAAACCAAGTCATTCAAAACAATACCTAATCTCCCAGCCACTTGCTAATGCGTCGTAATAAACAATATAAAATATTCAGGAATTCAATGAATGATATTAAAAATATATTTATGCAATAAACAATCCTAAATACGTACGTCATTTCTTTTAAAATAGACAATAAAATCCTATTGCACTCTCAGAAATAGCATCAACCGCGCTCGGTCACTGTTCGAAGCGTACTTAAACGTGATAGCAGACGGTTCATTTTTCGTTTCCTTAGCATTTTAACATTAGCAGTTTTAGCGATTTATTAAATTAAATGTAGTCTTCGCCTTGATGCGAATGAGAAAGCACGCGTTGTGTGAATGTGAAGCGCTTACGAATGAAGCGATGAAATTTCGTATACGGATTAATTCATACGTTTTCGAAATATCACGACTATAATTAATTATGAGTTGCTAATTAGGAGTTTAATTCAGTACGTATAGGTAATTTAAGCTATGAAGAGTGTGACGTGTACGTTGTAATTAGGTATCTTGTGAATAGATAGGGATATTTTTTGTAAATAGATACTGTTGAGTGCCGAATTGACGAAGGCTAGCATATCGCGAACAAACCCTATATTGCATTATTTCCGTAATAATATTGGAGAAAATAAAATAAAGTAAAGCCACTTTTAATAGCGAAAATCGCGGTAAGTTAAAATAAAATAAAAATAGGTTACTTATGGAAAATTAATACTTATTGATATACCTACAAGTTTTTATTTACTGTCCTTGTACGAAATTGCAATATTAGCAAATAACATGCTAAGACATAAGAATTCGCAATTAATTAAATTAAATCTAATTAGCATTAATGCTCATTACTAATACTTTCCAGGATCTCGGTCTGGATCGACGTTAGGTGGACTTAGATCTTATTTTAGAATGGTGTCAGAACACAAAGACATTGTTAGATCTGTAATGGCATTACAAGGAATAATGTACATGTACAAGCCTGATATTCAAACACTATTGAAGGTAAAAATAAATTGAAAGTTACACTTACCTAAAGATCTTTACTTATATAAAAAGTATCTCACATTAACGGTAATCAAAAATAAGTGGCTGGGTTTTTTCAGAACTACGGTAAATTCGGGCATCTATGGGCAGAAGATAGAGTGCAGCAAGTGCAAGCTTTTGTAGATTCAAACCCGCTTAATGTCATAGTCAAGGACATGCTCCACAAATATGAAGATCAGACAGAGCAAGTCTTGAATCTGCCAGATCGGCATATTATTGGCTCGATTCAGATAAATACTGGTATATTTTTTCTCTAAAAATAATTTTCTTTTTTGAAATTTGGTGACGTTTTTGAAATATTGATCATTTAAATCGTAGATGACTGCAAACTGGCACTACATTTGGAATCCATTGAATGGAAGAGAGTTTTAGGTAAACTATTATGTATAGCTTACAGAGAAAGGGTTGTAAAACTCATGCAATTTATCAAAGATCGCATGAAGGTTATGGCCAAAAGAATAAAGGACCTTGATGACGTCAGACTCGCTATGATGTGTCTTGAGCGTATTAGAGAAGAATTTATCGGGTAAATTACTTCTGTATGTATGTATGTTGACTTGGCTCATTTGTTTATATCGTTTTTTTATTTATTATTGTTTTATATTATTATTTGTTTTAGAATAATTTAGTAACCTGAGTTGTTAATTTAGTCTACTTACGGCACTTGAATTTAAAACATATATTTTTACAATAGACTCATAGACTGTTTATTTTACACATTGGGACGGACTACATCATCGACATAAATATGTATTTGTTTTTAGAATGGATATGGAGTTGGATTTAATTGAAGAAAGTTACAGTACCTTTGCACAGTTTGATATTGACGTACCGAAAGACGATGCTGACATGGTGTACGGATTACGCTACGCTTTTCAAAACATGTTGTTGACTGTAAGGATCGTTTTACTATACTATGAGTGAGGTGAGGTGAATAATTGTAAACTATACACATGTATAGCTTACAATTATTGTTATACGTCATTCATCACATTCATTCCATCACATCGCCTGATATTTGTAAAAAACACGTTTTTTGCAAAACATGGAAAATAAATGAAAAGCTGCAAATTGTTACATTTAACCTATTTTTGTAGGAGCTTTAGTTTTCTTTTCAGACACGAAATACTGGTTATAAGCATTTTTGTCAGTTTTTTGGCCCGGCTGTTTATTTTGTTATAAATTTTATTGCAATCAGTTCCTGATAGTTGAATCTTTAATAAAACATTTTTTTCACTCCAATAAAAAAATCGGATTTTCCACGAAGTTTTTACTAATTCTACCTGTCTATAAGTTTATATCGGTCGGTCAACCAGTGAAATTTCTGATTTACGATATGTAGACGGATTCGAGTACGATAACAATTCGGGAGCTACATCGACGAAAATGCACATTATGAAACTTTCCAGATTATGAAAGGTTCTAGTAGAATACCACTTCTAAAGTTTTCTAGGAAAGAGCTTGTGTAATTGCATGTATGAAAGGACTGCCAGCTTATATTCTGTAAAAATAAAATAATTTATAACCTACAAAACAGAAATTACTAAAAAAGTTTCAACAAGTTAAAAACAACAAGTTACAACCATAAAAGTTTCTTTATATATGTCGGAAAAACATTGTTCTCGTTGACATCGTCATTAGTGGTTGCGGGCGTAGTGGGCGTCATTAGGGTCAAATGCGAGCTGGGCACGCCGTCATTGCGGCGGTAAGACCCGTTATGGAGGATTGGCTCGAGAGGCGTCACGGGACCCTCTCATACCGATTGACGCAGGTGATCACTGGGAAGGGATGTTTCGGAGATCACCTGTGTCTGATCCGCAAGGAGCCAACGCCTGAGTGCCACCACTGCGATGGCCAGACCGTGGACACGGCTCTCCACACGCTGGCAGAGTGCCCGGCGTGGGTTGAGCAGAGGCGAGACCTCATGGCGGCCATCGGAGTGGGAGTTCTCTCGCTCGATAGCCTGATTGCGGCTATCGTGCGGAGCGAGAGTGCGTGGAACTCTGCCGTCTCCTTCTGCGAGCAAGTTATGCTCGCGAAGGAGACGGCGGAGCGGGACCGGGAGAGGTTTAGAACTCTCCCGGCCCGCCAGGCCCGGGCACGGGCCAGGCAGCGCAGGCGACTCAGGCGCCGGAGGTCGCAGAACGACCTCCGTCCTCCATAAGCGCAGGCCTGGGGGTGACAGGTGAGGCCATCTGTCACCCTAGCAGAAGCAGGCCGGGGTGGCGGCGAGCGCGTTGCGAAGCGCGCTCGCTTCCAGGGAGCACAGGGAACATGGGGTTCCCACACGGGGCGGGGGTCGTCTACTCGTCTGTAGATGACCCGAGGTATGTCGGGGCACCAGGGCCTTCCTTTCTAGGGTATACCTGGTTCCCCGGCTATTAGTACCCGGCGAAGGCGTGCGGTTTTAGTCGGTTCTAGTCCGACATGCCACCGACAGGTGGTATCCGAGGGGATTTCCGCACGGAAAAAAAAAAAAAAAAAAAAAAAAGGGTCAAATGCGAGCACAAAACGATGATTACAGTTTCTTACTATTTTAATTTAGATTAAGAATTTTTTTCACCCAATAATTTCGAAAGAAAAATTAACAGTTAAAACCGAGCAATTGGTTCAGGGCACCCTTCTTACTTACCGACGAATAGACCCTCTGCGATCCAACTTGATCAATCGCTATCACTAGAATAGTAAAGATGCGAGCCTAGACCCCGCTCGAGGTACGTGTTGTGCTCCGATTGGTCGTTACGTAAATTAAATTAATTACAATCTATTAAATTAATCTATTTATTATTAATTATTATTATTATTATTTATCTATTTAATTAATTACATTCTCAAAAATATGAAATTCAAAGATAAAATGTGATTAAAAACAGTTGAAAATGTTTGATGGACTTCTTTGAATGTTAATTTGTTGACGAAGGCCCGCTTTTCCTTAATTTTATAATTTAAGCGAGGTCGGAAAACTTTTGCCGATTAAGAAATATATTGTTACCTTATGAAAGTTAAAAAGTCAGAATAGAAGGATGTCTAGACAGTAGCAAGACAAAAAAATATATATATCCTAAATATTTGTATTTGAACAATATTTTAATATTTAACACAGTCGCAGCAAGTTCAACAGAGAATAGTAGACATGCAAGGTCCACTCCAAAGAGAACTCACTGAGGGTGTGAGAACATTCTTACAAGACGTATTGAAGTTTGATGCTGATTACGATGCGTTTGGTCCCCTGACACCTGGTTTATCTGCTCGTGAAGCTAGTGACAGGTAAAGGCATTCTTACTAGGCTCAAAGCAAGTTTTGTGGTTATCCAGTTATTTATAATATTAAATAACTTTACACCAGCAGTGCTAGGCCTACTAAAGAACGCTGGCCAGGCGAGTCTGTATAGGACTTGTTACGAGTTTTCCTTCACTTTTTTCTTGTATGTACATCAGAATTAGGACTTCACAAAGAATAACACTAGCTAATCTAATATATAAAATTCTCGTGTCACGGTGTTAGAACTCCTCCGAAACGGCTAGACCGATTTTCGTAAAATTTTGTGTGCATATAGGGTAGGTCTAATTTTTGGTTGACAATTTTTTTGACATTATGTATATGGCAAAACACGTTTGCGGGGTCAGCTAGTCTTCTAATATATAAAATTCTCGTGTCACGGTGTTAGAAGTTGAACTCCTCCGAAACGGCTTTACCGATTTTCGTGAAATTTTATGTGTGAAAAATAGATGATGGCCGATTCTCAGACCTACCCGATATGGGTAGGTCTGAGAATCGGCCAACATCTAGTACAAAACAAAATCAAGTATAAAATTTAATAATACAGTGAAGTTAGTACATACTTTTTTGATTATTTATTATTATTGTGTATCTTATTTGTTAACATTGTAGGATATATTTTTTTAAATGCGTTGATGAATAAAATTGATGGTTAAATATATTAGCAATAGTGCATGTAGTATCATTGTTAATTATTAATTAGAAAATGAAGAAAATATATCCACATAAATATATAAACTAAATTTATGCAATAAAATATATAAATTAATGCAAGGTAAACATTATGATTTATAAAATGATTTATGCTTTTTTCATGTATGTATTATTTATCAATGATGTGACGTTTTAGTAATTTTTGGAAAGTTTTCATATTTTTCGCATATTTTACCACATTAGGGAGAAGATTATAGATTTTAAAATTACCTCTGGAATAACTTTTGTCAAAGTTACTGCATTGTAACAGTCGTGTAATATTAATTGAATAAATTGACAGACGAATTTTTTTGTTAGTTGATTAAAATATTTCATCCTTCAAAAAGCTCTTAAATTGTTGTTCAGTTGAATGTAAAGTGGAATGGCTATTACTGCACTGTCTTGTACTGTTTGTTGCAGAGTAATCATGTTTCAGTCGAGATTTGACGAGCTGTGGAGGAGATTTGAAATGTATGCTAACGGAGAAAGATTATTTGGAATGGAGGTTAAAGATTATCCTATTTTGCATCAGAAAAAAAAGGAATTTAACTTATTGAGCAAACTGTAATTACAGAAATTATTGTTTTTGTTTAGTATATAAGCATACAAATGTATTAAAATTGTAATATTGTGAATATTTCTTAACAGTTACAGTTTGTATCTACTAGTGATGAACTCCATTGACGGCTACTTCGAGACCCCTTGGGTGGAAATCGACATCGAACTAATAGTTTCACAATTAGCGGACTTTGATATTAGGTAAAGTTTTTAGTTTTCAGTAAAGTAAGAGTACACTTTTTAGCTTTTTATCAATGACATATTATACTATACTATGTTTAACCTGTATAACCTACGTTGCGAGTACAGCATAAAAAATATTGATTGTTGTAATGATTATCATAAAACTTCTGCTATGCCTCAATGATTCTTTCGCGTGTGTCCACTCTTCGTTCCCAATCTTAACCCAATCTGTCCTCCTCTGGAACGCTCTTCCTCTGGAAATCAGGATAGCACCCAGCCGCCTCTCATTCAAGACAAAGGTTCGAGCACTCATTTTGGGCACCCCAGTAGATACATCACAGCCCTTAAGTTTTATATGTTACTTATGGTATAAATTAATGTAGTTACATACATATATGTCTATTTCAGTATGTCTGTGTATCTGTCCTACTGTTTCTGTACATCTTATCAATTACTATTATATCTTAAAAAACTAATGCATCTAGTCAGACATCTCTCTGTAATAATAATAATAACTTTACACATCACACAAACTAGGCAGAGCCTGTACTATGGTAACCAGACTGCTGATAAATATACTAATATATTTTTAAATACATAAATATTATAGATAAATTGCACTCAGACACGGAACAAATGACCGTGCTCATCACACAATATTTGTCCGGGATGGGAATGAAACCCACGACCTCCAGCTTAGCAGTCAGGGTCACTAACCACCAGACCAATATAGTTGCTATAGGACAACGCCTATAGCATTAAGTCCACCATTGTATAATTGTCATTTCTTTATAAAAAATTAAAGAATTATTCAAAAAATAATAGGTGTCGAAAATTACCCAAAGGCATGAAAGATTGGCCTGCTTTCATCGAATTGAAGAAAAAGATTGATGACTTCAACCAAACCTGTCCACTTTTAGAATTAATGGCTGATAAGGCTATGAAGGAAAGGCATTGGAAGAGATTAGAAAATCTCATGAGTAAGTGAAATTATTTATAAAAAATTAAATATCCTTTTGTGTTCCATCTACCTACCGTACTTTATACTTGTTGACAGAATGTACCTTGGATGTGGAATCTGAATCATTCACGTTAGCTAATATTATGGAAGCACCGCTACTGCAAAATAAAGAAGATGTTGAAGTATGTGTACTTCGTACTACTGTAGTTATAATTTACTAATCATTTTCTAAATTTCACTTTGTTTTCCTAGTCACTGTTTCGCTCGTAAGGGTCACAGCTTAATTTTGAATAGCCTAATTAAATGCGAGTAGGTAATATTTTGCTCATCCGATTGTTGGGAGTTCCAAAAGTAGCTCTTACTAGGAAATACCGTTTCTTTTTTTACTTTACTCGCATATATCTTGTTCTATTCATTGTAAGTTGTTTAGTTTACTCACGTGAAAAAGTTCTTTCCTGCTCACATCCTTTTACTTTTTTTTATGAGTTGCTAATTTATTTAGGAATCTTGTACTTGGTTGATATTATTTTAACAACTATGTTCGGGGCTGAGTTTTCGTTAGGTATTAATAGTATATTATTTCTGGATAAAGCAACATTTTAATGTAAATTATAATTAAAATGAAGAATTCCCTTAGGACTCAATTTTAATATAGAAAAAAATTTGCTCAGTTCTTAGAAGTATAACAGGTTTGCAACTAAAATAAAAAATTTGTTTCATCTTATACAAATGACTATTAAAGAAAGCGGAATGAATTAATAATAGTCATTTGTATAAGCTGTAAGAACTTTATCCTTTATCGTTGAGAAAACAATCACTCGGACTCAACGGATTTATATAGTTATACCAAAGTTTCAGAACTACAATATTAAGGTAATTCTATACTTATAGGATATTTGCATTAGTGCTGTCAAAGAAAAAGATATAGAAGCAAAACTCAAAGAAGTGGCAGCTAGCTGGGCGGTCGTAGATCTTTCATTTACCAACTTTAAGAATAGAGGGGAACTACTTATTAGGCCGCAAGAAACGCTTGACATTATCACTCTGCTGGAAGACTCCTTGATGGTGCTCAATTCATTAGCTTCAAACAGGTATGATATGAGAAGTTTTATCCCAAACAGTTTACCATAGAACCTATGCTTTGTTGTGTAACCAGACAGCTGATAAACATACATATATATTTCTATACACATATAGATTAATTAAATCCACACACACCGAACAAATATTTGTTCACATTACACAATTTTTTATCCAGGATTAGAAGTGAATATGGGCGTATTTGTGATTTTAAAGGCGTTACGGATTTAGAATGAGGTAACCATGCTGTTAGGTGCTGCCTACATAGAGATTCTATGGTCGTATTGGAGATGCTTTATATTAAACACATTTCTTAGTCCTTTCTCAAATAAAAAAATCATTAGGCTTATGAATCGTCAATCATATAGAAATAATGGTAACTTTCCATCAGGTGACCCGTCTGCTCGTCTGACCCCTCTAACATTAAAAAAAAATAAAGAAATAAATAATTAAAGATGTACTTACTAAGGACATATTAATGAGTTACTATATATAATTTGATAAGACGAAGAAGGGCGCTCATTTCTTTTTAGGTACGCGGCTTAATTTAACCAATTACCCGGATGACCGAGCTTGGTATTATATATATATATAGATACAAGAATTGCTCGTTTAAAGGTTTCAGATAGATAGTATATCTAGTACTATCGTATTACACATATTAATTAGCTGATTAATTATATTATAAATTATTATACAGGGTTCAGCAGTGGACGGCAATAGGCTGATGATGATACACGTTTACTGGTTAAGTCAACCTATATACTTAAAGGTTAAAGTTACCATAATTTCTGATAATTTCACTATGAAATACCATATCCCAAACATATCCATTTGCAAGATATTGGACAGATTTTTTGTAAAAATTACCAAAATTTTTGCATAATACAATTTTTTTAGAACTAATATCCTTATTTTTTTTTCGGTAATATTTTTGTGTAGTTGATACATTGTTTTATAATTTCTATAACTAAAATTGTAGTTAACTTAACAAACGGCCAACTAGGGCGACTTAACCAGTAATCTTGTATATTATTTTATATTATAAATACTAATAATCTATATCTAGAAAAATTTAACTTCGTTTGTTGATGTAGTTGGTTTGTACGCTTCATAAACTCAAATAGTTCTGCACCGATTGAGATCAACTTTTGACATGGTATACAACCATTTTAAGGAACGTTTATATCCATTTCTCGCGTCACCTTTATTTCTAATTTCTAATTAATGTACCACAACGAAGCGCGGTAGGGTACATCTAGTGTGAAATTTAGAATGCAATAAAGGCTCTGCTTGGCGGCGCTTGACGAATGTAAAACAGCTAATCTTCTAAGAGATATTTTTCAGATATAATGCTCCATTCAAAAAAGATATTCTGATGTGGATCAGCAAACTTGTGAGCACGAGTGAGATTCTAGACAAGTGGCTGCAAGTACAAAATTTGTGGATGTACTTAGAGGCTGTATTTGTTGGGGGTGACATTGCAAAGCAATTGCCTCAAGAAGCCAAGCGATTCGGGGTTTGTAGTAATAAAGAATAAAGGACATGTTTGTTATCATACCATCAACTACAGGTTTCAGTTCAAAATTGTGTTGATTGGAATGTATGCACCGTGAATTTAGTATATCATGGTTAAAGGTTAATTAGAGAAACTAGTCTAATTTACTCACCTGTATTCCAGAGCCATATGCTATATAATCTCTATGCATGAGCTATGGTAACCAGACTGCTGATAAACATACTTATGTATTTTTAAATACATTAATATTATAGATAAATTAAAATCAGAAGCAGGACAAATGACCGTGCTCATCACACAATGTTTATCCGGGTGGGAATCATACCCATCAGACCAATATAGTTGCTATAGGACAATGCCTATAGCATTAAGTCCACCATTGTATAACTGTCAACAGGCCCGTCAAATATTTAAAAGATAAACATGTATACCGTGGTTTATATATATAGAGACAGACATATATCATCGGGAACTTTTTTGTAGACATTTACAATTCCTAAGTACATTATTTTGGTCTATATCGTAAGGTTTACAGCCAGCGTTTGCAATGTAAGCGCACAAAAACATATGTTTAACGTTTATTAATTTGGTTGAAAATATTTTCGACAATTATAGTTTTAACGAAGTCGATAGAAATTAGCCATTAGCCATTAATTAGAATTAGGTACCATAATTATTAAAAACAATGCCGCATGGCAGATTGAGGTGCCACTTCAGATTTTAAATGGATTTTAAACGGAAACACCCCTTTATTTGTTGGTTGAGCAAATAATTTTGTAGGAAAAATCCTGAAATTTGTAGTAAGATATATCCAAAGTTATATCAATGTAAAAGTGGCACCTCAATCTAAACACCTAAATTGAGGAGCCACCTGAAACACGGAAGTATTTAATGAATATTTTTGAAAATTTAAGCGCATACTAAACAAATAATTTAGATTATAATAATAACACTTAATAATTTGTATTATTATATTTTTTATTTTCTAGACTATTGACAAACAATACGTGAAGATAATGTACCGAGCACGCGATATAATAAACTGTGTGGAAACTTGTACATCAGACGATACCTTAAAAAACATGCTACCCCACTTGTTTGAACAGCTCGAAGCTTGCCAAAAGTCGCTCACTGGCTACCTGGAGACCAAGCGGCTCATCTTTCCCCGGTTTTTCTTCGTCTCAGATCCTGTATTGCTTGAAATCCTTGGACAAGCATCAGACCCACATTCTATTCAGGTACTCATACCCGTATAACGTCGTTAATTCTTTATTCACATCACATCACATCAACAGCCTTGAATAATCCACTGCTGGATATAGGCCTCTCCTTAGAAAGGAGGTTTTGGCCTACTATACCACGCTGGCCAGACGGGTTGGTATGGGGTTTGTGTCAAGTTTTCCTTCTCTTTGCCGCTGTTGTCCTGCGTAGTTTGTCCCCTTAGTCGGCTTTTACGACACCCAGGGGATGAATAGGGGTGGTGACACTCCGTATTCTTAGTCCGTCACCACACGGACAATACGGACGGATAAATTTTACTTTTTTCTGTTCTGATTCTTAAATCTCGTGATTTGATTGAGATTACGATTTGATTAGGTACGTGTTTCTACTACGTAAAATAAAAAAGAAAAAAAAGGTTTGGTAAACTTACCGAGAAAACTAAAAAGTAAAGGTAAGAGGTTAGGTAACGATGAAGGTGGGAAGAAAATTGAATTTCAAAAGAGAGGGAGAAATATTATGGAGTAATAAGTTCGATTATTTCAGCCTCACCTGCCAAGTATATTTGACGCTATTTATACGGTCGACTTTGACGATAAAGAGAGGATTGTAGTTATGAATTCTAGCAACGGGGAATCTATCGGTCTCGAGAAGCCTGTAACGTGTATTGGAGGTGTTGAGGTAAGATGTTTTTGAAATGATTATAGTTTATTTTTCATTTAAAGATACAGGTGTCATACTTATAGGTTATATCAACCTTATTTACAGATTTGGATAAATGTTCTGTTAGATTCTATGCAAGAAACAGTGAGAAATCTAATAGCAAATATAGCGCAAACAATGGCTGGAGACGCAGAATTTGATTTTTTGGTTGGATTCTGGCTTTTTCCTGGTCAGGTAATTTAGCCTTGAGTTCTAACATAATTATTAACTAAAATAGTTTGCAGAAAGAATATGATCCTTTATTTAAATCCACTACTGCCAATCGTTTTAGTGTACTTGTAAGTGTACTTAATATGTTATAGAGACATTCGAGAAAAGACAAACTGTTTTATCGCACTTTTTTCGATTAGTACTTTGTCGGAAGGTTGTGGTTTCAATTCCCGTTCTTTAGTAGTGGCCATGACTTAAATTGTCGCTCAGATATCTTTATTCTAAATAAATTTAAACAATCTTTTAGGCCGGTTTACTAGGAATGCAGATTTTATGGACTACTGACGCAGAGTACGCTCTGAAGAAAGCAAGGGTTGACCGTTTCATTATGAGAATCACTAATCAAAAGTTCCTCGATTTACTGAATGGTTTAATTGACCAGACTGTGACAGATTTAGTACCTTTGGCTAGAACTCAAGTGGAGACTATGATCACTATTCATGTGCATCAGAGGTATAAACAACTAATAACTTGTACTTGAAATCACCTTTAAAGTATTATAATAATTACACTAACTAAAAAAAAAATTATAATACAATTTACAGAGACATATTTGATGATCTCGTCAGAATGAGAATTAAATCAGTAGGAGATTTTGAGTGGCAGAAACAAGCTCGTTTTTATTACTTTGAAGATACTGATGAATGTCTCGTATCCATAACCGACGTGGATTTTATATATCAGGTAAGTAATTATTTTTAAAAGAACAATGTAATGATTCTAGGTACACAAATAAATAATATAGTAATTAATAATAATTAAATGAATTCCCACTAAAATTGAAATATTGACATTTTCAACTCAAAAGACACAAGCTTGTTACCGCTCCTTGAGTGCGACAATTACAGAGTGAGAGCAGGGTGGGGTTAGGCGCCAGATCTCACTTACTCGGTGAAATAAGAAATAACACCTAAAATCTGAATAAAACTCTATACCCACCTCAGGTAGTATTACTGAAATTCAATTGTTATTTTATTATATATTGTTATTTAGAACGAGTATTTGGGTATAACGGAACGCCTTGTAATCACACCTCTGACGGATCGTTGCTACATTACTCTTTCGCAAGCTATTGGTATGAGCATGGGCGGTGCACCCGCTGGGCCGGCTGGCACAGGTAAAACTGAGACCACCAAGGATATGGCCCGTAGTCTCGGAAAACTCGTCATTGTATTTAATTGCTCCGATCAAATGGATTTCAGAGGTATGGAATTATTTTTTACTTGCACAAATGTCTATGTTTTGAGCGGTTTTTAAACTTAAAATTAATCGTCCTTACAACTTTATCCGCATACACGATTATGGACTGCCAAGACTAGTATAGTTGGCACCCCTTGGGGAGGATGTTGATGATGTGTTTACAATTACATTACATGTTTAAATTCAATATCACATTTATCAAATTAGATTGTAAAGCATTTCCTTAGATATTTGATCTATGATTAGATATGATTCTTATTTATGGCATATATAGAGTCTGAGGAATTTAATCAAGAAATACCTTAGTTAAGTATAAAGAGGTTACTAACATGAATATTGGAATACTAATGTTTTTCTAAATGTTTATCAGGATTAGGCCGTATTTACAAAGGCCTTGCGCAGTCTGGTACTTGGGGCTGCTTCGATGAGTTTAACCGGATCGAGTTGCCTGTGCTATCTGTGGCCGCACAGCAAATTTACATCTGTCTCACTGCCAGAAGGGAGAAGAAAGATTTCTTTATATTCAGGTACTTATATGTTACAAGAAATTTATAAATTCTTTGTCAGCATAAAGGTACATATTTCAATATAAGCTCTTCGCTTTAAGTATGCTACTGACAATAATTAATGGTGTAGTCAGTTTAAAAACTAAATTCAGACATGTTATATGAGCCGCGGTTAAGAAAGCTATTAGGATTTTAATTATTGAAGAGGTATATGATTAAGAAAGTTATGATCGAAGCGAAAATATTTTTTTTACCTTACGGTTTATGTCGTGGTATTAAAACCTAAGTCGGCTGACATTACTTTTCAATTGGTTTCAGTGATGGGGATACAGTAAGTCTTAATCCTGAGTTTGCGTTCATCATTACAATGAATCCTGGGTATGCTGGCCGACAAGAATTACCTGAGAATTTAAAAATCCAATTTCGTTCCGTAGCCATGATGGTCCCCGACAGGCAAATTATCATCCGAGTCAAGTTGGCCAGCTGCGGATTTAAAGAGAACATTGTCTTGGGTAAAATAGAATCTGAAAAGATTGTTTGTTTGTAATAATAAAATAGGAGCTTTTTAATAATAATTGCTGTAGAAGTTTTACATAGTGCTTATAACAAATAGATTTGAACATTTGTACCGGTAACACTTGTTGAATTTTTTATTTGTACCGGTTAATTAATTATTTCATCGGATCTAGCAAAATTGCACATAAGTAGCTAAAATTAATACATTTAGAATTAATAGTATCTAGTACATTTGTACAATTTTACAATATGTATTAAGTAAATAATTTATTACGCCACACCCAATTACTGGCACTGCTTCACTGAGGTTGTACCTAATCCACATAGATTCTATAGAAGACTGCAATTTCCCAGCTCTACTAGTTTAGTATGTTTTCGGTTTATGAGTAGTTAGGTATCACATATAACTTTTACTGAGACTGAAAATAACGTGTTTACCGGGCTAAATGAAAAAAAAAAGATCTAGGCTTAAGCGAATAACAAATAATTATATTATGTTTAAATTGTTTCTTCAACACGCAATAAAATGCCCTGTCCTTTTAGTGTAAGCTGGGTGTGGGGAGGTTAGGCTCACAGTAACTTTACTTACTCAGTGAAAAGCAATAAAGGAATTGCTAAACATCAATTTTCTCGCAAGCCGTGGAATAACTCCGGTCGAGCTGATCCATACATACCAGCCATTTAACTGACTTGTGTTTGAAGTAAAAAGATTTTGAAAAATAATGCCAAAACGTAGCACTACGATAGTTCAGTTTCTGGTGAGGTCAGGTAAAGTCTCCAATGGTTAACATAATTTTGTCCTTAACATGTATCGAATAACCTTTTACAGCTCGCAAATTCTTTACGTTGTACAAACTTTGTGAAGAACAGCTTTCAAAACAGGTGCACTATGACTTTGGATTACGCAATATTTTATCTGTATTGCGTACTATGGGTGCTCAGAAACGAGCCAATCCCGACAGTACAGAAGAGAATATTATGATGAGAGTATTGAAGTAAGAACTTAAGTTACTTTTTACGGTTATTTCTGAATGTTTCAACAATATTACACACTGATTCATTAAATACTTTTGCACCTGTAGGGAAATGAACGTTTCAAAACTGGTTGATGAAGATGAGCCTTTATTCATATCTTTAATTGAAGATTTATTCCCTGGTATGAAATTAACTCAAACACAATGGAGGTAAGTCAAGTAATGGGCTACTCTATACCTGGGTATGGTGTACAGTGACGCGAATATTGTCGACGGCACACGATCACGTTGAATAAAAAAGTCGTCGTCTTATTATACTCGTATATATCTTCTTATTAACGACGATATATATATATCGTCGTTAAAACGTCGTAATTGTTAGCATTCTTTTTTTTAGTATTTTTTGAGTTTCAAAAGAAGAAGAATTATTTTATTATCGAATCCAATTTAGAAATATGAAATATTATTCTTATTTCGAAACTGGACTCGGAACTTTTAACTTTTATTTTTAGGCGGCCGAAGGAAAGGCGCATAGCTTCATAGCAATTATTTAATTGATAATTTAAAAATGAGATGTACCTACGCAAAGGAAAAAAATACAAAAAAAAAATCAAATAACTGAGTTCTCTTATTGGCGTAATGTGAGAAAACGAAAAACTTAATAAATAAATAATTATAATATTAAATACCAAAACTTTATCTAATGGCCGCTTTCTTCTGTAATGTAACACAAATACCAGTACATACAGTACAATACATTCAGTAACGTTTTTTTTGTTGACGGGTCGGAAAATCCTTTCGGATCTCCTATTCCTCGGGGTCTCAGAAGCCAGGAGTATGCGTCCTCCATAGGCGCAGGCCTGGGGGTGACAGGTGAGGCCATCAGTCATTCTAGAAGAAGCAGGCCGGGGTGACGACGAAACGCGCTGCGGAGCGCGCGTGCCCTTTTGGGAGCACCAAGGGAACATGGGGTTTCCCACACAGGAGAGGGTCATCTACACGACGTAGATGCCCCGTGGTACGTTGGGGTACCAGGGATTTCCTTTCTAAGGTACACCTGGTTCCCCGGCTATTCACACCTGAGACGGCGTGCGGTTTTTAGTCGGTTCGAGTCCGACATAGCCATCGGTATCCGAGGGCATTTCCGCACAGGAAAAAAAAAGTGTGGTGATTCTACTAAAAACCACACCGACGGTCGGCCTCAGGTGCCCTACACTGGGAGGACCCGGATCATGTTATTTCTGGTCCTCCCTAAATTGACACCATGCCTAATAAGGCCCTATCCCAGGGGAAAACACTTCCCCCCCTCAATCTCGACATGGCGGCCCATGTGCGTCTTATGTCTTATGCATTCATTTTGCATACATTATGCATTCAAGCCGCCATCCTATCCCTTACCGCATCAATCAATGTGCCACCAGAGGTTCCCACTTTCTCGCGGCCCGGGGCCCCGTTGACGGCTGGTATCGTCGCCGACGTCCTCAACGTCGGGATCGGCCCTCTCCCGATCCCGTTCAGCGGTCTCTTTCTGGAGCATTACAACTTCACAGAAAGAGACAACTACGCCCCATCCCTCATCACCTGCCAGGGCACATTCAGTACCTAGTGTTTTTCATTCTCGCTGTCAAAACTACCTCCATCCATGTACATCCATACTTATTTTTATTCAATCGTCAATAAAACTTTGTGGCATTTGGTCCCAGTTTATCCTAGGCATGCTCTATCAAGTTTAGATCTGGTGAGCGGGCAGGCCATGAGAAAACTTAAGCTACTCTGAAATCCGATATTTTTATATTATTATCTTTTAAATGGTCTGCAAGTAACACAACCACAATGTATTTTACGAAAAACAAACAAGTGGCACTCCGGGAGTAAAGAAAGAATCAAAACTTGAAAATTAAAAAAACAGATAAAGTATAACAGGGTCTTTTTTGTTTTTTTCGCTTCGAAAAGTTCCAACAAGAATATATCTCTATGTTGTACATATATACACATTATATTATATATATAGTTTATATTATATATAGTTATATTATCTATGTATCCAGCCCAAACTCAACTCTCATGTAAACCGGGCCAATATATGTAGATACTTATATACAGAGCTGTCGGTAACAGTATTGCGAGTTCAATGGTTTTTTCCATCCCAAAAATACATTCTTTGTTTTTTGTTCAAAAATACCCAACGCTCCTGAAGAAGATTCCACTTCAATAAAACAGAACTGGATATTGTTAAATATTGAATGTGTAATAATAATACAACAAAAATCTGCTTCTTCTCTTACAATAAATAAATTATTAAATTATCATATCGCGAAAAAAAAACAAACGAAACTCACACACTGAGATTGAGGGGGGGAAATAAAACACGATTTAAATCTTCTTTTTTCAAGATACATAATGTTGATATAGTTAGGTGGCCACATGCGTAAGGAGAATATGAATTAAAAAAAATTCGCTTTTTTCAATATGTCCTACATATTGTATATAATTATTGATAGCAACCTTACATGGCAAAGTCACATAGAAAAACTTAAATCCAAACTATCATCTCTCACAGGAATCTTAAGACCCATCTCACGATGTCTGCCACGTAAAGTGCGTTACTTTATATATAACTCTCTGGTAAAGTCCCATATTGATTATTTAATAGAGATTTGGGGCACATCCTCCAAAACTAACTTAAACTTACTACAAAGAGCCCAAAATAGGCTAATAAAGGTCCTTTTTCACTGTGATTATCTAATGCCTACTGAAAAAGTATATAGATACACAAAAATACTAAATCTAACCCAGACTTACGTATACTATACCTGTTTATTGGTGCGTAAAGTATTGGGCGGGGGGATATCCATACACAAATAAGTTTCAACATAAAAAGAGACGTTCAAAAGACTCAAGAAGTCCTAATAATATAGTTTTGAAACCACCGCGTACCAACTATGGCAAAAAGTATCCCATGTATGAAGGCGCGCAGTTATATAACAGGCTTCCTAAAGATATTAGGGAATCGCGATCCATCGCTTCTTTAAAAAAAATGCTTAAAGATCATGTAATTAAAAACTCCAAGTAAGTAAGTACTATGAATCTTAATATTAATCAGACAAACAAACGATTAAGCTAAATAAATATAGAATAAAAGAAACACACTTAAAAATAATTATTATCTTACAAATATTGATGACTAAAATTAAAATGTCGCTTCCAGTGACGCGCACTAAAATCTTACATCTTTGTAGTGTGATGTTCACTCCTTCTACGCTCGAAATGAGTGTAGGTAACAAACAAAAACATTATTATTTTGATACCGCTTATATGTGTGCTCACAAATAAAATATGATGTGTATTAGTATTATGTTCTCATGTTAAGTGAATTGTATCATAATTCTTAATGAGAATAAATAATTTAAAACCTAATATACATAATGTTACATATTTTATTTATATATTTTATTTTCAGAGACATGCAACGTGCTATAGGCGTTATCACAGAACGCACAGGACTCGTGAACCATCCTGATTGGAATTTGAAAATTATTCAATTATACGAGACGTCGCTAGTGAGACACGGCTTGATGACTTTAGGACCGACTGGTTCAGGCAAAACAACATGCATACACTCGCTCATGGCTTCTCTAACTTTACTCGGTAAACCTCATAGGGAAATGAGGATGAATCCTAAGGTATGAAAAATGGATTTCTTATTTAACTAGTAACTCATATGAAACTAGATGGATGACGAGAGACGAGACGATCTTAATCAGTCTTAGACTCTCTTAGATTAGAGAAAAGTGAATCTTAGGCCGCTCTGTCGATTGTGCACTATTTTCAATAATGCAGTTAAGAATAACATAGTTATAAGTCACATATGTGCTCATTTATTATAATCCTAGAAAATACATTTTATTTTAAGAACATGTCTCTAGGCTATAACTGCACCCCAAATGTTTGGCCGTCTGGATGTAGCAACTAATGATTGGACAGACGGAATATTTTCTACTCTTTGGCGCCGAGCGTTGAAAGTGAAAAAATCGGATACTACTTGGATTGTACTAGGTAAAGACTTGTATTTCTTGCAGATCCAGGCTTAATTGCATTTGTTAACAAGTACTAAAAACTTTTATAATTTATAGATGGCCCTGTAGATGCTGTATGGATCGAAAATTTGAATTCTGTATTAGACGATAACAAAACTCTGACATTGGCTAATGGTGATCGCATTACAATGGCATCAAACAGTAAGCTGGTGTTTGAACCGGACAATGTCGACAACGCTTCGCCTGCTACCGTAAGCCGGATGGGCATGGTGTTTCTATCATCCTCGGTACTGAAATGGCAACCCATATTAGAGGTAGAGCTAAAACTTTTTTTTTTATTTATTGTTAGAACGTGAAACAATACGTTAATTATCCAGATCATTGAGTCTTGCGTATTCACTTGGTCTTTGGGTAGCAGTATAGTTCGTAGATATACTAAAGGGGACTTAGACACACTTAGACATTCTTAGACTGCCTTAACAGAGCCTCTGCCTAATTTGGGAGCAGACGGCTATGTGCGGGATGTGTCAAGTTATTATTATTATTACTATAAATGTATACTATGTACGTATTCTTTCAAGGGCATCATCAGCAAAGCTGCAGTAATGGCTTGGCATTTGTCTTGATAATTAGTATTATCGCTAAAGTTGAGGCACTTAAAACTTCTTTCTTTGTTTCTACTTATTTTTTATTTTTATTAGTCTCACATACGCTTAACTTGAATGAATCCAGGGTTGGCTGAGGAAACGCTCCCAAAAAGAAGCTGATTGTTTCCGTCTGGCTTTTAATAAAATATATGACGATGTCCATTCTTATGTTCAACAAAAGTTGCCGGCTAAGATGAAACTTCTTGAAGCAATATATATTAGGTAAGTCATATCCGTAACGAAAATTCCTTGGGCGCTTGACTTTAGTATTATATTGAGAATGTCAATCTCGTTGTTGAAGCTGCGTTCAACAACTATTGTTACTACAAAATACTTCAGTAAGCCTTCCTAAAGTCTCTCATAGTTCTTAGTTCTTCATCAAAAAACACATAACCAGTTACATAGTATACTATGTCAGGTTTACGCAAGCAATGAAATACGAAATCATGTAATTTAAAAATGAAACAATAGATAAGAAACATATTATTTCATACTATATTACTAAGTTGTACATTACTTAATTCATAGTTCCATAAAAGAGATATATAATATTTTAATGTTTGTTTACAGACAATGCATTGACGTGTTAATTGGATTATTAGAAATTGAAGTTCCCGGAGGCAGTAAGTACTTTAGAGAAAAGAGCGCAACCCCGATGTTGGAACTATGTAGCCTTCTTAACCTTCAATATTATGCTTTGCTTGTTACTATTAATTTATTAATATGTTTTTCTTCTTGCGCAGAGGTACACACTGATCGTCATCTTGAGCGTTTATTTATATTTTCTATGATGTGGTCTTTGGGTGCACTATTGGAACTAGACGCTCGCACCCGCATGGCTGAGTTTATGATGTCGCGCCCCGTGAGATTGGATTGGCCTGGTGGAAAGTCCAAAGAGTGGATCATGCCTTTCGAGTATATGGTTAGCCTTCAAGGAACTTGGCAACACTGGTAGGTTTGATGAATTTTATCTCAAATTATCTTGTTTTATTTTTTTCTAGACTTCATAGAAATATCTCTTATTATTATCTCTCTTATTATCTCTTAAATATCTCTCTATATCAAAGCTTCAAAAATATTGATCCTCTGGTCTTTATTGTGTTACTTATCTAAGCATGAGAAAATTTCGATTAAATGGTTTTGATAAGCCCTTATCATCAGCATCATCATCAACAGCCTCTAAGTACACTGCTCTGGACATAGTTAGACATAAGAAGGTGTTGGCCTACTATATCACGTATCGTTTTAATCAATTGAAGTCATATTATTTGACATCTTATGTAAAGCGAAATTTAGTTTAGGTATTTAAGGTTATTATCAGTAGCCTAGGTTTTTAAGGGCAAGTTGACAAGTAAAAAGACGTAGCGGTAAGAGATATTTTTACTAACATACTCGTATATGTGAATTTTACAACAAGTAACAACGCAAAGATATAGGAATAGAAATTATTACTAAAACACATCTGCTAACAGAGATACAAAGAGAAACAGTTTTGATTTCAATCCGTATACTCAGTAATATTCCAATTTAAGGTACATAAATCCTTTTAAAAAAAGGTGAACCGACTTCAATCAAACAATACTAAGAAAGAACACTAAAAAACTAGCAGCAATCACGATTGAATTGCTGTCATTTTGTCAACTTGTTCGTTGTCTGTCTCCGAAACTCATCAGATCTGTATGAAATTTAAAAGGGGTCACTTCTTAATACAGATACTATTTGACAAAACAGAGATTGTTGCTTTTGTGTGTGTTGATCTATGACTTTAGAGTCTACATGGAAGACGATTTCAAACAATTTTTAAAAATTTATGAAATAAAGAAAGTTTGAGTTTGAAATAACCCCATTTAGAACAAAAAATGAATTAAAAAAAATTCGTCTATATATGACGGAGTCATGCACGAAAATACATTAAAAAATATAAACATCCGAATTGAAAACCTCCTCCTTTTTGAAGTCGGTTAAAAACGATTTTGCTGACGAACTTATATTGTCACGATGGTTTGTTACCATAGTTCGATTCAGCCGTATGGCTAAGCGCCATCCATGGAACTATAAGGTAGTTTTTAAGTACAATATTTAATTATATATTACTTTTTGGCAGGTCTGATCATGTTGAACCTTACATTTATCCCAGCGACAGTATTCCAGAATATTCATCTATTCTGGTGCCAAACATTGACAACGTCTGTATTACTTTTTTGATCGAGACAATTGCCAAACAGAATAAAGCCGTGCTTCTTATTGGTGAACAGGGCACAGCGAAGACTGTCATGTTGAAAAGTTACATGTCCTATTATGATAGTGAATATAAGCTGTTTAAGATGATAAACTTTTCGTCGGCTACCACACCAAATATGTTTCAGGTAAGTTGGCTTAAATTAATTAAAATATTTCCTGATTTATCTCCAAAACCTAGACATAATTCACTTTTTTATAAATCGTAGCGAATCATCGAGTCTTACGTAGAGAAACGAGTCGGTATGACTTATGGGCCTCCAGGAGGAAAAAAGATGACAGTTTTTATAGATGACATCAATATGCCAGTGGTGAACGCGTGGGGTGATCAGGTAATCAGATATTGTATCTATTAGTAGGTATTTGGCCTTCTTCCTATTTACCAGACAGGTAAAATCGAAATGATCATGACGATTTAGGCTAGTTTTTAGTTTTGGTTAACTCGATATGTTTCGCGATTTAAACGATAAAAAATTCAATTTAGAACTTACGATTATTTTAATGTTTTAGGTAACAAACGAAATAGTCCGACAAATGATGGAAGGTGGTGGATTCTACTCTTTAGAGAAACCTGGTGATTTCACTATCATCGCTGACATTCAAATCTTTGGTGCTATGATACACCCTGGTATTACATGATTGTGTTGTACACTATTCATAGGTTATATAAAACAGTAGGGTAATATTTTAAAATCGTATAGTAAATGGCTTAATATATTTTCAAAGTATTGACAATGTATAGATTTTGTATGAAGCATAACGTCATCATTAAAATAGTAGATAATTAATACCAATCAACTAACCATACTTATGGAATGACTAGACATGTCTCAAATGATAGCAACCGTAGTTATTACCATCTAACCAAAGTTTGTTTGTTTTTTATATTCGTCATATAACAAATTATACCTGATAGTTTTAGATATAAGATAGATTATTTTTGTGTTTTAAACTTCTCCTTCTTTAATATTATTATATATTATTAGCTAAATCGTTGCAATTACTCAGAAAACAAAAGTCACAAATTACTACTTGACATTGTAAGGGCTGTTGAAAGGATATTGATTGTTTGTTAATACTTAGTACGTCACAGGTTAAAAACGATTTGTGTGTTAACCTTTATAACCTTGTATATATTTATTATTTATATCTGTTAGTAGTACGTATATTGTAAGCGTATTTAGTATGTTTATTTTTATATATATTAATTATCTAAAGTGTTCAAAAGTACACCATAGTACCCTAAATCATATTAAACAATATACATGTAAAGGTTGTCTGTAAGAGATCGCGGTTAGCGATAAGACCGCTATTGTAATAACAAAATGTAGATGTCCATCCATGTCTGTACAATATATAGCGTAGCGGTGTACAATAAAGATGTATAAATAAATAAATATTATAATTAAAATAGTCGGTTAGTTGTTGTTTTACCTTATACGCTATTGTACCGTTCATGTGATCATCGTGAAGGTTTACGTACACGTTGCCAGAGATTTAGAGAAGGACACAGGGTACTTTTCATCAAATATTTTGTTTACGATAACGTAGTTGAAATTGTATAACTATAATGTATCAGAATAAGAACGCCAAAGTCGATCATTTTATGTAAAAATCACGTCCTCTTAATCACGCCTATGCCCACAGAGGTTTGAATGTAAATATAAAATATACCTACAGTATCAAACCTAATAGCTGCAGCTGCATTTTGACAGTTGTAGTTTAGGGTTGGGGTGTCTACGGTGCTAATTTACGATTTGTAACATAAATCACTTAAGCTTTACCTCCGTAACAATTAAAATTTAACACTAAAATAAAAAATCAAAAATGATAGAACGTTACTGTTTTTCTGGTCGTCTTGCAGAAATAATGAATCACGCCCTAGTTTAAATTATTATTAATATTATTATTTTTAACGCAAAGTTACGTCCAGTAGTTACAGACATAGTGGTAGACGTAGTTACGTCAGTTTCCTCTGTTAAAATGCACTTCTCTTAATTCTTTTTTTTATTTTTTCTTGATGTACCTAGTTTTATTTAGATTTAATACTTTATTATACTTTGAAATAAGCGTTTGTGGATAAGTTTAAAAGTTAAATCAATCGTTTTAACATTGTTACAGGTGGCGGCAGAAACGATATTCCACCACGTTTAAAAAGACAGTTCTGTATTTTTAACTGTACGCTACCAAGTGTTGTTTCTATGGATAAAATTTTTGGTAATTATTACTCTATAACTCTTCAGCGTATCATTTTATATTATAACATTATAGATTAAGTTTGTACTTGAAAATAAAGGGCACCCCTTTATTTTCGTTTTATTTAAACCCCGTGGAAACAAAATGCTTCAAATCAAATGTTACTCTTAGAATGTTGTTAAAATATGGTTTGAAACATAAAATGTCACATAGAAACGGCCTTGGTTAGGATACGAGACACGTTTTATGTTGGTAATGAAACTGTTATTCAATGAATCATGATTTCACAAGGAAAGAGTCTTTAGAAAACAGAATGATAATATATGATCTAATACAACATTATTGAAAATTTACTCACCACTGCCAAAACCCACTCGGCGACTGGATGTTGTCAAGTTATGATCAAGGGTATAATAATAAATGAATAGCCTAAGGCTGCTTCTAAACGGTGCAAGTAGCTGGAGCGGGCAAAGTCGCGCGTTATTTGCACGAGTTTGCACGTTTGGTTGCTATAATGGGCATGCTGCTCGCGCGGGTTACATGCGAAGCAAATAATAAATAGTACCTCAAGATGCGCAAGCTATTTGCGTCGTGTACAAGCCCACTTGGCTATTAATTTATTATTATTATCAACTTTCTTTATTATTGTAGAAACAATAAGTGTTGGATATTTTTGCAAAACACGCTTTGAAAAAAAAATAGTCGACTTCATGCCGAAACTAGTTCCAGTCACTCGTATCATATGGCAACAAACTAAAGTAAGTAAGCGTTATAAGTAATTAATAATAATTACCTTTAATTAATTACCTTTTATTTGCCGCCCTCCTTCCGGATATCCCTCACCGGTCGACCAGTGGGGTGTTAAGTCAGACTCGGACCGACTAACCCGCACGCCCCGGTACCAGTAGTCGGGGAACCGGGTGTAACCTAGACAGGAAATCAAGGATACCCCAACGGAGTTATATTACCTAATTTTATCCTCATCAATGTGTAGTAGTGTGCACTGCGCACTAAAGACTAAAGCAATCGCTCCACTTATCTAGCACTAATGTTTAATTAACACTCTGCTTTGCTAAATCGTAGACTACCAACCCATCTTGGTCTGGTATCCTAGTCCATACTAAACTATTTACAAGATTTATATTGTAAAATGTTTGAAATTGATGATTTAAGTAGCCCACATAGAACTGACACTTATATTTTTTTCATTTAATGTTTATTATTTTTAATATTACTTAAATATATGTAAAGCTACTGTAAGATAATTTTAATTGATTGATTTTCAAATGAGTTTTTTACTGTCAAGACAAAAATGCTACCGACGCCAGCTAAGTTCCACTACATTTTCAATCTTAGAGATTTATCTCGTATATGGGAAGGCATCTTGTTTATAAAGAAAGAAGAGCTTCCTTCCATTAAAATGGCAATAAAGTTGTGGTTCCATGAATGTCTACGAGTTATTTCAGACAGGTGTGTACGTACCTACTTAATAGCTGAAATTATGTTACTCGAGGTATGATACTTTGTAGTTTGGTGTATGTATGTTTGTAGTTTGTAAAGTATGATAGGCATACGTGATAACTATCTAAGAATAAAACGTTTATTTGTTTTGGTTGTAAAAATATCAAGCATTCAAAACAATAATATTTATAAGACAAAGCTAAAAGCGTAATCTATACAGATATTATTAGAAGTATTTGTAGGTTTATCTATTCATATTATTAAAATAGGATTCAGCATTTAGTATTTCATTAAAGGCCAGTAATAACAAAATAATAATACTATAGGTTTACCACCTTTGAAGACAGAGATTGGTTTATTGAGAATTTCTGGCATACAGCTGCAATAGAATTATCTGAGTACGCTGATGAATTCGACCAAGGTGAAACATATTTTGTAAATTTCCTGCGAGAAGCAGCTGATCCCACAGGTGACGAAGATGAAGAGTTTAGCATTGAAGCACCAAAAATATACGAAGAACTACCATCGTTAGTTATTCATTTAATTATATAGTTTCAATCATCAAACTACACATACTATTCGAAAGTAGCATATGATGTCGAGGTATTGTAAAAAAATCTTATATATCCCTAATGGATATATATAAACAAAGTGCAGTTATGTTTATTTGAAAAGGTTTTTTCGAATAATCTCAAAGGTTCCAAATTGACTATGAAAGTGCATATATCTATTCAATGTATTTGGGTTTGATTTTGTTACAAACAACTTAAAACCTCAGAATTGCACTCCTCCTGGCTCCCGGTTTCAAGTAATAGTATATACATCAAAAATCCCCTCGAATACCATTCACCGGTGTTTATGTCGGACTCTAACTGACTAAAAACCGCACGCCATCTTAGGTACCAGTAGCTGGGGAACCAGGTGTACCCTATGAAGGGAATCCCTGGAAACCCGACGTACCCTGGGCCATCTACAGCATGTAGATAACCCCCTCGTGTGTTTGAACCACGGTATTCCAGTTCCATAAACTAAACCCGACCAGCTTCGGCTAGGGTGACGGATGGCCTCACTTGTCAACCCCAGACCTGCGCCTATGGAGTATGGAGGTCGTACTGCGTCCTCCGGCGCCTGAGTCTTCGGTGGTACCTGGCCCGTTTACTATTCTGGTAGCAACTGAAATCACCCTAGATATAGAGTGGCATTTACGGTGTCCAAACAGGTAAAATTCAAGGGAAAACAAGAGTTGGAAAAAGACGACGTTACTGGCTGCAGAATTTGCGAGAGTGGTTCAACTGCTCTTCAAATCGAATTTTTATATCAGCAATATCCAAAACTAGAATAGCCTTGATGATTGCCAACCTTCAGAATAAAGATGGCACTTGAAGAAGAAGTTGATCGTTTCGCGCGGAGTACAATTAAACTGTTTTGGCTCTCATGCTATTCGCCGCGTATAGCGTTTGATCCCGTGGCATGCCCAGTACTTTGCCATACATTTGTTGTAGTCGCTATATGCTCCGCTGTTTTCACCGCGCGAATTATCCATGTAGCGAATGTCCCGTGGCCAGGCCGTTGTACAACATGCATTTGCAAGAACTGCGTTACGTAACAAAGTCCTAGAAACTTCTGAACTTTCCGGCGATTTAAAGGACTGGTATTGGTATTGGTATTAGTTGTGGGCTTCGGTTTCCGCATTTAGACTCAGAGTGGTCCTTTATGCGTCGAGGATTGGTTGACTAGGTGAGCCAGCCAAGCTCCTTCCAGAAGCGCAGAAGCCTCCTGGGGCGTTCACAGGCTTCTAGGAGCGACTTTATATCGGGAATGATACTGGCCCGTTGTGTGGCCACTCCCTCGCATTCCAGGATTACGTGGACGGCCGTTTCTTCAGCTTCCAGACATCCCCTGCACAGGGGACTGTCCGTCGCATTGATGATGAATAGTTGTCGGTTCAGGGCTAGATGTCCTGTAATAGTTCCGACAACCATTCTGATTTCCGGTCTGCTAAGACTGATCAATCTGCAGGTGAGTCGTGGTGTGACTTGATTCAGCACCAGTTTGGACTGTCTGCAGCCGGGTGAGTTTTTCCACCGCCGGTCGTGTGCGTCCGTCCGTGTCACAGGTCCGTTGCCTGACCCAGCATCTTATCTGGTTAAACGATATGGGCAGGAGTGTGGTTGGGCCAGACGTCGGGGTTGTCGAGCCCCTCCTTGCCAACTCATCTGCGGCATCGTTCCCGTGTGAGTTACTGTGCCCTTTAATCCATTGAGGAGTACCCCATTGAATGTAAAAAGCTGTTCCAGTGCTTGGTGGCATTCGAAGACAATACCAGAGGTCATTGTGTTGCCCTCCAATGCCTTTAAGACGGCCATGCTGTCGGATATTATTCGGATGTTGTAGTCCTTGATACCCCTTGACATGGCCGTTGTGGCAGCGTAAGTTATTGCCACACATTCACATTGAAATATGGAACTGTGTTGGCCTAACGCTAGTGATATGTTTATATTTAGGTCCAGTTCCTCCGGCTCCAGTTCCTGACCTAGTCTTGGAACCGTCCGTGTAAATTCGGACTTCGTTAATGCCGGATTGATCTTGGTCATTTCTATGTATTTGGAATCTAACTATCATCTATCTATCCTCTTGTGAAGATATGGTGTTTCGGGATTCTATCGCATGGAGCTGCTATCAGTGGTTCGTATTCCACCAATTGATCCCATAATTTGGAGTGCGATCCCTCCACTTTTGTGCCATAGACCCAGGTGTTTGAGTCTAATGATCGCCATGGAGGCCTCCTGCTGTATGAATAGATCCAGGGGGGGCAGACCAAGAGCCACCTCTAGTGCGGCAGTAGGCGTTGTGCGCATACAGCCAGTGATCGCGGAGCATGGGAGTCGCTGGAATTGCTGCAGTTTGTTTATGACGGTGCTTAGCTCTGTTCTCTGCCACCAGACAACAGCACCGTAAGTGATTATTGGTCTTATGACTGTTCTGTATAGCCATAAAGTAATCTTGGGTGATAGTCCCCAGCTTTTGCCGAGTAGCCGTTTGCATTGGCAGAAAATAATGCAGGCTTTATTCAGTTTTTCATCGAGGTGCTTATTCCACAGGAGTTTACTGTCCAGTATTACTCCTAGGTATTTGACCTCTTTGGTAAGAGTAAGTTGTGTTTCAAATAGCTTGGGAAGTCTGAGATTTCCTAGGCTGCGTTTGTTTGTGAACATGATCTTCTCTATTTTCGATGAGTTCACTGTCAGGTTGTGTGCTACGCACCATTGTTCCACGATCTTCAGTGCAAGTCACATTTGATCGCATGTAACGCTCTCAAAAGGACCGCTGATGAGAATAGTAAGATCGTCTGCATAGCCTATTGTGAGGAATCTTTGGTCATTAAGTTGTGCGATAAGCTCATCCACAACAATGTTCCATAGAAGGGGGGAGAGTACACCGCCCTGGGGGCAGCCTCTAGCCACCACTCCACTTCGCTCACAGTGAATTGAATAGCTCTATATCTTAGCATACTGTCGATCCACCCTGAGATTGTGGAATCAACACCATGTCTAGACAGAGCTTGGCTAATGCTGGTGAAATTGGTCTTGTCAAAGGCTCCCTCGATATCGATAAAGGTAGCCAGTGTTGACCTTTTGTGATTTAGATTGTCTTCTATATGTGAAACAACTCGATGTAGGGCAGATTCTGTTGATTTACCCATCGAGTATGCGTGCTAATTGAGGTGTAGAGGGTGACTGACTAACGCAGTTTCCCTGATTTCCCTATCTATTAGCCTCTCGAGAACCTTTAGACGTGAGACTGATAGGTCGGTGTGATTTGGGTTGTGTGTAGTCACCTTTACCAGGTTTGGGGATGAAGACTACTTTAACTTCTCTCCATTTCAAGGGGATGTACTGATGCGCCAGGCAGCCCCTATAATTTTTTACAAGATTTAAAGGACTGTCTACGCGTGCTCGATGTTTTTAGGTTAAGCTACGAGTTAGGTAGTATTGAAATGTTGTAAATTCTATGTTTTTAATTAATAAAAATAATAGGTTTCTTCGTATGTGAAGTGTGTTACCAGTAACTACATTTCAGTTTAACCAAATTTTCAAATTACAGTTGGGAGTTTGTATTAAGTAAATTAGCGATGTTTCAAGACTTATTCAATGAACAAATTAGAGGAGCCCATTTGGATTTGGTATTTTTCCATGATGCAATGGTGCATTTGTTTATCATATCAAGAATTATCAATACTTCACGGTAAGACAAAAAAAAAAGATATTTAAAATAATGTAATTTTTATAAATTATTATTTTTAAATTTTGTTTTTTTTTTGTTCAGTGGTAACGCTCTGCTAGTGGGAGTAGGAGGTTCTGGAAAACAAAGTTTAACAAAATTAGCGTCGTTTATTGCAAATTACACCTTCTATCAAATAACTTTAACAAGGTAAAAAGTACTGTTAATTGCACTTTCTTTTTAAAACACTAATGTATCGTCTTAAAACTGAGGCTTAACGATCAGGTGGCAAGTCGGACTCAAAGAAAAAGCATTATTCTCAAATTATTTATTAATTGAGCAATTTTAATAACAATCTATTTTATTGTACATATTTAGAGTATATTTTTTACATTGGAATATTGGTTTATAAAAATATATTTCACTAGCTGACCCGCGCAACTTCGTCTGCGTCTCTCAATGGTAATAAATTTTCTCCGTTTTTGAAACATTGTTCATTGGTGCTCCGCTCCTATTGGTCTTAGCGTGATGATATATAGCCTATAGCCTTCCTCGATAAATGGGCTATCTAACACTGAAAGAATTTTTCAAATCGGACCAATAGTTTCTGAGATTAGCGCGTTCAAACAAACAAACAAATAAACAAACAAACAAACTCTTCAGCTTTATAATATTAGTATAGATGATTTCATTTGATATGATTTTTAGATCTTATAATGTAAGCAATTTTATGGAGGATATTAAAATACTATACCGGATTGCGGGATTACAAGGATTAGGTGTATCATTCATATTTACTGACAATGACATTAAAGATGAACAGTTTTTAGAATTCCTCAACAATATTCTCAGCTCTGGAGAAATTGCCAATTTGTTCCCTAAGGATGAAATGGGTGAGTTTTTATTTCATTGATTATCCACCAAGTAGATTTTATTAAAAAATATATTTTTTAATCACTTAAAATGAGTCGAATTAAGCCACGAGATGAGGTAGTACCAATTAATATGTGCCGTACCTTTTTTCGTATATCTTTCAGATGAGATAATGAATGAGTTAACACCGATTATGAAAAAGCACGCTCCAAAAAGGATTCCAATACCAGACGTGTTGTATGAATACTTTATCATGAGGTCGAGAGCCAACTTGCATGTTGTACTTTGTTTCTCCCCAGTGAGTTTTATTATTGTTCATTATATATGTATATATTTTTACAATGTTGGTTTAATTTCATTAAGCTTTAAGACTTCATACCGTTTCATAATTAAGTATTGCACTATTATATTTTACTTAAGATTTATGAAAATTTTATTTTAGGTCGGTGAGAAATTTAGGAGTAGAGCAATGAAATTTCCTGGTCTGATATCTGGATCCATTATGGACTGGTTCCAAAAGTGGCCTAAGGAAGCCCTAGTGGAAGTAGCATACCACTTTTTGTGGGACTTCAAGGTTTGATTTTTTTGTTAAATATAGAAAAAAAAGTCCTTTTATCTGTAAATTTTCTATCAGCCGCTTCGGCAACTAACTTTCGCGACCTAATATAAAAGAGGATTTTGTCTTCTTTCGTGACAACTAGTTGAGGCAGATGATTTTTTCCCTCTTTAATTTATCTTAATTCATACAGCCATATATCTAGTGCGGATTTGACCTGGCCAAGGATTTCCCTATTTTAAGTATGTAATGACTTTAAAATACTAATTATTGTGTGCAGTTTTATTTTGTGAATCTCGAAAATGATTTAAACGACTTGAATTAAATCGTTTTTTGCATGTTATCTTTACATGTCTTTCCTAATTTAATTTTTGAGAATTTCCACGTATACAACACTAATTTACTAACATAACTTTTTTGCGTTTAACTTTAACTTTACTTTTAACTTTGCGAAATTTTGCGTTCCATATGTTATATTATAATAAAAATAAGTTTTTATTCGAATTAAAGCCACCAAAAAGTATTACATAGGCTAAAATTAATTTTGTATTAGTTTGATTATTCAAGTTAACTACATAGGCCTTGGTCTCAGTTTAATTTCAATAGGCAAGTAAAGTAGTAGATATACAATGGTGCTAATTCTGTTGGTCGAAAACTCTCTAAACCACACTACAAATCACCAAAAATTAATTTTGTCCTGTCAAATAATGTTTCGTATTCTGAAAATGTAGTACTTCACAGGACTAAACTAATTTTCAGTGATTTTTAGTTTAGTTTTGAGAGTTTTCGAACAACAGAATTCACACCATTATTTATTGCTCGCGATTAAGCGAATTGGACAGTCATTTAGCCAATGAAATCCGGTTCTCGTTATAAAATTTGGCTACAGACTAATTAATTAATACTAATTATTATTATATAAATTAATATCATTAATTTCATTTTTATATTTTATTGAGTTTCAATAGTTACTATAGTCCATTTAAACTTAGATGTATCGTATGACAGTTCTGACAGATTGAAGAATAGGGAGGGGGTCAAAAAAATCGAGTACTACAATATCCGATTCTTAAGAGATTTCGATAACTTTTCTTTGTATTTACTACTCAATTACAGTTTTACAGATTTATGTATAATAATTATAGTTAAATATTTCTTTATTTAATTTATTCCTTTAAAAATAATAAAAATAATAATAAAGAGAATAATAATAATAATATTTTACCACATTCACACAACGCCATCTAGTCCCAAACTAAGCAGAGCTTGTACTATGGGTACTAGACAACTGATATAAATACATATATACTTTTTTTTTTTTGTAAATACATACTTATTATACATAGAAACACCCAGACCAAATCAAACATTAAATGTTCATGCATATAAATGTTTGACTTGAGCGGGAATCGAACCCGCGACCTTTGGAATAGCAGTCCGTTACACAAACCACTACGCCATTCGGTCGTCAAAATAATAATGTTTTTATTAGCCAATAAAGTTACACATTATAAAAAAAAGAATGAGGCTACTACTGTTACTAAACGCTGATTTCTAAACTAGGTTTAATACCTGTAATATGAAACCAGTGTCCCTATTTTTGATACAATACCAAGCCATTATGTTATTACAAAAAAAGAGAAAAACATTTAAGAAAATAAGAAGGAAAATAGTTCGATGATGTGTGTGTGCTTATGTGTGTGAGTGTATGTTACTGTCAAGCCTGTATATTGGTATATCTTAGGTCTTACTTATAAATCTTAGTATACATATATGTAGGTAAATATCAGAATTTAATGAGAGAGATATTTTTTCGGGGTTTTAAGTTTCATCCTAACCAGTGGCGGATTCACCACCAGGCTGAGTAAGCTGGAACCTAGTGGCAAATTTAGTCGAAGGCTCCAGTCGTACCCTATGTTGCACAGAAGTGTTCCAAGAACAGACCCCTGTGGAACACTACACGACATGGCATATTGTGATAAAATTAAAATCACTTCATAATTCCATGGTATAACGGAAAAGGTTACTGAAATTGTTTAGTTACGCCTATAGGAAGTTATTTCGGCTTGATAAGTATGAAAAGTCAAACGGTACTTCTTAGATTGGATGAATTATGAATACACTTTCTTTTTCAGGTTGTGTGTTCGGAAGAGACGAAAACCCAACTAATTGAGATAATGGGCATGGTGCAAGATAACGTAGCTGACACGTGCATTTTGTACTTCGAACGGTTTAGGAGACAGGCTCATGTTACTCCTAAATCATATCTATCCTTCTTGGGCGGGTATAAGGTTCTGTACAAAGAGAAACACGTTGCTATTGCTGAAATGGCAAAAAGGTCCAATATAACATAATATATTTTATCTCTTTTTTTGCTAGGTTTGTACTTATCAGTAAATAAATAGCAATGATAATGTCACAAGTGAAAAAGAAACAGTTACGGTAGCGGTTAGGTTAGTTTTCACTTGCTGATATATTAACACAACAACGCGTTCATCTAAAACGAAACTTTACGTCTATTGAATTTAATTTAGCCTATATCAGCACAGCCGCATTAGAGGACTACTCCTCATTTTGACGGACACGTTGATATAGTGGTTAGTAACCCTGACGGCTAAGCCGGAAGTCGTGGGTTTGATTCTGCCTAGTTTGAAATTAGACTGCCTTGTGTCAGTTGTATGAAGTTATTATAATTAGTGATTTGTCACATAAAGATAAGCTCTGTAATTATGCGTATGCAGGTTTCTTCTCTGAAAATAACAAGAGTCGTGAATTCTCATCGAGCTTTTATCTCACAGTGCTTCGGTCATTGTTTGTTTGTTAGTTTTGAGATACATTTTGCCTCTCACAACCAATCTGTGGAACGGGTTATCGTCTGCGGTATTTCCGGACCGATACGACCTTCAAACCTTCAAGAAAAGAGCGTACTCCTTTCTAAAATGCCGGCAACGATTTGTGACTCCTGAGTTGCAGACGTTCATGGGCGGCAATGGTCACTTTCCATCAGGTGGCCCTTTAGCTTGTCTGCCCCCTCTAACATAAATAAAAGTGTTTTTTAAGTAATTATGATGATTAAATATATTATTTTTATGTGTACTTACTTACTTACCAGTTAGCAACCACACCACCAGTTTATTACTGGTAACAAGTAGTGATTGACAACAGCGATTTGTAAAATTTAATTATGTTTGATTTTTGAGACCAGTTACAAGTATATGTGGTTTAACTAAGTTAATCTAGTACCATCTGTGACACATGAACTTACCCAAGTTTTTATATCATTTCCTTTTTATAGAATGATCACGGGCTTAGATAAGCTAGTTGAAGCAGCAGAAAGTGTAGATATACTGAAACAAGAACTGGTGCTTAAAGAGTTGGAAATCAAAGAAGCTACAGCTAAAGCTGAAGAGGTAGAGTATTGTAATTAAATTCTCAAAAAAAGTCAGCATTTTTTATATTTGAAAAACATAATTTTTTTGCATATTCATTGAAAATCAATTTCATTTTAATCCACTTTGTTAATATATATAATAATCAAGTACATTTTGAACATTATTAGCCATGATCCTTTGCTTCTTCTTGAGTAGTTTCATAATCGTAGGCGATTCGGTCAGAACATATTTCACCATCAAGAAAGAAGACGAAGCAAATGGCAGGTTTGATCTATACAGTGGATGCATGAAATCTTCCAAGTTGTGTCATAGTGTGAGTTGTCAAAGAGTGTAGGGCAGCGTATTGTTGTGATGAAACAAAACTCCCTATTGTCTATTCTTGATAACAGTTTCAAACTTTCGAATTGTACACAATACATTGCCAAACAGTTCATCATACGCAGTTTCCCTTCAATTACATCAAACACCTTGTTTGCCAACCATTCTTTGAAATTCTTTGTGGAGGTGAAAGGTTGGTGAAACCTTTAACTGGGCCCTATGTTCACTTATAACTCTTTTGCCTGTCGCTATGTTTTTTTACAGTATTTTTACTTTTTTTATAGTAAAAAAGTATCACATGGCGTATATTTATTTCATTTATAAATCAATATAACTTTTTTTTTACACGTGTAACAATTTATAAAACTATCTTCACATAAAAAGTAACCTAAAATGATCCGTTAAAACACATGTTAGTTTTGAGATGTTGTGGTTGCCTGATATAAGCCACCAATACTATTTAGTGGCAAAATACCACAGCAATCAAGATACTTTTCGTATGACTCGTTAGAAGCTGAGAATATCTCCTATCTCATATAACTATAAAAGTATTTGTATCTTTTTCTCTTCAGGTATTAGCAGCTGTTGCAGACACGCAAGCAGCGGCTGAAATAGTAAAGGCCGAAGTGTTGGAAGTAAAAGATGTTGCTGTAAAACTCGTGACAGTTATTGCTGCAGAGACAGCAATTGCGGAGGAGAAACTCGCTGACGCTAAACCCGCGCTAGATGCAGCCGAGGCTGCATTACAAGTATTGCATCATAAACTTTTACATGTTTAGTTAATAAAATGTAGTCACGCTTTAATAATAAACAAATATTGATATTACATCAAGATCGTGACAATACTGAAATTTGTCATTCTTGGTATTTAACTTGAGGTATCTCTTTGATCACCGCATTATGTAACTAATCCGTTGCCAATTTTAAGTTTCAGTCGATGAGCCTAAAAAATGGTATATATGTTAGATTTATTAAGATATATACCAAAATTGTTAAATACAGAGATGATGAGATGATAAAATCAAAATAAAATAATATCTGAATGTGGTTATAGTATAAACTTTATACCCAAGTGCCCAGACATTATTATTTGCTACATAGACGTTTCAGTAGTTAAGAAGTGCAACTGTAAGTGACCTGCAACTACAAATGAACTGCAAAGACGATTTGCCACTTTGTCATATTGCTAAATAGACGTTTAATAGCAAGACGGTTTGCTACTTAGATGTATCGATCTTTTTTCTAATATTCTTGCTAATGAGCAGAACAACCATGTTATTACTATATTTATCTTTTAATGTATTTTTATTACAGACCATCAACGCTGCAGATATTGCAACCGTTAGGAAATTAGGCAAGCCGCCATATCTCATTACACTTATCATGGACGCTGTTATTTTGCTCTTCAGAAAGCGAATAGATCCAATTAAACCAGATTATGATAGAAACTTTTTAACTCCATCTTGGGCAGAGTCATTGAAGGTACTTTTTGTTATTTTTTTTATATATATTTTTTTTATGATATAGGTATAGTTCATACTAGTATGAACGATGTGCAGTTTTGTTTTGCATAACCTGTATGTGAAAACGTCGTTACTATGAACCAACGATTGATTTCAAATATGTAATAGGAACGTTTTTTCTCATCTCAAAGTAAATATTTTCATGATGAATAGAAAAAAAGGAATCTGTACATCTTTATAAGCTCGGCCACAGTTACGTTTTCCAGTTACTATCTAAAATAATATAAAACATCAAAGTTTATTTTAAGTTAAGAAATGAAAAAAGGTCTTTAGTTTTAAAATTACTAATAAAAATATGTAAATTGAAAATCAGTATCTTTTACTTCTACAAGGGAGACAGATGAATATAATAAAGTTTTTTGTTTCGAGCACAACTTATTTTAATTAGGTCAATGTATCTTGTGATGACAGGTTATGGCAGATGCACGATTTCTAAGTAACTTGAAAAATTTTCCTAAAGATGAAATTAATGCGGAGATGATTGATTTATTAATGCCATACTTCAGATTCCCGTGAGTTATTTCCATTGTTATGCAAGTAATTTCTATTATCTTTTAAAATGTTACTTCATTAATTGTGTATTCAAAATAATGCACTTACTCTAAAAGTTAAAAAAAAGTAGTCAAAGTCAAAAAAAGAAAAGTTTTCTATTTTTTTTTTTTTTTTTGTTGTAAGGTAATCTGTTTTTTAATATTAAACCATTTCTCTGTTTGACCATTCGGTGCTCAGATGGGGAATGTTAGTGGCCGCGCGTGTAGAATTGCCTTTAGAATTGTCTGGAGACTAAAGTAAGACTTTAAAGACATGCCCCTGCAGGATGATCACTTGCCGCATTTCATACACCATAAGGGACTAAAGCATTGATTTTTGTATCCTCAAATCTCTACTATCTTATGTATTGCAATCCTTCTTGTTGTTTTTTTATATGAAGTTTTGAGGCTTATCTTCATATTATTATTATGCTTGAGATTGAATTTATCTTTGTTTTTATGTTTTAGTCTAAGTCTACATAAAACATTGGTAGAGGTGCCTTTGTAGCTCTATGTAACTTTTCTTCCTCAAGCCATGCATCCTATCAACACGTTTTTACTTTAGGATTAGAGACTTTTGTGTAGCTCTCGGCTCGAGCAGTTAAACAAGACCCCTGATTCTGTGTGTGAGTTGCGGATTGCGAAAGTCATTTCCTACTTTCACATGATGTTAGAATCGGGTTAATTGACCGTCGCCCATGTTCGACGTTGACCCTTTACGCCTGGTGTGGTCCCTCAGCCAACCCTCCTTCTCTCTCAACCGGACTTGAGACCGTCTACGGCGTAGTTTTACTAATTTAGGAGGAGGTAATTACATTAGGTTTATATACCTTTGCTCTCATCTAACACGTCTCTTAATATTGATTGTAGCCAGTACACGTTTGAAGCGGCTAAAGTGGCTTGTGGCAACGTTGCCGGCTTGATTTCATGGACTATTGCGATGGCGCAATTTTATAGTGTGAATAAGGATGTATTACCACTGAAGGCAAATTTGGCGGTAATGCAGGGTAAATACCAAGCAGCCAAGAGAGAATTGGATGCAGCAGAGGCGGAATTGGCTGCCAAAGAGGTATTACTAACTTTTCAAACAAAATAAAATATAAATTTAATAAGTTTCCTCGGCGCTTTCTTAGAAGCGTTACGCTGAAGGTTTACTGAAGTCATTCTTCAGGGTATTTAGTAAGTACAATACACATCAACAGCCTATAATAGTCCACTGAAAGGAGGTTTTGGCCTACTATACCACGCTGGCCAGACGGCTCTTTGCAGTGCTGTTGTCCTGCGTAGTTTGCTCCCTTAGTCGGCTTTTACGACACCCACGGGATGAATAGGGGTGGTGACATTCCGTATTCTTAATCCGTCACCACACGGTACCAAAGTACAATACAATCTGCTAATAAGTTAGAAAATTATACCGAGATCAGTCAATTTATAAGCGACATCCCTTACGTCCCACACGTATCTACAAGCAATTGATTGACAGAAATTGGACCAGTTTTATCTCAGTTTGCAATCTATCTTCTTCCAACTTATCTTTGACGGGGCGGAAAATCCCTTTGAATCACCGGCTCCTTGGGGATATAGGAACCAACAGTATGTGGTGTTTCCACTAAAAACCACCCCGACGGCAAGCCTTAGGCGCCCTGCTCTGGGGAGAACCCGGGCCACGTGATTTCAGGTCCCTCCCGGATCGACACCGCACCTAACTAGGCCCTATCTCAGGAAAAACCAGTGGCTTTGCCCTGCCTATCAGCCTCAGACTATCAAACAAAGTTTTCCTATGTAAGGCCATCTTGACTTGACAAGATTTTATTGCATGAATGTGATCTATTTCCATTTACCATTTAATAGTAATAGTAATCTTTCTTGTAGATCACAGTTAAATCATATAGATGTTATAGTTTCAGTATTTAGCCCGGCTATGTCCCGCCCATTGGGCATAAACAAATAAAAATATAACAATTATTAGAATATTATGTATATATATCTATATTTATGTATATTAAATAATAAAATTTGTTCGAGATATCTATTTTACACTGTCACAGAATTTGTAAACAGGCAATAATAATGTATGTAGATATACAACAATAAAGATGAGAACAACACATCATAACTGGTTTATAGTGTGATGGAGCGGAGACCTGTCGGTCCTGTAATCTTTAACTGTATAATAACATTTATTTACCAACAAGTCATGTAGTTTCTTTTTAAACATACTCGTAGTAATCTCTCGGAGTATTGTAATATATACGCGAAGCTTTACAGAATATACTTTCATGCATCAGATGTGTCTCGTTAGCAACTATGTGCAATTTGTCCTTATGCGTTGACGGTAGTTGAATAACTCAGAATTACTTTTAACAAATAATGCAACCTGCAGAATATATAGACTTCTTCATCTGCCTTTAACAGTTTACTGCTGGACATAGGCCTCTCCTTGAAAAAGAGGTTTTGGCCTAATATATCACGCTGGCCAAGTATAGCACACCGGTAATGTATATACGAGTAAATAGACTTGGCAAGGTTAAAATGTTTAAGTTTTTTAAAATATAATTCACAAGGTGAAATGGTTGGTCTATTGAGGCCCTTTTGTATATTGTTAAGGAGATTGTCAAGGATTAAACTACTTATTAGCAAATTAAAAAATTAATACATTGATCAGTATTTAATGCTCTCTAGCAGTAATGAACCTCAATATGAGTTAATAAGAAATATGCTTCTCTATGTATATTACTTAGTTAAAATAAGTGTTACACCTACACGTGACTTACCGCGGCGCTACTCATCCCTAGTATTTATTTTTACCACAATCCAAAATCACAAAATATTTTTAAATAATTTGAATAGCAAGAATTAGCTGATGTCCAGCGTCAGTTTGATGAAGCCATGGAACTGAAACAAGCTGTTTTGGACGATGCAGCCAGATGCCAGGAGAAAATGGACGCTGCCACTGCTCTCATTAACGGTCTCAGTGGCGAGCGCGTTCGATGGACCGAACAGTCTGCGCTGTTCAAATCAGAAATAGAACGCCTTGTCGGAGATGTATTATTACTGTGTGGGTGAGTTATTCATTATAACAGAAACGTAACAAAGAACCCATAAAGCATTAAAAACCACTAAAGTCATTGGTTGCTTTAAAGTATTGCTTGAGTGTCTGTTATTTAAAAACAAACCGTATGCAGGATTAGATTTTCGTGTCATGTATAATTTTAATAAATAAACTAAAATCTTAATAAGTGACAGTAATGGTTTGGTTAAAAATATTAAATAATATAATTATCACAACACGCTTATTGTGTGTAGCATTTGTTGCACTTACGTGAATCTCAACCATCCAGAAACCCACTGTAATACACAAAAAGTCAACGTGATCAGTCTAGCAGTCTAGAGAGAGTTCTGATATATAATTACATAATTATTACATATATGAAAGGAAAGTAAGTAGGCAGGATACGTTGTGTCCCTACACATTATATATATTTACAGATTTTTATCCTATTCTGGGCCGTTTAATCAAGAATTCCGTTCGCTGATAGTAGCTAACTGGTTAGCAGAATTACTGAGAAGAAAAATACCTGTATCAATGAATTTAAATATAACAGATCAACTTACAGACACTTCTACGGTATGTATGCTTTAGGTTTATGTAAAAACACATAAGTACCTACCTAAAAGTACAAACCATACACATATAAAACGCAATTGAACTGACCACACAATATTTGTCCTGAGTAGGAATCGAATCCACGAACTCCGGCTTAGCAGTCAGGCAGTAAATAAATATCTAAACGATAAATTTGAATAATTAAAACAACATATAATTGGAAAATAATTTTAATAATTTATACTAATAATGTACTATAAAAAATATATATAATAATAACGTACTATAATATAATATTTATTAAATTTAATTAATACGTGAGAAAAAAATAAATACATATGTAGCTACTTAGATCTTTATACTAAAATACATTTAAATTTGCATAATGGATGATTGAATGTTTGCTTTGAGAGAAACTCCTAATTTTGCCCGTGCCCGACAGGGTCCATAACTGTTTCTTTCTAGATTTATAAGACATGCGTATAAACTATGGTGAGCAATAAACGAATTGAATTGAATTGAATTGAATTGAATTGACATATTATTTCTTGTTTACAGATTGGCGAATGGAACTTGTTTGGATTGCCTACGGACGAGTTGTCAATTCAGAATGGTATCATAGTAACCAAGGCTTCTCGTTTTCCTCTTTTAATTGATCCACAGACCCAGGGCAAGATCTGGATCAAAAACATGGAAAAGTTAAATGATCTAATCGTGACGACACTTAATCACAAGTATTTTAGGTACATTCTCATTGAAATATCGACATACTAAGAAATATTAATAGTAGTAGTAATCCCGATAGTTAATATACGTAATTATCTCTACATTATTACCGTCTTCATGTGCAAAATAATATTTTGGTTTCTAAATTCCGTTCTACGTTTCCGTTTGTCTGGACAACTTACGGCTATTGTACCAAGGCTAGAGAAATCGGTACGGATTGAAACGGTCTTAACCTGCTTCAAAGGGCACCCTCCAGCCTCTGCAACAACGGCCACCACTTCCTAAGACGTAGTTGAATCGTCCAGGCGTATGATGCGCAAATCCACACATTTGGTGGATCTGGATACAGGGACGCCGCCCGATACAGGGACCGTTCCAACCACCGCTTGCAGGTTCTCTGCGAGTGCGTATTCCTTCTCGCCACTAGTAGCTCCTGGGATTTCGAGAAGCCGTGAAATGGTGAGGGTAGATTTGCTCGCAAAACTGTGATACCGATGTCAGCCAGCTTGATCTCCGCTTTGGCTTCAGCTCGTGCTTTTTCGTAGCTAAGGCCATGCTCCTCAGCGTAGTGTGATGAGCACCGTGGTTGATCGTGGACCGCGAAGCCTTCCGGTCTCTCTTTCTGCCTTTTTCATTTCGTGCCGCCGTGACTTTTCAGTCTTCTTCTTGGCCCCTGCGGTCTCCCATTCACCTCCAGGTAACCTACTTGGGCTGACTGGCAGATGTGGTGGGCTATTTCAGTCCCATTTGCTGCAGGAATATTTGGCCCTGGATTTCTAGCCCCACGTGCAGTTGTCTTTGTAACCTTTCCCTTTCCACTTGCCTTTATCACCCCAATACTGAAGGTGAAGAGTACCGCACCTGAAGAGCGGTTAGATCCTCCCTTAAATCCACGGTAATGGAAGAGACTGAGGGGAGCCCTCCGGCATTGACCTGTTTTGGTCAGATCCGCAAGATCTGCTTCGTCCTGTGCCTCTTTCTCTGCAAGTTCCGCAGCTTTTTGTGTTGCAGCCAGTTTTCGTCTCGCTGCTGACAATCCCACATATCGACCTGTGGTCGGTGGGTGGCCCCTACCTCGTCAAGCGGTATCAACTTTTCTGCCGGTACCACTTCATTCCGAGGCGGAGTTCGTTTTGTTGACTGTTCCATTTTAGTCCCACAAGTAGTGAGGAAGTATTAGTATATAGGCAGAGCCCTCTATACCGGGAGAGGTGAAAATTTCTAACCCAACTAGAGGGTCCACAGGCACCCTAGCTGGAGGTGCGCTCACAACTGATGCTCCTCGGGAATCAGAAGCGTGATTTGTCAGTCATTAATCTTCTGGCCGCATACCAGAACTTAATATTCAGATTTTTTTGTAGTGAGGTTTATTCGTGCAGTTAGCCAAGGCAGGCAGGTTCAGGCAGTTAAGATCTTGGGTCCCAGTGTCCAGTTAGAAACATGATCATAACCCACACCTACTAGGATTACCATCAAGCGGCGGAGGCAGCAAAAGCTAATTCTTAAGCTACCTTCTCAGAGGCAGGGCAAGCGCTTACCGAGCTCGCCTTGGTTCCTCTTCCCCAGATGACCTATTTGCGCCTCGAATCTACGTAATCTACGTCAGACTCCATCGGGCATCCCTTTTAGCCTGGAGTCTCCTTCTGGGTCAATCCGGCACGAGTGGCTCCAGCGGCAAAGCCCCAGATATCATTGACCCACGCAAGCCCCCCACGACTACAACGTGGGGATATAGTTGGACGGAGGGAGGAACTGTCTCAGTACATTTGAAAGCCTTTAACCACTTGACTATCGTTGGTCAAGTATACTTGCCGGGTATACTTGTGATTACATGTGCCAAGTAGTTATTCATTTCACTCATAATTAACGAATATCATACACGACTGTTTTCTTCCTATTAAAACTAAACAGGATAGTGCAAGACAGTCTTATGGTAATGTTTTTTTTTTCAGAAATCACGTGGAAGATTGTGTCTCATTAGGCAGGGCTATGTTAATAGAAGACGTTGCCGAGGAATTAGATCCAGTGCTTGATAATATACTAGAAAAAAATTATATCAAAATTGGATCATCATACAAAGTATGTACCTTAAATCTAACTTGTTTTAAGATTGGTAAAGTATATTATAATTAAATTTGAACATTCAAAAGAATAATTGTATTTTCAAATAAAAATTTAGTTCGTTATTTTTATCTAAATAAAACTTTAAGGTGAAATTAGGTGACAAAGAGATAGATGTGATGGCTGGCCATAAAATATATATAACAACAAAACTACCCAACCCGGCATATACACCTGAGATTTCAGCTCGAACTTCCATAATAGACTTTACTGTAACAATGCAAGGTAAGATGTTTTAAAATCCTTTCACGTTTACCAGAAAATACTATCTATAAGAAATACTTGTTCTAAAACTTACAGACAGACATATGTTTTGTATATTATATATTATCTGTATATGTATTCAATATTTGTATATGAATTGGTGGTGCAGTTGTAGCGTGTGCGACTGATATGCTGAAGTCTTGGGTCTGAGTCCTGCGTCGGACCAAATGTCTGTATGATCTGCAAATATTTGCTTCAGAGTTTGGGTGTTTTCTATGTACAATAAGTATTTATTTACCAAAAAAGTATTTAAGTATTCTATCAGTCAATCTCGCTTACATAGTTTTGACATTTAGTTTTTTGACGTATTCGTAGTAGATGTTTTGGCAATTGTTATGAATTCAAATTCGATCGAAAATCGCATTAAAATCCACTATGAAAATGGTGGTTCTGTTCAAGTTACATTTCGTAAAATTCGTGATATTTTCGGACAACATAATCGTCCTTCTGACACCGCTATTAAGAATTTGGTCGCTAAATTTGAGCCGATACGATCTTTACAAAATGTGCCAACACCAATGCGTGTTCGACCGCCTCGTTCAACTGAAAACATCGCAGGTGTGAGCCACAGTGTTGAAGAAGATCAAAATTTGTCTATTCCTCGTCGTTCTCAACAATTGGGGTTATCCAAAACCACCACATGGCGAATTTTGCGTAAAGATTTGGCTTTGAAGCCTTACAAGGTTCAACTGATGCAGGAATTGAATCTGACCGACCATTCACATCGCCGTAGATTTGCTCAATCATTTAGGAACAACCCGCTGGTTTCTCTGAAAAAATATTTTTTCAGACGAAGCCCATTTTCACTTGTCAGGGTATGTCAACAAGCAAAATTACCGCATTTGGGCTTATGAAAATCCAAGAGCAATTATTGAGAAGCCTTTGCATGCTCAACGTGTCACTGTATGGTGCGCTATGTGGTCTGGAGCTGTTTTTTTCGAAGATGAGGCTGTAAATGCGGTAACGGTCAATGGATCACGCTATCGCGAGATGTTAACAACTCAATTTTGCCTATTATTGATGACGTTGATATCACAGACATGTGGTTTCAACAAGACGGTTCGACATGTCACACAGCCAATGAAACAATCAATTTATTGCAAACGAAATTTCCCGATCGCATAATTTTACGATATTCAGCGTTTAAGTGGCCAGCCAGATCGTGTGATTTAACACCACTGGATTATTTTTTGTGGGGCTATGTTAAGGACAGAGTCTATACGGAGCCAATCGAATAGATTGCAGCCTTAGAATTGTAAATGCGTGATGTGATTAACGAAATAGACCCGCCATTTTGCCAAAAAGTGATAAAAACATTGATGAAAGAATCGACATCTGTCAGCGTGCTCGTGGTGGACATTTGCCTGATATCATTTTTCATTTATAATTGCCAAACTTTTCTCTTCATAATACAATGAAAATTTGAATCATCTTCATCTTAATTCTTTGTTTTATTTTGTTTTTGTATCCCCTATTCTGGGTGGTCAGTACCCCCTGTGGAACAGTTCAAAGCTCAGCTCGGCCTCGCGGACTGTAAATACATACATTTCCTCTCATTTAGACATAATGCCGTGTGTCTACCTTATTACCTGCTTCGGTCGTACAAACCGGATTGTACACTCATCCTTATATATATATATATATATAACCATGAGTGTATATATATATATATACATTAAATTTAAATATGTACATACACGTAACAATGTGTAGGATTGGAAGACCAACTGCTCGGTCGTGTAATTTTGACCGAAAAAGCTGAGATGGAAGCAGAGCGTACTCAACTTATAATGGACGTTACTGCTAACCGTCGTAAGATGCAGGAGTTAGAAGCTAATCTTTTACATAAACTGACCACTATACAAGGTTCGCTTGTAGAAGATGTTACTCTGATTCAAGTGCTTAATGTTACCAAAGCTACAGCTACGGAAGTAAGTATCAAAATACGTGTTTTAGGAACTATGTTAATTATATTATTAGTTAGCATTTAGTTAAAAACTTTAGGTACAGTGCTCGTTAATTTAGATTTTCATCATCAATCAAGTCAAGTCTCTCAAAATTCGTGCTTTTTTCTTGTAAAAGTACTTGTTGCACTTGTGTAAGCAAAATTTTATGTTTCTGTTAAATAGTTCATGTACCCATATAATAGTGGTTATGGTATGATATTGCCGTAAAATTCATTCATTGAAAATTCATCATTCTATTTTCGACTTTCGATAGATTTTATTAAGATGGATACTTCGAAAATCCGAATCATTTTTGAATAAAAGTTCCGACGCGGAACTAACGCGGCAGAAACGGCTCGCAATATTAACGCTGTGTTTGGAAAGGAGAATGAACGCACCGTGCGTTTTTGGTTTAAACGCTTTCGTAATACAAACTTGAAACCACGTGGAAGCCTACACTGGTAAATAACGCTGAATTGAAGGAGATGGTGGCAGCCGATCCGAGGATCCGATCCATTACCCTACCTACAATATTGACTCACTGCATTAAATAAAAAAATGAGTATTGGGTACCTCATGATTTGACTAATCTGCAGAAAGAAATGCGTATTGACACTTGCGTGTTGCCTTGTTACTGTACAGAGCTTCGAACAATGATGGCGAAACTGGCAGTGAAACAGCCCCGACTGAATCGATCTTCACCAGTATTGCTACACGATAACGCAAGATCTAACACTGCACGAGAAACCGTTGTAACTGTACAGGAGTTGCAGTTAGAAACTATACGTCATCCTCCGTCCTGGCCAGACCTTGCTACAACCGACTACAATTTTTTCGTGATTTGGACAATTTTCGTGATAAAAAAATGTTCCAGAAGGCAGTACAAAATCTTTTCACACAGTTTGTCGAATCTAGATCCCCAGAGTTCTATCGCAAAGGCATACATGAACTTCTGTTTAGATGGCAGCAATGTATAAATATTTTGATTAAATAAATACGAGTGTTAAATCTTAGAAAATCACGAGTTTCAATTTTTCAGTACGAATCGGCAATTTCATACTTTAACCCCTAATATAATATTCGTTTTGTAACACGGTTTTGCTCTCGTAATAGTTAGTAATCATATGTCGCAAAAACAGTAATCCTTTATGGATGAAAGATACCTTATGTGCTTTTCGGTAAAGTAGCTAAGTATTTATAATAGTAAGTGGACATTGAATATAGATTTGTTGGAATAACTTCTTTTCTATTGATACCAGGTGCGAGAAAAATTGGATGTTGCAAAAGAAACTGAGATTAAAATCAATTTGGCTCGTGAAGAGTTCCGACCAGTGGCGACGCGTGGCTCCGTGTTATATTTCCTGGTTTGCAATATGTCGCTCGTCTGCAACATGTACCAGACTTCGTTAGCGCAGTTTCTAGAACGTTTTGATATATCCATGGAACGATCCACTCCGAGCCCGATTACTTCTAGAAGGATTGGATTCATTATAGATTACTTGGTAATACCTAATCTATTTCTTCGCCTAACTAGGGAAATATATTTTTTGCATGCTGTTTTTTTTTAACAAGACACTGACCTTTTTTTGTATGTATGGCCACCACCCAATCGGGGTTTGTGTTAGAGCGGTGTTTCGGAATGGAACCGACTAAAACCACACCTTAAAACAATAGGCTAACGTCCTACAATAAATTAGCATCAGTATCTTCATTGTATAATACTAATGATATAAACTGACCGTTTAACTAACCAGCTCAAAAAACAGTAAATATCATTTAACTTTTGCAAAATTATGACAGTAACGGTTCATTTAAAAAAATATTGTTTCAATTGTTCAATTTGTCTTAAACTCCATACCTATCTCGCAATTAAAATCAGAATTCGTTCCTAATCCAATTCTTATCTAATTATAATTCTTATGATCTTTGCCAGACTTTCGACGTATTTAAATTTATTTGTCGAGGCTTTTACGAGAAGCACAAGTATCTGTTTGTCGTGTTGTTGACGTTGAAGATAGACCTGCAGAGAGAATATATATCATTCGACGAATTTCAGAATTTTATTAAAGGTTTTTTTTTTGTTTTTATTATGTAGCACCGTTACCTATTTCTATTTCCTAATTATTTTTAATTTATAATTTTTATTCATAATTTACCTAATTAAGCTGTCTGACTTTGGAATGCGTTGCCAATCGCCTAGTATAATATAAAACCTGCCAAAACTTTACCTATCTTTAAGAAAATAGTCAAAGAACATTACATACTAGAATAAAATATGTATATAATTGCTAGGACTGACTGTATATAATTTCAATTACGTTTATTATTTACTTTTATTGCAATCTAATTCTGTTGCAATTTTTTTATGATTATTTTACGTTTTTCACACTGAAACTACCCACGAGTTTGTTCTATTCTATAAGAGTGATAAGGAAACATTATGTCTCAAAATCAAGGAACAGTTAAAGGAGATTAGAAAGAAAGTATTTCCTGATTACTACTAGAACGCGTGACGCCGTGTCCCACTCCATTTCACTACAAGCAAGAGCATTGGCTCTTGCTAGTAGTGGATTGTTGGCCTAGACTCCGCAATGCGCGATTGTAGGCCAACAACGCGTAGGTGCATAGCTCATTGACGCCTGGCGTGCACCATTTGCGATGGACGTGGAAGTAATTAAGGCCACGGCTAAATAGCACGACTTAATAAATATTTGTATGCTTCTCTAGCACCAGAACGGATTGTATCGTTTTTTTTTAATGCAACCGAAATGTTAAATGTTAATTAATGTTTAATGAATCTTTTTTTATGTTTAAAAAAAGGGTTTTGAAGGGAGTTTGCAATTCTATTTGATGCACCATTGACCTGAAAACATTAATACGTATAGTTTTAACGGGGCCCAAACAAGGGATCCGAATTACAACCTATACTAAAACATTAAATATTTTAATATTGATATTACAAAGATATATTATTATTATAAATTAATTAAAAAATAACTACCTAACTACCTATTAGCAGAACACATAATGGAGCTTAGCCATACTTATATTAAAAAGTGAGTTTGTTTGTTATTGTTGATATAAAATTTACTCCTAGCAATGTGCTGTCAGCGGTCGGTGGTGAACTAAACAATAGGCGATTGTGTAAACACCACAGGTCAACCTACGCCAGGATTCCTCTGAAGTCTGACCAAAGAACTGATAACATGCCGAATGTGCGTCAAGGTGGCCAAACGTCACCCGATGTATAGAATTGCATCGGCCCAAGTCAATCCAATGTGTTCTGGGCCCTTGAACTGTTTTGTGGTCAAAATAATATGTTGTATAATAAACAATGGCGCTCTAAACGATCAATCGTGGTATTGAATGATTGAATGATGGCTGATTTATTTTTTTGATGATTTGACGAAGATTTATTCCTATGCTTTAGAGAATGTATATATTATTGTTATAAATGCCTATGGAAAACGTAAATTAAATATTTTATCTATCTAGATTAGCTGAACATGACATATGTCATGTTCTTCAGCTGAAAAAAAAATATAGCTGAAAATTAAAACTAACCTTAAAATGACTGCTTTAGGTGGCGCTGCACTGGATCTTAATGCTTGTCCGCCCAAACCATTCAAGTGGGTTACTGACATGTCATGGCTTAATTAACTAACCTTAAAATGACTGCTTTAGGTGGCGCTGCACTGGATCTTAATGCTTGTCCGCCCAAACCATTCAAGTGGGTTACTGACATGTCATGGCTTAATTTAGTGCAACTATCTACCTTACGTCAGTACAGCAACATACTCAGTCAAGTTTGTAATAACGAAAGAGGCTGGAAATCATGGTAAGTAAAAGCGGCACCAATGCTTTTGTTGTAGGTCTCTGAATGTATATATTATGTGTAAATATAGGTACCTATTAGTAGACCCTTTGCTCTTACTACATTAATGGGTAATATGAAAGTAGAATCAGAAACTGTTAAACTCGGCAGATGACCGCAAGTTTTTAAAAACAAATATTAGTATTCCTCAATCGGGAATTGAGAGAAGCAATTTGGTTACGCCACGACAATGTACTATCAATTATAATGCCCAAATACGTACATAGCATATGTAATTTTGTCCAGTTTCCAGTACCATGGTCACACCTGTAGGCAATGAGACCGAAAGACGAGGGGGGCTGTGATGTTGTTCTGGGTCCAAAAGTTATAAAAGCAGTTTTTTGTAGATTTAGTATTAATAAATTATTTGCCAACCAATTTCTAATAATTTTTAGAGCTGATTCTGAATTTTGTCCAGTTTGAAAGATGGACGTGTAGTGTGGTATCATCGGCATATGTAATAATTTTAGAGTGTGGCAGGTGCAGCTTGCACAGATCGTTTATGTACAGCAAAAATAAAGTGGGCCCGAGCACACTACCCCTGGGTACGCTATAATTTAGGAATTCTGCTTTACTCACAAATTTACCAATTTTTACGATCTGCGAACTGCGATCTTTGAACTCCTCACCATACCTTGCAGAATCAATTTTAAAAGAGAATGTTAGAAGAATTGATAGTGAATTTAAGTTCCAATATGTGTCCCCCTTTGAAATTATTAAAGCCTTTAACACTATTAATGTTAAAAAAACAACCGACCTATGGGGAAATTCTGTTTTAATTACTAAGACAATTATATCTCTTGTGGCTAATCAATCGTCATTTACATTTAATCAATGTGTTGATAGTGGTGTATTTCCTGATCTTATGAAGTCTAGTAAAATTATTCCCTTATTCAAATCTGGTAGTACATCTGACCCAACTAATTTTAGACCTATCTCAGTACTACCAGTATTTAGTAAAATTTTTGAAAAAATTATGTATGATCAATTGCACAGTTTTTTTAATAATAATAATTTATTGCACAATAGACAATTTGGTTTTACAAGGGGTCGCTCCACAACTGATGCTAGTGTTGAGCTAGTAAAACATATATTTGATGCCTGGGAGGATGCCCACGATTCTCTAGGTATCTTTTGCGATTTATCTAAGGCTTTTGATTGTGTTGTTCATGAAACGCTGATCAGGAAATTACAGCACTATGGTATCAAAAATAAAGCCCTGGAACTACTTGCCTCATATCTATGTAATAGGATTCAAAAAGTTGATATTAATGGTGAGCGGTCTCCAGGCTCTGTGATAGAAATGGGCGTTCCACAGGGTTCTATTCTCGGCCCTTTTTTGTTTTTAGTATACATTAACGACTTACCTCACTTTGTCAAGGACAATCTCGAGATTGTGTTGTTTGCAGATGATACATCACTATTATTTAGACTAAAACGGAAACTTTCTGATTTCACATTTGTAAACAGCGCCATTTCGAAAGTGGTTCATTGGTTTGATGTCAACAATTTACTATTAAATGAACAAAAAACTAAGTGTATACGTTTCACTATGCCAAACGTCAAGCCAGTGAAAACTACTGTGATAATTAAGGATGTCGGGCTGGACCTTGTGGACACTACGACATTTTTAGGTATAACACTAGATGCTAAGCTACAGTGGGGCCCACATATTGATAAATTGTCGAGTAGACTCAGCTCAGCAGCATACGCAGTAAGGAAAATCCGAGAGTTGACTGATGTTGATACAGCACGACTTGTTTACTTCAGTTACTTTCATAGCATAATGTCGTGCGGTATTCTGCTGTGGGGGAATGCTGCCGACATTCAAACCATTTTTGTGCTGCAAAAGAGAGCTATTCGAGCACTTTATAATTTAGGCAATCGTTGTTCATTGAGGCAGAAATTTTATATTTATGAAAATGTAATATATGTTCACAAAAATAAAGATAGCTTTTTGAAAAAAAGTGATGTACATGCCATAAATACCAGAAATTAAAATAAATTTGTTGTACCCGCCTCTAGGCTCCAAAAGATAAACAAGTCTTACAATAAATGTCAATGTGTCCGATTTTATAATAAAATCCCAAATAATATTCAGGAGTTGAGTATTAACAAATTTAAATCCGCAATAAAACGTGGCTTGTGCCAGAGGGCCTACTACTCGATTGTGGATTACATGGAGGACAAGAATGCTTGGGATTAATTAGCGCAGGCTATTTCTTTCTTAAGTAAAAATGTGGTGTGGCTAGTATGTTTTTTATTATTTTTTCTATTTTTTATGTTTCACTTCATTTTCTCTTGTATTCGTTTGTTCTTCTTAATCTTGTTTTCTCTTCGTTGTTTTTTCACCTTTAAGTCCTTAATAACGGACATACTAGCACACATCAAAACAATGTTGTGATATATTTAATAGTGCCATTGTATCTACTTGTGAATTGCAAAAGAGTGGCCATGAGTTTGTTTGCCCTTTCTTCTCATAAGGCTCAACCCCTTGGAAACGGGCGGTTGTAGATCGGCACAGGCATATCATAGATTTTGTATGGGTTTGATTTTGTTAAATTTATTTGGTTACTATTTGACAAAACAGAGATTGTTGCTTTTGTGTGTGTTGATCTATGACTTTAGAGTCTACATGGAAGACGATTTCAAACAATTTTGAAAATTTTATGAAATAAAGAAAGTTTGAGTTTGAGTTTGAGAACGTTCACTTTACACCAAAAATTTAAAGAGGTGCTTCTCTGATGCCATTCTAGTTTTCTAAGAGAGAATCTGAGACAGTCTTAGAAAGGTCTAGGAAAATAGCTATTGTTTTGAAGTTCCTCTTAAAATTCTTTGCTACAGTACTAGTTAGATCAGTGACAACATCTTCAGTACTTTTACCAGGTCTAAATCCTGTTCTAAATTATTACAAACGTTACACACCCACCTCCGTAACGGTATGTTTCTGTGGATAAAATCCCAAATCCTATTCTATAGTGCTGACACCTATGCATATTTTATTACGATTTGTTGAGTAGTTAAAATGTAAAATGTCATGACATGTTGCATTGCATGTTTAAATTACACTCGAAAGAAATATTGTTCCGGTATGTATTACATACCTACTACATAGACCTACATTTACATTGTATTTCAGGTTTGATAAAGAAGCGCCTGAGGAAGAGACAATGCCGGACGGTTACAACAACATGGATGTGTTCAGAAAATTATTGATGGTACGCGCATGGTGTCCAGACAGAACACTGGCACAGAGCTTGTAAGTTTATTGTATATTGGCGTTTGAAGTCTTAAATTTCGACTTTTCTGAAAATCAAGCTAATTTTATTCCGGGGCAATACCTCGGAGCCAGTAAGAGCTAATAAGTAATAAATATAGTAACAATATTAACTTGACTAATCAGACTGCTGAGAAACATACTTATATATATATATATATATCTATCTAAATAGATATATCATATTAAAAAAAAAAAAACAATACACCTAGGCACAACAAATGATCGTGCTCATCACACAATGGGTGGGAATCGAACTCACGACCTTTAGCTTAGTAGTCAGGGTTACTAACCATAAACCAATACGATAATGTTTTCAAGGAGTAGTGCAAAAAAAAAATGATATTTCAAAATAAAATGGATTGTTTTCAATTTATTGTCATTTTTGTAAGCTGTGTTTAAGTTAAGTTTGCAAAAATATTTTGATTTAATAAGCTTTGGTTTTGATTTTGATCAACTCGATAGTTCGAAATGGTATTTATTGCCAGTTGTATGCTTTACTCGTATAAATGATTGAACACTACAATAGTTTGAAACATAGTGGTGATAACAAAGGTTATTTAAATTTTTATATACATTTTTGTGGATGATAATGTGATGTATAATAATAATTTAATGTATGATCAGGATCATTTACAAAAAAAAGTATATACATAAGTATTTTATCAGCCAATCTAGCTTTCATAGTACAATATCTACTTAGTTTTAAAACTGGGTAGGGTTTTTTTAATGATAGAGGGGGTAGACGAGCAGACGGATCACCTGATTGAAAGTGACCATCGCAGCCAATGAACGTCTGCAACTCAGGAGTTACAAAGGCCTTAGGAAGGGGTACGCTCTTTTCTAAGGTTTGGAGGTCCTATCGGTCCAGAAATACCGCAGACGATAATCCGTTCCACAGATTGGTTATGCGAGGTAATAAGTGTGTGGGTTGTGTGTGTGTCAGATTTCCGAAAATATTAATATTATATTTTTTCAAAGTACAGTAGTAATTATTTATTTCATTCAAAATACTGATAAATTCATTAAAATATTCATCAATCAATTTAGTAAATACGATTTTTCCAAAATGGCAACAATTATTTCTCTATCACCGGCTGTCACATCCACATAACAGTGAATAAACTAGAAATGCAATGTAGGCGGTGCAATGTAGGAGTTATGAACAAGCGTGCATAATTCAGCTCTCTACAACTTCCCGAACGGGCGTTACCAATTTTCCAAGTTTTGCAAAAAAAAACCTGCTTTTTTTACAAATTTCAGGTGATCTGATGGTTTTACTCTACGGGGGTGCATTCTATTTGTTTTTTTATTGCACACAATTGTTACATTCAGCTTTTTATTATAGAAGCTTTAGTTTTCACTCCAGACGCGAAAAACATGTTTGTACCATTTTTGACACTTTTTTGGCATCTTAGCTGACTATATTTTGTTATAATTTTTATTGCAATCGATTCCTGATAGTTAAATCTTTAATAAAAAGAATGTTTCGTTCCAATAGGAATTTTTTGCTAATTCCTCCTGTCTACTTAATTTGAACGGTGTAAGGATAACCTTCTAAGTAACTAAGTATAAACTTATATTCAATATATTCAATAAATCCTGTGGGGCGAATTAGCGTCAACTTTTTTACACGTTTTATATTAGCTTCACTCGTATGTTTGTTTGTATGTTTGTAACCGACTCCTTTGGGCGTGATTTTGACTGACTTTAAACGGTCAGAATTCGTTTAAACTGTGTAGGTATATCGAGGACCGATGACAATACACTAATTTAAATAAAAAATTAATAAAATTATAGTTTTAAAAAACTAAAAAACACGCTTTCTATAGAAAACCAAACTAAAAAATAGAAAATAAATAAAAATAAAAGCGTGGGGTGCTTTTTACAATTGACAACAGGCACCCAACGCTTTTTTTCAAATTTATTTTCTATTTTTTAGTTTGGTTTTCTATAGAAAGCGTGTTTTTTAGTTTTTTTAAACTATATTTTTTTATGTGTGTAAAATATTATTTATCGTTTATGGGTGCGTCTAGGCGAACAACAATAACAACGGAACTCTTCTGATTCACCGTTGATCACACTTCTAATGTTTATTTACTGTTCTGTGGTCACGTCTAAAATGCCTATCAATGTTTACTAATAGGTTATTTTAGTTTTTATTTGTCGTATTGCTGACGGCAGGCATGATTACATTTATATTAGTATTAAAATTAATTAATTATTTATTATTATTAATTTATTTTGTAATTTAATGTAGACCATAACCATTTAAAGTTCAATAAATTTGTTCTTCGGGATGACATTTTGTACAACATAATTACCTTATATCTATAAAAGTGTTTTTATACTCGTAAATGATAGATATATAATATATGATATTAGATATAGAATTCATATTTATCTTTCCAACAAACTTTATTTCATTAGCGTTCACTACAGGCCGAATTTATATGGAAGGAACATCTCCTTTCATCATTTTTTTTTTCAGAGCCTTAAGGAAAATAATAAATAAACAAAATTGCGAATCTGCGTAAACCAATGCATCAGACAGCATCACATTGGACCTACTTTGTACCTACGAAAAGTCACACTTTGTAGTTTCAATTCAAATCTGTCCTTCAATATTATTCTCAATTCGCATATTTTAAATTCCAAACCAATATTTCTGACGTGAAACATCTAAAGCGGAATGAGACGCATTAGATGTCTCAAATCGCGTATGCCGTGGCGACGCGTCCCTATTTGCAAGTGACTCTGATCATTATTTCTACAAAATAATTTCGAGGTTTTACATCTACCATACGTCCGGCGACCGCATGCGATGGCATCCCCTAAAACCCCGAGATCTGAAGGAATTTTGCACCCCTTCACCAAAAGCAAATAAAAACCAGCAAATAATATCACTAACAAAATTTCACTGATATTATTTGCCAGACAACAGAGGACAGACCTTGAAGTTTACTACACGAAACATTATTAAAATGAAAGAACATCAAGTTATTTCATTTTAATAGAAGCAAATATAATGTTTTTATTTATTTTGCAGAAAATATGTAATGTCTTCCATGGGAGCTCGATATTCTGAAGCTGTTATTGTTAATTACGAGGTAACTAGTGTTTTTAATTTTTATCGGCTTACTTTGAAATATTATGTAATAAATTCTGCGTAGTCATAATTAAATAATTGCTAATTTGTATTCCACATCTACTGACACAACATTTACTAGATGTTATTCTTATTTATTCAATTACAGCAATTAGTAATGGAGTCCCGTCCTCTCGTTCCGCTAATAGGCTTTCTGGCTATGGGATCGGATCCTACTCCATCTATCGAGGTAACTGCTAAACGTTTGGAGAACCTTTGCCAGTCTATATCTATGGGGCAAGGTCAGGAGGTACATGCAAGGAAACTTATTGAACGTGGTCTCAAGGAGGTAAAGACTCTCTCCACTTAGTGACAACACTTGTAGATAAAACTATGGTTTTAAATATTTTGTTTGTTTAGGGGTTATGGGTGTTACTACAAAACTGTCACTTGGGCCTGGAATACATGGTCGAGGTTATGGAGCAGTTTGCTGAACTTGAGAAAGATCCGTCCAAAGTGCATCCTCTGTTCAGGTAAGCTGATTTCCATAGTTTAAGAATGCTGAAATACTGTCAGTAATTCGTCTCGTCTTAGGTTTAAATAAAACCTAAAAATGAGTAGTAACCAGTAACCTCCAGAAGAGGGTAGGTTACCCAGTAACGTTATAAGGATATAATTTCTTAATATAATTAAATAATTCTAATATAGTATAATGGTATGCAATATGTGTATAACTTTAGTTATAAGAATCGTTATATAAATTCTTTGTAGTAGTAAAATAGTAGAAGCTCTTATTCGTGCAAGGAAATAATTTATCAGGCAATGAAGACACAAATCTTCATGATTTTTTCTTATTTGTTACTGTTTGCACGATTATATTGAGCGTGAACATAAAACGAAAATGATAAACGATACATGTGGTTAGGTTGTGTGATTAATCTTCGAATTAATAGAGGGAGTAATAGAAAATATATATTTTTTTATTTATTTTTTTTAAAAAAGATTAATGGCATGCGTAATTATTTTCAATCAAAAATTTTATGATTTAAGTGTATTTTTTAAGTAATGAAATTTCATTTGACAAAGTGACAAAGTGCTAAAAACCATTTTTCAATAAGACGGTCTTATTTTTTATTGAAACGAAAAGTATTTATAATAATAAAATTCTATAGTAGTCCGGTCAAATTGGACAGAAATAGTGATAAGGTTACAAAAAATCCCGAAACTGCGGTAAATCGATTCCACGAAACGATTGATAAGTAGTCGGGGTGCCAAGGTCTTCATTTCGTCTTCTGTATGGTGTCAATTGACTAAATTGAGAAACATGAAAAGTGCTTTTTATGTCAATAACAATAAAATTTATTGTTAAAAAAATTGACTTGTATATAGTTAATGTTATTAACTTAAATTATATTGATTCCAATTGGTTTCATCAAGATCTTTTCGGCGACAGGATTTACAGCGTTCTAAACTTTCGAATTAAGGCGAGGTTGCAGCGATTTTGCACTTTTTTGAAGAGAAATAAATACCCTAATATGCATTTATTGTGCATAAAAATAAATATTTTTAAAAATTAAACATAAAATCTAGAGATCTGTGAAGATGGAAACATGATTTATGGAATTTGGCTCGATAAAAAAAAATCACAAACATAGCACTAACTCACGATTTCAAATAGTAATTGTTGTAAAATGCCACCATGGATTCACGTAAAAATTATACCAAAAAATAAAGCTTATTTTTTTTTAGGGATTTGTAAGGATACATTTTCACATAGTTGTACTTATAAAAAAAGGAACCAAAAAATATGTTTTTGCGCTTGCTTACGGCGGCGAAGTTCGCCTGTCAGAGCTCGCTGAGCCTTGTTTGAGGTCGGACGCACGTCATTTTGCTCCATGAAATTCCCCCACGCAAATACGTAAACTTCGTTTTCACAGAGCTTCAACAGAATACTTATAAGTTAATTTTAATATAATTATTCCTTCTATTTTATTAGTAAATTATTTCCGTCTACAATGTTTATAAAACACAAAAATGGTAAAATTTTACAAACACATAAGTTTCACTGAGCCACAGTCTAAAAGATTCAGTATGCATGTGAGTACGGTAAATAAACAGTATTCATTGGTAGTATAGAAAGAAGGTAATCAGAAAATGTTATTAGAAATCTCTAATTTTGGTATAGTCAGGCACATTTAAATTATGTGGAATTCAACAGTAATATAAGTTTATTTACTGTTATTTTGCAGCACTTCGATCAGACAAAGCATATTCACAGGCGTGGTTGAGACCCAACAGAAATCAATTTCTATTGAGCATAGTACTACGTTAGTTTTTGTATTTATATAAATGGAATATCTGTTTTTTTTTTTAGTTTTGTCGTGTAAAACTAGACAATGACACTATTCTCAGTGAACAAGAAAACTTTCTTAGGCGCTGCTGCTATTATTGGCAGAAAAACAGGTGCGGTCTTGTACATGGGTGTAAAAAATAAATACTGTTTGGTTTGTAGCCGGGCTAGTAAAAATAACATAACGCCTCCAGAACATAAATGCTTCAAAAACTTTGATGGTCATCTACCTCTATGAAAGCAGATATAATTGCGGAGGATTTTAAAACATCTGTTGCTATGTACGGAGTAATATATCAAAGTCTTATAGCAGATGGTGAATCTTCCACATATGTAAAAATTTTAAAGGTGAAACCCTATAAAACACAGAATTTCACTGTTGAAAAAATAGAATTTCCCAATCATATTTTACGAATTTTTTGTAAAAAGAGGCGGAACCTTGCCAAAGAGACAATTTTTTTCTAGTTGTATAGAAAAACTTTAAAGAACCAATAAATAATGGCTATGAGAAAATTAATTATTCGGTTGAAAAAATATCACCACCAGTTTGATGTTCCGAAAAACGATGCCGTCTCGGTACTTCTTAAAGATATAACATATTCAGTTGAATACGCTTACGGAGATCATAGAATGTGCCATGATTACAACTGTGAGCATGATGGAATAAAAGGTGACATTAGGCAAAAAACGGAATAGTACATTTTTATTTATACTGAATGCCATTGTTGCAACTGTAGCTGGGAAATCAAGAAGTTTAATTGAAAATGTTGAAACCAACACGGTCAAAAGATTTAATAATGTTATAGCTAAATTTGTCGGTGGGAAAAAAAATTAATTTTGCTCTCAGATGCGGGTACCAAGGAAGATGTGCAGTAGCAGTCGTATCTTTTATCAGGAATGCCGCCATTTCAGCTGAGCAAAAAAAAATGTTAAATAGAAGTCCTTCAAGAAGAGTTTTAAAGTACATCGAAAAAAAAGGGCCCATAAACGTAAATTGGATTTGGAACATCCAGTAAAAAAGATACGTAGATTTCAAAACGCTAATAACGACCTATAACACGACTATGGCCAAGCTAGGTCGGGCACCAGATATGTCAATGTTTGTTTTGGAGCGAAGGAAAGCTAGTTATTTAAACAATTTAATCAATCTTACAGCAGACAGAGATCATATTGAAAGATCGATCGTCCTACAAAGGGACTCGAGTGAGTGGCTTGAAATAAGAAAAAAAAATAACAGCTTCGAATTTAGAAAATATTTGCAAGAAGAAACACTCTACGGATACATCTTCTTTGGTAAAATATATTTTGTACAAAAAGAATTTGTCGCAAGTGACCTCGGTAGCTCATGGGATTGAAAATGAAAAGCAAGCCATACAACAAATTCAGCAAGAAAACCAATTTAAAATTTAAGCATGTGGACTTTTTATTGATAAGCAATACCCATTTATTAGAGCTACACCTGATGGCTTGATTGGGAATGATATGTTGGTTGAAGTGAAATGCTCATTAGTTGATGTCAAAGAAGGATTGCAGCAAGAACTAGAAAATAATAAAATTCAGCTGCTCCGCTACAAAAAAAAATTGATAACTGGTTTCATCAAATTCAAGGTCAGTTACATGTCACAGGCCATTGAAAATGTCTTTTTGATTTGTGGGTATCATAATATGAACCAGTGTTTATACAATATATTGAAAAAGACGACGAATTCTGAAAAGAAAAAAATGGAACCAAGGTTGGTTAAATTTTATCTGTAATGAAACGCATTATTGTAAGCTAACTATGCTGTGCGAATAGGAACGCCCGCTTGCCTTTTGCGCTTAGGCATGATTGATATAAAACTTAAGAAAGTTTAGAATAAAACCTCCGCCTCAATCATCATCTTTTATTAAAGTTATGTGAATTATTCAACTTATGTTGTGTGTATTTTTAATTAAAGCCTGTATTATGGTACCCAATCTGCTGATAAACTCATGAAGTAAGAAAAATTTGTAGAATAAGGTATTAAAAGAAAACGACGGGTTGCACTCCGGGAGTGCCGGCAGAAGTGAAAACTTTAATATTAACGTTGTGCATTTTTGATATTTTGGAATGGTTAGGGTATAATTTTGCATGAATTGTTTTAATTATCAGTATAAAAGTACTATCATTTATGTGGTAGAATACAATATTTATTTATTGCGCTATCGTACACTAACATGACAATTTATATTACATTAAAAAGTTTATCTCTCAGAAAAACGAACGTTCGTGCAAGCGCCCTGCGCCGCCTAAACGAAACAGCAGGCGCAGGCATACAGTTGGGGCTTCCTTTCTAGGGTATACCTGGTTCCCCGGCTATTAGTACCCGAGACGGCGTGCGGTTTTAGTCGGTTCGCGTCTGACATGCCACTGACAGGTGGTATCCGAGGGGATTTCCGCACGGAAAAAAAAAGGCGCAGGCATACATTTTCGCCACGCCTTAGAAAGAGAGGGGGATACTTCCTCTCCTACGCTGCGCCGACTGTCTACTCTCCATCCTTCTTACGAATTTTCAATCAGGTCACGTGTCCTGACGCGAGTTTAACATTTATTACCCATTACAAAAAAAGTGTACAACACCGCTAAAGAAGTTTTCTCTTCAAAAACATCTATTGTTTATGAGATTTTGAGTAAACAAATTATATATGTAGGAAGTAATGACCTAATATCCTATAACTAATAATTAATAAACCTTAGTTCGCCTGTTTAAACGGTCATTTAATTTCAATATTTTTTTAATTTCGTGTATACCTATTTTAGTAGAAAGCTAACACACAGGTGAATAACAAAAGTTTAAAAGTGCTAAAGCCAATTAGAATTATATACGTCAAACATGATATTCTTTTCTAACTACTGCATTACGAGTACGCTACACTGTGGCACAATATCTGGACGTAACTTTGAGTGGCGCGCAGCCAATTCGCGCAGCTTTTTGACATGCTGCGTCTTTGCGTACGATACGTTAGCGGGGGGTGAGGTAATGTTTGCACACCTACACACCGCGCTGCAAGAGCGCCTTAATAATTTTGCAATAGGTGGCCTAATTTCTTTTAAAAAGCGGACCCGATGCATTATGTTAACAATGCTAATACCTATCTTATACCCAAATATCAACGATCAAAAACGATTTCTTCCCTCATTTTTCTTATCTTTTTGTTTTTCGGTTTTTTACAACTTTGTTTTTTACTACCGAAAACAGTACCTACTTAATACCTACGTCAAATTATCACCTGATCAACTTTTGTTTTGTACTTATTTCGCTACTATGCTTTATTTCCGAGATATTGCGAGATAACTGAAAAGAACCGGTTTTCAAAGTTATTTTTAAGGACCTTCTGTTTCCGCCAGATTTCATTAAATGCCACCCAGAATCGAAAAAAAAAACATGTTTTTTTAACCTGCGACACACCAACTAAAATACATTGTCTGAGATTTCACCGATTTATTCATAATGGATTACAAAGAATTCAGATACTTATTTAAACGATTATTGCGTTTTATAACCTGATACTACGAGTATATATTAAAAAGATACTGTATGTTGTGATTTCCTTTAGAAAAATGTAACGGGTTTTTGACTAGGTACACATTTCAATTACTTGATAGAGCTGTTGAGCCCAGGATTCCCTTTTATCCTTTATATCATTTAAAATTAACATGCATGCGTATTAGCCATAGTAAAAAGTTCGTACAATTGGATCTCAGTTTTTTTTTTCATGAACGATTTGGCTTGTCTTATATAATTTTTTCGTAGCTGATTTTCTATCAAAAGTGTCTACACTTTTTCTTCTAATAGTTACTATTGGGAGAAAAAGTGTTGAGCCACTTTTTGTAGACAATTTAATGATCTACAATTTTTTTACCACTCGTCTAAAAATGCGAGAGTAAATCATTTTTGAGGACTTTGAAATTGAATAAAAAAAAAATGGATGTATCAGATCAACGGGGACTTTCCACACTTTATTTATAAAATATTTGTACCAATTACCAGCTTTATGGGATTTTTTGTAACGTTTATGGCTGTTTTTGTTTTATGTATGTGTGGCGACTCCCACATACAAAGAAACAGAAACATACTACAGCGCCATCTAATGAAGACACACCGAACTACGGAGTAACTACTAAATAAGAATTGCTAATCCTGTATCGCGATATAAAGAATTCCCTCGCCGATTAGCATATAAACAATATCCCAACATCAACCGTTGGGCCGCGGCCCGCCAGGCATGATCACCTCGCCTGGTCGGAGGATCCTCCCTTTGTGTTGGAGGGACATGACACCCGTTCCTCCACATATGTTTAATATGACCTGGATTCAGAAAGCGTCTGGAACATGACGGTCAAAATGTTTTGTTTTGATTCGTATATCAGTTTAACTTGAATTGTAATAGAATTTTGTAGCAAAACGGATGTGAACGTAGGCTATGTTTGAGGGTTTATAGCATAATGTAGGTGTGTATCATAATATTTACCTTTAAACCTTTCATTCTTCAATAAATTTAGCTTTCTAAACTTCTACGTTTAAACATTAAGTATTCCAAATATGATGTGCTTCCGTGCAAACATTGTAATAATTAATTGCATTACAGGTTATGGATTACTACAGAAGTGCATCCAGTATTTCCGATTACATTGTTACAAATGTCTATAAAATACACTTGCGAGCCCCCTTCTGGTAACATTTTTTTTTGCTTTTATTACAACTTAATATTCGTTCCTAAAATAATCAAACACATTTTTTGCAGGTATTAAGGCTGGTCTCATGCGAACCTATGATTCAATGAGTCAAGATTTCCTGGATTACAGTGACAGTCCGTTTTACCTTCCTCTCATTTACACTATATCTTTTCTGCATACTGTTGTGCAAGAGCGAAGAAAGTTTGGGCCATTGGGGTGGAATATTCCCTACGAGTTTAATTCTGCTGACTGGTTGTCATGTTGTTTGTTCGTTCAAAATCATTTGGACGCATTGGAGCCTGGACAAACCCCTAGTTGGAACACAGTGCGGTATGGCTCTCTTCGTTTCTTCCTGCTGAATATTTGTAAACTTTTCTTAATTTAAATAATGAATAATGTAAATGATATTGTAATTTTAAAATATATTTTTTATTTAGTTACATGGTATCGGCTGTACAATACGGCGGGCGTGTTACCGATGATTTTGACAACCGTCTGCTCGCTACATTTACTAGAGTATGGTTCACAGACCAGCTGTTTGATGACGATTTCCAGTTCTATAAGGGCTATGGAATTATGAAGTACAAAAATATTCCTGAGTATATTGAAGAAATTGAGACTATGAAAACTGTTGATCCCCCGCAGGCTTATGGTTTGCACACTAACGCGGACATCACGTTAGTATATTACCCATTGTAAAATATATAATATTGTGGTTTAGTAAGCTAAAACCTCCTTTCTAAGAAGAGGCCTACGTCCAGCAGTGGACTATTAAAGGCTGTTGATAATGATGATTATGTTAATTGTAAACAAGTATAATAATAAAATGTATGCTATTGGTATACCTAAATAAGTAAATGATCAAACAGTAAAGTCAATATTTCTAGGACAACGGTGTTATGCTACACATGGCTATGTAAATGAATATTTATGTATGTCAGCAAAGTCTTCAACACGATTTTTCTTGTCATTTCTTGTAATACACATATATTTGCTCTGTTCAATATTTTCTTGACAAATTTTACAATATTAAAAATTGTAACTTAATATTTACACTTAAGCTATAAATAAGAGAAAATATCAAATTAGTGATAATTTATAATATCAGGTACCAACGAAACACAGTACAGGAACTTTTGGATACAATATTGTCAATTCAACCCAAGGAATCAGGAGGCGGCGGGGGTGAATCGCGTGAGGCTTCGGTATACCGGCAGAGTAAAGAAATGCTGGACAAAGTACCCCCAAATTTTGACCCCCATGAAGTTAAAGAAAGGTAAGACGATCGGATGGCGTAGTGGTTTGTGTAACGGACTGCTATTCCAAAAGGTCGCGGGTTCGATTCCCGCTCAACTCAAACATTTGTGTGCATGAACATTGGATGTTTGATTTGGTCTGGGTGTTTCTATGTATAATATGTATGTATTTACAAAAAAAAAGTATATATGTATTTATATCAGTTGTCTAGTACCCATAGTACAAGCTCTGCTTAGTTTGGGACTAGATGGCGTTGTGTGTATGTGGTAGAATATTATATTATTATTATTATTATTCCCTGTAAAATATGCACGCATTACACATTTTTAGAATCTTCACAGGTAATGAAATAAATAACCTTAATACAAATGTCTCTCTGTACGACTGTTTTTCCGTTTATTTCCATAGTTTGTTAAAGGTAGTTTAAATATATTTATTTTTACGTTAAACTAAATTCATAAAACAAAGTTTTATATCTTGTACCTCGTATTGTTGGCCATTGTACTAAAAAGTATTTTATATGTTTCATTTATGTTTAAGTATATGTAACACGTGGATCAGTAATTTCTCCTGTTAAAGCATTTCATAATTTTAGTATCTTGAAATTAAAAGAGAAACTTTGTTGTAAGACAAATTATTATTATTTTTTATCAAAATGAGATACATAGTAGTCGATAATCTAATAATATTATTATTATCTTAAATAAGATATTTACGAAAGATATATTCTTTGAATGTTTTAACTTATTTTTCAGATTACGGTACTACGGTATTCTGGGATCTATGGTTATATTCTTACGCCAAGAAATCGATCGAATGCAAAAAGTTATAAATCTAGTACGCGCGACATTAAAGGATTTACTTCTCGCCATTGACGGGACTATCATCATGAATGAGGTATTCTTTGTATTAAATAATATTTAGCCTATACAAGTCGGCACGTTAATCTCATTCAAAGTTTCTCACAGTCAAATTTCGGATACATCGAAATAATATCATTCAATTATTATTTTCGAAGTTTTATAAAATTTTCATGCCCTTTGCCAAGTTTTATAAAATAAAATTTAGCATTTCTAAATAACCAACTTTGTAAACAGATAAATTACAAACAATATAATTTCTTTCGAAATACTAGAAAAGCTTATTTTGAAAATTTATAAAAATAATTAGTAATACCGGGTATGCGTCCTATTATATAGTTATTATAATGCACTAGCATCTTTCCAATAACGTGCACATGTACAAGAATACATTAACCATATAAAATACATAGGTACGTTTCGTAATGTTGGTAAATAAATCTACAGGCTCTCCGCGATTCATTGAACAATATTTACGATGCAAAAGTGCCCACAATTTGGTTAAGCTCTTCGTGGTCATCGTCAACGTTGGGCTTCTGGTTCACTGAGTTTTTGGAGAGAAACATCCAATTCTCAACATGGTGTTTTCAAGCCCGGCCATTTTCATTTTGGATGACAGGGTTTTTCAACCCACAAGGTAATTTAATAGTTTCGTTTGTGAATTTTAGGAATCGCAGTCGCAAACAGTCACCCAATCTAAGCCCTGCTAGTAATGATCGGTTATTAATATTTTGATAGTAGGCCATGAGAAAGGGCCACGATCTTTATAAAATCCACTTTAGTGTTAACGGGAGCAAATAGGATATTAGACGTCAGGTCTCACTTGCACTCTCTTCAAGTGTAATCGAAGCAATCTGAAAATAAATCAAAACCAATAAAGAGCGGACGGTCGAGTTGCCATGACATGTTTGTAGACATGTTATCTTCGTTGCGTCCTCGTCCCGATAGTTTCAGTGCGAATGAAGCGATAAAAGAGCCTTACTATAATCTGAGCGAATTCCCACTGCGGGATTGAATGCATAGTAAGTGTCATCTAGGGGAGTCACTTAGGGGATTGCGGTGCCTCGGTGTCCTCACAACTTTTAATCGGAATATGAGGCCGGATTGGGAAAACTTTGTGATAAACTAAGTAACACATCACATCACACATGCTGGATATAGGTAGATATAGGAGGTTTAGGCCTACTATACCACGCTGGCTAAACGGGTTGGTACAGGGTTTGCTTCAAGTTTTTTTTCTCTTTGCAGTACTGTGGTGTTATTGCTTCCTTAGTTGGCTCTTACAACTCCCTGAATGAATAGGGGTGGTTTTTGATCCGTTACCACAGGGATTTAAACTAATTAACATTCAATTTAAAATCGATCGTAATTCCATATAGTTTACTAATAATAGGAAAGAATATTCCATTCTATTTTATTCTAACAAAAGTTACAAAGTGACATAATGATAGTGGTATTTTTTGTATTCAATAGGTTTCCTGACGGCGATGCGTCAAGAAGTGACTCGTGCTCATAAAGGTTGGGCCCTTGACATGGTCTCTCTACATAACGATGTCACGAAGTCCTTACTTGAGGATATCAAGGCACCGCCACCGGTAAGATAAAAAAAGCTTTATTTAATGTGCCTTCAAAGTCTTTTAGTGTAGGGGAAGAATTGGTGTAGGCAATAAGCCCTGGTTACGGAACACTGTGGTTTTGGGCGGTCCGAGTCCTACATACCACTTCAAGGTTTGGCCCCGGTTAGGTTACGAGGAAAAAGTTTCATATATTTATACATACAGTGCAATTTAATCCTTTATTTTTACTGTTATAGGAAGGTGTGTTCGTTCATGGGTTGTTCATGGACGGTGCCGGTTGGGACCGGCGCAACCAGCGCTTAACCGAGTCATCATTAAAAGTTCTATACACGGCGATGCCCGTTGTACATGTATATGCAATCAATTCCACAGCACCAAAAGATCCTAAACTTTATATGGTGCGTTCTTCAATTTGTTGTATTCTACATATGATTTCATAATATAAGTATTTGAAGGGGTTTCATCTTATTAATAACATGTATGTTATTTAGTTTGGTTAAGCGGAATGGAGAGTATCAAGAGCTTCATTTTAATCACTCGGGTCAGTTTTGGGTCTGGTTTAGCTTTAAATGATTTCCGATCAGATTGCGCGACTAACCAGCAGATGGTAGTACGTGGGGCATACTGTAAGTCTCTGGAGTTGGCCACTTACAATCAAAGAATAAAAAAAACAATTAAGGAATTTCGAAAATGGAACTCTTTGGGAATAACTTACTAATTAATTTGCGAGACTGTCATTTGTTTTTTTCATTGTGACGTCATTTCGGAAATTGTCTGTCGCTATCAAAATGAATTTATCTCGTGAACATTTTACTACAATGATTTTTTTAATTTTTGTTGAGGCTTAAGTGAACAAGAGAGTTGCCAGAGACTTCAATTGGCATTTGGTGATGAAACACCAAATCGCAGCTCTGTGTATTCATAGTTTAGAGAATTTAGATGTAGACGTGATCATCTCCTTGACGAGGTACGTGAAGGTCGGCTGGCGATTGCGGTTACATACTCTAATATGAACCGTACGATATTGACACTGACAGCTGCCAGCAAATTCGTGCTTTGTTAGGCATTAGAATGAGTTAAGTGCAAAACATTTTACATGTGTACCTGAAGGTTCGGAAGCTTTGACTCGGTATCCATCGGCATGACTTATCGGAGGACCAGAAACGACTACGTGTCCAGTGGTGCCGTAAAATTATAAAAAAGTTTAACGGTGGACACTTACTGCCTATCTATAATATCGTAACAGGTGACGAAACTTGGGCGTACTGCTTTGAACCCAAAAGAAAAAGCCAGTCGGCAGAGTGGGGCTTTTCTTTTTAAGATTTGCCGACAAAAAAGTGGTTGCTTCTTTTTTTGGCAAATCAGGACATTACAGTATCACTTGAAGATCAAAGGACAGTAACTGCAAATTGGTACGTCAACACTTGATTGCCCAGAATCTCAGAAAAAGTTCGCGAAAAGCGTCCTAGAAGCAATGTACTCCTTCACCACGATAACGCATCCTCACATTCCGCTAAGGTAACAGAAGCCTATTTGAAGGCTTCAAATGTATAACTGATGACACATCTGCCTTACAGCCTCGATCTGGCACCCTGTGAATTTTCTGTTTCTAAAAATTTAAGACAAACTTAGAGGCACTCGTTTTATGAGCCCTGAATCGGCGGGCCCTGAAGAGGTCCCTAAGGAAGACAGGTCGAACTACTTTGTACAGTGGTTTCAGCGAATTCAAAAATGCATTAATTGCGGGGAAATATACTTAGAAAAAAAAATGTTTCATAAGTCTTACTTATATCTAGTCTTATTTATCAGAATCCAGAAACTTTCAGTATGCCCTAATTATCTATAATAATTATATCGCGAAAGTATCTGTATATCTGGCCAGCTTTCATTTCTAAATTGTTTGACCAATTACTTAGAGGAAGATATGTGGTGAAATATGCATGGGGGACTAATAATTAATTAAGTTTAGGGATATAAAAATGTATACTTTTGGTGAATAATAGATAGTTGATAGTTGATTTTGGCAAGACGAGCAGAGCTAGCTGGTGCCTGCGTCTTGTCTGCGTAGATTTAATATTGCGAGAGTTCCAGTTTTCACCAAATTTTCTTTATAATGAATTATAAAAGATAACATATAATTACGATAGCATGGTTGAGATTAAATTATTTCATATTACTAAAGAAGTATCTGTGCTGGACGACGTAAGAAAAAATAACTATAAACATAAAACGCTTTTTGATGATAATCATTATGCAAAACGACAATTTTAATGTAAAGATAATTTATTCTTAAAATAAATGAATACTAAATACAGACCTGAATCAGAATCAATAAGAAAATCGTTCTAAGATATGGCCGGTACGGACCTATAAATTTATTTTTATTTCAGTGTCCAGTTTACAAGAAGCCGGTACGCACAGGATTAACATTTATCACTCCTCTGTGGTTGATGACAATTAAGAATCCAGACCATTGGATTTTAAGAGGAGTTGCCCTTTTGTGTGATGTCAAGTAACTTTTTTTAAAACGTTCATACACGCCATATAGGCAAGGTATGCACGTAATAGTCAACGAAGAGTATTTTTCTTGTTTTAGATTTTGTAAACATTTCTATTCAGTCTACTGTGCATCAGAAAACCTAAGTATTTACAGTTGTGAATGTCAGTTTTGTATGTGTTTACCTTTGCCGCATCTACAATACTAACAGTATGAGTTTGATGCCCAAAACTATGCATTCCTTAGTTCCATGATTTGATGTCTGTCTGTGTGTCCGACTTTTTGTGACATCGTAATAATAATATCTAAATGTGAACAGTGCGGTTTTAATGATATTTTTTAATTTTCTACGTACTACTATTGTTTGTTAAAGAATAGCTTCCTTAAAACGCCATACAGACATTAAATTCCTAGAATTCTGGTGGTTCTACGAGTTGATGATTATAATATATTTTTTTGGCCATGACGTAAGAAAAAAGAAATTAAATTATAATTTGTTTAATTTTAAAGAAATTGATGAAGTCAGCACGAAAACTGAACTAAAAACCTAAGTATTTACAGTTGTGAATGTCAGTTTTGTATGTGTTTACCTTTGCCGCATCCACAATACTAACAGTATGAGTTTGATGCCCAAAACTAGGCATTCCTTAGTTCCATGATTTGATGTCTGTCTGTGTGTCCGACTTTTTGTGACATCGTAATAATAATATCTAAATGGGAACAATGCGGTTTTAATGATATTTTTTTAATTTTCTACGTACTACTATTGTTTCTTAAAGAATAGCTTCCTTAAAACGCCATACAGACATTAAATTCCTAGAATTCTGGTGGTTCTATGAGATGATGAATATAACTTATTTTTTGGCCATGACGTAAGAAAAAAGAAATTAATTATTAATTTGTTTAATTTTAAAGAAATTGATGAAGTCAGCACGAAAAATAATTTAGAAAACTGATTTGGAATAGTTCCACCCGTATTTATGTTTCTATTTTATTTGCACAATCCTCGACTTGTTTGTTACGCCTATGGTTTTATGTGTTAGGAAAATATAAATAGGCACCTCCGAGACATATTTTTATAAGTTTTATCTAATTTTAGAACCTAATCATGTTAAAGCGTATAATACGTACATATATTTTACTGTGGTAGAAAGTAAATCGTAACTAAAATGACACTTGAATTTATAATGTTATTTCAATCCTAGTAGAATTTATAGAAAGTAGTTTAGTTTTATTTAATATTGTTACTTTATTATTATTTTATTGTTATCATTAATTCTCTCCTTTAATTTTGTAATAAAATAGTATTAATTTATTAAATATTTGCTTTATTTTTCTGTCTGCACACAAGTATAAAAAGGTAAAATGATCAATTTTCTGCTAGATGAATACGAGTAAAGTTTATAGTAGGTGGCGTTTTTTTCAAGCGCTTGCTTTCTATCCTATACCTACTTTCGTGAGATCTTGATTTATTCATCCATTACAGAATTGAGTTTTTATTTATTCTTCAAAAAAGAGCATCTACAGCTTTTTAACAACGTGATCGATGCGGAAAATACAAGGTGTACCTTACTTACCATTTTAATCAATCCATTTAATACTCCATTGCTGTCCACAAACATCACAGGTAATCATGTGATGAATATGTTGAATTTTAATAAAAAAAAAAAGTTGTGTGGGGTCAGAATGATAGATTATATATGAAACTTTTGACTGCACGGATGGCGTAGTGGCTTAAGCGGTCGCCACGTCGCTTACTACTATGCTGAGTGTTGTGGGTCCGATCCCCACATGGGATGATACTTTGTGTGATTTGACTTAGTTTTTGAGATATAAGCGTGGCCGACCTAGGAAGATTCGCCTAAGGAACGCTTAAAACTTTTGAACCCTTAGATATAGAATACTAATAGATTGGCTATGCGGAAAAGAGACAATACGAGTTTACATGTGTTAGAGCGCGACAAATAAACGAGATCGAACACCGATACGCTATGAGCCTGTATCGTCCTAGCCGTTGTTTCCTCATGGACCAACTATGTGTGCACAACTAGTTGTGTCATGAGGAATATTTTTTTAAATCATTCCTATTGGCACAACGAAATAATTTTCAATTAATATTTGTTCCTAAGGTCTGTTTTTTAATCTCGTAGACTAAACTGACATTACGAGTGTTGTCAGTTTATTGCAATTCTTAAATAGTGATGTGGCACAACCGAAACTTAGCGTTAATAAAATCAAGTATCGTTTTTTTACAATAAGTTATCCTGAAATAATGTGTAGGTACTTATTTAAAACGTAATAATACAAAATTAATAATGTAAAACATACATTTTTAATTACATAACTTAATTACAGGTATTCGCGTTAATCTGATTCAAATAATGACTCCATGTGTGAGGAATATTCTGAGTCATCAGAATCGCCACCTACTTCTATGATAAACCTATCAGTAATGTCGTCGGTTATATGGCCCAGATGACACATTTGATCTTCAATTTTAATTACATGGACTACACAGTCTTTCCACTGCTGCGGGGTCACTTGACGAAGCCCTTCTTCAAAAAGGCTTCGTACTTCATTCATTTTGAATGTTTTATTATTTTTAGTGACATGCCCCTTTACTTGAGCCCAGACCAACTCAATCGTTCGTATTACGTATTCGTACAATAGGGAATATGCACGTGAGACCAAAATGGACAAAATATTTTTATTTGTAATTGTTATTGCTAAAAGAAGATACCCATACAATTATTTTTGAAATTTCTTATAATTTAATAGTGAAATTTAATCATCAAAAATTGGCTTTTTTAAGATTCCCTCGCAAATTTCTAAAACGCAACGCTATTGGTTGAATAAAACGTGACGTCAACCTACACTGTCAAGAGTGTCAACAAGTTGTGTGTATTTGTAATATTTGGTTTCTGGTGATTATTTGTTTCATTTTAAGTTAATAACTAATACGTTTTCAGTGTTAAATTATTAAATTCCCGTGTAGGAAAACTCAACACAATGACTGAATATACTTTGTCAGGTGCAGTTTTGATATTATTTTGGCACAAAGGAACGGCACAATATTTATAATAAGTTTTTATTGGCTTTTCCATGGTAATAAGTTAATTTATATCACTCACTTTTTTAACTTTCACAAACTTTGTGAACTTCACTCCGTTGTTGACATCGAATTCGTCTGAAAGTGTAGTCTGACGTCACAAAAAAAGCGCGCCAAAATGGACGTGTTCAAATTGCCCCAAAATGATATTGATATTAATAAAAATTTTTTGCTTAACGGTTTATATTTCGGATGAGTTATATTTATTTTTGGTAATGTAATAACGAGTAGAATCGTTTAAAAAAATAAAAAAAATACATGCATATTCCCTATTGTTCGTATGGTGTCAAGTTCCATAATTGCCGTATTTTTTAAGTTCTGCCGTTTCGTAAGAGAAAAGGGTTAAGATTGCCGTTTTAACGCGTACGGGAACAACTCTGATGGCGTCTATAATTTTTTTTTGTTTTATTTAAAGGCATCGAAATGGATCGAAATGGTCGGGTTACGCATGGCGTTGCGTGGTCAGATTTCCCTGGTAGTTTGTAGCACGTCGTGCAGCCGTGTGTACGTACTCGTATGTAAATTTTAAATATAAAACTTTGAATGAAAATTAAATTCGTTTATTATAAATAAAAAGTTACGATTCAACAAACCGGTATCGTAGGTACAACACTGCACAAAAGAGCTGGCAACATTATTTGTAAATTTGACATTTGCATGTGTCAATTTAGTCTACGAGATTAAAAAACAGACTATAGATACACAACTGATTAAAATCGGTGTACAAAGGTTCATCGTTATGGTTATAAGTTCTTCGTTTTCTGGCGTAGACTTAGACATGCTTACAGTCAGGATATACGTCAGCGTATGCACGAAAATAATAAATCAATATTTTTTAAATAATTACTGATAATAAATGACATGAAACGGCATTTATAATTTTCTATTTGTTAATATACAAAGATATGACTGAAGTGGCCAACATAATCATCAATATCTGAAGAGGTTAGTAATAATCTTATTTATTTCCTCCTGTAGTTGTGCTAAAAGGAATGGTTATAATAAATCAGTTGTGCTTAGTTGTGCATAGTTGTGTCATTAAGAACATATTCTGAGATGGCACAACTAGTTGTGCGTACATAGTTGGTCCATGAGGAAAACGGGGTCCTAGCGCCCGTCGAGGTCGAAACATTATTGTTATTTTTTTTTCGGAATCTTGAGTATTTTGTTGTGGTTTATTATTTATTAAGCGTTTTTTATCATGGTGACGTGTGCAGTACCTGGATGTTACGCTTCCAAGAAAGAAAATCCACAAAATATTTCATTTCACGTGTAAGTAAATAATGCCATATTTGCCTAATAAGCGGTAGGGGCTTGGTATATAAAATATACGATATCGCATTGAAACAAAGCTTATTTAGAGGCAAATATGGCATTATTTACATAATATTATCTCGTTTAGTTTCATTATAAATTAAAATGCTTTCGCATCTTACAAAAATAATTATTAAATACGTGAATTTATGTTGTTTCTAACCACACATACCTAGAAGTTTGAAGTGACAATGTCGATAAAAATATCGATAAGAGTCACAGTGATCAAATAATAATCATCAATTAATTTTATTAAAACCATTCTATACTGACTAATTGGCACTAAATACGTGACTCTGAATCCCTGTGGATTTATTTATACCAGTTGGTACAGGTTATCGAAAAAAATAATTTTGCATGGCGCTTCACTAGCACGTTAGACACACATGCAAATTTGATGCACACCATTGCATTTCTTTTTTGGTCTCGCTTATTGAAATGCACAACCAATCTATGGTATTCTATATCTATGTTTGAACCAGTGACCGACAAATCTGATATTTGGCAACAAATTTCGACTAATTAGCGACTCAAGCGACAATTTGGGCGAAAACAAACCTCCGCTTTTTGAATTACAAGCGCGGCCCTGCTGGGAAGACTAACCAGCAGGGCCCCCTATAAACGCTTATAACTTTTGAACCAGTGACTGACATGTTCTGGTACACCGCAATATCGGCAATATCTATACTAATATTATAAAGAGGCAAAGTTTGAGTTTGTATTTTCGGGATTTCTTACCGGTACTACTGATAGGAGTTTCAAAATTATTTTATTGTTAGAAAGATATATTGTCAATGAGTGCTCTAGACTACTTTTTAACGGTATTACCGATATACACTCGGGCGGAGCCGCGGGCAAAAGCTAGTACTGAATAATGCAAATGTCGTCATACCCGGAAGAACGATGTTTTATAGTCAAACCGCCGGCGCCGTAAGCTTGGCTCCTGATGGTTTGCGGGACGCGGAGCGGGGATAGGCTCAACCAATTAGCTAGTGTGTTGTTGCCGCCGGCAGTGACTGATGTGAAAACATGGCTGTACGTGTTGTTTTTCTTAAGACTGCTACACACGGTATTATTTTGCAACATAGATAATCTGCCGACTCTGCGTCACAGAAAGATTCAAGAACATTTGTTTTTTTTTTTTGATAAACATTTTCTTTTGTTTTTACTTTAAGTTACTTGATAAATATCTTGTATCTTAATATACAGTAGAAGTTGACGGTTATCTATGTGGTGACGGATTAAGAATACGGAGTATCACCACCTCTATTCATCCCGTGCATAGAGGTGGTGATACTCCGAGCAAACTACGCAGGATAACAGTTCTGCAAAGAGAATAAAAACTTAAAATAAAACCTACATCAACTAAAAATTTGGCCTAAAAATTCAAATGCCTACGTAAGTCTAAAACTCGAACTCGAATTATTTGGCATCTCCCTTGAAGTTCGGCTTACAAAGGTTCTCTAGGAATATTTATTATTTTACTTTATAATAAAATTGTATCTGAATATAATTTACACGATAAAGATAAGGTGATTTTATTAAAATTATTTTACAAGTATTACAATTTTATAATTAATCATTAAAACTTAAAATATACTGAAATTATAATAAATTCGATTTTTTTTTACAACGTGTGTAGATTAAATCTCAAACAAATTATTCTAAAGATATCGATTTAGTACTACGTGTCGTGTAAAGCCGAGCGCATCACCCGCCCCGCGTCCCGTAAACAATCGGGAGGGCCAAGCTTACGGCAGTTTAATAGTAAAGGTGACACTGACAACAGACAGCATTTACTACCATACTGAAAATAATAATAATTTATACTGAAATGGCAGTCAAGTTTATGACGTCTCATGATGAAAAGCACAGGTGCTGAAATCTATAGTAAAATTTTACTTGTTATTGGGTCTTACCAACTTTTTATAATATCGTGCAACAGCGACAGTAGAAACACGCGCGAGGTCAACTGTAAATGTTTTTTTGGGGTTTTTCTTAATTCTTTAGTGGGTTCCGTGTAATTAAAGGCAAATTTCTGAGAACGTTTATTTTAGAAGCATCGAAGTACAATTCATATACATCAAACAGAACTTGCAATATGTCCTGTGAATAAGGTGTACTCGTAGTTCGTTCAAAAGTTAAAAAATCATCAATTTATCCGATATCGTTTTCATAAACGAACGAGTAAAGCAAATGTTTCCGAAACAGTTTACAGATGTAATAATATTAATGGACGGAGCTAATTCGATGGATAATTTACAACTGTTATCACAAGTCTGCGGAGTATTAATTCAAGGAATATAAATTAAAAAATTTTACACAAATTCTATGGACTGCAGCTGCTAAGTTGTATCACATTATTGTACTAAAATGCTTGTCGCATGGGATATAAATAATGCATTAAAATGTGAAATGATTTTTACAAAGTGTTGTTCTATGTACTAGCTAACGTAAGCAAGTAAATAATGTAGATGTTGTATAGGGAAACTACCATTATTTGCTTTTAGTGTAGTTATTGGATTCGCTGGATTTATGATGTATGCAGTACCGCAGTTAGAAAGATTACTAAATTTTATTTAGGTAGGTACTTCGTATAGCCAAAATGTTTGAGTGAACTTTAGCGATATATTAGAAGTTAATGATTGATTTTGGAAAAAATGTTAGTTGGAATTTAAACTGATAGATCAAGGTCATTATCATACATGCCCAAAGTTCGATTTAAACAAAAAGAAAAAAAAAAAATTTTAGACCTTACATAGAAAGTATATTTTTTATTGAAGAATGAAGGTTTATACTAACGAGTATACCCAAGTATCCTTATTGTAATCATATGTTCTTGTAAAGTGTATTGCATTTGGACAAAGCATGTGTAGGGATATTACAAAGTCTTTCCAGTTATCAGGCTAAGTCTAAAATGCTTTGGCTGTTAAAAAGGTACTTAAATAAAATAAATCAGTCTGATTGAAAATAAATTGTCATGTAACGTTTTTAGCGAATATAGTTGTTTGTAGCTTATAAGAAAGTTCTATTACATCTAATAATATGTACAAGTGCAGAGAATAACGAGATCTAGCAATTCTAACTTTAACAATACCATACTGCAACAAATAATATTATATTAGCAATAATTATATACACAGTCTTATTACACAGAAGCTAAAAAAATTAGCGTTTAACAATAGACATGACGTACAATGGTTATCACGTTATTACGTATATAATACCATACATATCTAATGTGACATACAATTTGTTATACTATGACAATAGAACATTAACATACTTGATATTTATGGTTACAATATCAATATTTATAGTAATATCGTAAAATAACATTCACTTGCTTCAGTGACAATTACACCGGTACTAAAAGCAAGCGACAAAGTTTTGCCTTTGGCTAAAATAATTATATGAATTATTGCACTCGATGACACCACTATCTGTAGAGGAATAATGTCTTAATTCCTTTTAGCATCACTACGAAACTTGGCCAGAGGTTCCACAGATCTTGACCTGGATGCTCTGAAAAATGTGAAATTAAATAATTATTATGATTTTAAAATATTTCGAAATAGACTAATTGCTCTATACGTAGATACGGTGGCTGTAGCTTCAATGTAGAATAATGGCATTCGACAAAATACAACATATTATTGACAATTAGCCTACTATACAATAATACCCTTTATTTATTTTTTCTGTGCGGAAATCCCTCGTATACCACTTTGGTGGTTATATCGGTGGTTATATCGGACTATATGGTTATATCGGACATCTTGGGTCTCAGAAAAGGGGTACATAGGAAATCTCTGGTACCCCGACGGACCCCGGGCAATCTACGGTCGTCTAGATGACCCCCTCACCCCGTGTATGGGAACCATTGTGGTGGTACCAAGCAATTCTTTCAAATAATATAGATTTAATAAATTTGTAAAAATTGATTTTATTAGATAATTATTTATATTTCCAGTCAAATGCACAATATCTACAAATACATCCTCAAAATACTATACAAATAAATACACACTTACCTTCTTCTTGAAAGCGTCAGTTCAAGTTTTCCTTCTTTTACTTGCTTGAAAAGCGATATAGCCCCAGAATGACTCAGTCCACGTGTTGGCACATTGTTCACTGACAAGATCTCGTCACCTAAAACCACAATGTCATCATCATATATAAATATATATTTTTTTTCTGAATTGATTAGCTACAATGCCATATAATAAAATTATTGAATACCTTCAAAAATAGTACTTCGGTCAGCTGCTTGACCGTTTGGAAAAACTGTTTTAACGAATATACCCATATGTCCTTTTGGTGAATCAATTCCACCTACAATACTAAAACCAAGACTTTTATGTCCTGGGCCCTTCCAAAATTCAACTTTATGTATCGAACTATGTGCATAGTGACCTCCATGCTGTTGGTGAACTTGGTTATTTGTTCCAGAAGTATGATGTTGCAGCCTTGACATATGTGGGCCAGGATTTGTAGGGCAACGCTGTGATCCAACTCTGTTAAAAAATCTGCTCCGGCTGCTATTTCTTAATTGTTCTGGGATGCTCTCAAATGACCTGTTTTGATACAATCTTGGAACATTTTTTATGTAATGGGAGAAATTTTCTTTAATTTCATTCGTGGTATTATCATTGTAAACAGCATATGTTGCAGGAGCGGCTGGTGGGCGAGAATTATGGAATGATATTGGTCTATAATTATTACCTTGATTGTTTGATTTTGCAGTTGGTGAAGATTGTAACGATATTTCTATATTCGTTATATTCTGCAACGATGAAGATTGAGTGTAACAATGTCTTTCAAGCAATTTTTCATCGTCACTCTTTGGATTGGATTGCGTTTGATCATTATTAACATGAATTCCGACTTCACATTTCTGACAAAGATCAGTTCTACTGCTACTATGTTCATAACTAATATTTTCATTTAAACGTTCTTTGGTTGTATTATTCATGTGAAATTGATTGTCGGCAGGAAAATGAGTTTCTATTGTAATTTGATTTAAAGGCGCGGGTTTATGGACAGTTTGCGATATTATATCTGGAGGAACATTTGATGTTGGCAATATACCATTATTCTGTTCTATAGGTTGACTGTTTATAATTCGACTCAGCGTTATAGGAGTGACTTCGTCATGTGCCATTACAAGATCAACTTGATATCTCTGAAATAATGTCCCATCTTCAAGAGTAGCCTCCGTTGAACAAGAATTAACTACATGCTGAACTTCTTTTAATGAAGACAATCCTCGCAAAACCGTTCCATTCACATTTACTATTTCATCACCTATTCTTAACCTACCATCTCTGTGAGCTATCCCTTCAAAATCCAACTTAACTACAATATATCTAACTTCATAGTTTGAACCAGTACTATCAAAGTCGACTCTATGTTGTGCAAGATAAACACCAAGACTTTCATCTAATCTCGATTTTAAAAGTCTAATTTTCCTGAAACGCTTAGTGCAGGGTCCTCTACCAAAAATATCGTTTCCAGGGATCGGTTGCATTTGAGACTGAGACTCTATATGTATGCTATTTGAATTATAAGTTGATGAATGTTCAGTGGGAATTATTTGAGAATGTAAAAGCTTAACTTTTCTAGTCTGTACTCGTTCATCTAATGTTATAGTTTTGTATACAAAAGGAGGTTTTTTGTTAATTGTTTTCTTTGGAAGTGGAGGTGGTTTAGAATCAAGATGATCAAATATTGTATGTTTTTGACTGTCGGCAGAATAGTTACTTATATTTTCTCTACTTTCATTTTGATATTCATAGGAATTTGAGTTTTCTACAGGAAAAAGTGCACAAGGGGTAGAACTACGTCGAATTGGTACTTGAACTTGTGAAATATTAATTTTATGGTTCAAACTGAATTGCCTGGAAAAATTCCCTGCCTTTTCTTCACAGATTATAGGATCTCTGTGAATTGACACGTTGCTAAAGTGAGTTGAGTAACCTGGCGGAGACTGATTGCTATGTTCATCCGTAGGGCGACCATCACTATCATAACCAGATTCGTTAGAACTCACGTAATTGCTTAGGCGATGGGTTTGTACTTCAGCATTTTCAAGTCCATGATGAATACTTTGCATAGATGATGTGAATTCAGTTTTGATATCTCGCATTGACCCAAGTACAGAACTATATTCGTATACTGGTAAACTATTTCTGTTTCGTGGTATAAGCATAGGATCATAATCAAGAGGTGTCTTTTGTGATATCATCGACGCTCTTCTAGGCACATCATCCACTCGCCCTACAGGATAAAAATTGCCATCTGTGTCATTGACACTTCTCATAGAAGTTCTTGAAAAGTCATAATCTTTTCTTAATGCACTGTTAAGGTGCATATTATCATTGAGAATGGATATACTATCACTACTTTGATATCGTTCTTCAGATCGTGAATTTGTAAGGTAATTTTTTTCTCTTCGGAATTTAGGTGATTTTCTATCTATTCTCTCAGATAAACTCAATCGCATAGAACTGGTCCGCTGTTGTGAAGCTATGATATTTTCTTCCGGCAAAACTGATAATTTTGAACGCAAGAAAGCATATGGAAAATTAGGTTTTTTAGAGGCACCATTGTTAGTTTGGTTATCATTTAAGTTATTAATATTGTCACAACTGACGGCCTTGGTTGATGATGTTACCAAACTTTCTTCAGGTAGGGCATTATTCTGCTTTGTAGGCGAGTTCTTATTTTCATTTTCTTCGTTTTGTAAATCTATGTCATCTGATGGATCATCAGCTTTTACATACGTAGAAAGATGTGAAGTTGAACAACTACGATATAGATTAGAGTTAGTAGCTATTGTGTAGTTATTAGACGATTTGCTCATATTCAGAGATTGTGATTTCGCTGAATTTAGCATACCAGTTGATCCCATTCTATGAAAAAACGATTTAAATGGGCTGGGAGATCTATCCCTAGAGCCGCTTTTAATAGAATCTGCGTCATTATCTTTTTTCAAAGATGTAGAATCAGAACTGCTTCGTCCCATTTTCCAGTGTTGTTTTTTCTTATACTGTCCTATCATAACAACTGTTGTATCTTCTTTTAAGTCATTCATTTCATCATTTGATGTATAAGGTGTTACTTGGGTTGTTTCTTTTGTTTCTGGTTTCTTTAGCATATCAAGTTTTTTTCCCATGCGACGTCCCCACGTAGCAAACACTGAAAACAAAAAATAATTTACAAAATTTATGTATATCTGCGTTATTAATTTAGGATTTACTCAATACATTTGAAAGGTGGGAAAATTAAAGAAAATACAGTTTATTACAAAGTGGTAGTGGTCTTTATTAAGTATTATATATTTAATATTTTAAAGTTGATGATGTATTTGTAAAGGTTAATTATTGTGTTGATGTTCTGAAATATAATTACAGAGCATCTTTACATACTAACAAAAAGAACTCCAGCAAAATTTTGCTGGAGTTCTTTTTGTTAGTATGTAACTTTCTGTCAGTACGCTATTACCACTATTGTCATAATATCTACTGCATCTAGCGAGTAGAATGGCCCAGAACTTGGGCCACTACTATATTCATTGTCTATTGTTTGGTATTGTTTGTAATTTTAATATGGTCATGATGTCTACTACATCATGAACATATTGAAATTACGATGTTAGTCGATGTAGTATGTTTGTAGTAGAGGATTAATCATTATAAATAAATTTAATTACCTTTTTTCATCTCCTTGACATCATCCTCCATAACCATGGCTGGCAGAGCGGTGACAAGTGTGAAATCTGGTGTAAGTTGCGGCGTGATGGTAGCTCCGTCCACAGAGGCGGCGTCTCGGCGCGGAGACGGCGTTGCGACGGCTCTTGGCCCGGTCACTTCCCTGCGCTTCGGCCCGCGGAAGAGGCGCATGATGACCGTTCACGCAGCCATGGCGCAAGTCCGTACGCGCCTACTGCTCTGGAAACAAACGGTTCACTATTTGAAGTTTTTTTTTGTTGTTTAATTTCTTATTATTTTAGTACGAATGTAATAACGATAACTGTCATAGCCCGACTATATTAAATGATGTCAAAGTTTTATTAAATTAATTTAAATATGCTATTTGCGAACGTTTCGTTATCCGATAGTTATAAAAGCATGTTACTTAAGTTTTTTTAAACTATAATTTACTTCTAAAGAACTTTCGTATTATCTTTGTTAGATCTCTTTAGTTATTATCTTAGGTTAATGGCGATAACAATTATAGTTTTCTTTAACAATTCAATTAAAGGTATCATTTTGTACAGGAGGGATTTATAATTTTCTTAAAAAGAAAATAAAACAGAAAGAACAGTTTCAAAGTTATAAATATTATACATATAAAATGTACAATACTAATATATTTACAATCTGTTCCATTTATAAATTGCTCGAAACTTTTAATCTGGTCGAAGTGATATTCTGACGGTAGCTACAAATATTTAACATAAGGTTTTGGCTAGTCTTGCACTGTCAAAGTCGCTAAAAAGGACTCACGAAAGTAAAGAAACAATAACAAAAAAAGATAATAAAAACCTTAAAATTATTCTTCTTCTATTTGATGTTAGTACATTTAAAGTTAGTTATAGTCTAAGGCAAACAATTTATGGGTACGTGCAGACTCAACCACAGAACAGTAAGGATGTAAACCGATGTTGACTGTCATTAGATATGCGACACAGACACCGCAATTATGCGAATGCAGTATAATATAAGACATGCCAATAGTAGCATCGTTTAACTTGCGTAGTACTCTGTTTTAGTAAGTCATAAACGGTTCTTCAGTAGCCGAGGGATGCATGGAAATCACAACTCTCCGCCGTTAGTCTTGTCTAATCACTATCATCCCGATTTGATCTGGTTCTTGATGTGTTCTACTACTTGGGACATTTCTGTACGCACCATACTAATTACACCTAAGCAGTTATACCGTTACAAGAAACGTTAATAGGTTAAGTAATTTTATCGATGCGGGAACAGTAACTTTAATCATTTGTATATATGAGGTCGGTAGCGCAATTTATTAATTGCTCTGTTTCTAAGTCCATTTATACTCTTATATTCTGGAAAGATTTTTTTATGGCAAAATCAGTGTACAATCCATAAACCTTAAATGACCGCACAAAAGAAGGATAAATTATACGGTTTTGTTGTTATTTCTTTTTATAAAACTCTTCATTTTGTAGCAATTTACCTAAAAAAATGTATTTTAAAATTTCGTGTAAAATCGTGTAAGTGATAGAAGTTGTATCATCAAATTACGTTGTTTGTCGAGTAAAATGACTTTCGTCGACAGTGTAATGTTTGTTTTCTGAGACACGTTGTATTTTAGGAGAGCGGTAGTGACGTAATACATGATGGATTAAGGAAGCGACCTGTTCCTGCCGGATGCGTACCACACACGGAACGTTATCGGTCACCACGAATAGACACTACGTTTTGGACAAGCATAGTTTACAAATAGAGAATAGTGAAGTAGTTATAGAGTATATAATATATAGTCTATGACACTAAGCTTGAAGGTAATTCTAAGTTGAGATTATCGTGATACAGCAGGTTTTAATCTTATTTCAGGTTATTATAGTCATTTATTTCTTTTGTTTATATCAGAATCCTACATGTATAAAAATTAAATGGTAAGTTCTGTTCGTTGGTAAGCGCACCACTTAAGAATGGTTGAAACTGGGTTTTCATTATACAATATTTGTAATAGACCAAATAAAAATTGCCCTTTTTAATGAATTTATACAAACAATACTTCTATGTCAAAATTATGGGCGAGAGAAATATTTTGTAAAATTATGATCAATAAAATTCATACAGTATACAAAACAAAACTCGAACTAAAATAAAAGCTCTTATAGCTCAGAAACTGTTGTTATTTATAATTGTTAATACTGCAGTACTTAATGTAGCAAGTGGTGTATAGATCTCTTCTTCCCAGAGTGAGTCTTAGGAAATGCAGGCTCCATCTAGCTGTAAAGTCCTACTTGTAAAAATATCTGAAAAGATTTAGTTACAGAAATCTGAAAAGATTTACTTAAATATCATTTCATCTCGTCTAGACACTTAATATCTTCGATAGCTCGCTACCTAAGATTCTTAGCGGGCACGGTATGTTATGTGTGTGGAAGTTATCAATCATGGTGACTTGTTAGTATCCTAGATTAGAGTTCCTAATTACGTTTTTTGTATTAAATTCTCCAAGCAGAGATAGCTAACTCCATAAGTTGTTTAGTTTCCAATTACAATATTTTTCTGTTCTCCTGAACGCGTTACGTGTAAACTGAAGAAACTTGTACTTGCGTGAGTAAGGCAATAAAAACTAAAATGCTTAGGAAATATTTTGTGTAATTTTTTTCCCGAACGGTGATTTCAAATTAGTTTCGTTCTAAGTAACTATTGTTGATGTCATATCAGCGTGATACTATGTTATAATAAAGTACCTTATAAACTAAGTAGAAGCTTGAGGGTCGCGTTAGACGGGCATTGACATCAAGTCTCGAGGCAGGTGTGTGTTGCTAACTAGTAGCTAGCTCTAGTTAATATGTATAATATGGTGCTCGTTTTAGTTTACCAGCTACACAATAATTCTCTCTACTTTGACGAAAAGCGTGGAAATTAAATATGAAGTTAAATATTAAGGGAACATTGTGAATAGTCGCATAGTTACAATAGTAGTAATAATTAGCACATTCATCTCCATAAATATGCAATTGTTTAGGGCAACATGGAGTACAGAAATAGGAAATTAAATTTAGAATCATGACTCACCTCATACCAGTGTTCATGGGTGGACCAGTGATGCAGGCGTCGCGGGCGCAGGCAACGCGACTCTCCACTGTAACATTCATTATAAATTTTCAGTCTACAGTATTCAGAGAATATAGTTCAGTATAAAAAAAAAACGTAGTCAAACGAGTTCACTATCCAACTAATATTGGATATGCATCTTTGATCATATGATCGGTTAAAGATTAAGGAATTCACAATTTCATAATTTTGGTTTTTGGATAATTTGTGAATATATTTATCTATAATTCTTTATATAAGAACTACAATTTTTTTCTCATTATAATGTAAACAGCGTCCAGGGATCGGAAATATAAAAATTCCATCACGTAGAGTGTGTTTTATCGCCATCTATGGGAAGACAATAGGGCGGCATAAAACTGTTGAAAGAGTGTTTCTTAGCAAACTAGTGTATTTAGAACCCGGCCGCGGATCGTGACATGCAAATATATACCCTGACTCATAGCATTCCCTACTCTTCTACATACTACCAACCACGGAGCATTTGCTCCTTGCTACCAACCAACCTCCCTCGTTTAAGAAATAAATATTTTCCATAAAATATCTTTGTACTTTGTCACTTCTCCACTTCTATCACAAATCTTACTAAGAGAAAAGTTTGACACTGAATACTTAATTACTGTTTGTAAACTTAGAAACGTCCGCCTTTTAAGCAGGTGAGACGAAATTCCTTTGTTTTGGAAATTATGTAACTTCTTTGTGAACACTCTTACAATACAACAATGAATACGATTGTATTCGTTAATCGAAAAATATGTAGGACTATTTTACTAGCACCTACTACTTTTTTGAATACTCGTATTTGAATTTGATTAGTATTATGTAGGCTGTATTGACTAATGGCGTATGGAGCGCTTGCGCAGCTGCATACACACCAGTACGCAGTGAGACGTGATTAAAAACACTGCAAAAATCCGTTGCTGGTATGAAGTACTTCGGTTTTTGAACATTTTCTTTACTTATATAAGTAGGATGGCATTGATTTTAACTAACTTCTGTAGAAGTATCTGATATAACAAAACTATTTTAACACGCTTTTATTAGCTTGGTATTGATGTATGTATGTAACGGAATCTTCGAAGGTGATTTAGACCCACTTCAAAACGTCGAATTAAATTAAAACTTCGCACACTTGTAAAGAACCGATGACTATATAATAATTTAATTAATTGGGCCGATTATCCTGATCAAGAACTTCAGGATTAACGGCTTTTCCATTCCTAAGTATTCGGAAGTGACTTTTGCTACGTATTAAGATGCGTGTGTTGAAGCATATGTGACTTACTTGTTACTAGTTTAGTCTTATTGAGAAAATAATCATCATTAATGACGAAAAAAGCAAATTAAATTTTATTTAAAAAAACACGCTTTTCTAACTAACAGAAATAAAAAGTAGAAAACATTGCATGCTTACTTTCGTGCTTATCAAGATATTTTATAATATAATAAGTTTTCTTTTAACAATATAGAAAAAAATATTTTTAAAACAATTAAAATCACGCACCTACGCATTTTTTATTAACTATAAACTTTTAAAAAATATTGTCTACTTTTAGTTCGGCTAGTTACAAAAGCGTGTTTATTAAGTTTTTTTAAACTATATAAACACGCCTTTAACGATAGTTTTTGTGGTGTTTAACTGTATATATTCATTTCTGAGACGGATAGTTACTCACAAAATACGGCGAAACAATACTGTTGATGAGCTTTCTTAGCGCTACTCGGATCGCAAAAGTAGGAGTCATTGTTTGCAGGTACAGTGTAAACACATAAACGTGCTTTGACGGTAACTTGAGGAGCAAATGCGACCTCAAACACAGCAAAGATATTCACGGTAGGTATTGGGTAAAACGCATACATACATCTTAAGCACGTGTTTTGCGGTTAGTTTATTGCTCAGGAATTTAAGATTTATTGATATTTTATTAATAGTATATTCAATTACACACACGTGCGAATTATAGGGGAACGATTTATGATCTAACGTCATAGATGAATCATAGATTTGAGATATCTGATGTTGACCCATGGATAAAGATTATACAGACATCAATGACATCCAACCATCCATGATAGGT